GGCGCAGGCGTAGATGGCGTCTCGAATGCGGCTGTGGCATTCTCATTGCCTTCCCATTTGTAGAGTGCAGGATTATATTGCATACCTTTGACATCTGTAAAATTGAGTCAGTAACTGAAGGGTAAGAAATCTAATGTGCATTGGAAGACTGACTTTTAGCATCGTGGACCCCATTGCCCATTGGTTTGATGAGATGGGGCCGGCTGAGGGAATGTTTATGACCGTGACGGCTCCGCGGGAGTGAAGGGCTCGCCAGAGACCGAGTGGCAGGCTGGGTTTTCCAGTTGAGGTTCACTGAAGTGAGTTGATGCAGGCTGCTACCCATTGACGTTATGCGTTGCTCACGTGCATTCCTGGATGCATTTGTGTCTCGTGCAAATCGAGGTGTCGAGTCTTGCACTGGTGGGCTTGTGGGCCCTGAAGATGGGACTGGGGTATCTGTCCTTGGTGCAATTATGTGTGACTGGCTTAACTTGCTTCGTAGAGAACGGGGGGCACCTCGTTTGATGGGGGCTTTCATGAATCTGCTTTCAAGAGAAGCAGAAGTTGGAAGGTCATCAAAAATGTCTAATTCCGTGCCGTCACCAAAGTTCTTCCGACGAGTTGGTTTTGTGATAGTTTGCTTTGCGGCGGCAGAAATAGTATCTCCAGAATAGCTGATAGGGCGACCAGAGCTGTCATAACGTGTCCGCTTTGAAGACCTGGATGTTGACCTTATAAGCATATCCCCCGAACTTTCTGAGTCAGTTCGACGGAAATGTCTACTAGATTTAACACTGACATGGTGAGATTGGCTAGGAGATACACCTGCAGGGAGAAAGGGAACCTGAGGTCGGCGTTGGGAATGGAGACGAGACTCGGTTGCGTGACGCTCAACTGGTGTTTTGGGGCGGGATGTGGGCGCTGGTTTACTATAGCTTGCCTGCCTGGATGGTGAAATCTGTGTTTGGGAAGCAGTTGTATTCCCTGATGAAGGGCGCATGACGGGGGTTGAACGTTTGGATTTGAGTAGTTGGGTGTTGGTATTCGCAAGGTCACCTCGCAAAACCTCTTTGGGGGGTCTGGCCGCAACTACTCGTCGACTTGGCGGTGAAAGGCTCGATGCTAAAGAGTTCGATAAGGGTATGTTCGTTAATGATGAATGGGTTGCATGCCCACTTAAGCGGGAGTGAGGACGCCTTGGTGTTTGGGAAACAGGGGCACCACTTTCGGAAACAGGCTCCAGGTAGGTGGAGTGCGGCCTTTCATGGGCAGAGAGTCGGGGTATTCGAGTCCCAGTGGCAGGAGCCTTGTTGGTAAACGTAATGCTTGTTGCTCCTCGTCGAGGGGGAGTTGATGGTGGTTCAATTCTTCGTTTGACATTCCGGTTAAGAGTTAACTTTCCAGCGTCAAAGGCTTCGCCATCCCCTATTTCGATGCCGGAAAAGAAATCATCGTTTTTTGGCTCCGCATGTTTAGGGCCTTTATTGCTGGGAGTGACTTGTTGTTCGGTGGGTGTCTCCGGAATGCTAGGGGGTGGTGACTGTAGTTTAGCCCGTTTCTGAAGTGATTTTTCAAGGTCCAGGGGGCCATCAGGAAGTATTAAACCATCGATACCATCGTCTTCACTTTCGATAGTCAGGCAGCTGGACATGCTCGGGCTGAGTGCTCCAACAGAAGAGCTGCGATTGGAGCGACCATCTCTTCGGGTGCCTCCGAAACGGACACCAATACTGCCTTCTGCCCATTCGGTGTCAAAATCATCGGTTAGGAAATCAGAAGTTAAGGACATGTCTCGACGCTGGGAGAGGCGTAGGGGTGTACCATCCTCCGGCAGGACTAGCTCAGATTCAAAATCGTCATCCTTTTCTCGCGACTCTAGCCGCGAGGGCGGGACTGTAGGCTGGTTGGATCGAGTTTTGGTAATTTTAATGGTGGAAACGTCGCCAAACAACATGTCCTCCTCTGTGTCACGGAATTTGACAAGATCATGAAGAACAAATGGATGGGTATCTATCTGTTTGTCAAAGCTGGGAGCAGGTAAAGAGTCTAGATGAAGTAGTGAGTCAGGTGCTGTAGCTTCGTGATATAATTTGACCTTGGGCCTTGCTTCAAAGGCTGAAAGGTCAAGATCCTCTAGCCAGTCGTCACCCACGATGGCTCGCTGTTTCCGGCCACCCAGCCTCTTTATTGACCCTCCGAGTAATGCAGAAGTTGGTATGTCTGACGGAATGGGTATCCCAGCGTTTTTTGCTGACACGATTGCGTCCTGGTTAGGGGAGTCATCGTTCGGATTGAGCAATAACTGCCAGCTTTCATCGTCACCCAAGTTGGAATCACGGTCTGACCTCCAAGAGCGGCGAGACGAGATCGAGTCACGATGGCCTGACGGGCGAACGGAAGACCCTGTAACCGACGTGGTAGCAGAGACTGTGCGTAACTGAAAGCCATCACCACAGTGTAAGTCCTCATCATCATCCCAACATTCGACCTCTGTTTCATTCGGTTTGTGCATGATTAAAGCGTCCATACTGGACTCCATGACCACCGAATTTTCCGGTAAGATGTTGGAGGCTTCATGAAGAACTCGCGAAGAGTTTCCCGCCGAAGGGGCTCCCTCACGTTCAATTGTGGCTTCTGGAAAATACTATATATGTCGGAGAGCGTGTATGACGGGAGAGGCAGACGTAGAATTATGGGTCGACGGTATCTTGGTTGCGTTCGCAAAAGGGCGCGGGCAAGGAAGAGGAAAAGGAAGAAGAAAAAGAAGGAAACAAGGTCCACACGCGATCGTTGTCCCCCAGGTTTGACCAGTGGCGAGAGCGTTAACGATTGAGTAAAAGGGGGAGGAGCCCCTTGGAACGAGTGAAAGGAGTTGAAATATCAGGGGCTGGAGGGTAGGGTGTCTCAGACAAGATTGCGGTCGTGTCTGATACAGACCCTTGGGCGAGAAGGAGAGGAAGAAGGAGGTTGGGGGCCCAGAAGGCGCCTAAGCTGGTTCTGGACAGCTAAGCGATGCGGCTAAGAAGGCCGCGCTTTTGCGACGCGCTCAGCTGACTCAGCCGCCGACAGCAGACGACAGCAACACTTGGCTCCAGGGGAGCGCAGCGGCGGCGCTGCAGCTTGCAGTAGCGGTTAATGCTTGAGCTGGGGAGTCGATGGGAAGGCCAAATCACAGGGAAGATGCTAAATACGTAGTACAGCTCACTGGCTGATTTTTCCTTGGGCCTCGTTGGGCAGGGTTGGTGCTGGCCAGCGATTAAAAGTGTCAGCAGGCAATTGGACAACTCGCGAAGCTCTCACTGAATGTATGCTGGCCTGTACCCAAATAACACCCGATATATGCACTCTAGACCTGTCGTCTGCTCTCCTGGCGCGTCTGTGGCTTTTTTCTGGCTTCTTTCTGGCTTCTTTCTGGCTTCTGTCGAGCTTTCTCATCGCCTCGTTCTTTCAGCGGGTGATATCAGTCATGTGACCGACCTTATCGCAACAACTAGGCAGCAGCTACAACGACTTTATAAACGAACGACTTCATCTGACACCTTTATTCTTCTCTTAAGTTTGGAGTTAACACCCCAATTTCCCTTGGTTTATTGATTGGGTAGCTTGTGTTGCACTGCGTTGGTGATTTTCGCAGTCCGTCAGCAATGTCTCAGGATAGTATCCTTCGTATTCCTCGAAGTGATAGTTCTGGCGACTATGCTTTGATCAAGGTATCAAAGTCTGGAGCTTCTGACTTGGACTTGCAGCTTGTTGGGACCGAGGGAGAGACCCCATATGTTGGATCCCGTGGGTTTTGTCTCCCCTTTCTTCGGCATGGTAAATTGCTTTTACATTGCGGCAACGTTGTCTCACAGAATATGAATTTTAGTGACCTCGAGTGGAATCAAGAAACTACGAGCGAAAAACTACCGGGGTGATGACGATGAGTGGGTTGCAATACTCTCCTATTCCTTTGATCGGATACGAGAATCCAGTGCAAACGCAGAATGGATCTCCGGGCTAGAAGTCCTGGCGGCAGTACAAGGCGATGGCGATGAAGAAAACAAGGAACTACATATCACCTTGAGAAAACGGATTGATTCAATCACGGTATGCCCTGATAAACGTCTTAACTGACTCCTGCGTTTGCTACTAACAACAGGCCGGTGTGTTAGCAAAAACTAGGAACTGTTGTCTTGAAACAGGACGATGAGCAAGCAATTGAACTGTATGGATGGACCGGAATGGCCATATCCAAGGCGAAGGCATTAGAACAACAAGTTTCTAACCTGCAATTAAAATATCGTGAAGCAGAAGACACAATCAATAAGTTGAAAGCTCAGTTGGAAGATTTCATTGAAACCAAGAACCGACACGACGAACAGTTAATCGGGAAGTTTGTTTGTCTTCTAAATGAGAAAAAATCCAAGATTAGAAGCCAACAGCATCTATTGATAAAAGCCAAAAAGGATCCAGACACAGGTTGGTTTACAATACCTGCTATGCTACTTGTGCGGGTATTCAAACGCTAACAAGATGTAACTGTGCAACTAGCACAAGAAGTGGCAACAACGGAAGCACCACAGAAAGCAACCGGTAAACCGGCCACGAGTAGACTATCCAAGCGAAAAGCAGACGAACCTCCGCCCGAAGAATCGGAAAGCGATGACGGTTTTGATGCAATGGATATAGACAAGAAAGATGTTACTGCTACCTTAGACGAGGGCAGTACCACAGATGAAAGACAGGACACACCACAACCTCTCGAGGATGAGACAGCATCGGAAATAGATGATGAGGCACCCCCTCGTCCTCCCACCTCAAAGAAGGGAGGAAGGGCGCAAACAATTTCCAGGACGACGAAAGCTGCTGTCACTCAGGATGTTAAGCGGCCACGGAACGCGCCTGAACTGTCCGCAAAACCTGAAATCTCAGAGCCGCCCCCTCCGCGAGAATTACCGTTCAGTAAGAAAAGAGCTGCTGAAAAACCAGTTATTGAAAGCAATGAAGGTGATGCAACCGATTCAGGGGACGATGAACTCTAACGACGTTCGCTTTGGTATTTACCTTACACCTTGCCTGAGAGAAGGCTGGATCTTGGCATGAAACATCATGATTATGACTTGATGGAGTAAATAGTAGTTAATTCGTCTTACTTTTCCTCTTGTACAGGGTTATCTCTAGGTTAATCTGTCCAACTTGTATGAAAAAAAAATAAGCCTCTTCAGCATCGGTTATCCTACCCTACTCCCTCTCCTTTGCCACACAAAACAATAGCCACTTTTCTATCAACATCGATAAGCACAAAAGATGACTAGGACATATATGTGGGTGATACTACAGGTCACAAAGACGGGATAAAAAAAGGATAGAACGAAAAAGAAAGTAGAATATGTATATAAACATAAAAAGAGATCCGGGGACAAAGGAGAATGAAACGCCTATAACCGCAAGAAAGTACATGAAATCAGGTTGTTTTGTATGGCATAGAGAATATTTTGAGGGGACAGACAGGTGAAGAGGGGGATGGGGACATGTAGATAGGTCTGATTAGCCCTGGACAGCTTGGGCTGTGGCCGAGCTCTCGCCAGGAGCCATGAAATTGGTCTCTGGGTTTCCGGTTTCTTTGGCAGCAGAACATCTAGCCATCGTTGTCGAACTGGGAAGCGGGTACGTTAGTGGCATAGAACGAGAACACCATAAGAAATTGGGAGATCGGCTAATGACATACCTTCTGGAAATAACATCTGTGAAGTAAAAGTTTTCAATCGGCTTCTTAAGGGGAGTACCAGTTACTTTGCTACCTCGGTTCTGGTCTACCAATTGGATCTTGCTCAATGAGCCTAGAGAGGATGGTTCAACGATGTCATATCTTCGAAGGGCTGGGCTGACTTCTTCCATACGGTCTCGGAGCATTTCAACATCGTCATATGGCAATGGAGCACCGAGGAACTCGCTGACTGCCCGGATGATCTTCCAATCTTCTCTAGCGGCCCCAGCAAGAGAGGTGGCGGCGCGGGTCATTTGGACGCGGCCTTCAGTGTTAACATAAGTCCCGCTTTTTTCAGTGTAGGCGGCACCTGGAAGTACAACATCCGCGAGCTGTGCTCCACGATCACCATGGTGGCCCTGGTAGACGACAAACGCACCCTTGGGGATATCGGCTTCACTGATCTCGTCAGCTCCCAGTAGCCATACCATCTTGGGAGTGGTATTGGCCACTTCGGCGGATGGGGTGGTGAAACCAACTTCGTAAGCTCCGCCTCGAGATGCAACACGTTGTAAAACATTGTATCCTTGCCATTCTGGAGTAATGAATGTAGCGGCATTCTTATCAATGAAAGATCCAATTGTTTCGAATATAGCCTTGGCATCAGGGTGTTCTGCTACCGCACTTCCAACAATTATCATGGGCCTCTTTGCAACGGCGAGTTTCTTTCCGAATGCTCCAGCAAGGGTAGTCTTCAAGGCAGCAGCATCAGTTCCGAAATGTTCAAATTCAAAGGTGCTCTCAAAGGGCTCGCCGACTAGGCCGATTTCGAGGTCAGAACGGAGGAATTGTTTACGGATGCGGGCATTGAGAACGGCGGCTTCGTGGCGGGGGTTTGTTCCGACCAGGAGCATGGTATCAGCTTCTTCGATTCCGAAGATCTTAGAGTTGAAGAGGTAGTTAGATCTAACATCAACTCCGTGGGCGATTGGCTGGCTGCCACCGGCTTGGTCAAGCGCAAGGTTTTCGGATCCAAGCTTGTTGGCGAGATCCTTCATGGCCACGAGAGATTCAGTCTCAATTAAGTGACCTGCAACGGCTTTGAATTCGTTGCCCTTGGGGGCTAGAGACTTGTGCGCATTCCCAATTTCAGTCAGGGCCTGTTCCCAGGTTGCAGGAACGAACTTATTATCCCGGCGGATGAGAGGAGTCGTGAGTCTCTGGGTCTTGAGACCATCGCATGCGAATCTGGTCTTGTCGTTGATCCATTCCTCATTAACGTCATCGTTTAGCCTGGGCTGAACACGCATAACTTCCATTCCCCGCGTATCGATTGTGATATTGGAACCAAGGGCATCGAGAACGTCAATACTCTCGGTATGCTTAAGCTCCCAAGGTCTAGCGCGGAAGGCATATGGCTTGGAAGTCAATGCCCCGACTGGACACAGATCGATAACATTGGCAGACAATTCAGAGTCCAAGTTCTTCTCGAGATAGGTCCCGATCTGCATGTCGTTTCCACGTCCAGTAGTTCCCAATTCAGGTGCACCGGCCACGTCATTGGCGAAACGAACGCATCGTGTGCAGTGGATACATCTGTTCATGGAAGTTTTGATCAAAGGGCCGATATTTTTATCCTCTACAGCACGCTTTCCTCCAACTTCATGGAATCTTCCTCGGTCAGCACCATATCTCATTGACTGGTCCTGGAGGTCACATTCTCCTCCCTGGTCACAAATGGGACAATCGAGTGGGTGGTTGGCGAGTAAGAATTCCATAACACCTTCTCTGGCCTTGTGTACTAGAGGGGAGTTCGTCTTGACCACCATTCCGGGCTGAACGGGCCACGCACATGAAGCGACTGGCTTGGGGGCTCTTTCGACTTCGACAAGACACATTCGGCCTAAACAGATCACTGTAAGCTAAAAAAAAAAAAAAAAAAAAAATTCATAAAGTATCAGAGAATTGGATCATCGTACAATTTCCTGCAATTAATAGTTTCCTTTTCGGGAAATGTTTCAGCGGCGTTCCTTTTCTCAATGCGTTGGTTAAATATAACTTACTCATGGTAACAATATCTACAACGATAAATTAGCAATCTAGATACAACAACAGCATTATTGATATAACGTACCTAGGGACTGTAGAACCAGCCTTCTCACAGGCCTGGATGAGTGCCGAACCAGCTGAATGGTCTAGTCAGTATATCGTTGGAATAACCGTGGGGGTAAGCGCAATACCTTCTATCGATACCTTCTTGCCATCTAAAGCATCAATAATGGGTTAGCAAATTATCCAGTAATTCAGCGACATTAGCTACCGACCAATTGTGACTTCGACTTCCACCTGCCTAGCACCCGTCGTGCTGAATGGACGGGAGTAGTTAAGGGTCGTCCATCTCCTCGATCGGGCGGCGACACGGAACAATTGTGGCCGCATAGCTGGCAAGATAGAGAAAGAGACAGCTTAATCAGAAACAGGACACCGATATGAAGGGAAGGTCTAGGACCGTGAAGGCTTGCGTGACGGAGCGACTACTGCGAGCGATGCAATGAAGACTTCGACGTCCGTCTTGCTTCGACTTTATTTGTTGCTTCATTTGCTTCGTCTCTGGCTTCATTCAAATCCTCCACATCTAATTGGCTGAAGTTTACGGAGAGGAATAACATTCACCCGTCTGGGCTCCGCGAACACCTGTGGATAAATTGAAAATTGCGTCTATTCTCGCTTTCTTTTCTTCTTTTCCCCTTTTCTTTCTCCAACTCATTTTCAACGGACATAGATTATTGTAGGTGGAGGGTATGCTCTCTCAGGAGATGCTACCAGCCCTTCCTCCTCTACAGTGTGATCCGAGAACAGATCCTGCACCGTAGCTGGAGCTCCCTAGGGTTACCTGTTAACCTTGTTATGGAGCAGTTCCTTACCGACGGATGCTACACATATCAAGTAACAAAGCAGACAGAGATGATTAAAAGTATAGACAAATGATGTTATTCATTCATTTTTCACTCACAAAAAACGGAGTTGTAAGGTATATAAATTCTATCCAATCCTCCAAATTACCAAAAACGGCAGAGAAGCCATTGGGTTTCGCCGCCTTTAGGACGCCGTATCGTGCAATTAAAAAAGCAATGAATTATTAACAAGAATGAATAAAAGGGTAAAAAAGTATGTCCCGAATCCCTTCTAAACTCCACGAACCCTTCGGAGGAAGAGAAATAAAAACAATGAGACGAGGGGGAAAAACATGATAGGTAGCATGAGCATATATTACTTCTGGGGCGCGGAGGATGCATCACCAGGTTGCCATGTGGACTCTTGCTTAGTCCCTGGTGGTAGCCATGGGCGAGCCATGCTATTCCTCCTTGAGACACCGTTCGTTTTATCATCTTCTTTTTTGCCATTGACGTCCATAGGATGGATACCCAAGCCACCCACGGAGGGGGGAGGGAAGGTATATCCGTTGGAGTTCCAGACTTTGGCTGAGCTGTTGGAAGCAGTGTTAAGAGGCAGGATGGTATTATTCTTGTGGAAGTGGTCCGCATTGGCCCGTCGATCTGCTGCATCGTCCTGCTTGTTTCTGTCATACAGATATAGGCCGAGGAAAGTGAGAGCGATACCGAAAGCCTGTATGGGCGTCGTGGCGTTTCCGAACCAGACAATGGCAACAACGACGACGAAAACTCGTTTGATTAATGAAGCAACTGAATATGACACTGGTGAGATCATGGAGAGTAGAACGAATGCCATGATGTTCTGTGCAAAATGGAAAACACCATTGAAGATAAATTCCAGCATCAACGGGCCATGATCAAGGGCGCCTTTCTTATTTGATAGGCTGATAGAGCCAGAGGACAGGAAGTCGATCATTAGCGGATAGCCTTCGGATAGGAACCAAATCGGTAGGGTCAAGATGAACGCGAGACCTGAACAATAACATAAAAGGTTGAGCTTATCTAGCTTTGTGTCTCCGGGTGATTGGCCATCTGCCTCCACACGCGCAGCTTCATTGAAAAGTTTCTTTGAGAAGATATTCTGTGCAACGAAAACAAGAGCTGCTGCAAGGGCACAGATAATCCCAAAGAGGTTTGTTGAGAACCCAGCTGAACAGGCAAGCATGACTCCCAAGGTGAGAGGGATGAGAGAGAGGTACGTAGCCCTAGCATATCGAATGCGGAAAAAGATACGATATGCGAGGACGGTGAAAAGCGGAGAAAGCCCCTTGATTGTATGAACCAGTGATACGGGTATTTGCGAGGTGGACATAGAGCTGAGTATGTGGCCCAGTAATTGGAATCCAGCCAGGGGCAGCGCTGTCGAGATGATGGCGTATGAGGGATAACGGATCTTGTTTTTGAGGACGGGAACAGCAGTTTTTAGCATCGGAAAGACGGACGCGAGGTATGCGAGAAACAAACACCATGTTGATACAAATGCAAATTGAACAATCGTAAGCGTTATAGGTTTTGGAAGTGCCATGAGGATAGATTTCGATGAAGTATTTGTGAGCGCTGATGTCAGGTACCAGACTAAGCAAAGACCCTGGAGACAAGTCAATTAGCAACGGAGCGTCATCATAGCTTCCTCACAAGCTCTTCAGGCCACACTCACAATAAGTTTATAAGAAATTGGTGCCTTTAACGATTCTGCCAGCTCCTGGGCATTGACGCTGACGCTTGTACCTCGAGTCCTGAATGACCCCAGAGCTTCACTGATACTCTTCCGGGGACGATGTGAACGCTCGGCAGGCTGTGGCCCCCGTGAGTAGGCCCTGCTCTTCCGTGGCTGCCATAATGATTCCCCTGCATACTTGATCGTGGATGGCAAGAAAACGCTCTCTCCCTTCTGCTCAATCAGTGCGTCGTCATCGCCCAGAGTAGGGAATTTCTCGGTTGTAGAGGTGTCGGCGGTCATTTGAGGTGGCCAGGAGGGTGGCAGACCTGAGGACTTCTGCTGCCGTGTATCGACAAGCGTTGTAACGCTCATTATCAGCTTGGTCGATTTGGTGCTGCACTGTGGTTGGACATATCACCACTTGTTCGCTGCTTGCTCTGCTTGAAAAAAGTTATGGGATGAGAAGGAATGCGTGTACAAGGCAGATCAAGTGGCACGCTTGATTGGCCGGGACAACACGTGTTTTTGCAGGGCTCACGGGCGAGCGGATGAGTAAGCGGAGATCGATAAATACAAGGACGCGAGATCTGGAGTAAAGATAACGCAAAAGATCTGACGCGGGAAGAACATGATAAAGAGATCTACTCATGGGGATACTCATGACAGATGCGGAGAAAGATGGATACGAGAATATACAGAGATACACCCAGACATGTCTCAAGTTGCTCTAACAAGCCTCCGTCGGAATAGATTTCCATTACCAAGCTATCACGTGAAAACTCATACGATAAGATACTTGTTATAGTGCCGGCCCAGCCCACCGAACTTCTCCTGTTCATGTCATTGACGTCTGCCCATACTACTTGATGTGGCTCCGTCCTACTTTTCCACCCTTGCTGCCCAGCGCCTATGGGTACTTTGATAGCCGCCCTTGCTATTTATAGCCACCGCAATGAGGTCTAATTACATAAGCAGCGGCTGATTTTCACGTGACGTGCGGCGTCCAACCCAAAACCAAGTTTTGAGCCTCCATTGGATCTTGTTCTCTGGGGCAAAACCATCGCAACACTTCGTCCCTCCACCCCATAGCGCCACTACTAACTATGTTCGGTTTGCCAAAATTAACTTCATGCGGAAAGTCTCGCTAGACAAAGCCTGCCATTCTCGCTTTCTCACTCGTCCGGATTCCCGATGAATGTTCTCCATGGGAGCGAAGAATGACCTCTGTCTTGTTCAACCTGACAGGGGGCCAATGATAGCTCCTTGGACATGAGATATGCAGCCATGAAATAGTCTCCTACTAAGACGGCTGGCGGAGTGTCGGTGAACCCCGCAAGGAAAGCATCACCAAGTTAACTAGGAAACAATTTGGGGGGTGGTGTTATACCTCATAGTAATGTCGGCTTCTACGCCACCAGCCTGGAACGCAAGACCGCCAAAATTTGATACCGTGTACAGTACCACCGAGTCATGACTGGGGTATCTGATTCTCCCTGCCTGAAAAACTGGTCTGAAAATTTAGGAGTTGGGATCTCATACGGCGATCGCTACAGCTTGGTTGACTTTCAGTGAAGGGCTTGGTCCTCCAGAAGCTGATGACTTTTCCTACCTGGATTCTTGACGTTGAACGAAGCTATTTCGGCAAAAAAGGCTAACCTTCGGCTTTATCTGCGAGTCCTTCAGTGCTTCATCCAGCTGACCACCCAACCTCGCCGTCATAATGAGGGGAAGTGCTTCGAGCCAAGGCGAATCGAGGCTTGCACTGTTGTCCGGTTCAAAATATTGTCACAAAAGACTTGACGAAGTTCCCAATATTTTGACCACGCAGTGATACCTGGCGTCACTTAGCCAGCCCAAGTCGAAATTATCAAAAAGCAGACGGTACTAACTTACGGGGTGACAATGCATATAATGCCATCGTTTGTCCTCTGGACATTCCACCTGTGCTCTCAGTGGTTCCAAGGTCTTCCTGATCTGTTGCCTCACATTTCAGATACTGAACCAGTCAATAATTTTGCCAGTCAAACGGGATTATTGCATCCGGGAGGTATGAAGTACTTCCAGATAGCCCCTTGGGTCTGCATCCCACTGTTGACATGCCGCGGTGTCGATGCAACCAACTCGGCGGACAGTGGCTCCGATCTACAGCTTAATGAGAGTCCGTTTTCTAAGAACTGGCAGGTTCTTGGGCCGTTTGAAATAGGAACGAGGGGTACGTAATTTAACTCTGTGCCCAAGCAGCATCACTAACATTGTTTCTTAGAATCATCCTGGGGTGCTGACCCACTGGAAGCATATGGTGGCTTTCAAACGCTGCAATATGACCCAAAGGCCAGCTTTGACAGCTCTCTGGCACTTAACGGTCTTGCAAATTGGTCAATGGCTTCTACGCATGTCAATTCAACTGCTGACCCTCCGGAGACTATACTTGATATCAATTTACCCCCAGATAACTTGACATCTCTTCAAGAAGTCTACGGCTGGGATGCAAAGCAGTACCAAGCCTGGGCGCGTGGAACATTGACTGTTTCTAAATCCAACTCCGTGGTCGCTTTATATACAGATAGGATCTGGGAATATCGAATTGACAACAAATCATACTTTGGTGGTGACTTTTTTGGTTTTCGCAGAGCACCACTTCTTCTGGATTTGTCCCCTGGAACTCACACTGTTGACCTTCGTGTGGTCCGCGATGTCAGGGCTCTTGGGGCTGTTGGCGAACCGTATATCAATGTTACGCACATTGCACAGGAGTTGTCTAAAACACTAATTGTGGACAAAAAGAGTATTCTCGTTGCAGATGTTGTTGAAAATCGTTTGATTAGCCCGTATGCTTCTGTTACTCTCCATAATACCATGGGTAATCCTGTTGATGTGGTTGGCATCAAGGAAGATGGCACCCAGGTTAGGATCATCCGTTCTATAGTCTTATCACATAGCTAACCACTTATAGGCCGCCAGCTTTTCTTTGAATATGTTAAACAACCATGTGAAGCTAGAGGGAGCACAATCTCGCGCAATTGGCTTTACAATTGAGGCGAAAGATAAAACCAATGTTCCATCCTCGGTGTCTTTATACTTTGAGTATACGGCCCCTGGTAGCTCCAGCGTTCAGAGAACGCAGCCCATGACCATCACTTTTACAAGGCGAAAGCTGCCAGAAGTTCAACAAAATACTTTCAGACTTCCAGGAGGAGTAGTCTCTTATGCCACTATGCGGCCTCCGACATCCTTGGAATGCAACAAAAACAAAGGCGCAAAACTTCCAGTATTGCTAGGCCTCCATGGAGCAGGACAAGCTGCAAGTGATGAGATAATTCGCACTATGCTTGATGGTGTATCTGACATATGTGCATGGACCTTATTTCCCAGTGGTGTAACACCGTGGAGTGGAGACGATTGGCGTAGGTTTCGATCTCTTGGTTGTTGAATTCCTGGCTAACAGATTACTTCCAGATACTTGGGGATTTGCCGACTTACAGCACTCAGTCCGAGCACTTAACGACTACATCAGGTACAGTGGTTGGACAGGAGTCGGGGTCATTGACGGTGACTGGATTATAGCCGGACACTCAAACGGCGGTAAGTACGGCTATTATTTCGGTTTAATATTGGAATCTAACTAGAAACAGGCCAGGGAACTTGGTATACCATCTCACATTACCCCGATAAAATCATTGCTGCAGCACCTGTTGCGGGTTATACTTCGATAGAAAGTACGTATCCTCCCCCTTCCATATTGAGCCATAACTGATGGTACCCTTTCAATAGACTATGTCCCATACTCCATGTGGCATAATACAGACTCATTGTTGGCTTCTACGTTTTACCGAGCGCGCCAGGACTTTAAACATGAGATTCTAGTTGATAACTTTGCTGGAATCCCGGTCTATCAACAGCATGGTGCCTCTGACGATAATGTGGTGGTATACCATTCTCGTCTAATGCATAGGTTGTTGCAAGAGAGCGGCTCACCCTCAAAGTATCATGAAGTGCCAGGTAAAAACCACTGGTACACCGGAATTATGACTTCCGACTTCCTTAAAGGTTTCTACTATACATATGTTCAACGCCCAAATGCCACTAATCTTCTTCCTCAAAGATTTTCGGTCACTCTCCCACCTGCAGGTCATATGAGTACCAGAGGGGGTATATATGTGGATCAATCACATACCCCTGACCGAGTTGGCTCTATCGAGGTTGAGCGAGGTATGACCAATGACGGAGTCTGGAAGTTAAAGACACGAAATATCCGCCGTTTCCACCTCGAGACCAGCGCAATCAGATCACAAGTTCCACTGTATATCCAGGTAGATGGCTCGACTAGATTCACAATCACTCCTAGCAACTCTACCACAACATGGTACACACAAGATGGTGCTGGAAAGTGGACATCGGGTGGTGACTCGTGGCGTACTATTTCACAGAGATATGGCAGACAGGCTGGTGTGAATGCTTTCCTCCGCACAGAAGCGCCGTTTACTGTGACCGCTGCAGCTCAGGAAACTCGAGATCTCGCCCTGCAAACCTGCCGAAATTTATTCCAGTACTTGTCAGCCGATTGCATCATTTCGTATGCTGTGCCCACTGCCGACTCCACAACTGCTGCTAGCCGGGCAGGCAACAACGTTAACATCTTGCTTGGTGCTCAGCCAAATGGATACACAGCCGGGAACTTTGCTATATCAATTTCAGCACGATCGCTGGATATCAAGACTTCCCAGGGAACAACAAGCTATCCCTTTGAGCCGGGCCTCGGTGCTATCTTCATACGCCCCTTGGTAAATGAGCGTTTAGAGCTAGTTATTTGGGGATCCGACATAGCCGGCCTTCAACAGGTTGCTCGCCTGGTGCCTGTCCTCACAGGAGTCGGCCAGCCTGACTTCGTGGTTGTTAACAAGGGAACCCCATTGAAGGGACAAGGCTCTCTCTATGCTGCTGGCTTCTTCGATTCTGAGTGGAAAGTCTCTGCGGCCTCTTATGTTTCGTGAGCTTGAGTAGATCAGCCTGTTGTCTATGTGGCATACAAACCAAGTACAGTGTAGGGTTCCTAATATATACATTAGACAGCCCTTAGACAATGATATAGCGATATATGTGCCTTTCGTCCACCAAATGCAGACTCTGCTATGCCCACTGCTCCTGTGATACCCTTATACCATCATACATCTGTCTATACCCCTTGTAGTTATTTCTGTTTGCATACTATATCCATGGTTTCCATATGGGGACTTACCGACTCTACATGGCCAGACCAGCGACTAAGCAGCAAGCTCTCGTTGCCCTTGTTTCCTTCTGCCACCGCCCTTCCCCTTTTGGCTTCCCACAACTTCAAGACTTCAACTTCAACTTCTCGGCTGCTGCAACAACAACAACAACATCAACATCAACATCGCGCTCTCTTCAACCTCAACCTCGCCTTCTGCTGCTCGCCAGTCGGACTTTCTCGCTTTCGTTGTTATTTTTGTTCTATGTATCTTGATCTCAACTCATACTTCTTTCTCTTTTAATCGGCTCTTTCTGTTTTATCTTCTCCTCCAGATCTTCCTCTGTCTTCCTCTTCGTTTTTTCTCAACCTGAACTTCTTCCATCTACTTCACAGCATACTTGTTTGGTTTCTCTTCATCTACTGTGCCTCTACAGCTTCGTTCGATTCTCTGCTGCGTTGATTACAGTCTCTCACACGCGTCGAGGTGCCAATTTCCTGTGATATCAGAGCCTGGTGGGTGGCTTTTTCTCGGTTCTTTGCATATTATCCTGCCCCTCCAAACTAATCTAAGCTGCTGGACTTGGATCACTTCCTCGTGGATCTCATTTTGTCTACTGATTTCTTTGCTTATTACCCTTACTTGTCTGAAAAGCGTGTTAAAGTGGTCATTATCATGTCTTACAAAGTCATGAGCTCTTCTAACGCGTTTCAAAAGCCATCTTCTCAGTGCAAAGCTCACGTTGACCCTACAGGTAACATCGCATCACACGGGCGTCTAGGCTCGGTAAGTATCTTCTAATTGACATCTTTTTAGTGTATAGACTCAGGCCATCGACATAGAGGAAATTTCTAACTTGACAATAGGAAACGATGAATTTGAGCTCGATTACCACTGGAACTAACCCCCTCGTCTCGTCTAAACTGGGGAACATTCAAAACACACCTCCGGTCGGGGATGATAAGGTGAATAAACGATCGCTGATAACGTATACGCTGTATGATTTCAAAACTTGTAGCTAACTTCTGTAGAAAATGAAGGCTGATCAACCTGGATCTTCCGTTCCTCAGTCTGTCATGGACCAAATCCTTGCAAAACTGTCTCCAAAAGACGGCAAAGCGGGTGGTTCAGCTTGCGACCCGGCCACCAAACCTATGGATACCCAGCCCCGTTTGGCAAGACAGCCATCTGGAGAAAATGGAACTTCTCATGTAAACCATGCGGAGTTAACTCCTGCAATTGAAGGCCACATCCCGCTTGCCTCTACTAACCAGCCAAACTTGACCGTTTGGCAAAATACTGTGAACACTGGAAAAGTAATGGATACTCAGGAGATGTTTCGCTTACAGCAAGAATTGGAAGCTGCGAATTCTCGTATTGCTCTACAAGAGCAAGAGCTTGCTCAGACCCGTGTTATCAAACAAACCCTGGATCAAGCTATGGGACCTCCATCTGAAGTTGACTTTGGCGGACGTGAGATCACCGAGCAGACAATCAGCAGCCTGCAGAACGCCTTCAATGCGTCCACCCGCCAGTTCAATCAACGCCAAGAGCAATGGGCTATGCAAGATGACGCTCACTCTGACATCTCAGAGGCTGTCTCTGCAGGAGGCTATAATAGAGCTCGTGGCATATGGAATGCTCAATCTCAACCACCAGTGAATAACTTTGGCAATGCTGACAAGATCAGCCGTGACTTCATGTTGCATGAATCGAGTATTAGCAGTGATACTGCCCGCAGTTGGGGAACTCGCCCTAGTCAACCGGGATGTAACCCCCATACTGGATTTTCTATTAATCAACGTATGTTTCCAGGACATTCAAGCCCACCATATGGGTTTGATAACCGATATTTGACAGAACCAGCCCCTCAAATTCAGGCACATGGTGGCCGACGGTCCACTCAAGTTAGTCGTGGATCTTCGTGCTTCCCTCCGCAGACCTCGCCATGGGGTACATTTTCCCCATCCTTGACTCCAGCCAATTCTATCCCTAGGCCAGCTAGCCAGCAACAGGCCGCAAATTTTCAGCCACAGACTACCTATCCGGCTGTAAACACGTATCAGCCCCGCCCAATTGGCACACCACTATCACCAATGGCAGCTGAGTTTACTGGTTACCCAGCTACCCCTGCATCCTGGGCACCTTCTGTAAGCACTGAAAATACCGTTACGAGCTTCAATTTCAGAGCTGACTTTGCTTTTAGGCCACTTCCGGAGCTGCTTCCACTTATGTTTCTCCACTTGAACCATTGAACTATCGTCGTCTTCTAGACAAAAGTGTTTCATGCGATTGGAAGTACATCGTGGACAAAATTGTTTGCAACAACGATCAACAGGCGTCCATTTTCCTCCAGCAAAAGCTCAAAGTTGGCACATCCGAACAGAAGTATGAAATTATTGAGGCAATTGCTAACCAAGCATACCCATTGATGATCAATCGATTTGGCAACTTCCTTGTTCAACGTTGCTTTGAGCACGGTACTCCTGAACAAGTTATTTCTATTGCTAATGCTATTCGTGGCAATACATTGAGTCTAAGCATGGACCCCTTCGGCTGCCATGTTATTCAGAAAGCATTCGATTGTGTCCCAGAAGAGCACAAAGCAGTTATGGTTCATGAGCTGCTTCGCCGTATTCCTGAGACCGTGATTCATAGATACGCCTGTCATGTGTGGCAGAAACTTTTTGAACTTCGTTGGAGTGGTGAACCACCACAGATTATGGCTAAAGTTAACGAAGCACTTAGGGGAATGTGGCATGAGGTTGCCTTGGGTGAGACCGGGAGCCTCGTTGTCCAAAATATTTTTGAGAACTGTGTCGAGGATGAGAAGGTACGACAATAAAACCTAAATATCTTTGTACTATGCTAATTGTCTCAAAGCGTCAAGCAATCGAGGAAGTTCTTGCAAAAATCGACCTCCTTGCACATGGTCAATTTGGCAATTGGTGCATTCAACACATCTGTGAACATGGTGCCCCGCCCGACAAGAGCCGTGCGATTGAGCACATTCTGGTTTGGGCCACCGATTACAGCATGGACCAGTTTGCCTCCAAAGTTGTGGAGAAATGTTTGAAGATTGGTGGAACCGAGTTCCTTGATAGATACCTCACCAGAGTCTGCACTGGTCGTCCGGACCGTCCCCGCATGCCTCTGATTGATAGTACGTCAGTCCTTAGACAGCTCTTCATCTTCGATTTCTGTACTAATCAGTGGACCAGTTGCCGGAGATCAGTACGGAAACTACTTGATTCAATGGATCCTTCTCAACGCCGGGAACCAACACCGTGAGCTAGTTGCAGGTCATATTCGGTTGGTGTATCCACAACCCTTCATCTATTCATTTTCACTAACATAGGCGCATTAGCAAACACATGGTCTCCCTCCGAGGTTCCAAGTTTGGGTCGCGTGTGGCCATGCTTTGCTGCAACCCTAACCACGTTACTCGCCCCGGACCAGGCGCAGGTATTCAGATTAGCCGATTTAATTCTCCATCTGAAGACCGTGGCCCCAGCACTATGAATGGTGCCAGGTACAACCGCAGCTCTCAGTGGAGCAGCAACTACCCTCCATTCCGTTAAATCAGATTTCCATTTATTTGCTAATAGCATATTGCATGACACAACCTTCAGTGCTCGGCTATAGCGAATAACGAAAGTGATACTCATATCGGAGTCTAATTTACAGCTATCTCCCTCTTTCTAGGATTCTCGGGTGCGAGGATGTCGTGCTTGGTTCAAAGCCCTAACTCCTCGTATCTGCACGTTGGTTTGTTGAAGGTCCCTTGACAAACATCCGATCTGATTCCTCTTTTTCTTTTCTTTTTTATCCATCTCTGCTTTTCTTGCCTTCTCCAACTGCTTCTTCCCCTGTCCGGGTCTACCTTACTTCCTTATTTCATTCTCTTAAATTGTCATATTTGCTGTGAAGATGAACTTATCCAAATAGGCATGGGTAGCTACCTGGTGCTTTGGTTTACCTCAAGGGTTCAGTTTCCAACATGTTGTATTCGGCGGAATTACAGGATGTTATTTCTATCCGTTTCACAGACACGCTCTCTTATCGTCATGGAGCCTCTCTTTCCTTACCTTTTTTTCGCCATTTATCTTTTCTATTTCCGCTGGGAGCCTGCCCAAAAAACTTCCATGGGATTGCGGGTTTGTGGAGGTCAAGGAGTTATTTGGTCATTGATACGCTAAGTTTGTATTCGATACGTTCATGTATGATAGCCTTGAGAGCACCTAGTTGCGAAAATTCTAAAGGAAACGTTTTATTGTCATTGATATTAGAAATACTGAAACCGCCCTCTATACGTGTTGTAATTAAATAATAATCGTATATAAGATAGACCTTGATATCCGCTAAATCCTCAAAATGCGTTCGTCAGTTAGCAGTTGCTGTGTCCTTTAAACACCTGAGCTGTGGCTGAGAGGACAATCGTAACACTGCGAGTCGTGTATTTCTTCTCTCATAATAGTGACCCATCAGCAGCCGTATCCAGGACTATAGGATCTGTCTGGCCCAGTGGAAGGCCAAGCATCATCACCTTCCTTAAGGGCGTCATCACTCGATATCCCATCTTTATTATCATTCTCATCTTTCTTCCTCCCACCCACTTTCTGGTTACATTCTTGGTTTTGCTCTCCTTCATCCTTTTCCCACGGCTTTCGCCTCCGTTGAGCCGTACTAGCAGTCTCCTGGCCGGTCAAAACAGTATCGGGTATCTGCTGGATTCCCGGTATTGGCTGCCCTGTGGTTATAAGCTCCACAATCCGTGCAAACGATGACGGATATGCAGGTTGTCCCTCTTCCGACTTACTCTCCCCTGGTGCTGTAGATACAGGGACTGACTCCGACTGCGCTGCTTCATTACCATCGTTGTTATCTGACGTTGAAGAAATGGATATGTTTTCGTTTCGTGACTGTGGTTGACGCCAATGCTGATATGAAGTGTGATCAATTGGAGGCTGGATTGCATATTTTCTAGTGTAATTAATATATGTCAGTATAATCCATTATCTGCTCAGTTCTATGAGACGTACTTTGAAAAGTAGAAGCATTTCGCTTTCATAACAAGCTCGTCTGTCCTATTGACTTGTTCGTCTGTTGCGGGAGTTCCTGGCTGGCCAAGGATAACTGCTAAGCCATGCTTGAACTCCGGATCCTCGGTAAAAGAGTAAGAAGAGAGTCTTTGATATATGTCTGTAGAGTCTGACGTTGAGCTCGTTGGCGCTGGATCTGCAGATGCTATTGCGGGGGAAGCCATCGCAGAGTGCGTAAGCTTTATATACTGTGTAGGCTTGGTTATCAACTTATGCTTTTAAAAAGCTGGCTGATGCTGTGACGACCCTGCAAACAATATGTGTTTGCTCCTTCAAGGACTGAGGTAGATACTAACCGTTGAATCTAGTGAATTTAGTTATCGAATAGGAGATGAAAAGAAATGACGTATGAATATAGGGCCGAGGCACGGATAGCTGTATCATATATTACAGTAATATTACGTATATTTTACCGGGAGCGGATAATTTAGCGCCGTTATTAAGTTCCAATGGTCGAACCTTCTTTATTTGGGAACTAAGTACATCGCTGGGGGAAGTGGCAGGGATGGAAATTCAACGCTTATAGAAATAACCTTAAGCAATGGAAAGGGGAAACTAGAAGGATCATCGATGGTAGAGAACATGGCGGTCTTTAGCTGCAAGGTACCAGGTGTAGCGAGTCATGTACAAACTTATAAGGTACGGAGCATATAAGAGACACAGAGCTGAAGTTGACTCTGTGCAACAAAATCATGCAGCTGATATTCAAACCAATACTTGCTGAATTAGAAGTTGGTATTGATATGCCATTAGACAGGTGCAATAAGCCAACCGAGCCAAAAACGCCGATAACATTCCTTTTTGAGTGAGTTTGCTGTTGTAGAGCAAGATGCTTGTTTCGAAAATGATGGCAAGAGCAAAGTATAATACACAGGTAAATCAGGTCGTTGCATCGTTGATAGGAGTAAATATGGAAACCCACAAAAGGTCCGTTTAGCCGGTATCCATTGCGTCACCATTTTCGGCAAGTTGAGAGAGAGTGTGTCCGTTTGTATGAGGCTGGGGCTTTGTTGCTGGGTTAGAGCTAGAGTCTTCATCCAGGGGTTTGCCGCTTTGACAGCCGGGACAGTTATGTACAACTTCATGAGCAAAGACGTCGCAGTCAATGCAGAAGTGGTGATGGCAAACTGTACATTCATACCTGCTGCTGACGGACATGCCCTTGATGGACCTATCTCGCATGTCCCATTTATCTCGAGGAGGCACAGCAGGGAAAGGATTGCCACAAGCAAAGCAGCTGACACTTCTTGAGGCCCTTTTCCACGGAACCTCAACCCAATTTATCAATGGGAAAAGATGGTGGTATGATCGCGCCAAGTGGGTGGAGAGGATGAGTGTGAGGTTGCATGTTGGGCATTCGGCAGGTAAAGAACACACTTTACTGCCGCACCGCGAACACATATAGCCGCCTCTAACGGGTTTGGAGTGGCATGCACAGAGCGAAGGGAAGGGCTCTACAGTGCGTGAAGGGAAACCCATCATGAGCAAGGAGTTAGAGGAGTAGCGTTGCGAATACGTTACTGGTGGAGTGGTGACGTCTAGCAGGAGGTCCCATAGATGTTTCTCATCTATAGCCACGCCGTAACTGGAGTCATTGCCATCGTTTGTTTTGGCACATATTTCACGGCATATGGCTACGTCGGCGGCTAGACCAATTATGCCTACCCGTACCTTGTCTGCCACCAAAGAAGTGATCGTTTGGTGAATATCACCCGGATCCGATGAGAGGAGGGCCCCAAGAATAATAATAACTTCCCTGGTGCCGTGGGATGGGGTGTGGCTTGTTTGAATGTTAGCTTTCGTATGTTATCAATGGTTTAAAAAAATTCTAGCACGCACTATAGAGATCCTCTGGCCATCTCGAGAGCATTTTGCAAACTTGGTAGGCCCTTTGGGTCTTCTGCCCGCAAGGCGTGGAGAGCCAACATATGTTCGGTTGGGTTACCGCTCATTTCGCTGATCTGCACGGCTATACCATCCTTCATGCCCATGATGCCCAGCTGCGAAATGGGATTCTGCTCGAAGAACTCTTGCACGAACTTTTGCGCGTATCTGAGAGTGAGAAGGTATCTGGTCGGACGCAGGTCCTTCTCCGCCATGGCAAAGGAGAGGTCGAGGACGAGTATCATATGCCGTATGATACCTCGCTGTAGCGGTGTAGTATCCCTGAGCAACCTGCAAATTATCAACATCTTGTCTTCTTTCGTCTAAGCCGCCGATGCTTCCCCGGCGTAGAGAAGGAAAAAAACACACCTCTTCCTCTTGTCGGCTTCGAGAAGACCGTCGACAGTGGCAGTGATGGTCCCATCCGCACCCTCTACCAGTGTCTCCCACGTCCTTGCTACTTCCCACTCCGCACCTCCATGCTGCTTCCTTTTCTTCTTCTTTCTGCTCTTGCCGCCTCGGTCTCGATCCTTCCGTCGACTGCTGGCCGTTCGAGAGTCGACGATGTCATCTTCGTCTTCGTCTTCCTCCTCGAGGTTCTCGTCCAGGTCGTCGACCGACGCTGCGTCGCTGTACTCTTCATCCGAGCGTGCCATCTGAGAAGCCTCTCTTGGGAATGACTGTTTCGAGACGCTCCCGCGCTAGAGAGCAAGTCTTCTCGCGTGAAGTCGATCTCCTTCTGGCGCCTTGGCTGCAGCAAGTCGCGGTTGCAGGGATAGGCGAAATTATTATTATTATTATTATTATTTTTTTTTTTTTTATCCTGAACTTCGTATCTTCACTTTTGAGAACGGCGGAGCTTAAAGACTTTTTCTTCTATAACCACCCAGTCGCTCTTTTTCTTCTCCCTCTCTTTTTTTCTTATTCTTGTCTTAACTATATCAATTGTTAGCATATAACTATATAATTACAGGGAATAGATACACATAGCCAACGGCCAACGGGCCAAGATAGCCGACGAGCTAGCTAGCTTACCGAAGCTTGTCCTCCAAACTCCGCTGCAGGCCTATAACTACTTATATCCCATCTGCTGTCTGGCTGTCTGGCTGCCTGTCGGTTTGTTATAGGTCGCGTGCCCGGTGGTGATGGTGATGGTGGTCGCGCTGGCGCTGCGCTGTGGTGGGCGCGCGGGAAGAAGCGTCGCTGCGGCTAAACATGGAGTGCGACGTCATGCCGCCCGCCCTGCGAGTTACTTCTCTTCCGCCGCGCTGCCCCTCGCTTCTGCCTCTTCCCTGTCCCCGCGGCCCCTCTTGACCTCGTCTCCGTCTTCTTCGTCTTCTTCCTTTTCTTCGTCTTTTTCAACTTCTTCCCCTTCTTCGCCTGCTCGTTCCCTAGCATCGATATCCACTGTCAGGCCGGCTGCTGCTCGTAAGTCTGCCGGGTTAGCTATTCCACTCCAGAAAAGATTCTGCTCTGCTGAATTCCGCACGATGAACCCGAGCGACAGGGAGACGCTGCCAGACGTGTGAGTTGGACGAACCTCATTAAGCCAGAGGATAGAGAAAGCGGAGCGTTGCTGATACAGATACAGGGCTAAGCCATCTCACTACCATGTCTCGCTGTACGATCTCACCATCGGCGGCAACTGGGGATACAAGGGAACTGTCAAGATAGACACCACGATCACACGCCCTACCAAGGAGATTGTTGTCAATGTCAAGGCAATTGACGTCCAGTTGGCTGAGATCTCTGCCAAAGATGGTATATCTCCTTAGATCCGCGTGTCATTGGGTGTGTTATGACATTGTGTGCTGACTGCCGCATAGGAAGTGCTGCCAGCAAGGCCATTGAGATCTCATATGACCGCAAGTCTGAGCGTGCCATCTTTAAATTTGACAGCGAGTTACAGCCGGCAGATATGCTGCTGACCATCTCCTTCACCGGAACTATAAACAACTACATGGCTGGTTTCTGCCGTGCTGGATACCAGTCGGCAGCTACTCCAGGACCTGCCACGCCCAAGGTTGGAGAGCAGCACTACATGCTTAGCACCCAATTCGAATCCTGTGATGCTAGACAAGCATTCCCTTGCTTCGATGAGCCTAACCTGAAGGCCACTTTTGATTTTGAGATCGAAATTTCTAAGGGCTTGACGGCTCTCAGCAACATGCCTGTTAAGAGCAAGCGTGAGGGTAGCAAGCCCGACCTTGAGTTTGTCTCTTTTGAGCGGACTCCCATTATGAGCACCTATGTAAGTACTTACGTATTTTCGTGAAAACGGGGTAGTTTGCTAAATGACGTTGTGTTATAGCTCCTTGCCTGGGCTGTAGGTGACTTCGAGTACGTCGAGACAATGACTAAGCGCAAGTACAACGGCATCAGTATCCCAGTCCGTGTTTATACCACCAGAGGCCTCAAGGAGCAGGCTCAGTTTGCACTGGAGTGTGCTTCCCAGACCTTGGACTACTTCTCCGACGTCTTTGAGATCGACTACCCTCTTCCCAAGTCTGACTTGCTGGCCGTCCATGAATTTGTAAGTGCAGCCCTTCATTTATACATTATTACGGGTGGTAAACTGACTCAGTGACTAGGCAATGGGTGCCATGGAGAACTGGGGTCTTGTTACCTATCGAACCACTGCCGTCCTTTTCGAGGAAGGAAAGTCTGATGAGAAGTACAGAAACCGTGTTGCCTACGTTGTTGCCCACGGTATGTTTTTTTTTTTTTTTTTTCCCTGGTTCCCCATACCCCCATATCCACATCTTACTAATCAAAGCATAGAATTGGCTCATCAATGGTTCGGTAACCTCGTTACCATGGACTGGTGGAACGAGCTCTGGCTTAACGAAGGTTTCGCTACCTGGGTTGGGTGGCTCGCCGTAGATCACTTCCACCCAGGTGAGTTTTTACCCCAAGTACTCCTAGGGAATATAACCAAAGCTGACAGTCATTAGAATGGAATGTCTGGTCGCAGTTTGTCGTACGTCGCCGTAAAGGTACCTTGAATTTTGATAACTCCCATATTAACGGTTTTATAGACTGAGAGTGTTCAACAAGCCATGAAACTCGACTCCCTCCGCGCATCCCATGCCATCGAAGTTCCGGTACGAAACGCCCTCGAAGTTGATCAGATCTTCGACCACATCAGTTACTTGAAGGGAAGCTCAGTCATTCGAATGTTGAGCAGCCATCTTGGCCAGGAGGTCTTCCTCAAGGGTGTTGCCAAGTACCTCAAGGCCCATAAATATGGTAACAAACCTCGGGTCTCGCCATTACTGGAATATTGAATGCTGACTGTCTTTCAAGGCAATGCTACCACCAACGACCTCTGGTCTGCTCTTAGCGAAGTGTCTGGAAAGGATGTGACTTCTTTCATGGTTCGTCCCGTACTGCCGCGCTTATTACAACAACACATACTAAGATCTATTAGGACCCATGGATCCGCAAGATCGGTTTCCCAGTTGTCAATGTCACCGAACAAACCAACCACATCAATGTTGACCAACGACGATTCCTTGCATCTGGCGATGTCAAGCCAGAGGAGGATGAAACCATGTGGTGGATCCCACTCGGCATCAAATCTGGCCCCAAGGCAGAGAATGCCAACGTCCGCAATTTGACCAAGAAGTCAGACTCGGTTGCTGATATCAATTGTAGCGAGTTCTACAAGGTCAACAAGGACCAGTGCGGCTTCTATCACACTAACTATCCACAAGACCGACTCGTCAAATTCGGTGACAGCAGGAACCTCCTCAGCTCTGAGGATAGAATTGGTTTGATTGGTGATGCTGCCTCTTTGGCCGTTTCTGGCGAGGGAAGCACCGTCTCCTTGCTCGCTCTTGTCGAGAAGTTCCAGGATGAGGCTGACTGCCTGTATGATAAACTCCTTTGCCTTAGTGAACGACCTTACTAACTTCTTCTAGTGTCTGGGCTCAAATTATGACCTCACTTGGCAACTTGAGATCTATCTTTGGAACCCACGAGGCTATCTCTAAGGGCTTGAAGGCTTATACCTGCAAACTCGTCACCCCTGCTGCCGAAAAGATCGGCTGGGAATTTAAGGACTGTGACGACTTCTTGACCAAGCAGCTCCGACAGATCCTCATTACTGCTGCTGGGCGTTCCGGCCACGAAGGGTAAGCCGCCATTCGCACCCATCTAAGCCACAAACTGTTATTCTAACTTGTATAATACAGCACCGTTGCCGAAGCCAAGCGTCGTTTCAAGGCCTGGGCCGATGGTGATAAGTCTGCCATTCACACCAACCTCCGATCTGCTGTCTTCTCCATCAACATGGGAGAAGGTGGTCGCCCTGAGTATGATCTGCTGGTCAAGGAGTACGAGACCAACACCACCATCGATGGAAAGGAGATTTGTCTTGGTGCTCTCTCCCGTGCCACTGACCCTGAGCTCATCAAGGAATTCCTGGAGTTCCTCTTCTCGCCCAAGGTCTCTGGACAGGACGTCCACACCGGTGGGTCAGGCTTGGCCGCTAATCCCAAGGGCCGCTACCTCATGTGGGACTTTATTAAAGCCAACTGGAACCGTATTGAGGAAAAGTTGGGTGCCAATAAGGTCTTGCTTCAACGCTTCCTGCGTCTCAGCTTGATCAAGTACGCCGATAAAGAAGTTGAAAAGGACATCACCAAGTTCTTCTCCGACAAGGACCAGGAAGGCTACGACCGTGCACTTGTCATCGCCGCGGACACCATCAAGTCCAACGCCAGCTACCGTGAGAGAGAGGAGAAGGCTATCCTTGAGTGGCTCATCCAGCGTGGCTACGTATAAACAGCCGTCACATCACATGGTCTGGCCGGCTCTGTAAATACGCACAACCGCCGATGGCATTTCCTTCGTTTTCCTTCGTGCCACCCGGCTGGCACTGAGCACATGAGCAGCTCCAAAAACCCAAATCTCTATGTATCTTAACGTCATAATATACATGTAATGTGTATCTACAGTTGGCTTATGCTGTCAAGTGTTGATGTAGCCTCAAGAGTAGTACCGCTGTGTACCTGAGGGCGTAAATTTGTATGTGAAGATACTTCTAGGCACATCCGCCATAGTCTTCCCAAAACAGCCTAGCGCCGTCATGGATCGCAGCGTATCACGTTGTTTCAACCTTCACCTCGCTCTCTTCTTCTTTCCGCCTCTCAAGCCAGCAAAGCAGAGCAAAGCAAGCAACGGCAGCATCATCGACCAGCAGCAAACTCGCATCTCCAGCACTCTGCTTGACTACCGCATCTCCAGCCCGCCAGCCTGATACCGCGCCCGTCTCGACCTCGACACGCTCCAGACGACCAACAGCCAGCTATCTGACGTCGCCTTTTGCCTCTTTCCCCCCTCTCTCTATCTCATCACCACCCTGTCGCCTTCATAATGACTCCTGAGTAGTAAGTGCCATTATTTCGACCAACAACTCCCTGTCTTCCCGCGGAACCCTGGGCTATGCCCTATCCGATGGAAATATAGCTGAACTAACCGCTGGATGACCATTATAGAGCTCCCTCCCACGGCTGACGACGCCCATTTCTCCCTTTGCAAAATACAATAAGACAAAACACATAAATACCCGCTTGAAGATTGCAGTCGCCACCGTACATATATACAGTTGATTTTTATACTGATTTGCCTGATCGCGGTTAGATACGATTACTTGTTCAAACTCCTCCTCATCGGTGACTCCGGTGTCGGAAAGTCTTGTTTGCTTCTCAGATTTGCAGATGATACTTATACGGAAAGCTACATTTCTACTATCGGTGTTGACTTCGTATGTGGGAACTTGACCTGATAGCGGAATAGATGAGTATTCTAACGAAGAATAGAAAATCCGAACAATCGAACTTGATGGAAAGACCGTCAAACTCCAGATCGTACGTTGCCTGTTGACTGCTGACTGCTGCCTTTCACCGACTAATCCCACTCGTATTTTGTCACTAACTTTCTATTGCTTTACAGTGGGATACAGCTGGCCAAGAACGATTCCGAACCATCACATCCTCCTACTACCGAGGCGCTCATGGAATCTGCGTGGTTTACGACGTGACGGATATGGACTCTTTCAATAACGTCAAACAGTGGCTGCAAGAAATTGACCGTTACGCCACACAGGGTGTCAACAAGCTGCTTGTAGGTAACAAGAGCGATATGGAAGACAAGAAGGTCGTTGAATACACTGTTGCAAAGGTTCGTATTACCATCCCCCCCGCCGTATCTACGAACCGTTAAGTCCTCTGCTAATGCATTCCAACTACAGGAATTCGCTGATAGTCTCGGCATTCCATTTTTGGAAACTTCTGCTAAGAATGCCTCGAACGTCGAGCAAGCCTTCTTGACCATGGCCAGACAGATCAAGGAACGAATGGGCACCGCAACCGTCAACAACAAGCCTACTGTCCAGGTTGGCCAGGGTCAAGGTGTCCAGTCGAATTCCGGCAGCTCATGCTGCTAAATTACCTTCCATTTTTTACTCCTTACACCTCGACCGGTGCCGTGGTTATGCTATGCCTTGCTTCCCTTCCCACGCTACAATCTGTCCTAATGTTTCTCCTTTGGCGTGAAATTTGGCATCATGATAGCAGTGTTTCAACCGGAATTGGGTGGGGTGGGGTTTAATTTAATGTCGTTCTAAATGGGTTGTTTACACTTGGTTTTCATTTCCTTATTCTTCTATCTCTTCCTTTTTTTTTCTTATCTTTGTCTCTTTGTCCCCTTCATTTCTGCAATCCAGCCCGGATCTGTCTTACATACATAACCTATCCAGCTACATTCCTACCTTTCTACCTACCGATGTGCCACCATGCGTACCATACCATGACGAAGTTGATTCCTCATCCCCCCCCCCCCTCCCCCATAGCACCAGCCCCTTTCCCGAACCCGCCCCGCGCCACGGCTCATTGACCACCACGGGAATGCCAGGCACCTACCCGTCTTATGACAAAAAAAGAAACCTAATGCTGTGTCCCCCGTACTTCTGGCTTTGTGTGTGTGTATGTGTGTGTTTATTTCGTTATCCCCGTCTCCTTTCTTTATTTTAAAGTTCTCCGTCTCCTGCTTGCTTCAAATATCTAACCAGGCCCTACCACCTCAGCTGATTTGGAATGAAGCATCCTTCTCATTATTTCTTTTCCTCCCCTTTACTCCGTATATGTTCCATTCTCTTCCCTTCTCTTACCTACATATATTCTGTACTCCGTAAACGTCCAGGCTATCTTTAGAACTATGTTTTCATTAGTTTTCTGCGCTCCCCCCTTTCCCTCTTGCATATCTTCTCGTAGTGCGGCCAACTGGACAGAGTGACTGGTAGATGAAGAACTGTTTCTTTGTCCACCTGTATCTTCCTCCTTCGATCGTCTATCTTCCGATCGTCTATCTTTCCCCCTTTTATTTGGGCGTCAATCGGTGCTTAGTAATTACCCGAAGCCGGAATGGTCACGTGTCGATATTTCTCCGTGCCGAAGCTGCCTCGAACCTACCAATCAGCACTCCGTAAGGTCCTGCTATTTATTCGCAACTTCAACTTCACGACAACGAATGCTGGGAGGAGGTGGTGATGATATACAGTTAGGACTTAGTGATGGAAGCACTTGATATATCCCGCAGGGGAACACTATATAAATCTTTCTGGGTATGGGCCTTTCTCAGGACGGCACCTCGAGGAACTGATCATATTTTAATTGGAAGAAACTTAAGAATAGAAGGAAAAAGCAGAGGGCGCGTGTGAGCAGCCGGGCTAGAACTCCGGCTTGAAGGTTTCAACCTGTTGTTCCTGCTTGGTCCACAGTGAGGATGGTCCTCAGTCTAAGTGCTGATGAACTAGTCCGCCAGCACCCCGATATCCGCAGAGGTTATCTTTATCTCTTCTCAGACCGAAAAAGCAATACTGGCATCGCTAGTCAGGAATTTGGCCGTAATTTCGACCGTTCGGCACCTCTGCTCACTCCGAAACAGATAGCAAAGGACTCCTGAGTCCAAGCCCTCGCTCTGAAGCCCTGATCCTTCCCATAGGCGGAGGCGATGATCTCCAGATGTACCGATACGTCTAACTAGCGAGCGTTTGGGCCTCGTACCAATGCTTTCTCCGTTTTCTTTTTTAGGGGCTTTGAGCGTTCGCACGGCGCCATGGCGGCAAAAGATATCGAGGACAACCCGAGTTGACAGGACAAGTACGGAGTACGAGCAGCTTCCAGTATTCCTTCGGGGGTTGGCTTGGAACGAACATCAACTGGCCTGTCAAGTCATCTTAGCCTCGTTTCTGATGTTCCCAATCTCATCATCCAAGAGATGAACACGAGCGATTGACACGCTTCTCCTTCCAAGAATTGATGTCTTTGGCGAGCTGAACTCCTCCACTCTTCGACAGATCTTCTCGAAGATTGGGGAGAGAAATTATGTCACGCCGTATATATATATGTGCCCCGGCATATATGCATGGATAAGACCTCCTGGCATCCAGGGCTTGGGAAACGCGGCAGGCACGAGATATTAGAGATCGATTCGATACTCTCTGCTGCAGAGTTCGGACTGGGATCTACCTTTAAAATATGCAAAGTCCAGGATAGTGTAACGCCAAGTGTGTACAGGTCAACACTTTGGCTTACCATAGCATGTCCATAACCCAACGCCACAGCGTCTCTCCTCAGCCCGCCCCAATATAAGTCCCATGTTCCCTCTCAGTTTCAAAGCTTCGGTCTAAAACGCGGCTCCAGTTCAAGACGGGGACGGCCGGGCGGAGCATAAGCATGCATAGTTGGCAGCCACGGCCATCTTAACTGGCCCGAAGGTGTGGCAAGTCAAGGAACTCCCAAGAGCGGGAGATGCTCGCATCCAATAGCGGTCAGCTATCACAAAATGAAGGCGTTCGCAAGCTTCCATGATTTCAACCTTATACATCCATGTCAAGCTATGCATGGTGGTGATGGTGTTGTCGATTTCAACTTGCTTTTCGTGTGTCATGGGAAGGCGTTCCTTTGACATATGTGACTACCAAGCTGCCGACCTCGCCGAGAGAAAAGGCTAGAAGCATTTTACGCCATGAGAGTCGTTTGCCCTGGAACGGTTAACTGTTGCCAGACCGTTTTATCATTGAAACGAGCACTACCCATACCCTCCTGTGTTCACTAATTTCACCTCATCCAATTCCTCCTTTGGCTACGACTGATGGGACCCTAACAAGCCTCTCGAATCGAGATCCACTGGGTGAGGTTTCCGAATAAACCGGCCGGATAGTCCCGACAGCTAAACAAGGAGATTCGTCGAGGAGCATGGATTCAAATTGGGATATCGGCCAAGGGTCATCCAGTGATGATAAAGGACCTATGGTCCTCGGTGCCGCATGGCTTTCCTTCGTTATAGCGACGTTGGTGGTTGCAGTGCGGGTTTGGTTGCGCACTTGCCTTACAAAACTTTTCGGATGGGACGATGCCTTTATGTTCCCGGCACTGGTACGATTCTGTCTTTTTTATTGATATTAACTCGAAGCAGGGTCTAACTCATTACTGCCAGATTTTCGGATGCGCACATTCAGCTCTCGTCAACGCCTCTGTTGATAACGGACTGGGCACTCACCAGGCTGACCTCACGAAAAGCCAAGTTATACAACTAACCAAATATTTCTGGCTTTCAGGGCCTATGCATGATTTGGCCGTGAACTGGGGAAAGGTGTCTGCTGCGTTGTTGCTCTTGCGTGTCGTGGACAAAGCAAAAAGTCACGCCCTTTACTTCTACCTCGGGATAACTTTCCTCACGCTTGTCAACACCACGGACGTATTCATTATATTAGGCCAGTGCAGGCCTACAGAAGCAGCATGGAATCCACTCATTCGAGGTAAATGCTGGGAAAAGAGCATTGTGAAGACCTCAGCCTACTTTCAAAGCGGTTAGATGGACCTTCTCCTTCCGAAGCTAGGCTTTATGCTAACTACATATCCGTTTGTAGCATGTTGTTGTTTATCTGATCTTATCCTGTCAGGATATCCTGTAATTGTGATATCCAAACTCCGAATGCCTCTTCGCACTAAAATCACACTTTCGTTAATCCTTTCGCTGAGTTTAATGTATGTGCCTTGCACCTTTTCCCCGTTGAAATCGTCCTATTGAAGGTTCTAACTTTTTTAAAATCTACAAAGTGCCTTTGTTGCACCTGTTATGAAGGCTTATTATATCTACCGCATTGGTAGTGACTCAGACTATTCCTGGAAGATGGCCGACCTGGCTATGTGGGGATCCTTAAAGCACTATCTGGTCATAGTCACGGCCTCGATACCCGCCCTCGGACCTCTAGGCAAACACCTCACACGCATAGCATCCTCAAAAGGGTTCGGATGGTTCTCATACGGAGAAAAATCTCGCTCATCTTCATATGCAACGAAGACAAAATCGCTAACGACAGTCACCGTCAGCTCTGGTCCCAGCAAGAAATTTTTTAGTGAGGATTACAGCGTATCGACTATGACTGGCGATGATAGCTACCCGATGTCCAAATACAGCAACGCATCCAAACATAGCGCCGGCCGCAAAAAACACAAGCATAAGCGAAAACAACAAAGTGAAGTAGCGAGCAGTCAGGAGGCCATCGTCCAGCCCCCTGAGCAGAACACGGATGAGATCACGAAAGTGACAGAAGTCTGTATACAGACGGAGTCAAAGGAAAACATTGCAGAGTACTGGGAACAGAGGATCAAGCCTTGGGAGGCTAGGTCCCCTGTTTAATGATCTTTTCTTTCTTTTACGGTGGCAGTTTATTTATTCTTCAGGCACTTAGTTACGGGGCATTGGGAGGTTCACAAATGATTGTCATCGCCGGCGTCTGGCTAGTGCTGGCGTTTTTTATTCAATTCAGCTCATAGCGAAACATCTATGTATTTATTTGTCTCCATATTCATTTTAATGTATTAACAGGAACTCCGTGATTCATGGAGCGAAGAAAACTGATGGTGTCCATATTGGGAAAGAGCCGAGGCAAATCGACCGCGGCTAAACGTCATATGATGAACACCCAGAGATTCTTCGTCTCAGGGATGAGAAAAATCACAAGGAGACGCAGAACACAGCACGATCGGTTCTCTGCCGGCTTACGACCGCCCTTTGGCACTTACGATCTTCTGGTTATATAACTGCGTCTTCCTTTTCGCTCGTTTCCCGTTTTCTCCGCCGTTTTCGCTGTTGGTCGGTTGCTTTTTCTTTTGCGCTCAACTACTACCCTTCCTGCCCAGCATCTGTCTTAATCAATTAAACGGTATACCATATATTCTATATATAAGATGTCTCAGTCTCAAGCAGCTGCTACTTCTGTAACTCAGAAATCCAAGCCTGCGCCTACCATTGCTGCGCAACAGGGGGACAATATTGCGCATGCTTTGGCTGGCGCTGGTGGTGGAATCCTGTCCATGATCTTGACGTGCGATTCCCCTAATTCTCCTCTCCTCTCATTAACCCATCATTACTAGATGAATACGCTAACTAAAGCCTTTTATGGTCATAGATATCCGCTGATCACACTCTCTACCCGTGCGCAAGTCGAATCGAAGCGTGCTGATTCTTCGACGATCGAGGCCATCCGCCATATCATCAAGCGAGAAGGTATCAGGGGACTTTACTCTGGCCTAGAGTCCGCCGTCTTCGGCATCAGCGTTACCAACTTCGTCTACTACTATTGGTACGAATGGACTCGCGCTGCATTCGAGAAAGCCGCTGCAAGAGCCGGCAGGGCTTCGAAGAAGCTTACAACTGCGGAATCGATGATTGCTGGCGCACTGGCTGGTAGCGCTACGGTGATGATTACCAACCCTATTTGGGTAGTAAATACTCGTATGACGGCTCAGCGATCATCCACCGAAGGCGGTGACAAGAAGGCGAAAACGACTATTGAGACGCTGAAGGACCTCTTGCGTCAGGAGGGCCCGGCGGCGCTCTTCGCTGGAGTTCTGCCGGCTCTTATCTTGGTCATCAACCCTATTCTGCAGTATACTTTCTTCGAGCAGCTGAAGAACATTGTTGAGCGGCGAAGAAAGATGACTGCCACAGATGCTTTCTATCTGGGCGCCCTCGGAAAGCTCCTAGCTACTTCCATCACCTACCCATACATCACCGTCAAGAGCCGGATGCATGTTGCCAACAAGGAGGGACCAAAGGAGAGTTTGAACGACAAGTTCAAGAAAATCATCAAGGAGGAAGGATGGGCTGGTCTGTATAAAGGTACGTTCCAAATTCTATATCCTGATCCGACGCAAACGGGCAGTTAACCCTATGATTGTTTATAGGAATTGGACCGAAGGTCAGTCAGAGTGTTCTCACTGCTGCCTTCCTGTTTGCCTTTAAGGACGTCCTCTATGACAGCATGGTTGCTCTCCGCCGACGAACTATCCGGAAGTAAACGACCCCTGAGAAGGGGTAGGAGGCATTTTTGCGTAGTTTCTTAATAAGCTCCGTAAGAGAGGAGCCGGAGCGTCCAGGGGCGAGACGTGGTCCCATTGTACAAATACACAAATCCTTCTATAATATAGCTAGACGAAATATTCAACACCAGCACCCTTTCCCCTTTCTTGGTCGTCTTCCTTGTACGTTGACGCGATAGAAACTGCTACAATTACAAGGGGATCTCCTATATAACTGTAAACCCCGTACTGCCAAAGTTAAAGCCGGACCTGTGGCTCAATGGTAGAGTATCTGAGTCCGGATCAGGAGGCTGCAGGTTCGAGTCCTGCCAGGTTCGATTTTTTCTTTTCTTTCTTTCTTTTTTTTTTTTTCCATCACCTGTTTTCATTTGCATATTTTTTTTTTCTCCCACGGTGGTATGATATCTGTCAATTATTTCCCTCCTCTTTACTTGTCTATACGTATTTTCTATTTTTCTATGGTGTTACCCCCCGGTACTCAAATAAACCGGCAAGTGACTTGGGTATTATTACGTAATAAGTAGTTGGATGATTGAAAATCGCGACTCAATTTCTTTGCACCAACGCGACTCCACACGACACAACAGTCAATAGTGATATTCACTACTCTTGAGCCGTTGGCAGAAGTCATATCTCTATATAGCGGAATTTTCCGTCTCGATGTATAGGGTCCAATTACTTGGTTTTTGAGGCACATACATAGCCTACTACTACTCTCCAGGCATCTTCAACTAGGGAAGCTTGCCGTATTGGCTGGGGATAGTATATCTGGTTGCTTGGTATCCTTCTTTCATCTGAGCTCGGAAAACTCCATTTATCAATCAAAGATCATCATCCCCTTATTTACTTGCTACTACATCTATGCAAGAATTCTGATGTGAAGACTCAGACGTAACGAAACTAGTATATGTATGTACACATGCATATATATACGTATATGGGTGGTAAAGTACCTTGATTTTTGTATTGGGACTTGTTAGCGCTTAGTGACTGACTAAAACTAGTGGTTTGAGAAGAGAAGCGCATCCTGTATAGCTTGGCATATGGAGCTTGGTAATACATCACTACCTCGGAGAAGTAAACGGATTTCCCAGGTGCTAGGCACCGATTCCGATGATGACGAAAATGATGTTGACCCCGAGCGGGAATTACGGCGGTTGCTTGGACAATTTCTATCCCGAGAGCATCCATCTTCAACTCCAAGAGAGCCAAATTCATTAAAGAGAAAGGCTGAATGCCTAACTGATAGGCAGAACTTTCCTTTTGAAGTGGTTAATTCGGCTCCATCGACATCTGCAGACAATTTTAAGAATATTCCCAGCAAAAGGTCCCCTGAAAGAAGTAGTGCGCCTATCAAGGGGACTCTCTTAGATGAGAATGATAACGTGGAAAATGAGCCTCCCGGCATAATCGAGAACGATGTCTCAGCAAATTACAACCATAATCGGTCAGGAGAAGCCATTAATGCTGACGAAGTGTTCTACGCAACTTCAGATGGCCCTAGTAAAATGCGGGCTTTGTTGCCCGAAGCAACGCAGGAAGATAACAACATCTTAGATCCGGAAACTTCCAATGTTGATTCCTCCCACTCTCTCTGTTCACATCACACTTCATGGACGCTTGCTTCATCCGTTTCTCTTCGCTCTCGTTCATCAGAATCGCCTGGTAACGCCCAAATTTATCCTATTATTCCTATTACACGGCCACGAGGAAGGCCACCAGGTTCACCAAACATGTCGAGAAGGAATAACAATTCAACCCCACAGCGGCGGTCCCGGCGTGAAAGACAACAGCCAACCAATTACTATGCGTTACCCCCCGGCTTTGTCGAAATCGAAGATGGCTATGAACCGGCGGCCCCTGAAGAACCTGTTAACCTCCAATACTCGCCACAGGTCCCAAGTTTGGCTAGGAAACGAATTGACATTATACCTCCTCGATGTTTATATCGATCGAGACAACTATGTATCTTGCGAGAATTAATTTCTCCTCTGTGCCTCAACGAAGAGGATCCGCCGGTTCAACTCCCATATATCTTAGCGGATCAAAGGATCAACCGCTCAAGGCTACTTCCGCCAGACAATCAATACCGTAGCTTCATTTACCATGTAGACTTCTCTACAAGCGAGATGAAAACAATCTATACCCTTCTTTGTGGGCATCCGATACCAGAGGACGAGACTCCTATTCAGGATCATCTCTTTCGTGCAGTTCAATTTCTTGATATTGAACTGATTACCAAAAAAATTCGAAGGTTAAAACATTTGCTTACCCTTCTACCCCCTAGTTTTGACCCAGCTTATCTATTCCTATCCCACGCGAGGATTCCCAAGGAGTATCAAAAAATACTCGAGCAAATTGAGAAAATATTTAGAGATACTCATCAGTCAGAAGGGTGTAAAAATTTAGTTGCCAAAATTGATCGTGCTAATATCAATTCTCTTCTTCAAGAATGTGATGTTGTCAAGGGATTGCAGCTCAGGAAAGCCAACTCTATTATGCGGTTCCTTTCCGATGCACTATCAAAGTCTCTCCCCAATGTGCCCTCAAGTCTTGTCGTATACTCTTCTCCGGTCTCACCAGAAACACCTTTAGCCAGCTCAGATGATAAGTTTCCATCGGCGCTGATGCGATCCCGGCAACTGGGTCTCACAAACCATCGGGGACGGAACCCAGTCAACGCCAGCCTACGAACCCTGCAGTCTAGGAGATGGGAATTATGGAAAACTTGGAAAGGCGCCTCACACGACGTTTTGGTGTTGTCATGGTCCCTAGATGGGACACAATTTATTGCGGGTACCAGTACGCATTGCGAGGAGAACAACATGCAGTATAACCGCAATAACAACCTGCTGTTGGGAAATTTAGTTATGGATTCTATAAGAGAGCTGCCTGACCATAGAATACCCCGTCGTTTCATCTCCGGTGGAGAATTTACCAACCAAGCCACGTACAACAACCTTGACCCGGATCTTTACATGACAGTCAGTGCAGTGCAGTGGTCTGAAAAATACTTATATACGGCGAGCTACGATAAAACTGTAAGGGTTTGGGACACACAACCGGAGGTGGGTTGCATCCAGCAACTATTTCACCCTGAGAAGCTTGACGTTATGGCTGTTTCGGATTGCCAGTACCGCCTTGTAGGTACTGGTTGTCAAGACACAACTCCAGTCCGGATCTGGTCTCCAATGTCAAACGGCACACATACTTGTGTTGAATTAGAAAAATATCAAGGATATGTGCCGTCTTCGTTAGCATGGGGCACAAATTCTTCTTGCAGTGGGTTTTTAGCTGCAGGCATGTCGCGAAAGCTCATTCGCTTAAACTTAGCCGCCTCGAAGTATGGATCAATTGTCCTTTGGCAGGTTGAAGCGCCCGACGTCCGTAAGTTTGCAGAGTGGGAAATGTCACTCCATATCTCGGACATCAAATGGCACCGGAATCAACCACTATTCATTGCAGGGTGTTCGACACCCCAGCAACTTGCTACTTCGAAATTGACCAATGTGCGGTCAACAGTTTATCTCTATGATCCGTTGAGGACACGGTACGAAGTTAGCTCCTTCCAGTGCCCGGCCTTGGACATTAATGAAATTACTTTCTGTCCGAGCAACGATAACTATGTCACGGCCAGTTGTACAGATAATCTGACTTACGTTTATGACCGCCGTAACCCATCTAGCGTGCTCCATAAGCTTGGGCATGGGAAGCCCATTCACCAGTTGAATACATCTGTTACACAAGAAGAGGATGATACCGGCGTTTGTTTGGCAACGTGGAGTGGTTCTACGTTCTTTACAGGAGGTTCGGATGGAGTTGTTAAAACATGGGATATAAGACGGTCCGCAGACGATCTAATTTTCGAGGATATTGCCACTTTCAATCATGGGGTTATGTCCGGGGCTTTGTCTCCAGATCAAACCAACTTACTAATTGGTGATAGTGGTGGATCTGTCCATATCCTCTCAACAGCGCCTTTTAGCCGGGAGAACGGTTTAGATCTAGCCTACCATGCCGCTGAAGTGAATAACCAAACCAATAACGACTGCGAAGAATCTGTGGCCGGTATCTTGGAGTCGAAGAAACTGGTGGCCTCTGGGAAGCTCACTCGTCATCCCATCTTTGGGTTTGGTAAAGGCCCTCTATATGAAGGGCCTTACGCCACCTGGGCTCGGCCACCAGGGACGTCTCCTAATGAGATACCGTACACCCCATTGGAACCAGCCATTCAAGCCGAGCAATTAGATGGCCCACCAATCTCCCAAAGGCAGCTTCTGGATCAAGATGGTCAACATCGTGTTCATCGGCATATCTCACTAGCTCTAGCTCGAAATCGGCAAAGCAGCCCAGCTAGATCTCCTCGCAAGTCCCAGCGTCTGAACGAGCGGATCGAGCCATCGACTTCTCAGATCCCTCAGATTGCTCCAAGAGAAACAATCGAGATCAGCAGTGAGGATAGCGACGTTGTTTCCAGACCAAAGCGCCGTAGGTATCCATTACGATCTCCCCGCAAAACCAAGAAGCAATCTTTGCGGCTGGGAAAGCCTACATGCATTGACTTAACTGGTGACACATCGGAGGATGAGCTTCCACGCTCATCTTCCATCTCTTCATACGCCACTTGTGTTTCTAGACGGAAACCATACAAAGTGGAAGCGGATCTCCTAGAGGAGGATAATTGGTGCCCTACGAGTGAAGATGTTACAGGTCTTGGGTTGTAGAAATAGAGCAGTTTAATTAGAGTAATGAAAATACGTCTTTTACCTTCCTGTGCATTTTTGGCTTTTGTTTGCAGGATTCAATGCCGCACTTGTCTAATGGTATCCGGGTTGTATTATCTAGCAATGTTACCAATATTCTAATATCAGTTTCTTCTCTTTCTGTAGCATCGTCCCGCTGCAGGGATGCCGTCCATGGGGTATGAACCTAAGTTACCAAACAGGGGACTATGTGTCTATATAGAAGCAGCACAGCTTATCATCTTATACGTGACGCGTGGTGGTGTTATTAGGAGCTAGAAAGTTCGCTAGTTAACTAAAAGCCTGGGATGACGTCGTTCCTGGTTTGGAACACTTTAGTTTTTAGTTAACTCCATGCCAATTTTATTTTGATACTAACAACCAGAGACGAGAAAGGAGTTTAGCAGTTAGACACAACCGTTAGGCCTTTACAGATATCTCTCGTGGAGTTGCATTTAGTGGATATTTAACCACCATCCCATAACAGCCGTGTGTGTTGCCAACATCAATTCCATCGATTTGACTGCGGGGATAACAATCTCGCAAGCGCTCACTCCATGGATAGCGAAGGGCAGATAATAGAGAATGAAGACCTGGCCGAAGAGATCGATGCTATCAATGCCATATATGGCCCGTCTACGATAACACTTACATCCTCGTCTCCGCGTGCCGAATTGGCCGTAAAGCACACGATAATACTTACAATACCCAGCCACGAGACTGTCTCGTTTCTGCTAGGATTTGGCTCCAATTATCCAACAACTCCTCCGCGTGTTCTTGGACCTGCCTCCAGCGGAGCGAGAGGCGAAGGGAAGAGATATGCGGATATATTAGCAGACTCTGTTGAAAGAGTATGGACGGAGGGGTCAGTTTGCCTTTACGATTTGATCGTCGATGCAGAAGAGCGGTTTAATGAGATAAAATCGGCACAGAACGAGAAAGAAAAGAACGACAATACTCTGCCAATAGATGAACCGTCTACGTCTACGCTCGAAGAGAAGGACATGCATTCCCTTGGCCTGGCTACCCCGCCGCCGTGGGTAATATCGGATGCGATTACAGAGAAGAAATCTGTGTTTGTGGCGCGAGCAGCGACAGTAGAATCCAAGGAGCAGGCAGAGAAATATCTTGACCATCTTCTCGCAACAGAAAAAAAGGTCGCGTCTGCAACCCACAATATCACTGCATAGCGCATTCGACAATCCCAGCAATCTTCAAACGACCAACAACAACAGCCAGGTCGCGACACTGTTGTTCAAGATTTTGATGACGACGGCGAAACGGCAGCTGGCGGAAGACTGCTACATCTTATGCAGTTGATGGATGTCTGGGACGTTGTGGTCGTTGTGACAAGATGGTACGGCGGAGTAAAACTTGGGCCTGATCGTTTTCGAATTATCAACGCTGCTGCTAGGGATGCGTTGGTCAAGGGAGGGTTCGAAAAAGCTCAATCGACAGAGAAAGGGAAGAAGAAGGGAAAGAAATGAACAGCACTAGATACAGAGCGTGCGTTGCCATGGCGGTCAACGTGTATGTAGCCGAAAGGGAAGACGTGGTGTTCTTTTCCTTTAGGCTACTCATTCCCTCCTGCTTCATAAAAGACGTGGACTCGAAACCCCGTGGCAATTCTTTGGAGCCTTCCGCTGGGCCAGAATATTCACTTGAAACGGGGCACACACCCCAAGTCACGGCAATTCGGGGGGAATATGTTTCGAACTCATCAGAGCCAAAAGGCTTCTCCCACGGTGTATGGCTTCCCGCCAGACTTTGGTGGAAATGAGAATTTCAGCATACTACGGAAGAAGCTTCTCTCATCACTGGTAGAACCAGGAATTCAGGCGCTATTTGGCTATAAAATGAAACATGTCATAAATTGTTAGACGAGAATAAAAAGACTGGGTAGACGTGAGTATCCGGAATCGTCAAACGAAGCACGGAACTTTTCGCAGGTTGATATATTTCAAAGTCTTTTATTTGCTCCTAACATTGTTCCTGTCGTTCTATGCATAGCCCTCAACAGCCTCTTGCTGGTCATTGTAACGCAGCTGTAGCATGCTTATCCGTACTGAGGAGTGAGATGCACTTTATGGGAAAGTGAGCCGTTTGGGCTTCATGTGCGAGCCTTACGTTGACCTAGACAAGGGAAGAGACACCCCGTCAGCTTGTCTGTTTTAACTGGCGCCTTATGTATGTAGTTAACTGCAAAATCCTCGGAGGATCACACTCGGGGCAACCCACCTTGTAAAGGAAATGTAAGGCAGATATTTCAAATGCCGCCATGAAATGTATGCACGAACTGCACGGAGTACTCCGTAGATACTCATAATTTCGTCAGGGGTTGACCCTGGAAAAGTAGCATTGATCATTGTCTTACCGCCGAGTCATGGTCCAGGGTGGTCATAATTTTAGAACAGTCGACACAAATCGAACAGCGTGCCTCAGCGCAAGATTGCCCGTTCTCAAAATTTCAACTGAAATCAGACCTCATGTTGTTTCCCGAAATGGATGGGGCAGAATAACTACGTCAGAGGCTTGTGAGCCATCGACAGACACGGGTCAGATGGCCGGTTGTCGGTCGCTTTTGTGGGTGCTGCCGTATCTGTGGGTTTGGCTGTGGTCAGGCTTGCCTCTGAGCCACGGATCAACCATTTTTCGGTCTAACGCAAACGTAGATCTTGCCATCCCACATAAAACCCTGGATGGGCACTTACTCTGGAAGATTCATGTAGAATGGTGAAAGTTCTGTCCGGGATCGCTTCGAAGTCGGCGGTTAGGCTTGAAAGCGGTGCAGAATACCCCGGTTTCCAAGGCTTATGTACACCGTTATTATCTGTTTCTCCTCTACTTAGATGTTCGGATAAATGCTGGTGTGCAGGGGGTACCCGTTTGAGCGCCAACTACGGAGGCTGTTTCAGGTTTTCATTCCAGATGCATCTGAGTGGTTGTACACCCCTGAACGGGCTTGGATCTCTCACAAGTCACTTAAATACATAAACCAATGAGAAATTCGCCCTGGCATGACGCCCTCAACGAGGGTGGATCTCATGCAAAGATCAGAAAAGAGCAAGCGGCCAGTTGAAGATCTGGTAAGGGCCTCTGCTAGATCGTCCACCAATCCATGTGGCGGACTGGACTTTTAACAAGGACAACAACCATGCCCAGCTGCCAGGAGCGGGGAATCCTAGCCGTCATTCGTTGCTGGCGGTTAGGAGACATCCGGATTTGCCTGAGATCATCAAGTTGGTTGCTCGTTTGCAGTGTGGATTGCAGATAATATGGACCCCTCTGCGAGGCCAAACACCATCCATGTGTTAGATGATGCTTCCACAGGCGAAAGATGATAGGGCTCTTACTGGCAAGATTAAGCCGTTCGCCCTGGCATATACACGCAACACAGCAGCGGCAAGAAAATGGCCCTTCCTCACCGAACAAGCGAATGAGAGAGCGATGCCCAACACCACCACATGCAAGCTTTTTCACTTCTCATTCACTTAACGTTTCTGCCCCTGGACAAGACTGACAAGTTCTTGGGGCCGCTGAATCGCTCAATGTGGCGTGAAAGATATTACTTTTCTTTCCTTTTTGTTCATCAAGATGGATTCCATCCTAGTAACTAAATAATATACGGAATCTACCGACTCAGCCGGTGAGGAAGAGTGAATAATGATCCCGCGGTGCTGGGCCACACTCGTCAGCTGTTGTGTGACATATCTTGCCCTCATCGGCTTGGTGCCACAACTCGTCGTGGGGCTCTTCGTGGTTTCTTTTTCGGAGCAAGCCTAGCGTGTGGCTGCGTGGGGACAGGAGAGGGCCAATCCCGCTGTATATCCCCAGGAATCAAGAATTCAGGGCGCCAAAACTCCTCCCTCCAGATGCCCCTCTTGGGTGTTTCAAATGTAGGTTTTTCGTGTGCATGCCGTGGCCTGTCTTCATGTACCTACGTCTTGGATTGGCGAGTGGAAGGCCAGTCGGATGGCCCATCGTACAGGTCAGCTTGAGAATACCAAGGCACCAGGGCTTGTGGAACAGGCAGACTTCGGCAGTTGGATGGATTCGTGATGGGCTGCTATACTGGCAGGGGAAAAAAAAAAAAACTATTAAAGGCCGTCACTCCTCCTCTGTCTTTCCGGCTTTCTCTTCTTCTTTTCTTCATCACGCTGGAACGTTTCGACTCGATCTACTCTTGTTCATTAGATTCTCTCCTTTAGGGCCAGTCCCTCTTTTCTTCCTTTTTATACACACTCCTTACCTGCTTGCCTGTGGCACTGCAGAAGAACATAACATTCCTTTTCTAGTAAAGGCATTTGCATCTTTGCGTTCAAATCGTATAGTTCGGGTTCTCCCAGCCGAATTATATCTTCGAGGTGAGACATACCGAATTGTTGTTCTTGCTATTGTCGCTATTGATATGTGTCGGAGTGTGTTGCTGGTGTTGCTGGTGTTGCTCGTTGGTGATGATGTCGGGAATTTCCTCTTCGGGAGATTTCTACTTCATCCATCTTCTTCCACCAAAACGAACTTCACTTCTAGCAAAGTTGAGTGACATCTACGCAGAGCTGGCACTGACTGTTCGATCAATTAGCAATCTGCAACTGTCGACAAAGTTCCTTCAGAGCTGCTATCTTTCTTTACAGTTACATCGTCTGGCACGAAGTGATTGAAAGAAAGATATATAAAGCCTCATCGTCAACTTTGATCACCTTCAGTCCTTAACAACTTCAAAGTCTTATCGTGTCGAACGTTTCCATACCATTCTTTTCAAGAAGACCAAGTACGAACAACAAAAACAACATCCGCAAACACCGCAGCCATGGTTTACTCCAAAGCATTCGTTGCCGCTGCTGCCACCTTTATGGGCCTTGCCAACGCCCATATGGTCATGGAGAGCCCAATCCCCTTCAACCCCGAGAACCTCGACAACGGCCCCCTGCTCAGAAGCGGAGCTGACTATCCTTGCAAGTTCACCGCGTCCAAGGAGACTGGTGGCAGCTATCTACCTGGAAAGTTCGACTCCAGCAAGAACGTGTTTTCTATTGGCGAGAGCATCCCCCTGACCTTCAAGGGTTCTGCAGTCCACGGAGGCGGATCCTGCCAGGTCAGTCTTACCACCGACAAGGAGCCATCCAAGAACTCTGAGTTCAAGGTCATCCACTCTATCCTTGGAGGCTGCCCTGCCAACGTCGACGGCAACCTTCCAGAGGACCCTAACGGACACGGAGCATCCAAGTTCGAGTTCAAGATCCCACCTAGCATTGCTCCTGGAGAGTACACTCTTGCCTGGACTTGGTTCAACCGCATCGGAAACCGTGAGATGTACATGAACTGTGCCCCCATCAAAGTCACTGGAGGCTCCAAGAAGCGCTGGGAGCCCACCCCCAAGCCTGACCCACGCAGCTTTACCCCCCTCGCAAAGCGCGCTGACATGCCAAATATCTTCATCGCCAACGTCCAACTTGATAACCAGCCCTACTGTGAAACTGCCGAGGGTATGGATGTGATGTTCCCAGTAAGCGGTGACTCTGTCGAGAAGGCCGGTATGCCCAACCGTCTCCAAAAGGAGGGTGATGCTGTCTGCGCCAACATGGGAGGAAGCTCCCCCAAGGCCGGATCTGGCGGCAGCGGAAATGGTGGTAACGGTGGTGACAAGGGAGGCTCTCCATCTCCATCTTCAACCTATGCCCCAACTGTCCCATCCCCAACCAAAGCTCCGACCCAGGCTCCTACCTACGCTCCTGGCCCCACTGGAACTGCTCCAGCCAACAATGACTCAAGCCCTGGAAATGGCGGCATCTTTCTTCCAGCTCCAACTGCCAACCCAACTGCTCCGACTGCACCTGTCCCAACCGGTACCGGCATACCAACCCCACCCGGCAACGGCACTGCCCATGCTGGACCATGCACTGAGGAGGGCAAGTGGAGCTGCTCTGGCACCCAGTACCAGCGCTGTGCTAGCGGCCAGTGGACTGTCCTCATGAACCTCCCCGCTGGAGTAACTTGCGAGTCTCTTCCAGGCAAGCGTGCCCCCATGCACCGCCGCCGCGGACACTACCTCCCACTCCGTGTCTAAAAGAACAAGCTACATGACACAAAGTGATCTAAAGTTCAGTTTCCATTTACTTGACAAGCTGAACTTGGCCAACATTTTTTTGACAAGGCATTTTGTCTCTCAGTTTCCCTTCTTTTTCCCCTTGCTGATCTTTTCTGTTTCTTCGATGTTTCCTTTTACATGTCAAGGAGCGGGCAATGGGATACTTCACCTAGCATCGTTTGACACGCTTGCTTTTTGGGGTTTGTTTCAAGTTGAACATATTTTCTCAAGTTCGCCCATTGGTCGGGTTCTCACATATGACAGGAAAAATGGTTTATTGGCGGTGGTGTTTTTGTTGTTTTTGCCTTCTCCAGCACACTTGTCTTGTGCATGACTTATGAAATTTAGAAATACCTCCAGAATATGTATCAAAATCATATCCAGCGATTTTTATGGATGGAGCAATTGGTCTTCTCGCAGACGTATATCCAATATTCTACTGTAATGTTCGGTGGTGGTAAGTACCAAGACTTCCACTTGGATATAACACCAGGAAGTGCTGCTGTTACTTTCCAGCATGATTTTGAAGATCGACCAATGCTCATATAAGGACGTCTGACCTTTCTTCTTTAAGAATTGGAAGTTATGTGCCTGATTATTTACATAATCCAAATTATGCCAAGACTTGTGGGATAAACCCTATTTGCAGCCTAATTGAGATTAGCGAAAAATAGAGTTGGATATAGCCTAACTCTACTGAGACATCGGGCGGATTTACAACGAACATGCAGGACGTTATGTGAAATAAACCCAGGTACGAAGTAGTATATACAGGTAGTGAGACTAGGTATTACAGTCGGTACTAACCATGAAATTGAAACAACTGCTCCGTACATTCAATTCTCTACATTTCTCGTTTTTCTACTCGAATACGGAGTAGCTGCTAGGTAAGTAGTCATGGATGTCTCTCAGCTCCCAGATATCAGCGACCAGGTGGTCACGCCAGACAACCCAGCCCGCGACCCAACAGAAGGGATGGATGTCGACCGTTGCGTTGCTCTACACAACTACCTGGTACATTATGCCTGGCTGGCCCAGGGCCGTTCGCTGGATGCTCTGCGCCGAAATAGCTATACATATTTTGCTGTCTATGGTGCTGCTGCAGAGGCTCTTCGTCCTAGACTCCATCGGTCTCTAGAGGCTTTCCTGGACGCAGCGATTCTGCCTCTTTACCACTACCATCCCTCTGGAGCTTTGTTTTTCTATGCTCACTATTTCAATGGTCCGGCATATCTCTTTGACAACATTACGGCCGTTCTTAAAGATATGCCAGCAGATAGTCTGGTGAACCTCTATGAAGGTGGAATGAATATTGAATCTGGTGGCGGTTTGTTTTACCATCAAGGCTCCCATTGCGCTGTGGTTTTTATGCACATGGACGCCTATGACCAAGCGTTGCCCATTGAGGAGTATAAGGAGCTCTGGCACCCGCTTGAAACAGTGCTTTCTAGCTGGATCAACCTAATTATTATTGGCAAAGTAGTAGGCTCACTCCCTGATGAGCCAGGCTTATTTGACTGCGAGAAGTTCGGGTGTTGGGAGTGGCGGCCCTACAGTGTTATCCAGGTCGATACTTGTATTGCCGCGTGGAACCGGTTATGTGAGGCCATCGAGGCACGTATATTGCACAGCAAAAGTGGCAGTGCGGTTGATAATATCGATAATAATAATAACCACCATGGTTCAAAGCCGCCGCTGGTACCGCCGGCCGTCCTGGACGCTGCTTCAGTACCTGACCCTGGCTTTGCGCGTGCCTTTCTGACTCGTGCGCGACGGCCTCTATTCCACCGCATTGCCCCAGGGATTGTCTTGCCCGCGATGGATAAGGCTGGGTTTGTAGCGGAGCAACCATACACCAGCCTACCCCGCTCCTCACCTTATTCAATACCCCCCGTATGCCTTTTCCCCGCCGCCGGGGAGCATCCGGTTCACCTAATGAGCACAACGTGCGCATTTACTCACGACTTTAGTGCATCATCTACCCATTCAAACATTCCACCTCGAGTGAATGCCGGTGTCTATAGTGAGTCTGTTATGCGGAATAGCTCTGACAATGCGGAGGAAGGATTTCGGCTATTACTTCCCTTCAACTTCATGGAGCGTGATTGGGAAGAAACCGGGCTAGGCGCACGGAAAAGCGACGGGTCTCTTGTAGGAAATATAGGGAGCCTCTTTCAACATGGATACAAGCCTTTTGGTGGCGGCGACCGGCGGGCCCAGCGGTTGGAATGTTTATTCAATTGTTGGCGCAAGCTCATTGACGATGGCGTTTGGTCTGTTGGGGCGAACGGGGTAAATGGCACGCTTGATACATTTAGGGAGGCCGATGGAGAGCGTTGGAGGAACTATTATATCTCGCCGTCATGGTAATTTAACGTCAATACTCTATAGATATTAAATTTCACGGGTCTATACGATTGGGTTGACTACTCTATAGAAAGACATTTTGTTAGACTCTTACCATTAATAAATTGTATATAAATAAAATGAAGCATACTGCGTATATCTTAAGCGTGTGATCAGTCTAGAGAAAGTAGTCTGTGTTGCCCACTGGCCTAACTAACCTTGATATCAAAAGTAACTGTTAGTTACATATCTGGTACTGGAAGTGAAATAGTACGATATCAAAGTAACTTTCGGGCCTAACACAGCTGTAGATAGTCCGTGATATCCCCAAGGCATGGGCCGTTTGCAGTCTTTATCTTGTGCTGTATAGTCACCCCGTCATCGTACCTCATCCACTGATTCGTATTGTAGGTTAGCTAACGAACACCTGCAGTTTATTATAAGACTGGTAAATAGTGAGTGGAGGCCGCATTTTATTGGAAACAATGCCTGCACTGGTACTCAGTTTGGAAGCTGTTGTCCCATATCTGGTTATCGTGGCAGTACGAGTGCCTGGTGTTCTAGCTCCAAGTGCTATATAACGGCGCCTGTACCAAGTAAATATTGATGGATTGTCATTAGATGATATGACAGTTTACCCGGTTTCTTGTTTTTTGGTATATCATGGTTAATTTTCATAACATATCGAGCAATAGCTCCTAACAAATTGTCCCAATATCAAGCCAATCCATCCATCACCTTGAATGTTGTCTTGCTGCTGGTCTTCACGCCTCAGTTGCCTGCGTAACTCTCTTGATCGTCTTCTCAATACATTCTCGTCCATCTATCAATACAATATATGATAAGAAGCGGAAGATGCGGAAGTGCATATCAACACCGCATAATATACTTTGTTGAAGTCTTACTTTCCTCTTTGGGAAACGGGGAGAATAGACAGTCACGTGTATCATTAGCTATTATATAAGCAACAGAGTGGTATGCCAAGCAAAAATTGCAGGCTTAAAATCCTATCGTAACTAGGGCTTAGGGCTTGGACTCTGTTTTGTGCTTGCCCACATCGAGTGAAGCGAAAAAAAGCGACTTCGCGACGAACTTTGAACATCTTCAAACGCCGACAATTCTTGACGACGTCCGACTAACCAAGCAGCATCCCGTCGACGACAATGGCCTCTCGCCCAACTGTGACCGTCATCTCGGCGGAGGGTAAGCCCAGCGGCTCTACCCACCCGCTCCCTACCGTTTTCCTGGCACCCATCCGCCCCGATATTGTCCAGTACGAGATATACACCCTTTGATGCGGAAGATATTGAGAGATGGGACGCCTATACTGACTGCTTGACCAGGTCCGTACACACTGGTATCGCAAAGAACAAGAGACAGCCATATGCCGTGAGCGAGAAGGCCGGTGAACAAACATCCGCCGAGTCTTGGGGTACCGGTACGTGAACTGAGGTTTTCTTATTTGATATCGATGGGGAAGGGGTTGAAGGAAATAAATGTGGACGAATTGAATGCTGATCGAATGCTTCTGGATTTCAGGTCGTGCCGTTGCACGTATCCCCCGTGTCTCTGGTGGTGGTACTCACCGTGCTGGTCAGGCCGCCTTCGGTAACATGTGTCGATCTGGACGAATGTTTGCTCCTACCAAGGTCTGGCGCAAGTGGCATCAGAAGGTCAATGTTGGCCAAAGACGATTTGCTACTGCCTCCGCCCTCGCTGCCTCTTCCGTCCCAGCTCTTCTCTTCGCTCGTGGTCACCGTGTTGAGAACGTCCCTGAGGTTCCCCTTGTTGTCGACTCCAAGTGCTTCCAGGGTGACGCTCTCACCAAGACCAAGGCTGCCGTTTCCCTTCTCCAGGCCGTCGGTGCTGGTGCTGACCTCGTCAAGGTCAAGGAGTCCCGCAAAGTCCGTGCCGGTAAGGGTAAGTTGAGAGGCCGCCGATACCGCCAGCGCCGTGGACCTCTCGTCATCTACAACCCAGAGGTCGATGGCAAAGAGCTTGTTAGAGCTTTCCGCAACATTCCCGGTGTTGAGACCTCCTCCGTTTTCTCCCTCAATCTTCTCCAGCTCGCCCCAGGCGGTCACCTTGGACGTTTCATTGTCTGGTCCTCTGCTGCCTTCAGCGCTCTTGATGAGATCTATGGCACTACCACCACCGCCTCTGCCCTCAAGAAAGACTTCCTTCTCCCCTCCAACATTGTCTCCAACTCCGATGTCACCCGCCTTATCAACTCCTCTGAAATACAGTCCGTTCTCAGAGAGCCCAAGGGCGAGGCCAAGACCAAGAGAGGATGTGTCCAGAAGAAGAACCCACTCAGAAACAAGCAGGCTCTTCTCAGACTCAACCCATACGCTGCTGCTTTCTCGAAACAGAAGCTGGGCCAAACTGGTATCGAGACCGATAAGGCACCTGAGCGTGCTCCTGAAAGCTTCCATGAGCTCCTGAACGAGGCATAGATGCGTGATCTTGTTCTTTGAGTACCATACCAAAACTGTTAAATTCGATGCTTTCAAATGGGTTCTGATGCTGGGTCTGCGTCCTTTCTATTGTCAAATATGAGGTAGTTGTCATGACATAAAATGAACGCTCTACCATAATGAACTAGTATATGATATCACAGTATTTGTAATAATATCAATTGCCCTGTATAGCACTCCTCTACAGGCCAATCCTCCATCTACTCGCTCATGTCTCGATACTGAGAAACTGTTGATATAAGATCTGGTCTTCGAGTATTTTGGGACATCCCATCTGATGGTAGAGCGCCAGCTGCTCAGTAAACCCGGCATTTGGTTGGCATCTAGCCCGGCTGCCTCTAAGGACAAGCAGGGCGTCTCCAGGGGCCAACCTCGGACGAGCCTGGTAGAGCATGTATGCAAGAACAATTGTAGCTGACCGGGATTCTCCCAAACCGCTATAACTCAGGGTCAGAAATATGTATATGCAGGTATCTTCCAGGGGTAGGAGCGGGTATATGGTATCTAACCAGTGGACCAAGACAGCGCCTCCATCGGCAATGGCCGCCTTTATGAACTGAACAGCCTGCGGAAAATGCTGGATGATGTTCTCCTTGTCCTGGTCGATGAGGTCTAGGGTAAGATGCCCCCGGAGGCCGTCGTAGCTTTGCAGGCTGCTAATCGCTGATGGCCGCTCCTTTGGTCCCACGGCAGAGACGACATGCGTGATGTTGGCCTCTTTCAGGGCGTCCTGGTTTCGAAGAGCAAAGAGACTGGTTATGTATGCATTGTGGTTATTATCGCCTTCAGACTATGTTTGGATATACTCGTACTAAACCGTGGGACGGCTGTTTCAAAGCAACAAGGCCAAAACAAGCCACCAACCTGCCAATGTAGACGTTATATCCATCAACTCGATCCATGCCGGCAGCACAAGCGATCTCCAGCAAGAGCCCAGAGTATGGATCTCCAGTTTGGTCCTTAGGGCAACCTGACCTTCTCCTGGGATTCTCGAAGCTATGACGTAAAGTGACGGATGCTTCTGCTGCGCCCTTTCTCTTGTGCTTTCTCCTTCCGATGCTGAGCCAGCTAACTATCAATCTAACAGATGCGCCGCAGGACACGGTATCGCACATACACTCCCGGCGTCAAGGGGGTGCGCTGGCGTGTGTGGAGGAGCAGAGAGAATGTCGGTCTGGTCATCTCGGGCACTCAATCGCGTTATCTCTCACGGACGGGCATCATTTTCACCTCTCCTGCTAGGCAACTAACCAGCTAAGATACGCCTCACTGGTTCCACCTCGGATCCGCTCCAATGACTTGTTGACATGGAATAAGGCATATACGCAGTGCAGCAGGCAAGGGCTTTTGCCTAAAACTTTAGGCCTGGGATGTGCTGAGCGTGCAACCGTTTGTCTTCCTCAGATACCAGAGGGGCCTGGCAGTCGAGCCTACACCGTGCTGAGAAGAGAACCCCAGATCTAGATGCATATTACCTTGTCGATAGGCGTCTGAGATACAGATACGGACACTCTCAATCGGGGTTTTGGGGGCCAAAAAAAAAAAAAAAAAACAAACTCCAGAAAGTCAGTCTTTCCACTTCAGCGAGCAATGCAAGGAAGCTGATAAACTGGTGGCCTGCCTAAGACTGGTGGTGTCTTTCTCCTACGCTCTGTGAGCCTTGCATTGCCTTGAAAGGTGAATGGCATGAATACGAACGTGGTGTCGATGTCGAATTGCGCCACACTCTCCTTTCTGCTCACAGAGTCGCTAAACCTGGAGCTGGCCTGGCTGGTTTCGTGCATCACTTTTAAGTGCCAGATGCATGATGCGTATCATGCTACATATACGGCGAGCCGTCCAGTGCGAAAACGATGGCATGCCTGGAGCAACGTCTGCTTTGGTACCCTCCAGCTGGGTCAAACACAACACGGCGTATACGGGGGCCCGGACTCTTAACTAGAGTGACCCCCCCAGCAGGTTACCAACACCGTGCTGCTGGATGATCCTGCAATAATAAAAAAAGAGAGTCAACCATCGACCAACAAGTCACTTGGAATGGCCGAGGCATCAAACCCCAGCGTGTGCGTTTAGTTCGTTCGTAAATCTTCCGCTCCCACATCTTCGCTCCCGTGTCATGCGGCAGCAGAAGCAGCTCAAGCTCTCCCGCCGCAAGCAAGGAGAGAAGAGGAAGAGTCATCCTTGGATCCGGCCAATGGCCCTCCCAGCCAAACCACCCGAGGACCATCATATGACAGCTAGAAAAGAAAAGAAACGAGGGAAGAAAACAGTCAAGCCGAAACCTAACTTTTCTGGCTGGAATCCCACGGCTTGGGCCGGTGTGAGATCCAGCAGCAGGGTCTCCCGCTCCATCGATTTTCATTGCTTCCACAGACCGACCTCGATCAGCTTTTTGGAGCATGGGCTGCCAGTGTTGGGCTTTTATTTAAACCCTGCCACCCCCTGGCGCCCGCTAACTAGTTGACCAACCATGTAGCTATGCGACGGAGCCATGTCCTTCCTAGTGAGCCGCAGCCAGATACAGGTGCCTCCACCTTATAGCCATTGCTCTGGAATCTTGTCCTATGAAGGGCCTCCAAGTTTTGTTTTGCTGTTTATTAATGCAGACATATATTATTAGCATATCTCCCTTCTTTTGTTTCCCCCCCCTGTTTTCGAATTTCCAGCCATGACCAGGCAAGACGGAACTCAGGCAGATGGATAGGTAGTTATCAGCTACCTTCATAAAGCCGCCTCAAGAGTGCAACTCTGCGTTTGCCACGAATTTGTCTCTTTAGTTATTCGCCTGAAGGATTCCTGATATCAACTCCAGTTGGGAACTTGGGCCTCCCTTCTTTTTTTCTGACGCTACTTTTCTCCGATCTGTCTCTTCCCTCTGCTTCCCGGGGACAAACGAGAGCATATCGACCAAAAAGGATTGATTTCATGAGCCCGGTCTCTTTTTTTCTTTTAATATCGAGCTTGGTTTGTAGCACATTTTGCGTTGTCCTTTAAGATTCCTCCCTGGTTTCGCAACTGTTGTACTCTGTGCTTCACTACGGGAGTGCATCGTGTTTGTTCGCTTCTCCCCCTTATTACGGGCCCAACGGTTATACATGTCGATAAGCTAGAGGATCCGGGGGGCTGTTCCGAGGTTCTTTCGCTTGATATACCTTCATCTCTGTCATTTGGTTCTCTTTTTGATAGCAGTATCGTATCATTCAAATGCATCAGGTGCTGGAGTTAAAAAGCTATATCATTCAATATCTGGGCCTGGATAATATTACGTGTGGTCTAATACTCTGAAGAGAACAAAGCAACGGCAAAAACGGAGGGAGAGGCTCGAGAAAGAAAAAAGAGGCCTTTTATCCGGATTTCTGGCCATTTTGGTTGTCCTTCAGTGGTTGCTATCTGCCCTATGCTGATCCCGTGAAGTCCTCTATTGAGCCCGTGACCTGCCTATAGCCTGACTATCACCAACTCACAAAAAAAGGGTGCATCTGCATCTTCCCGCTCCAATCTCTGCTCCTGTATCCCTTTCTGAAGCACCTAGAGACTCACTCCTAGCAAGGCCACCTCCCTCCCTGGCTGCTGGTCTGAGCGAACACTAGCTGCTAATATAAAGACAGCAAACATACCCATATCTCTCTGTCCGCTGGCTCTCTAATCACCTTTCACTCTCTATTTGTCTCTTTGCCCCCCCCCCCCCCCTGTCACGCTGCCTGTGGTACAGAGATAGCAGAAGCAGCTATCCGAACGCGTCTCCCTTACAGAGCAAATACTGGAAATAGTTGGTTGAGTGCCTAGTGCAAGCTTTTATGTGCAAATTTGAGAGATAGAGACGCGTCTGTGGTCTCCTCGCTATGTCTTTCAATTTGCCAAATGCACTGGCAGCAGGGGCAGCAGGGAACAGTTCTGCCCCAGTGAACCTGACGCAGCTACCAAATAACATCCTCGATGCACTCTTGCCAGGTTACTCGGTCATCTCCGGGTTCATTTTCCAAATCACTGGGTTTGATGTCTCCGTTGTTGTGTCCCTGAGTGTGCTGATATTCACCCTCACCACGGCCTGGGTATATTGCTATAAATTTGCCTACTCCTTGCTCATGACTTATATGACCGCTTCCATTACCGTCCCTTCTCACGACGATATCTATGATCAAGTCATAGCCTGGGTATCAGAGCTGGCCATCGCCACTAGCAGCCGCTCAATGCGCGCCAAAAGCAAACGCCACATGAGTTGGGACTCAGAGGAAGATATTCGTGCAGATGTATCAGGGAAAAGCTCTCAAGACACACTTTTGAACTTCAGCAATTGGGAAGCAAAGATCCCTCCGCGATTCGAGCCACATTATGAGTTTTCCTGGTTCCGCCATAAGGGCAATTTCTTCAAGCTGTCCCGAGAAAAAGAGCAGGTTCTAAGCGGACGAATGGGCTTCAACATGGTTAGTAGTGATGAGTCTCTGACTATCACCGTACTTGGAAGATCCCTGCAGCCTATCAAAGATTTAATCCGGGAGGCGAGGGACGCATCCTTTGCTCGCGAGAGAAGCAAGACGACCATCCGCCGACCAGGTCCCAAAGAGTTTCGTTCACGTGGAATATACGCCTGGAGCAGAGCTGCTACTCGTCCTTCTCGGCCAATCGAAACCGTCGTCCTTGATAATTCTCAAAAAACGAAGCTGTTGCTGGACATAAATGAATATCTTCATCCTGCTACCCCAAGATGGTATGCAAATCGTGGAATACCTTATCGTCGCGGCTATTTGTTTCACGGACCACCGGGAACGGGAAAGACTTCCCTGAGCTTCGCTATAGCTGGTGTATTCGGGCTGGACATATACTGCATCTCACTTCTCGAGCCAAGCTTGACAGAGGAAGACTTAAGCTTACTCTTCAACTCCTTGCCTAGACGCTGCGTGGTCCTCTTGGAGGATATTGATACTGCCGGCCTGTCACGTACTGCGGCCACCGGGGAATCTTCCCCAGAAACGACTGAAGCAGCTAATGATGCCGCTGGAAACGTCATCTCCAATCTGAACACGGCAATTCAGCAGCCTTCCAATCGTGCCAAAAAGACGAAAAAGAGCAATAGCGATGAAGAGTCTAAGGGTATTTCTCTATCTGGTCTCCTAAATGCGATTGATGGAGTGGCATCTCACGAAGGACGCGTCCTTGTCATGACAACAAACCACCCAGATAAACTTGACGATGCGCTCATCCGACCTGGCAGGGTGGATATGATGGTTGAGTTCACCCTGGCCAATAGAGAGCAAATCAAAGAAATTTTTATTAGAATGTATTCCCCCGACCAACCCGGTGGTATCAAGGCAAAGTCTGCCTCAGCATCTCAGATAGAGAGGTCGCTTTCTATCCTCAACACCAAGTTATTCAACTCCGTCAAAGTCGAGAAGCCTGTCATCGCCCATGATCAGCCCTTATCTGAGGAGAAGAAGAGCGCGGAACCGTGTACAAATGCGAACGGAGTCGTCAGTGCCACCCAACAGGTTACCATCGACTATATCAACGAACTGGCCGTCTCATTCTCAGCTCTGCTTCCAGAGTATGTTTTTTCTCCTGCCGAAATCCAAGGTTTCCTTCTCACGCGCAAACGAGAGCCTCATCTTGCGGTTGAAGAAGTCGGTGCCTGGTGTGAAAACCTCATGGCCACAAGAAGCCGCCGCCATCCACCACCAGCACTTTCAACCTCCAGCACCGCTGTTAGTAAGCAGTCTGATAAGAGTGCCGCTGAATCCGATAATGAGGTGAATGCTGCATCTGCTGATGAGCACATCGGGAGTGATCCAGAGAGTGATGGTATTGCCTCCACCTAGTGGTTTTACTACACAAAGAGGGTTGACAATCCCCTTTACAACAACCTACTCTAATGTGCCTTTTTCAAAGATGATGCATAATTATCCCCCAATGACGCAGAGAGATTAGTTAATTGAGGTGATCCGATTGAGATTTATCTTCGCTTTTACTTATAGGGATTATGATTTATATCTTAAACGGGGGTGGCAATGTCGAACCAATAGCGGTTTCAGTCTTTGATTCTTTTTTCTGTACTGGGAAGCCTGGTGTACATTAGGAAATTAGATAAAAAAAAATTGGGGGATGGGCAATAATAACAATAGTGCGTTCTGCAGATTATATGGGTTCTAGATAGTGTATGTAATATACAATCATGACGTCGCGAACTCGGGCTTCGTCCAGGTAGTAATTGAATTCAAAGACAGCGGACATAATTGAAATAGCAGTGGTGATGTTAAAAGCCAAGAAGTGGTATGTCCAATAGAATAAGAATGCTCGTCCAGCTTCAACAGTTGTCATTGTGGGTAGGTGGCTCTAGGTACCGCCTAAGCCAGACTACTTGGCCCAAAGTAGGGTCCATGATAGCAGCAAAGTGAGTCATTTCATTAGTAACAGGGTATCCATTTATCCATTCGGTGACTTCTGATGGCATTGCTGCAACTTGGTTATCGCCGCATAGATCAAGTGAAACATTAAGACAGCAATCCACAGTAGGTCCCGATTGGCAGCCCGACTGACTCAAAATGGGCTCGGCTGTAGAATAATCGTGGGAAGTTGATGGCTTCTCTTGCTTCTGTTTTACCTTTTTCTCCCACGCACCCTGCATGTGGGCTCTTCGTTCGCCGCTGAGAAAAATGAGATCATCTAAATCCAGGGGTTCGTTCGAGGTGTCGATTATTCTGTCATCATGGCCTTTGTCATATTCAACAGCTTCTTCTTTCTGACTGGCCAAAGATACTCTCGCTAAGTCACTGTTGGTAGCAACCACGAACGATGAGGACTCTTGGATAACAGCGCTTCTGTGATCTTTCTCAAAAACAATCGCAGAGTTCCCATCACACATAATCAAGTAAGCTGCCGTTGTGGGTACACGGGGCAGATTTTCCGCTATCCAGTCCAAAGTTGTTTTCGACGGGATCCTTGATCTCTTCCGCCATAGTATTCGATCAAGCCAGGGCCGACTCCGGATATGATCTAAGTCTGGTGATAGGATGTATTTTCGAAGCAGTGATGATATCGACCGTCGCATACCTAGTAGCACAAGTAGATGGCTCCCGTAAAAACGATAATTGGCCAAAAATCTGCCTGAATTATGATTCGGACGGAAATTCAATGAAATGCTTAGCCCTCTCCTCACACCTGTTAGAACACCAACAAAGCCCACGTATGTTACACTTGTTGCAATAACAGTGTTACTCTCGAGTCCGCGAACGTACTCAAGTTTCACAATCAGGCGACGGAGATCATCCATATCCCAGTCGAGAGTACGAAAATGAAGCATTTTGGAATCGGTATCGTGTGGCAGTTTTGTCAAGACAGCCCCGCTGGTGCATCCCATAAGGAGATCGAGAAATACGTTTAGAGATACAAGAATATAGAGATCTATGCCTGTAGCTCTGGATATTCCTTTAATCTCTTCCGTCTCCTCGCGGGTATATAGTTTCCTTAGCAGAATAGGAGCGACTCGGTAGACCCATTTTTGGGAGATGATGCCGTCCAGGGAACTGACAAGCTCTTCAAAGATGTCGATGAGTGACCTTAGTCTCTGTCGATATAAAGAAGCTAAGACAACGTATCTTTCTGAAGGAGGGAGAGAAAGATCTATCCTGAACGTTGGGGGGATATCACCTAGCTCTCTGGGACGAGCCATGACTTAAAAGAGAAGTGTTTTCAGGCTGAGCATGGGTTGGACAGCAGAGAACGGATCGTTGACTAGCAATAAAAGAGCACTCGGTGAATATAATGGTTATATACCTGTATCCTCTGAAAATAGTACTTTGTGGTATAGGCAGCACTTAATGAGTCAAATCGTCCTGGAGAGAGTGAAAAGCTAGGAGGACTGCCTCGTTGTCTCACGCGAGGGATAAGGGCAAAGTGTCACTCCTACCCACCTGACACCAGCATAGCCATGATGTCTAGTGCCATCCAGTTACCTTCACCAGGCAGCATCATACTAGTAATTCCACTGCTTAGTAGCGAGCACGGCTGCGAATCCTTCTGCGTTCTGTCGTCTGCTTCGTTGTTCGCTTCTTCGCAATAATAATTAAATAGATGAGGCTGAGTATTCACGTGACGTAACTCTATGGCACGGATAAACATTTCTCCCACTGCCAGTTGCGCCCAACGGCCCCACCGACTCTTCGAACAAAATTCGGTATTTCGCAGGCAAAAATGGGCCATCAAATCAAGAAGCCGCCGTGATCTTGTATGTTCGGAAACCGAGATCAGTATATGCGGTTTATGGAATTGTCACTGACATTATATATAATATTATTAGTAGAATTAAGTACTATTTAAGAGCTCTATCTTTATGGTACAATTCACAGCTGTCCTGCGTCTTAGTTGGTTCCTAGGGGGCATTGTCCAGCATCGGAATTAAGGTTTAGTCCGGTCCATGGATCTTTGGTTTCCACGTGACGCTCATCGTTTACGACTTCCGGGTGGTTGTCTGACCTTGAAGGATATTATTACTCGTGTCCATTGCTATGTCTTAAAAGGAGATACCATAGGGATTGCATGGCCTGTAAATGTCGAGAGCTGCAACCCCCAATCCGACTGACCACAATGGCCGACACCGGCGCCAGGGAAGGGTCTCGAGCTCTTCCTGGCGACGAGGAGAGTATAGAACGGGAGTATGACTTGCTCTCGTCTTATGCTGATACAACAGATTACTACTCCCTTCTCGGGCTGTCGCGCGATCCCCCTCCTACCGATGCTGCGATTCGCTCTGCCTACCGAACCTTGACATTGAGCTTCCATCCGGACAAACAGCCGTCGCACCTTCAAGAGGCTGCCCGAAAGCACTTCGGGAGGATACAGGCTGCCTATGAGACCCTCATAGATCCGAAGAAGCGGGTTGTCTATGAAATGATGGGCGAGGAAGGCGTACAAAAAGAATGGGGTCCTAGAGGTGTTCTGGAGGCATTTAGTGAGGCTGAAAACATGCAGGTGGGCGTGAAAGCTATGGATAAAGCTCAATTCCGCCGGTGGTTTGTGCGTAGAATGAAGGAAAAGGAACGTTCTGTACTGGAGGATCTGGTCTCGAACAAGGTACTGCTGCCAACCTATCCCGTATATGGAATGCTGTATACTAATACACCTAACTGTAGATAGAAATGCAAGTTGGTTTCGATGCAACAATGTTCGAAACAACGGAAGAAATAATATATGTCAAGATTCCTAAATTGATGCCGTCCGGCCTTGCCCTTGGCTTCAGATTTAATATTCCTTTTCCTTCCATTCCTATATACTGGCTGTCAAAAAGGCATGATGAGGACGAGGATGGACCAGCGGAGAAAGAGAGCGCTGGCCCCGGAGATGACGAAGAGGACATGCAAATTGTAATTCATGCAAGCGCAGCTGGAAATCTCCGCCGGATGAAGCACGCCCATCCTCTCTCTAAAACCGGTGTGGACAGAGATATAGAGGTATGTACCCGGATTTTGGTCTTTCAAAATGTCCAACTCAGTATCTTACCTTTCAACAGCATGGATTGCCGCATCGTTTTGAGGTCAAAAATTTTTCTCTAGGAGCTTCCGTACACCATGCCGTACAGGACCATGAGATCAAGGATGTCCCGCTGAATCGCCTCTTGTTCCCATTTCTAGGCAACTCATCAATCAAAGTTGGAGCATCCCTACTTCCCGTATCCTCACTCAATTTAACGGTGCAGAAGGCCCTCACTCCTATTCCAGGAATATATCCTTTCCATGTCGCTGTGCGCACAGATATGAATTACGTACCCCTGCTTTTCCCACCGCTTTTTCATGTAACGGTTCAGAGACGAGTGGGCCAAGGCAAAGTTATGTTTTGCAATTGGTCCAGCGGATTCTTAGATTGGCCAATTTTTATCTCCAATACCTTAAGGCCCATGGTCAAACTCTTGTATGGTGATTATAAGACCTTGGTATTTCTAGTGGACAGCAAGTTTGAACTAGGGCTCAAAGTTTTTCCAGAAATGTCGATTAGAGGGACGCAGGATAAGCACATGGATGAAGATGAAGAAACGGCAGAGAACAGCAGGAGAATGCAAAGCATGCAGGATTTTAAGTCCGGCGGGAGCTGGGATTTTTTGCTTCATTCGTCACCAAGCTCCATACTGCTGACACTCAATTACGAGAAAGATCTTTTTACAGCTCAACCCGAACAGCCAGCTTTATCCCAGTGGAGCTACGAAGGTTACACTCCTACAAAAGAGGTAATCAACAGTCCACCAGTTCGACTAGAAGTCGAAGCAACTACTTCAATCGACCTCTCCATAGGTTGGATGATATCGGGTTCCCGCAAGGTTGGCAATTTCACCCGCATGGGCCTCGGTATTGGGATGCAGGGTAATATGGGGCTGGTGTGCTCAATTACATGGAGTCGATTAGGACAAAAATTGACCATTCCAATCGCAATCTGTCCATTGGAAGTGGTGAACACAGATATTGCTAGCATGGTAGTTATAGTGCCGTGGCTTACATACGCCCTTATGGAGTTTGGATTCTGGCGTCCACGGCAGAGACGGAAGCAGAAGAAAGCAATCGCCAAGCAACAAAGGAGAGTACAAAGACTCATGGCTAAGCGGAGAGCGGAAAGCTTGGAAGCTATTGAGTTGATGAAAGATCATGTCACCAGACGTCAGGACATGGAAGAACAAAGGGGCGGCCTGGTGATTCTTCTTGCCGAGTATGGATATATACCGCCTCAATCGACGTTCAACATTAGCAGGCCGGGCTCACGAGCCGACGAAAATATGGTTGACGTCACCATTCCAGTTGCGGCGCTTGTTGATCAAGGACAACTGAACATTCCACGTAGTATTGTCAAGGTATGTACTGTGCTGGTATGACTAACTTTGCACCTCGCTAACAGATTGTATATAGAGCGAGATCCTCGGCTTCAGTGACCCTGCTCCATTTATGCCGAAGATACTGCGTATCCAGTACATCTTTGGCTGGAAGAAACATTCCATTGAGATACCAGACGGTGAAGATGTGATATGCCCTATGCAGTCACATCTGGTATAAACTGGGCTTGTGCTCCGGTAAATTCTTTGAATATTACCATGCTCCGCAGCGACAATGCCATCTTCACCATCTTCGTTCCGCACATGATACAATTGTCACTCTCGAGTGTGATCGCTCCACAGTTGGATCCCGCCATGCGCCCCAGGAGGCGTAGGACAAAAAGCGCCTGTTAAACCTCCCTGATCATGATCTGAACCGAGACTTGCACATCTAGACCCACATCCCGGACTCTTCATGCTGCCATATATATATACACACATATGTCAACCAGCTATTATTGGTACCTAAAGTGCCCGGTCGCATTCTATAGCTATATTCTTATAATACGCGAGATATAGCTTCGTCCAAACCAGGATCTCTCGCCCTCCCTCCAGGCCCTCAACCAACCTCCTTTATTGCATCCCAGAGCTTCGAATCAAAGCTAGCCTGTTGGCACTACCCTTTGTCGGGCGACCCTGCCCTGGTGTGTTTGATACCTTGTTTGCCACGCGAAATATACCAATTATTCTCTTCTCACCGCTGTAATTATATTAACCAAATGTAGATACTTCCCCCCCCTCTCTGTCCCAAGAACACACATAATTCACACATAATGAGCCGCTTCTCCTTTGTTTCCCTTGTCTTCAAGGTCTAGATGAAGCTAGTACATAGCAGGCTCAGCCAGGCTTAACAGGCAGTGTTAGAATGAGGCTGTCATGCTGGGGGTCATGGTGTCACTACTACAATGGCAGGGCTCTCACTACAGTGTCAGTTGGCTACCAGCGGAAGTTCCCGAGAGCATATTTGTTCATCTTTGATGGTTACGTAGATGGCACTACAATAGATAGACAGCAGCGTATCAAGCATCTTGGTAGAGCATGTCCTTCTTCACTTCGCCTGTAGTTTGCTAGGGCTCTATCGCCGAGCAAGGCCTTGAAGGTGAGGATGTAGATATCTTTTGGTGACCTTTTTCTTCATCCTTTTCTTTCTTCTCCTTTTTATCTCTTCTTCATCTTCCTTCTGCAAATTTATTCTTCATCTAGCCATCTCAAGGCTCCTTTTCTCGTCTTGCACTGTGATAGCTCCCAACCCGTCCTCTCAGAATGTGCTTCGGATGTGTTCCCTACCGCGCCCTGGTGGTCGAGGACGATCCCAAGCCAGAGGCAAAGAAGCCCAATAGGCAGTGGTACATGGTACGGCCTGGAGATGGATTCTACCCTGTCAATGTAAGCTCCCAGCTGTCTGTGTGCTCGCCTTTTATTCTAGTGAGGCAAAGGATATAATTCAAGACAAAAGCCCTGCAGCCTAAGTCTCAACTCAAGTCTTTCTCTGTTTCCTTCTCTCCTTTCACCTTTCTCCTTCACTACTACTTCATCTGCTATCCACAGCCAACAACAGCCTTCTTGTTCCCTCTGATTACTGCCTGGTCATCTCAAGTCCTTGTCTATCACCTACAAAGCGAGCCAGGAGTCATTTCACATCCATATTCCTTTGCTGGCACCATGGGCCAGTTCTTTCAATATGGCTCGGTCGATCCGAGCCGCTCGAGATATTCAACCTGTCCGCAGGTTCAGCCTGGAAATGAGCCCACTGTCTACACATATGTGCCTCCTCAGCTGCATCAAAACATCCAGGTCGGCACAGGCAATCCCACTGGGCCTCCTCCTCCGCCACCACCACCATCAGCTTCTGCCACTGTCTCGCCAAACGGTTGCCTTAATGGAGCCCCCCCCGGAACAGCCCATTCTGTTTCCCAAACCATTCAATTCGGACCGGTTGGATTGACCCAGCATATTTCAAATGGCAATTTTGTATTTTGATCTTTTCATTGTTGCCCCTTCACCCTACCATTCCACTACCTAACCTGAGTCGTTGTGCTTGTCTTTTGATCTTCCTCTTAGTATAGACATACTAACTCCCATCACAGCAAGCAGGCCAAGCGATTCAGGTGCCATACATCTCCCCAGCACCTCTTCGCCCGACCTACCAGGTCCCAGCAGGTACAGTTCCCTGGCTTGGCCCGACTCGCGCCGAAGTTGACGCGCAGAACATTGCAGTTGCCAGAGCCACTGGCGCGATGAGACCCCAGAGCATGGTGCCTTACCGCCCAGCCGAGGGCCAACAGTGGTGGTGCCGCGAAGTTGATGGCTCCTACACCCTCCGAACCACGAATGACATTATGGAGAATTTGCAACCCGGGTATTGGGCATACTCATCTTCTGGTTATCCTTATTTCATTCGCCAGGCTGCCTGAATGCTGTTTCGATGAGTCATGATGGTTTGCTCTTTCATAGGCTTGGTTAGTTCGCAGTGTCTCATGACAGTTGACTATCCCTGACTAATACATCACCGCTTGATACGCCATACAGGTAGCAGCATGAATCATCAGACACGAATTATGTTAACGAATCTTTCCTTGAGCCATAACTCACAAAACCAGGAGAACACGGAGTTGAGCAGTTTTGTCACTAGATCAGGGAGCGGTGAGAGAGATTACGCGGTGATATTCCAATATCTTCTAAACGGTTGAAATGGGTCTTTTGTCTTTTTCTTTTCAAATCCAGCCTTGCTCGAGCTCGAGTCACACAGCAGCTCTGATCGGACATCATGTGGCAGGCTTCCTTTATTAACTGATGTGAATAACACAGCCCACAAGTATTCTAAATTTTTCACGAACTAAGCCGGGTAGAGAGATAAAATGGTATAGCAAAAACAAAGTAAAAAAAAAAAGTAGAGCCCTCGCAGTATACTATCACATCTCATATTAGTGGTATCTCACTTATTCAGACTGTTCAACCCGTCACCAGCGACTGATTTGGTTCAACTTTGGGTTGACGTTGGAAGTAAGTATTACGTAATATGATTCCACGGCGTAAGTATATTCCGAATGTATGAGTCAGCAGGAATTTTTCCGACGTCATGATGGAAAAGCTTCAAAATGATGATACCTAGTTGGAAGAATAGAAACAAATATCAAGCTTGATATCGGATATTATTCTATCTTTGTTCAAGTTGATTCTGTATTTGATATTATAAGGCAATGGCTTCCCTTAGCGAAGGGCTATTCAAGTCACTCCCAGCACCAAAGTACACAGGTGAAAATGAGGAGCTCCCAGCACACGCTCAACGACGCGGGCCAAGGGTGGTAGGTGCCGATGCAATTGATGAGACCCAAATTGTGGTGAAGGTAAGTGGTTTTGTTTCATGCTTTTTCATGGGCTCTGGCTCCCTCTGTTCTTCGTTTGTCTCTAATGGAGTCTTATTCTTGCAGAGGGCTGGCCCGCCACCGTATGGAAAACGCGCAGGATGGAGACCGCGGTCGCTGGAAGATTTTGGAGACGGCGGCGCATTCCCTGAGATTGCTGTTGCCCAGTATCCCCTCGATATGGGCCGCAAGGATACGCCAAACAAGTCGAATGCTTTAGCCCTGCAAGTCGATGCAGAGGGTAAAGTCAAGTATGACTCCATAGCAAAGCAGGGCCATAACGAGAACAGAATCGTACACGCATCGTTTAAGGATTTAATCCCGTTACGGCAAAGGGTGGACATGGGGGAGATTTCCCTGGACAGGCCTTCACAAGAAGAAGTCAATGCGCAGATGGAAAAGACGAAGGCTGCCCTTGAGAAATTAGTTACCGGAGCAGTTTCTGCCCAGAAACCGAAGAATGTCGCCACTGGAAAGAGGAGCGAACCTACATTTGTTCGATATACCCCTGCAAACCAAATGGGCAATACCAACCGCAAGAATGATCGGATTATGAAAATTGTGGAAAAGCAGGTTGATCCTCTTGAGCCCCCGAAATTCAAACATAAGAAGATCCCAAGGGGCCCACCGTCACCACCTCCGCCAGTTCTGCATTCTCCTCCGAGAAAACTCACTGCTGAAGACCAGGAGGCGTGGAGGATTCCCCCACCGGTATCAAATTGGAAAAATCCAAAGGGCTACACGGTTCCCCTTGATAAGCGATTGGCTGCTGATGGCAGAGGGTTGCAAGATGTTTCGATCAACGATAAATTTGCCCAATTCGCAGAAGCGTTGTTCACTGCTGATCGACACGCTCGAGAGGAAGTAAAGCAACGAGCACAGATGCAACAAAAGTTGGCTGAGAAGGAAAAGGCCAAGAAGGAAGAGCATCTGCGGCAGCTTGCCCAAAAGGCAAGAGAGGCAAGAGCTGGAGCTTCTAGCAGTCGTAATGAATCCCGTGCCAGATCCAGATCTCGAAGTGGCAGTCGAAGCCCTTCCCCATATTCTTCTAGATCACCTACTCCAGACGAGGAAGACGAAGCCGTCCGAGAACGTGAGCAGAGACGCCGCGAACGACGCCAGGAAGATGAAAGAAAACTACGTCAGTCTAGAATGGGCGCCGAGCGCCGTGTTCAGGTTATGGCCCGGGAACAGAATCGAGATATTTCCGAAAAGATTGCTTTGGGGTTGGCAAAGCCGACACAGAGCAAGGAAACTATGTACGATTCTCGTCTGTTTAACCAAACCAGTGGATTGCAGAGCGGTTTCAATGAGGATCAACCCTATGATAAACCTCTTTTCGCCGCTCAGGACGCTATTAATAGTATATACCGTCCTCGTGCTCAAATGGATGATGACGATGAGAATGCTGGAGGTGCAGAAATGGATCGAATAAACAGAGGCAACCGCTTTGAGGTCCTAGGACGTGCTAAAGAAGGGTTTAAAGGAACCGAGGACGCTGAGGTAAGTTCTTGCGAACCAAGATTGGGTTATGGGAACAGGGCTAATCTTTTTCATTTTCAACATCAGGCTCGCGAAGGCCCTGTGGAGTTTGAAAAAGATACCGCGGATCCCTTTGGCATCGACGGAATGATTGCCGAAGTTACTGGTGGTCAATCATCCGGTGGGCAGAAAAGATATGGGATCCAGGAGGCGGAATCCAGCCAGAGAGGCTCAAAACGAGCGCGAGTAGATGACGATGAAGACGATGACCACTACCGAAGGAGGTAATCCAACTACGATAACCGCATCATCCGAATATTCATCTGCATACCTCAAGAACGCGTTCAAGTCATGACTCGGCATCTTTATAGGCGTATTTTGGCGTTAGGTAGTCTTTTCTTCTTCACCCGGTATGCATTGGATTCCCGTGGTTTACGTGCCAGCTAAGGGCATACTTTAATACCCATAGCTTTATTATATCATCTACCATTGTATTATCATTCGTCTTTTACACATAAGTAAGTCCCTAGCACAGATCTAATACGTTGCTGAAAACTGAAAACATATTAGGATATTACAGAATGCTTTTGATTTACACAAAACACCATTTCGCCCAAATACAAACAGAGCCAGGTCTATATACTCGTAGCACGGGAACAATCAAGACAAGAGAAAGTGTCTAGCCTTCTACTCCAACCCGATCCAATCCCCATCACTGTCATTAGCTTCATCTCCACCCTGCTCTTCCATTAAAGGGTTTTCTTCCTTAGGATTCTCCAGAAGCATCCTCTTCGATTCGTTAGAGGTAGTGTTTTTGGCCCCGGGTGCATAGGCGGGCTTTGAAAGAAAGTATTCCAAAGTATATGAATTCTTTTCTGCAAGTCTTTTTAAGTCATTTCGAATGCCATCAATGGCTTTCTGAACAGATCTTAGCTCCGCAGCAAAAGACGCTGCGTTGTTCTTGATGTAGCGTCCTCTTATGCTTAATAATGCTTGAATCCAAAGTAAGTTGAATTCCAAATGGGGAGTTTCATCGGCTGCGTTGGCAACAAACCGGAGTAGACGGGTTACGTATATTGTGGGAATTGAACGGACAATATGGGGTATCTCAGAAGGAGGTATAGATTCGTAAACCGTTCTGATGAGCTCAGATTCATTGAGGCGGAATGCCATGATGATGGCTTTGAGGAATGAAAAGTCAGATGTGGTAGTTTCCGATGAAGATTCGGGGTGTTGGGATAAAGCCGCTTTTTTAGCTGCTGCAACGGTGGCCATGATACTGTCTGGTGTGATAGATATATCCAAGTCGAACGGATCGAAGACCACGTCATCGTCAAGGCTATATATCAGCAGACCTTCCGTAGAAGCGGCGCAGAATGATCTCCCAGTGGGTGAAAATGATACCGATGTGACGCGGACTTCAGGGCGAGTGGTTCTAGCTCCATTGTCTCCACGACGAGCCCCTGGTAATGTCTTATCTTTTCGGTCCTCGATGTCAGATGCTTCACCAGTTTCGTCAATTAACCCCTGAGGTCCGGCTTCGGTCATGTTTCGACTGTTTAGAAACTCCTGAGTTCCGTCTAACGATGTGTTGAGTGAAACTGTGAATTTTTTGATCAAAGAACTTGTGCCAACGTCGTAGAGACAGATATATTTACTGTTCCCACCAGCTAAGAGACATGTGCCGTCGCCGCTGTAGGTTATAGTTGCAAATGATTTTGTGCCAGCAGAATTTGCGGCGGTGCGTCTGTCGGTTATCTTTCTACCACCAGACACGTCTCGGCGACCATCGATACCCGATTGCTGAACAGCATCTGCGACGGACCAGAATGTTAACTGGCCATCAAGTGTCGACGCTGCAATCTGCTTTCCATCTGGTCTGAATGCTACACATAGGACGTCTGACTGTAGCTGTAGCGGTTCACTAGTCTGGCTCCTCCCAAAAATACTCCATATCCTGACTGTACGATCCCAGCTGGCGCTGACAACATGGCTTCCATCTGCGGAGAAGGATAATGACGATACTGGCCCTTCATGGCCCGATAGCTGATCAAGGAGCTGACCAGTCTGTACAGACCAAATGTGAATGTCGAATGAGTCCAGGGATCCGGCGCATACAATTTCACCACTGGGGTCGACTGCCAAGGAAGAAAAGGATAACCGTGAAGGGGCAGTGAAGGTCTTGAAATTCCGATATCGTACAAGATCCCATGCTCGTACTGAACCGTCCAGGGATGCTGTGAAGAGCACATTCCCACGTTTCGTGAACTCACATGCTGTAACACCACTCTTGTGTTCGGTGAAAGTAACAATGCAAAATCCAGTTTTGATATCCCAGACCTTGATTTTGCCATCGTCAGCCGCAGTAATGATCTTTCGGCCGTCAGGGGAATAAACCAGGGCATTCATGGAGCCTAGATGGCCCTGTTGTTTTAAGATATAAGACTCAGATTGCCACTCCCATACAAGCAGCTGACCGAGTTTTGACGAGCCAAATGCGAGCCATTCGCTGGAGCTATTGATAGTAACGCAATCAATGTTGCTTTGAGACACACTACAAACCGTTAGATTGGAAGCGATATAGGGAACAAATGCATACATACCTTAATAAGTGGAGTTGACTGAAGCTAGGCATTTCCCATAGGCCAAATATTCCGTTGGAGAAACCGACAACTAAAATGTTAGCTTTGGCGTGGAAAGCAGCACAGTTTACTTTGGAACCGCTTTGCAAAAAGTAATCCTTTTTGACTATTCTCCACCGTTCGTCGGTACTGCTGCCATCCTCTTTCGTTCTAGACACATAACCCCAGCGAAATAGCGCACCATCCTTGCTAATGGTATATATCTGATTCGAGCATTAGTTTCTTAGTAGCTTTGGTTAAATATCTCTCCAACATCACTCACCGATTCCTGATCATGGGAAAACCAGGCATTGATAACCCCATCACGGTGTCCAGCCAAAGTTGTTGGTTCAAACCCCTCCTCCGGATCCACACTCCATATCCTCGCAGTTAGATCTTTTGATGCAGTCAACAAGAATCTTGAATCGCTGGACCAATGGATGTTTTGTATTGTGTCGAAATGACCGGCTAGGTCTCGGTGAAGCACAAAAGGAGCAAACTCAAGCTCACCGCTGGTACCAGCGCCCGGAGTAGACGGCGTGCACCATATCTGTAGCCTCCGGCCGACCCCCACGGCAAAATGACGACCAGAGGGCGAGAACGAGAGCGCGCTCACAGCAGATTTGAACGTAAAATAATGAATTGGTAGACGTCGCGGGAAATTGGTCAATATAGCCCTGCCATTCTCGTCGATTGAGAGCAGGAGGTTGCCTCTGGGAGATAGATCAATGCGGGCAATATTTGCCCGGTGCGCGAACGGAAGGGTATAGGAGGTGTTTCTAAGGCTATGAGTGAGCTAACCAGACAGCCACGGGATCAATTGGGCACTACAGCTTCATCACTCACTGGACCAGGTCAAAGACAGAGACTCGGTTCCCAACCGGAGAAAGCAGACAGGAGCCATCGGGAGTGAACAAGAGATTCCCTTTGCGATAGACGGTCCCGAGAAGATTTGAAAACTGGCGTGAAATCAGCAAGCTACTACAAGCAGTGACGGCGCAGGGTCTGCTCACCTTGAAATCCGTCTTCATCGTCTCCGGTATAAGCGTATCCTCGCCGGCGCACAGCTTCGTCGACCTTGTTTCTCTTTTTAACGTCTCTTCCTGCTTCTTCTTTCTTTTGCTGCTTCTTAATCTTTTCGATATATTATGTAATCAAGATAACCGGATCTCGGAAGCTGAGATATCCCGCGCCCAAAGGGGAAACTAGCACGCTATTCCCCTTCTATCCTAGCGCGAAGTCGGGGCCCTTTTTTCACCCCCTTGTCCAAATTAGTAAGTCTCAACTCAGGGGCAGAAGGGGAAAGAAGGAAGTTCAACGCAAAGCAAACAGAAAAAAAAGCGACGGCGGCTCAAAGCAACAACCTCACCTTTCATTCTCTCTTGACACTCCTCACGCTCCCTCACATTTCGCCGTATCTCCTCCCTGCGGTTGAACTGCCTCACTACCATCGCAATGGCGTCGACTACATCCGAGACCGCTTCGCCAATTGGTATCGCCAATGTAAGATTTCCCGCAACTCGCTGGTAAGGAGCATGGATCAAATTTAGCTGACCGTTCGCATAGTTGCCCAACCAACGGTATGAGACTACAGAGGACTCTTTCTCCGAGCATGGAGGGCGTTGACTGACTTGGATTGAACAGACACAAGATTGTCGCGAAACGGGGTGCCGCCTTCACGATTATGGTGCGACTTATCTCTTCCACCCTTCCCCCCCTTTTTACTCCGCAGGATCTGTACCAAAGCCCAAGAGGAGCTGTTGACTGAGGAATACAATATAGGTTGCTGGGGAGTCTGGCTTGGGCAAAACCACATTCATCAACACCCTATTCTCGACCACGATCAAGAACTATGCGGACCATAAACGCAGACACGCTAAGCAGGTCGACAAGACCGTTGAGATCGAGATCACAAAGGCTGAGCTCGAGGAACGATTTTTCAAAGGTATACATGCGGTTTAAGGACTGACATATTTAATATAGGGTCGAGGCTAATCCGTTCTTTCTACAGTTCGGCTGACCGTTATTGATACTCCTGGCTTCGGCGACTACGTCAACAACCGTGATTCATGGATGCCCATTATCGAATTTTTGGATGACCAGCACGAGTCCTATATGTTGCAAGAGCAACAGCCACGCCGTATAGACAAGATCGATCTCCGTGTCCACGCTTGCCTGTACTTTATCCGCCCAACGGGCCACACCCTCAAACCACTAGATATCGAGGTTATGAAGCGTCTCAGCTCGCGCGTGAACTTGATTCCAGTTGTCGCGAAGGCTGATACCCTAAGCCCTTCTGATCTTGCCCGCTTCAAGCAGAGAGTGAGTATATCATCATTTCCCACTGCTTAAAGAGCCCCCCTGATGTTTGAAATTTTCTCCAGCTGACAGTTCTGTGTAACAGATCCGCGCTGTCATTGAAGCTCAGGGCATCAAGATCTATCAGCCTCCGGTCGAAGAGGATGACGAGCAAGCTGCCCAGCACGCCCGCAGCTTGATGGCTGTTATGCCATTCTCCGTCATTGGTTCCGAAAAGGACGTTAAGACTAGCGATGGCCACATCGTCAAGGGTCGCCAGTACTCCTGGGGTGTCGCCGAGGTTGAGAATGAAGATCACTGTGACTTCAAGAAACTCCGCTCTATCCTCATCCGAACACACATGCTTGATCTCATCCACACCACTGAAGAACAGCACTACGAAGCCTATCGAGCACTTCAGATGGAGACCAGAAAGTTCGGAGAGGCCCGACCCAGAAAGCTTGACAACCCTAAGTTCAAGGAAGAGGAGGAGAACCTACGAAAGAGATTCACCGAGCAAGTCAAGATCGAGGAACAACGATTTAGACAGTGGGAGCAGAAACTCATTGCCGAGAGAGACCGACTCAACAAGGACTTGGAAACCACCCACGCAGCGTTAGTTCTACCCAAGCCCTGCTTTACTAGATACACAGCTGACTCTCATTTTAGGATCAAACAACTCGAGCAGGAACTCGACCAGATGCAGGCCCCTCAAGTTCGCAGTCATGGTCGCCGTTAAATGACCGCCATGGCTTAGTGAGATACGGGTGGATGGCTTCTTCCCTTTTAGGAACTCTCTGTCTGCTCCCAAGCTTGATTCTACTTTGGACGGTCGATGCTCGACAGGCAATGTAGTGGTTTCTGGGTCGTTGTATACCCGTCTTCTCCTTTTATATTTCCCGGAGCCAGCGATTCTTGCCAACCCATTTTCACCCTAATGTGTTTCTTTACCCTTCTTTATTCCAAGATCATGTTTTTCTTGCTATAAGTTTTAAATATCTTAATTCCAACAATTGACTTTATCGACTCCACAGATATGTTGTTGCTATAATTATTATTATTTTAATCTCTCCACGTACCTAGGTAGTGAGCTAAGCGTTGAGCCTGACTAAACCGATCATTTCTCCCCTCGCCCAGTAACAAGATAACAGAACATCTCCAACACCTACCAACCACCATACACAGGTGGACAAATGTCGACGTCCACGAAATTCCCTTCAACTCTTCTTCACACTCTTAGAACCCACAGTGGTACGGAAATATCTCAAGTTACTGCTAAGCTGCAAGCGTGGTGTTGCGACATTCCGCGTCTTTTGCAGGGCCACAGGTGGATCATATACTAACCTGCCTCACTTAGGCCCTGTGAATGCCGTTACCTTCTCCAGTTCGCCGGGAACGTATCTTTTGACTGGCTCCTCAGACAGATCTATTCATCTATCTCGCGCGCTGCCACAGTCTTCTCCCTCATCACCTCAGATAACAACCTCACCCATCCAACGATACGAAGCACACGGATACTCAGTGCTAGACATAACAGTCAGTGCAGATAATGCGCGCTTTGCCAGCGTAGGAGGAGACAAACAGGTCTTCTTATGGGACGTGGAGACAGGGAGTACTATAAGAAGATGGAGTGGCCATGCCGGACGAGTTGAAGCTGTTGCATTTGGAGGAGAGGGCGATTCAGTGGTGATATCTGGTGAGCTTCGTCCCAGGCGTACCTCCGTCTTACGTGAACTCTTGAGCTAATATGCGCCTTACTATGGAACAGGAAGTGCTGATTCAGATGTGAAGATATGGGATACACGATCCTTAACATCGAGACCAATACAGACACTTACTGAAGCCACCGATACGGTTTCTTCAGTATACGTCCATATGTTGACTAGCAGTATAATCACAGCCAGCTACGACGGTCGTATCCGCACATATGATTTAAGAGTTGGCGAGATGAAGGTGGATGTCATGGCCCATCCTGTTACAAGCATACATTGCTCCGCGGATGGGAAAGCTATGCTTGCTTCGTGTCTTGATGGACGAATACGGATGGTCGATCGTGACGATGGTGCGGTTCTCAAAAGTTTTGGTGATGGGAATCCTGATCCGTCTGAGAAGAATCGTGGTCCTATATACTTTAATAAGGACTTACGAATTCGGTCTACCTTTGCTAAGGGAGATAGTGTAGTTCTGAGTGGCAGTGAGACCCCAGAAACAAGGTCCAGCGGGGACACTACCCCGGCAACAATTTTTGCATGGGATGTCTTGACTGGTAACGTTATTCGGACTGTGCCGATGGGCACTAATATCAAGGTTGCCAGCTGCGTTGCATGGAATGAGAAGGGCTCATGCTGGGCTGGGGGCTGTTCCGACGGTATGTTTGGAGTGTACAATTACTCTATAGACGAAGTACTTTGCTAATTCATTTTTGCAGGAATTGTCAAGGTATATGGATAGCTTGTTACCTTACTGCCGAGAATATCCTAAATCAACAAATATTCAAGAGAGGAGCATTGTTTTTTATACATGATCTCTGCACTCGTCTAGCTCCAACCCCGGAGCTAGGTTTTAGGTCTGATAGTCGCGCTGGTGTTTTAAATCAACGAAGCCTCCCAGATAAAACGCTCAGTATATAATGCAATGTTAAAATTCCGACTCCAAACACTCCATTGCTAACTCAAGTTCTTCTTCACGGACGATAACATTCCCAGCACGGGATGTACTAAGGAAACTGGTTTCTACGTCCTGTTGTCGGTCAGCTTGAGTTTAGTGGTAAATATATCCATGATATTTTACTTACTTTGTTGCTACCGTTTCCTTCCCGGCGTGTACCTGCAACCAGTGCGCTTGCTACACCCGAAACAATACCAGCAGCTTCAAGGGGCAGCTCACGCAAGTCGAGAGTGATGGCAATGAGGATTTCATCCTTCGAACCTAGCAATAGATTTGTGTCTTCCTCCACGGGTGACGACGGCTCTCTATCCGGGTCACTCGGAAGAGAGAATCGAGGCAACAGCCGCTCTTCCAGGAGCAGCGACGGTGCGGGATCTGTGGCTGCTATTGTCAGGGAGAAAAATTGCGGGTTGTCGTTAAGGAGGGCGGATATCAAGTTAGGACGGAGAATCGAGTAAGACTTTGTCCCTGTGTATTCCCTATAATGTGCCGCACACTGAACCAGACGCAGGGATCGATCAGCCTGCGGTCGAACTTTGTGTTGCTGGAGCGTTTTAAAGGCCCGTAACTGAAGCTCTGATACGCTGCATGGAGGTGGAGTATCTGGCCTGGAGTTGGGGAGGTGGATATTTGGGGATGAACCACGTCTACTATCAGGATCTACTGGCCCTTCTTCGACGTTAAATCCTCTCTCAACGAAGGTCTCTGTGACTTGTTGTTTCGAGTGTTTGGGAACAATAATATAGTCAGAGAAATACGTTGATATGAAGAATATGGATCTTTTCACGTCAGCACCTCAATGATACAGGGGAAGGGTTGGACATCAACTTACATCCCAGCCATTGCAAGAGGACTGGTGAGTTCTACCACACGTTGGCCAGCATCAAGACCCTGCCCTTCTACCTGCATGACCAGATAGTCTTCTGGACTGATTTGGACTTTGCCATGTGTCGATATGGCTGCTCGTTCAAATCCTTCTACCATGGGAACGAAGTAGAGATTTGCGAGTTCTCGGGAGCAGATTATAGAGCATTCAATCGGGGTAATTGATATATTCACAAAACCAGCCGAGTTTTTAGGCGCCACTTCGTTCTCTCCGTCGTGGAAGAGAAGACGAAGAATCGGACTCACGAAGAAAGGATATAGGTCCAACGGAATATGTATGAGGACTAATCTGTCGTCCTATACGGAGATCAATGTTAGTCACGGGTCCAAGAGCATTCCCTATTGTCGATATATGAAATGGCACGTCCTCGAAAGCCCAACGATGTTGAGCCTTCACGAGGATAAAAAGAAGGGAGTGTTCGGACAACGTCTTCGTACCATTAACAGGACTTCAGCCGAGAACCGAGACCGATCAGCCATCACGGTATATGTTCCGGATGAACCTCTTTGGAGTTACAATATATTTGATAATGGGCGACTCTCAACAGCACATGAACTCAAGACCGGCAACTGCGAGCTCTCCAACTTTGAATCTGTCCGGGGAAATTGATGATGGCCGTGGAACCTATGGGGATATGCCTGGCCACTCACACGGCTTTAGAACAATACAAGATCACACAGAGGCCACAACCAGTTAAACGATAGAAACGACGGAATATATGGAACGTTGCTCAAAGGCTGTCCTGGCTATTCTGAACCAGAACACTTCCGAGTATTAGTTACGGAATGAGTCAGTCGGCCGGTTAAATAGATAAAAGAGAAGGAAGCCTTTTTTATTTTTTTAACTATTCTCAGGGGCGAAAACTTGATCGGTCGTTTCTTTTTCCTTTCTCGCCTTTTTACTCTTATTTTTCTTGTTCTTCTCCGAGCAGAGTTCATGGCCTAGAACTCGCGGTGAAGTTTGGGGCTTTTGTATCTTAGGCGTACGGCTGGCATCTTGCGTGGAGTTGCTGCTACTGCATGGCGTTGATGGAATGCATCAAGATCGCAAAGTTTTTGGGTCGCGATGATATGCAGCAGAAAAAGCCGCTTCTTCTCGTGACGTCAACAGGGACAAGAAGCACACGATCGAGATTCAGATGGCGATGGCTCGTATTTGAGGAAGATTCGCAGCTCAATTAACTGGTTAGCTACCGTTGGTAGGCGTCGTGATAGGCCCCGAATTCAGGGGGCAAGCTATGTAGAAGAGTTATAAGTAACGAGTTAAGAGAAGGGATAGATTTCGGCGGTTCGGCAGAGCCAGTTTGATGCCCCGTTTTGGGTGCCCTTACATATGTACGATGGGAGGCCGACAGCTGTGAACTGGCGAAGGAGAACGTCAGACGGCGCCTAGTGATGCTGCAAGTCAACAGCTGCAGGAGAACGGGCGTGGGTTAAATTCGACGTGAGATGGGTGGCGTTCATGCCATTAAGATGCACGGGAGATCTTTGCTTTTAAACCAAAGAAGGACTGCCACGTCCATCCTGATCCAAATTCTTTTTCTTTTCGTATAGATTCATGTCTTCATGTGACATAACTAGTTATCGATGCCAATTATCATCCTCGCTGGCTTCATTGGCTCGTCCATCTTGCTATACACAGGCCATCTCATGGCAGTTGACAGTAGAAACACTCCCAACACCTACGAGAACAAGTAAACAAAATGCACCATCCATTGATCCGGCAAAACAGCGGAAGCTTATACCATTTATTCCTCACAATGTTACATCCATCAAGCCGCCGGAGAGAAGCAGAGAAAGACAGGTCTAGGCTGTGGTCTCTCCAGTGCTTGCATTTGTATGTCCGCCTCTGCCTCTTCCCCTCCCAGCTCGGGGCATGCTACTACTCGCGTACCTTCCCCGGCCCCGTAGGCCGCGACCTCGTCCGGTGGGCTGGTTCAGGGATGCCGGTGGTGGGACTGTATTATATGGTCGAGGCCTGAAGTTCGGGTTGTGGCTCACGACGCCGGCGTCCGGATTCATGCTTTCCACATTTACGTAGCCTCCTCTTCCACCGCCGCGGCTCGGCGGGCCGTTACCCCTGCGTGATGTATGCGAATTGGTATTGCCGCGGCCTCTGCCGGACCCATGTGTACCCTCAGATGTTCCATGATTGCGAATTGGTAGGGTCCCTCGTCCTCTACCGCGCCAGTTAGAGGCTGGTGCACCGTTTGGCTTACCGTTGGAGGGTTGGCCTGTGGCAGCACCTCGATAGCTGTTTACAAGTGGTGGTGGAGTTGGCGCATCTTTCAGCTGCCCCATGCCACTCATCGCTCGGGAAGCAGTCCTGAGAGGTAATTGTTGTTCTCGGGCCTGTTCCTTGTTCTGCGCAGTAGCGCGAGATAGCGCAATCAGCTGTTTATTCGTAAGATTGAGAACTGATGATGAAGGAACGGTTGAGCCGCGGAACGGCGAACATCTGTCTGCTAGAGTGGTGCCACTCATAAACGAGACGTCAAACAGCACGTCAAGAAGCAAGTTCCTCGATGTCCGTGTTAGACCGACAACGGTACCTCGTGAAGCAATCGGAACCTTTCCGGAGTCTTGTGCATAGAGCACTCTGTCACCAAGCTGGAAATGTTGGTTGTTGAGACGGTGTTCTGCGTCTGCAGGTTTCAATAGTGCATTGCGTGGTACTCCTCGAATCTTCTGTGCCACTGGGGTAGGCCGACTTTGTGACAGTTCATCGGCGGACTTTTCAATCGCCTGTACAATGCTAGAGTCAAGTTGTTCAGCCTCGAGTGGAACGCGCTCAAAGCTCTTTGACTCGATCGATTTAAGCCACGCCTGGATCTCCTTGATCTTTTCCTTTGCAATATCGGCAGGGTAGAAATCACTAGGCTCAAACAAGTCGCCCTGGGGTTTCCGTTGGATACCAGCAATGAAGTCCGGAAATTTGATCATGTAATCCTGTAGGAGAGCAATGGCTCTTTCACTGAACTCCCATCCGGAGTTTCCTCGTCGCGAGTAGCCAAGCACTTTCAGCTTCTTCGCTTCGAATTTGAGGTTGAGTCCAAGGTTGACTCGTGTTCCGTCCATATTAACAGAGAAAGACGAGGTAATTTTAGCAAGGGTGAGAGGGCTGAGCCGCAAGTTCCGCGCAATAGCGAATGAAGGAGTATATTTTGATAGCTTTTCAGCGTTCAAGACATGTTCCCTTCCGAACTCCGGCTCTTTTCCCTTGACTGCCGAAAGAAGACCGGACAATTTCCCATCCTCATGTCCAGTAACGTGGACCGGAGCACCATAGTTATACTCACCCAAGAAGAATGCCCTCGCACCCTCTGGGAACTCTTCCTCAATAGGAACTGCTTCTCGTTCAACGAAACGGAGATCCTCACTCACAACTGAATCGACAATAAGCTGCGCAGCGTATTCCGTTTCGACTCCCGGGATCTCTGTAAACTCCTTCACCGTGGCACCATCTGGGGTCTTCTTCAGACCCTTGAGCATCTCCACACGCACGATCGTTTCAACATCACCGATGATCATTCCAAGACGTTTGCTGTAATAAGACTCAATCTTTTCTGCCTTCTTCTTCCACTGACTGATTTGTGTTGGAGTGTGTGGGATCGGCACAACATGTTCTTCACCATCAACTTGAACGTAATCGAATAGTTCATCCGAAACACAAACCACTTTTGCTTCCTGTAGGAACGGATATCCAACATGTACTCTCTTCCCTAATTTAATTTTCGCATCCGCAGTATTACCTCCGATTTCAGGGTCGGAAATAGTAACAACCATGCTTTCGTTACGACTCTCTTGTTGGAATACGCATACCCCATGGAATCCAAGCTGCCCTGTCTGTTGTAGGGTCTGCAAGCTTGGGAATCCATATAAAGCCTCCGCTCCGATTTTCACGCCTTCTACCAAGCCCACATATGGGTCCAGCCCTTCCATGGTAGGCAACTCAAAGACGTTTTCAATACAGCGGCACCGAGAAACATCTGGAAAGATACCGGGAAGGGAGCTGGGATAGAGAAACTCAACATCAGGCGAATATGTAAACTTAAGCGTCACACCAAAAGTGTTTCTGGCTTTCTCCTCGGGGGTCAACAAATGTTCCTTTGTTGCCATGGCCTTTAGAAGCCGCTCCTCGTCTATGAATGGGATTTTCACCACTGCTTCCCATTCCATCTTTTTCCCGTTCATATCAAGTTCAAAGTCCCTGGGGTAGAAGTCGATGATAGGGGAGTCGGGGGTTGTCATCAAACCGTGGAACGCTACGGGGACGATCTTCTTACTTCGGTCTGGTAAGACACCCATCAATTGCTGAAATGGGAAGAAGGGTTGTCCAAGCTTGAAGTCCACATCAGCTCCTAGACCGAGATGTATATCTGATATCATAGGAGCATAATGGTAACGGTAGAACCATGGCCACGATGCAACACCTCGATAATAATAGAAGAGGACCCACTGCAAACCCTGGACGTAATTCTCCGTCAACTTTCGCATTTCCTCTGTATTCTCCAAACCCCAACCAAACTTCCCCTTATAGTATTTATCCTTCCAATCTTGGAATTTCTTCTCATACTTTTTCTCGGCAGCCATCTGGGCGTCTTCAGCAGTGACCTCTTTGACCTTTGCATTTTCATATTTTTTCAAGACACGCAAAATCGCAATTTGTGATTCATCATCGTCATCATCTTCATCATCGTCGTCGTTATTTGTGGGTAACTGGACACGCAAGAACCGTTCTTCATGCTGATTCAAAACGGAGCTCCATTTCAGGTGCAGACTATCTGCGAGCTGTTCCACGAACTTTCGATCTCTTGCCGGTAAGGAAGGCGATAAATCGAGAGGCACCGGCTGTCCGGCCTCATCCATTGGGCGATGGGTGACATACTTTTTTATCCGATTGAAGATATGTTTCTGTGCAGGGGTTATTGTAAACACGTTGGGCTTTTCTGGCAATGTCGGGGTTTGGTCGCCATCCAGGGTTTTTGATTTGAGCCATCTGGCATCGGAATACTCAGCTTCAAAAAATCGAAACTCGACATCTGACAAAGCTGCCAACAGTGTCCTCAGCCTCTCCATGTTGATTGTTCCATGTTCATTGACGTAACCACCCAGCTTCGGTAAAACATCTTTATAAACCTTGAACATCCACGCCAAAGCGCCTTCATTTATGTGCAGGTTTGGAAGGTTGGGTAAGAAATCGTTTCCAACGAAGAAGGCCATTAGGATGAAATCATCTATAATCCGTTCCATATCAAAGGGAAACTGCAGTGCTCCATCTAATTTCAACTCCTGGAATTCCAGCTCCAGATATTCCCGAACAATGCAAAGGTGAAGCAAATAAAAATTCTGGTGTTCAAGTTCCTTAGATTTCTTTTGACTCTGTCGTCCAAATGTCACTTCTTCTCGGAGCAGACAGAAGTGAGGGTCATGACTCAAAAGTCCCAGCATGATTAAGTCTGCATCTAGACCGTACAAGCAGTGACGCATATTTGGGTCATACTCCGGCTGAGCCTTTGCCTGGCGAATGTATTCCATGATTTTGTGCTCTCCCTCTCCAGGGACTTCATGGCCGGAGAGAACCACCTCGACACCTTGCCACTCAGCATCTTCCGACACTTTCTTGTTGATAAAATACTTCAATTGTTTTGTAAGTTTGGCCATGAACTCGGTCCCCGGAGTGATGCAGTTACTGTCAAATGCATCTTCCTTGGGCATCTCTACTCCTTCTTTTATGGCCTTCTCCTTCGCAAGTTCGGCATCAAGGGCGGTACGGAATCGTCGAGCACGCTGCTGGTTCATTTTGGCTCGGGGGGCAACACCATCGATTGCCATGAAGAATAGTCGTTTGGGCTTGATCTTTCCAAAGAGATGTTCAATATAGTTGAAGATGGCGATAAACATCTTGTCTTCCGTCATTCGAAAGGTCGGCGAGTCCGAGTCCTTGTGAGTGCAATTATGGATGATTCCGTTCATATCGAGGTAGAGACAGTCGAACTCTGGAATCCGATTCTCCGCGATAAGCTGTGATATCGCAGGGTATCGCTCTGAGAGCCATCTGAAGAATTTTGGGACACCCATGGCTGTGTCTAGCAAGCTACTGTTTTGGTCTGTTGGTGGTGTAGCAAATATTCAAGACGAGTATGGCGGTAGTCTTGTTGGGACTACCTTGTTGCGACCCTGGCGATGGCGGATATTGTACAGTGTGTACCAGGAATAGGAAAAAATAATTAAAAAAAAGGAAGGAAAAGAGGGATAGGGAGGTAATCTCAGAAGAGAAGAATGTCGAAGCTGAATATTATTCAAGTGAATTTCGAAGTTGCAGTCACTAAACGCCGAGCGCCTGTTTAGTCACGTGCTCCAACCGCCGGATTAATGATGTTACGTTCACGTGATGAGAAGCTTCCGGGCGTCAATTAACGCGCGCGGATCGCGCATTTTAGGAACAAGCGGCGTCTTTTTCGCTTCTTCCTCTTGCATGCTGATAGAAACTGCTGTTGCGCGCTCTTCTGCTGCCGATATCCAGAGATTGCCTAGCCAAAGGTACCTGTTGTGTTTTTGTTCCCTTTAATTTACGTCAGTTTAGGAACGCGGCGAAATGGACCGCTTTTCCCCAAGTAAGTACATGGACCTTCTATATCACAGAGAGGGAGATTGAGTGTTAACATATGGAATGGCAGGCTTGGAAGAGGACCACGAGGAGGAGATAGCAGAGGAGAAGATTATCAATGAAGGTATGGTGGAGCTTCCGAGAGTATATGACTTTGCACTGAGCACTGACCGAGCTCCTGCAGAATACAAAACATGGAAGAAGAATGCGCCTTTTCTATATGATATGATCCTGAGCACCGCCTTAGAATGGCCAACTCTGACAGCGCAATGGCTTCCAGACAAGCAGGAGTGAGTCTGCCGCTGGATATGCCCTATTTTTGCCTTCCCACTAAGTCTGACAAACCGTTCAAGGGACCCTGACAAATCTTACTCTACACATCGCCTTTTGCTAGGCACTCACACTTCAGGCGAGGCACAAAACTACCTTCAAATAGCTCAGGTGCAGCTACCAAACCCCAAAAACCCAGAAGCCGAAGATTACGATGAAGAGAGGGGTGAGATTGGAGGCTATGGCGGGTCCAACAAGACGTCGATGGAGGTGAAGTTTAACATCGTCCAAAAGATTGATCACAAGGGAGAGGTGAACAAGGCACGGTACCAGCCGCAAAACCCTAATATTATTGCAACAATGTGTACCGATGGACGGGTTATGATATGGGATCGATCAAAGCATCCTAGCCTTCCTCAGGGCACAGTTAACCCGCAATTGGAGTTGTTAGGCCATACTAGCGAAGGCTTTGGCTTAAGCTGGAATCCTCATACTGCAGGAGAAGTGGCCACTGGAAGTGAAGACAAAACTGTCCGGTTATGGTATGTTGTGCCCTTTGCGAGATAGTCCGTAACAATTTGCTAACCTTGGTTCAGGGATCTTAACACATACACGAAAGGCAACAAGGCTTTGAAACCAGTGAGAACATATACACACCACTCTTCTATCGTTAATGATGTCCAATATCACCCACTCCACTCATCTCTCGTTGGTACCGTCTCCGACGACATCACCCTCCAAATCCTCGATATCCGTGAATCAGACACAACGCGGTCTGCCGCTTCTGCAAAGGGACAGCACAAAGATGCCATCAATGCAGTGGCTTTCAACCCCGCCGCGGAAACAGTAGTAGCTACTGGCTCTGCTGACAAGACTATTGGTCTATGGGACCTACGAAACCTCAAGTCAAAGCTCCATGCGCTAGAGTGCCACCAGGACTCAGTCACCTCGCTATCGTGGCACCCCTTCGAAGAGTCCGTGTTGGCGAGCGCAAGTTACGACAGACGGATCATGTTCTGGGACCTCAGCCGCGCAGGAGAAGAACAAACCCAGGAAGACGCCCAAGACGGGCCTCCAGAGCTGTAAGTACCTTTTCTATGCTTTGCTTCACCTTTAGGCTCTCGCTTGCTAACCTCGACTTTCTTACCATTTAGATTGTTTGTGCATGGCGGACATACAAACCGCATATCCGACTTCAGCTGGAACCTTAACGATCCCTGGGTGCTTTGCTCAGCTGCTGAAGATAACCTGCTGCAAGTATGGAAGGTCGCGGATGCAATCGTCGGCAAGGACATGGAGGACGTTCCTACTGAGGAGCTGGAGTCATGATACATTCTGTACTGCCCTGTAACTATAGCCAACGTATTCCCCTTGCCACCAACGCTGTGCATCATCATCACATCACATCGCAACGCCCATGTATCCATAGCCAGCTGTGCGGACGATTACAAGACACCCTGCAGAACTACCAGGGCCTGCATCTCATCTCTCTTCACTGTAGATCTTCCCTGTGGCGGCCCTTTTCTGCTCCCTCTAGGCCAGAACGTCCCAGCCCGAATCCCAACATGTTCTGCGCCCTGTCTTCCCCAGCAGCTCCCTTCGGCTTCCGTCGTATTGTTGCTCACAAACCACCCTCATCCTCATCGCCCTCCCCGAGAAAAAACGACCGCCTTCATCCTGGCATTAGCCAAACCGTCGGTGGAAATAGTTAGCACAGCCAGCCCGTGGCTGCTCTTAAACAATTCTCCGAATCCCATACGAGCTGCGGGAAAAGGCTGATTGGCTACGATGGGGAAAATTTTCGGCGGGAAGAAAGACGGTCGCAGCGATGGAGTCATCGCCCTCTTTTTCTCTCTCTTCCTCTCCGACTTTGGGTCAAACGAGAAAAATGAATGCCGCTGACAGTTTCGGCGTCGCTGTTCTACTTGCATTGAACTGAATAACTAACTGTGCTGGTCGACTAGTTAAGCTTGCAGGGCGAGAAAGACGTCACCAGGAAAACGGACAAGGAAGAGAACGAAAAAAGTTATCCCGCCATCAGAAACAGCCGCGACCAAATACCCCCCATCCTCCGCCTCTCCCGAAATTCTCTGCTCAGCGTCCATTATTTACCATTCCGGATAGTAAATAGAGCATACTCGCAATGGCTCCGGGCGACTCACAGACGCTGCATCCTAAGCCGAAGTCTGCGGTGCCGTCGTACCTGCTGAACGGGACTTCTTCGGTGCGCATGCCGAGCAGCAGTCGGGAGCGAGAGAGCCTGAACCACTCGATCAAGTCGTCGTTTGAACGGAAACACGCCCTGGGCCCGGATGAGCTCAGAGACGCGGCTACTATAGGGGATACGTCGAATACAAACGCCCCGGCCCCCAGCACTGACGAGGACAAGGTCAATGGCGAGGAGACGAAGCCCAACGGGCTGAAGATGGTGACCGATGTGGCCTCGCAACCGCAGCAGAAACGCAGCGTGAGCAACCATTCTAGAGACCAGATATCGCCTCCGTCGACCGCTGTCAGTCGCCCTGCCAGTCCATATACGTTGAATCCACCAATAGACTTTGACGGACTTAGCTGGCCTAGTATGTCGCAATCACTTTGAACTCCGCATGTCGGGTTATTATGACTGAAAAGCTAACTGCGCATTCATTTTCGAGGTCTGGGAACAAGAGAGCGGTTGGAGTCGACGCCTGAACAAACCGAGCAGCGGATTCAGAAGCTCGCGGGTGCCGTGAGGACTATCCTTGAGTGCATTGGAGAAGATCCGGAGCGGGAAGGCTTGCTCGAGACGCCAGAGCGATATGCCAAAGCTCTAATGTTTTTCACCAAGGGGTACGAAGAAAATGTACGAGATCTGGTCAATGGTGCAGTATTCCATGAGGATCACGATGAGCTTGTGATTGTCAAGGACATCGAGGTGTTCTCCTTGTGCGAGCACCATATGGTTCCTTTCTCTGGAAAAGTAGGCATCCAAACTCCCCTTTTCACTTGCCAGGGCTATGGCTGATAACATATTCCTTCGATGTAGATGCACATTGGCTACATTCCAGACCGCCGAGTTCTCGGTCTTTCGAAACTGGCTCGTCTTGCGGAAATGTTCTCTCGTCGGCTTCAGGTTCAAGAACGACTAACAAAGCAAGTCGCTCTCGCCATTGTTGAAGTCCTCAAGCCTCAAGGCGTTGCCGTAGTCATGGAATCAAGCCATCTCTGCATGGTCATGCGTGGTGTCCAAAAGACGGGCAGTACTACCACCACCAGCTGTATGCTTGGTTGCATGAGGTCAAGCGCAAAGACCAAGGAAGAGTTCCTCAGCCTGTTGAACAGGAGATAAAACACTAAGTTATCCCTGGAGAATCATACCCTGAAAAAAAGTGAAAAATACAAATATACAGACAAGTAACCATGGATGTGATACAGTCATCCTCTACCATCCCAGCACCAGCTCAAAAGCTTCAACGTATCCTTATGGAACTCCCAAATCATGCGCATAAAGTGTATTATTTCCTTTTCTGCATCTCATCAGCATGGCCTCGAGGCAAGACGCAAGATCTTCCTCCACTCCGCCTTTCAACAAGATAATATCTGGCGTTGTTTTATTCTTTGACTACCTTCCAGCACTTTGTATTTTTTGGCCCCTACTGCTTTTCTATCCACCGACCATACCCCATCTCACTTTATTGCGTATTTCAACAACCCCCTTGGTGACGAAGGTTATGATAGATGAGATTTCATGCTGCTCAACGCACTAATAACTGCACTTGTTCGAAGGATATAGGAACAGCATGAAGTATACCCGCACCCACGGTTTACTGCATTACGAGCCTTTATCATTGCACCAGGCAGTTTACTCTTAGGAATTATAGATGAAAAAATATAGCAAAGAACTTGACCGAATGTCAGCTCTATATACTACCTGGTAAATTAGCCTGGGTATAGTTCCTTGTCTTCAACATCTCTCCGCCTGCTCCTTTTTGTATACACCGACTTTATACACCAACTTCGATTCGTAAATACCTCTCAACACCCTGCTTACCCATAATCAAGAGCTGGCTGTTACTGTCTTCACACCTTGGATATCTCCGTGCAGTAAATGTGTGTGCTTTGCTATTATCTATTCATGTGAGGTTAATCTAAACTAGCTGCCTCACTACTTGTGCTCAGTGAAGATGGTTGTAGGAGACATACAACGCGGCTATCTCTATGGTAACAACTCTATAACACACTAACCAGCAATATCAACGTGATTTAAAACGCGTTTTCTTATTTCTTCTCCATTTACTTTTTAAAAGACCTTATCACAAACAACTTCTTCCTGGTATCTTGTTATTATGCTAGGGACAGGTATCATATAGCCTATAGGGGTTATCAAACAGTGCTCTAAGCCAGAACACAATATCGCGTCCTTAAGTGTCGGAACTTCCCGTCTTCCAGAAGTTGGCCTTTATAAGGCCTTAAGTGGTGTGACCTTTTCACAAATTGTCTTCTTCTCCTTTTTCTTCCCATATCTCTAGCAACAGCTAACTCAAAAATTCTACATTTATTGTAGCTTTGATCAAGTTTATACTTATAAACTTGCGCGTGATAGGTAGCAAGGAGCAAAGGCAGCGTAGTTCGTCCCTGAACAAGCGGTATAGCCCCTGATATTAGATGGTGCTGCATAGAATGTACCATGAAATCCTTGCATTCCCCCACTCTATCTTCTTTGACCTCTTATGGAAACTGTTGCTAATTTGTCACTGGGTATACGCCTTGGTGTTATAGGAAACATACGGAGAAAGCCAACTTCCTTTATATTGCAAATTGACCCAGTTATGGCTGGCCGAGAGACTCGAAAAGGATCATCAAGCGCACGCTGTCCCCAAAGTAAGGGTAGAGCAAGAGCCCAAAAAGGCAAACAGAGACAGCAGTCTCTGCCGTCCGGAGATCATGGAGAGCCTGATCAGCAACAAGTTGGTGAAGTTGCTCACGAATTTGCACCTGGGCCGGCTTATCTCCCACCGCTATCTGATCAGGGGTACAAGCCGGTTCCAGACGCGCTTGGCCCAATTGGGGCTATCCCCGATGACCGTCCTATGCTTCATTTTAATTCGGATTCGAATAAACCATTTCCGGATAATGGACGGGTTCCATTTCCACGACACTTATTCAGGAGACTTGAAGCAGAACTATATCCAGCAAACGCACAAGGTTACGCCTGGGCTATTGCTGCAGGGTATGATGGCCCTCTGTTGCCTAATCCAGCACTGACGGCTATGCTCCCAAAAGACAGTCATGGTCCCGAGAATCAAGGAATACGATCTTTCAGCGGCGAGGTCAAGTCAAGCCGAGATACAAGCCCCTCTGGAGCTGGAATTGTTCGCTTGGCCAAGGTACATGTTTACCAAAAAAGGCTCAAGCCAAACAGCATTGCCGTTCCAACTGTCAAATTGCCAACGTTAAGGGGGATTGTTGTAAGACAGTTTAGGGACAAGAATGAGGACGGGCCTATTGTCCTTCCAGAAATAAGGAAAACGGTGTCTTTACTTGTGGGAAGTTTACCACCCCTCAGCCGTGGATTCCTTGCAAACCATCTCATTAGCACCTGGAAAGACCGTGAATGGCACGCGACAGGGGTCCCTAGACCAGAATATCCGGACTGGACTTCCAGGACTATCAGAAAATGCCGTATTACCAACCGCGGCCACAGTAATGGTTACCGGAGCTTTGGTGACCTTGCTCAGTTGGACTTTGACTCAGTCTCTCTTGGGAATTTCTCAATAGTGAAGGCTGAAGATATCCCCGAATTTAAGGATATGTCAGTTGTCCAGCGCGAAGAATTCAGGCCTGAATTTAACATATTTCAGCACTTGGTTAGGCATCCCGAACTAATTATTATCATGGCAAAGTATCTTCGGGTCCAAGAGCTGCTGATTCTCTATTGCATGTCCAGACCGTTTCATCATATCGTTCGCAATCGTATTACTGGAATCATCATTTCCCAGGCGCATCGTCGAGCTATGGAATCGGCGCAGATCTTCCCCTTCCGTTGCTTTGGTAAGCTTTGCTTTACTGATCCCACTAAGCAGCCACATCAAGTCCCGGAGAGAGCAGAGGCAGGAGAATTTCGCCAGGTTCCTTCTTTCCGATGGTTGTTAATGATATGCTACCGGGAAATGGTATGTCACCAGATAGTCACCATCATGGCAGAAGACGGCTTGCCCGTTCCTGATAATTGCACCTCTGTCCTGAAGAAAATATGGCTTCTGCTGGATATTCCGGACAATAAGCGACGTATTGCACTGGTTCGGCAAACATCTATTTTCAGTGACCTTGACCTTTTTTTCGCCATGATGCTCTTTGTCAAGATCGATATGCGGTTCACTGATCCTGTTACGGGCAATGGAAAGGATGGTATGCGTCGCCTGCTCCTGGCACAGCCAAGTCTCACAATGTTATGGAGAGCTCTAAGACGCACAGCTCTAGTCAGCAAATTGGATGTCTTGAAGCTTTACACCCGCTGGAGGTATCACCCTCCACACCCTGAACGCGGCCAGACAATTTTCGGCATTCCGCCAGATGAGATTGGAAAAATGCAATATGAGGCCTGGGGTATGACACGAAGCCGGCGTATACTATTGCGTCCAGATGAACTGATCATGAGGGAGTCGATTCGTCGAGGGTTGAATCTACAACTCCATTACACAGACATGTTTCTTTGGGGGTATGTCGATGCAAGAACGAGGAGTAATACTGCGACCGAGATACCTTCTCGTGCCCTGGAGAGGTTAGAGGGAATGGAAGAGATATTGATGTCGAGGGAAGAGCATGCAAGGTCAAAATTCGCCCTGGTGGCCTTTCCTCCACGGGCCTGATTACAGGTTAGAATGCAAAAGTGGACATCGTGTCAGGGCAAGGGGCTGCGTTCCGTTTCCAGAGAAACGTTGGGTGGCCCATACGAGATGCAAAGGGTGGAGAATCGAGGCACAAGGTGACTGGTAAAATTGGTGGTCGCAAGTATTTGAGGTGATTTGGCACAAACGGGCTTCAGATTCTGTATTTCTTAGCAGGTAACCACCTGGGAGAGGCTGGAAAATGACTGACGGAGAGAAAGAGAGTGGGATGCCTGCGTTTGGCTGGAATGAGATCAACAAGTTAACAAGCTAGCAAGCTAGACAAGCATCCAGGGAAGATGTAATTCAAAGCGCTATCCTGATCACCTCTCTTCAGGCCTTCGTCTAGCTGTTAACTCCGTCCATTCTCCGTGTTGTTTTGTTGTTTTTTGTATGTCGAGTTAAGCTTCGAGCATCGGCCTCTCGGCCCACCGTGCCCGACTTTGAGGTATTATTAATAATCTATGACGTATGACGTATGCAAGCAGAGGACGACGTAGCAAGAATGCATTGCGGAGTATTTGCTTTGCTCGACACGAGACGGAGCTTGGAGCTGAATAAAAAGCCGTTCTAGATTCCGTAACTTGACGCAGCCGTGGCAGGTTTGGCAAAGTAGATTGGTAATACGTATCAACTATTGGGCTTGCTTGGAGCTATTAGTTAGCCAAGCGATGGTTGCTGCCTACTGGTTATAAGTAAGTAGTTAGGCCTGTCTGTACAAAGCCAATCTTGCAAAGTATTTGGTGCAACGGTGTCCTTTTTTAGTGTTTGGGGTCTATGAGTTGCAGAATCTTTACTAGAAATATCCTTTCTGCATCAGGATTCCTTACTAGGTCTCCTCTATCGTCAAAACAGATACCCACGGCTGTTCCTTCTCTCATTTTGCTCATCAAGCCAGCAGCAAGACTCCGTACCACTTCACCCTGCGTACAAAGAAGACAGATAACCATGGCGTCCCCAAATAATATCAAACTGTCCGTTACAGATGCACCCGTTTTTAGCTTCAACCCAAAAGTAGAAACGGCTGAGAAGGCAAGCGAGTTGTTGCAGAAAGATGAACAAGAACATAATATTTACTTCAACGACATGGGATTCCACAGTAAGTTTTCCGATAATTTCGTGCATATCCAAGGTAAACCCTTGACAAAGATCCATTCATAACTGGCTAATTGCTATCACAGACCACATTGATCACCATGTACTATCCATCTATGCTCTCGGGGCTTCCCCAGAAGACGTAGACCGTGCCTATGCCAGCGGTTCAAGTTATCAACGGCCTGCTCTTCCGGTAGACGAGGACGTTGTCAAGCGTCTAAGCAATAAAGATGAGTTCAGGAAACTAGCTGGAAAGAGAGAGCATTACCCAAATTTCCTGCATTTTTTCAAACAGGAAATCGAGTCTAAAGGTGTCGGCTCTGTTGTACAAAAGTACCTCTTTGCAGGAGGAGAGTTTGCCGACGAGATGTTGGCGCGACTTTTTGGAGGTGCTTTAAATATTTCCATCCCCCTATTTCTCTTCTTTGACATGAATTATTTTTCGGGCCTAGGTATATTGTGTCAATTCTGTACCAGCTTGCTGATAGGTGTTGATAGGGCTTATACATCCGCTGATCCATCTGGGATTTGGCATCGAATTCAATCAGCCTTCTATCATTGCCCAGGGTCTTGCTCAAACCGCCACGCATAATAAACAGCTGGAGACCTTCTTTCAGTCCGCAGAGAAGATGGCACGCGATGCTGGGAAGCCCAGCAACAAAACATTGGTGCAACTCCAAGACGAGCTACGGAACGATTCGGATATCAAACGATCAGTTGAGTGGGCTGACTCGAGTAAATTTTTTGACGGTGTGATGCATCGATGCCCGGAAAAGATGATTGAATACGCCAGCCAGTTCAACGTCGACCCCAGCCAGTTCGATGAGAAGCTCGCTGAATTGATTAACTCAACGGGTATATTGCGTCCAGTCCTTGTGTTAGAAGGTATGGGCTGATTTGATGATTTTAGTGTATTTCACTGGAACGGCCCAAAATCCCAAAAAGGCAATCAGGTTTGATTTCTTCTACATTCATGCGTTGAACTCCAACATATTCCTTCCTGCTTTCTTTGCCCAGTCTTGGATGACCAAGGAGAATAAGGTACGTCTTCTTGAATGGAAAGCTCGTAACGATCTCCTTACCTACGTCTCTCGCGGGTGCACGGAGCCGCACCTGGAGGACATCACAAATTACCCTGCCAAATTAGACTGGAAAGGAGTGTTCAAGGAGACTGTGGCACTTAAGCAGGATGACGGACACGCTGCCAAGTTTATCCGGCATATCGCCCATGGTGAGAAGGTTTGCAAGCCGTATGAAGAAAAAGATGGTTTCCGTATCAAGGGTGACATGTGGCTGAAGCTGGGAAATATGCGTGAGTAACGCCATCCTTGCAATTGCAGTACCAAGGTAACTAACGGAGCGAATTATCCATTTAGTGGTTGATTCTATCCATGCGCCAGGACCCAACTGGGTAAGATCTGCCGGGTTTGAGGAGGCATGGGAGGAAATTCCAGCTCGACAGTAGCTTATGCTAGGAAATAAGGCTCGTAATGTCGTTTATAGAACCAGAATGGGCCCCCTTTTCCATATATTCCTGTATATTTGCAAGTGCACGTCGCAGGATATTTACCTTCATACGTAGAATGCAATTTCCCCATCCATACTAGGCAGTTAATAAATTATGTTGCACTGTCTTAGTCATCGAAGGCCCGTCAAAGTAATATCACGTGACAGACCCGGCTGCCAAATTTCACCAAGTTTTTTAGCTTCAGATGAACATGGGGGATGTCGCTCTCGAGGAAGAAGGGCTGAGAACAAGTTACGGTGCTGCGTGGCCCTGGGGATAGCTTGGGGGCTGCTCCTTGTGTCTAAGGTATGTTTCCTGTGTTATTAATGTACTGTTGATGCGAAATCTCCACTCCAACAAAGCAAAAGTGAGAGGGGCAAACCAGATGCTAGAGCCGACTTGAATAACACTTTGCGTTCTTTATAGGTCTGCCCCCAGCATCTATGCTTTATATAATGTTGAATCCGGATATTTTCTTTCCATTACCAGATCACACAGTCACTTATTGCACCTGAAATGCCCGAACGATTCTGCTAGGTGAACGATTGGTGATGACCAGTTAGTATATGCATATAGTTGACGTCAATGTTCAATATTTGCCTGATAAAATGGTGAATATTTGGAATATAGACATTCGTTCACCCTCTGGCTCCCCAGGTTAACTAGGTATGCGCTAAGTTCATATACCTTTCGGCTTGTGACTTCCTTTGCCTCTTAATATTGACAGACGGTCACAGTTTAGCTATGGGGATACGAATCATTCGGCTGCTGGGATGAGACCCTACTCATCACTGGCTGTGTCCTAGGTGGAGGAGTCTATGGTTTATATATTATTACTTATTTTGGTAAACTTGGATTCCTGGATCACTACTGTCAGGGCCCAGGAGGATCATCGGCAAGCTGGTGTGGCTATTCGGGCGTTACACCGCAAGTTATTTCCTCGAGTAAATGCCCACATGGTTCAGTCAAGATAGCATGAAGGTTGACCACAATAAGCCTGTCTTTGCTGAGCTATACTGTGCCAACAAAATCCTCACCATATGACCACCCCCCGATAGAAAGGGCATTGGAAAAGCTGGCTGGCTACATGCTGACTATGTATAGGAACATTGCAAGCAGCTTTTTCATCGAGTCAACTAAGGAATATTCTGCCGCGCATATCACAAATTTGATACAACTCAACCGCTTGCCATGAAGTTATCACGACATATGCGGCTTGTGAGGAGCTTAACCTGGCAATGTGCTGGCCCTCCTCCATGATTGATGACCTCGAGTTCGAGAAATTTTATACCGTAGATAGACAGGTGGCGGTATGCCATGGACGTTGGCTCCGGGCTCCGGCAGTTGGCGACACCAAAGGAATTGTGCGGTGAACTTAGGCGGAATCTTTGCAGATATTTGAATGCCGGAGAAGCACCTTGGGGTAGGGCGCTGCCAGCGCCTCTGTCGGACCAGCGCCCCATGTTGGCCTTGGTCATTTCACAGCCTGGCCATGGAGCCCGCCATTCCCTTTCGTAGATGCCATGACAGGAGTGAAATTCGGACGATTTACACAACCTGAATCGGCCCGAACAGACGAACCTGGCGGCGATCATTGTTGGTTGTTCAATGGCGGGAGACTGAGTAATATCAAATCTTCGCTGTTCCGGTATACTCTACTTGCAGCTGTATCCCGAGCTTCACCAGATACGAAACAGGGAAAAACAAAAGAGTAGATATACCAATATCTACACCGGCTAACGACTTTCTAATCTCCCACGCACCAATCTTCGTGCAGCATATATCGACTCCCGACGAATCGACCTCGTTTTAGAAGACTTGCGCTGGATGGAATACAAAGGCGAGAGCAAGGCAGGTGTGCGGAAATGGTGTCTCTCGCCCGCCGTTGTTCCGGGAGCCACTTTTTATCGACCAAAGAAAAAAAAACCGCCTTCTTAACATTATTTTGGCAACACAACAAGGCGCAAGCCAGACGACGACCGATACGACGGGCAATACCTTTGGCGCAACCTGGCATTGCTACGGCTGCCAGTCGATCAAATTGTCTATTTAAAAAAGCAGATGTGGCTTGGGGTACATGGCCGGATACGATAGGCATCTATCGATGAGAGAACAGAGGAGAGACGGGCACCACGAATACGATACAATAGAGCAAAAGGCGAGCAAAAGAGGCGCCTATCACCAGAAATCCAGACATCCGCCACGTCGCAAGGAGCAGAATAGATCGGACGGAGGCCGTGTTGATTCGTATCATCGACCTTCTTCGCTCCATCGAACCGACCAGGGACGAGGTGGAGGGAGAAGAACCGCGTCCCCATCCCCACACGACGATTCTGCTGCTCAAGAACAGCGCAAGTCTTGCCCAGAGCAACAGGTAAGGGTCCGACAAGATGAAGAGGCACATTCACGTTCACGGTTGGAGGAATACAAGCGACTGAGGAGTGCTTCACCACCCTTTTTGCGTCGCCGCCACTCTTCCGTTAGCAGACGACAAGCCCGTGGTAGTGATGACTATGCCGTGAAGCATGGGAAACTTCGAGAGCACAGCAATTTTCCAGAGAGAAATCACCTTTTAGACAAGGAGAATCGACACGCTAACGATTTTATTGAAGATTTTGCTGGGACGAGCTCTAGATCACATCCCCCGTCCGACAAGCAGAGTCACCTTACCGCTTCCCCAAGACCTTTTGCTCCCCCATTCCCTCGCAATATAGAACCCCATTCCCGACCAGCGTCACGGTACCCGCTTACTTCTAGAGCCTCGCATCACCGTTCCCCTTCTGCCTCCTCCTTTCGCCCCCTAGAACCCGTTTCGAGCGACTCTTCAAAGCCCGGTTGTTCTCCTTTACCGATCGCAAGCGTGTGTAAAGACAGCAGCAGACAGAGAACCAATAACGACGAACACATGCGTGACACATATCCTGTACATGGTGTAAGGCCGGCAGAAGCCCGGTCTTCACGACGGCCGTCACATCCGTCTGTTGATACTCGTCAGCCATACACCACATCACCACAGTATGTAACTCCTACCAGCTCCAGACACGAATCTCCGCAGTCTGCCTCCCCTTATAGTGGTGGTGGGCGCGGCTCGTGGTCCGCACAGCAACAATCACAGCCCTACCATGGACAGTCGAGGTGAGCTGAACCTCTATGTTTACGCTGCCTGATTTAATTTTACTTACTCTTTGTCAGGCAAATGCACGGCTACTCCCCACCATATAGACAATCCAGCTATCCGCCTCAAAGTGCACCACCGAGCCAATATTATCAAGGTCAACCACCCAGCTCAGGGCATCTTCCACCTGGCTATTCCGCTCAGGCCTATAGAGGAAGTAGCTCATCATATCGTGGTAAGGATCTCATACTTTCTTCCCTATTAAAACTTTTCTCGCAAAGTGTTAACCTGTTCTGACAAATCTCTAGGCTCACGCACTAGGGGCTCGCATTTGGATGCTGTACAATGGACTAGTCGTGGCCGTGGCACCTCCCACCAGCACCCACCGCCTCTTCCAATGCAAATACCCTCTGAAGAGCAGATGTCTCTCGATACTGATGAAGAGGACAACCCTTTTCGGCCATCGAAAGACCTTCAGGTGGAGGATCAAGGGGCGGCAGGCGATCTAGAACGCCCTGAACCTCCTCCTTCTAAACGTCAGCCTACCAGCACCACTTCACAACCAAAGGAATCTGGGAAATTCAGCTTTGCATTCAAAACAAAACCTACCCCTTCTCAAGCTCCAAAACCGATTCCTGACCTAACGCATAAAATGCGTGAACCTCCTCGGCCTTTGGAACTCCCAAAAACAAAGTCCCAGTCCGTGACCTCTAAATTGAAACACGAAACCCGCTCTGATCGTCGGGATGACCGTCGAGACCCCCGTCGTGCAGAGCGTCGGTTTGACGCTTGGGATGAAAGGCGGCGGGAACGACGAGACGACCGACGAGAGTCTCGGCCTGAAAAACGAAAAGACCGTACGACTGAGCGCTCTAAGCCTAAGAAGAAGATACTCACTCGTATGAAGCCCAGGCCAACTCTTTCTGAGGAGTTTTCACGTGCAGACTCTGTATATTACCGCAAACCCGGAAACGAGTCTGTGGTGGGAGCTGGTACTTACGGCAAAGTTTTCAAGGCCGTACATGTTTTTACAAAGAACATGGTTGCCTTGAAACGAATACGCATGGAGGGGGAGAAGGATGGTTTTCCTATCACTGCTGTTCGAGAAATAAGGCTCCTCCAACATCTGCATCATCAGAATGTGGTAAGCCTACAGGAGGTAATGGTGGAAAAAAACGAGTGCTTTATGGTGTTCGAATATCTTTCCCACGACCTTACTGGTCTCATCAACCACCCTACCTTCGTACTTTCAGCTGCACACAAGAAACATCTTGCGAAACAAATGTTTGAAGGATTGAACTACCTACACCACCGCGGAGTACTTCATCGAGATATCAAGGCAGCAAACATTCTCATCAGCAATCAAGGCCAACTCAAATTTGCAGATTTTGGACTTGCTAGGTTCTTTTCTAAGTCACGACAACTCGACTATACCAACCGAGTTATCACAATATGGTATAGGCCCCCAGAGCTCCTCCTCGGAGAGACTCGATACGGCCCTGCGGTCGACATTTGGAGTGCTGCTTGCGTTTACATGGAGATGTTTACCAAGAAGGCCATTTTCCCTGGAGATGGCAGTGAGCTCAATCAAATAGATAAACTCTACAACTCTCTTGGAACCCCTACAAGAGCCGACTGGCCAGATATTATTGATATGCCCTGGTTTGAACTCATGCGTCCCGCTGAGAGAAAGAAGAGGGCGTTCGAGGATTTATATCGGGATTGTTTATCTCCCGCTGCCCTTGACCTTGTTGCCAGCATATTTCAGTATGATGCTAGTAAACGACCGTCTGCAGAGGAAATTCTTGCCCACCCTTACTTTGTGTCCGAAGAGCCCAAGCCACAGCAAGCTATGGAGTAAGTCATCTTTCTAGGGCCATAGAATGTATTGATTGTACTAACACGATTATTTCTCTAGACTCGCAGACGTAGAAGGTGATTGGCATGAGTTCGAATCCAAAGCTCACCGGAAAGAGAAGGATAAAGAAGCTCGCCGTGCAGAACAACGAGAAAGAGAAAAGCGAAAAATAGCTGGCTCTACCGAACTAAGTGAGGATAGGGAATCCAAACGCACAAGGCTCGACGACAGTGCACCAACCTCGCAGGGCGCAGAGACAGAAAACTAAACCTCATCGACTTACATAAGGTATATCGTTTGCCTCCTCTGCCTCCTTGTTACCATCTTTCCAGCCACCTGTGTTAGTATTTACACCTCTTTTTTTATTGTTTCGGCGCAAAATTTGAGACGGAAAGAAAATGTATAACTCGATCATCCTAGTGTACCTCCTGAGGATACGTGGATGATAAACTTGTGACTTGCTCTGGCGTTGGAGGGATTGCAATATGACTACCCGCAGTTATCTCTATAATCAACTGAAGCTTTGTTTTACCTTTTTGCCTGGCTTTGTTGCAGAGCGTAAATGACATTAACCTTAATACTTAAACGTTTCCAATCTATAGAAGAGATCAATTTCAAGTAACTATCTAATCTATCCAATCCCTGATTATTCTATTACACTGGAAGCGGGAAATCAATATTACATTCTAGGCACATATTGATTTCCCAGAAGCTCAGCATTGGCAGCAGCTTCAATGAGGAAATACGCAATCGCGGTGCTAGGTGCTAACCGCAGGCCGCCTTCCTTATACCCAGGTGGTGGTGGCGCTCCTAGGGAAGATACCCCGGATTTCAGAGCCTCCTGAACTTCAGAAATATCAAACCATTTTGCCTCCTCCAGCTCAGGGTCATGGCTGAGACATATGGCTTCATCTTCGGGCTTCGCAGTCTGGCCGATGGCCCCAATCATAAGGTTAGCCGGATATGGCCATGGCTGGGTACTGTGTATGATAACACGAGAGACTATAACTCCGGACTCCTCCCAGACTTCGCGGCGGACAGCATCTTCAACGGATTCGCCTGGTTCAATGAAACCAGCTAAAGTTGAGTACCAGCATGGTGGGTATCTCTTTTGGCGCCCAAGTAGCACCTTTTTCCCGTCATGAGATACTATTGCTGCAATGACTGTTGGGTCTGTCCGTGGAAAGGAGAGGTTTGAAATTGTGTTGCGAGTATGACAGGGAGGACGTGATTTATCTGCAGATAACCCAAGGTCAGTTGGAGGGCAGGCTCGCTTTGAGCCTGCATTTGTTGAAATGGTCGGTTGCCCGCACGCTCCACAGAAGGCGTTGCGGGCATTCCAATCTATTGTGTGTCTAGCTTGGGCATATATGGCAGCTTAGAAAGCCAATTAATACCCTCATTATATATTGTTGGGAAAAGGGGTTGGTTGTCTTACCATCATCCGAGGGCAACGAAGTAATTGCTCTAGCTTTGATAAACGTAAGACCCTTCGATTCCATAGACTCAATTATCTTCTTAGCCGATTCCTCTAGTAGCCCACGAGGAGTGACATCAAGGGCAAAATACGGAGCCCCCTTGTAGGTTCTATATATAAATCCTTCGCCTTCTGTTTGGGATTCATTCAATCCCAGAAATACGACCAGAGGAACCGCCTTGTCCGAGTCATAGCTTTCAATGATCTCCTTTTCGGGCTTATCGAATAAACTTAGAGGTATAATTGACTCAACTTCCTGAAATGACGCGTAATGTAGCTCCGTAGGATTTCGAGATAGCGGCGCAAGCTCGTTGAATAGTAGAAACCTGGTGGAGGGGTGTTTGAGGGCATTTGATAAGAACAGATTGTCGGACCGAAGGAATGATACCCGATTTAAAGGAGAACCTGTGTGATAGAATCAGTGTTAGTGAAATTGAACGTATATCGACAGAATATAGTTGGCCTTCTAACTAGAAAAATAATTGACCGTCTCCTTGCCAAATTTTCTAGATAGCAAAGTATCAACGCCAACATGCGCCGGATTCGGCATGACATCTTTAGACATGGTGAAAGGAAATGGCCAACTTAGACGAACGGTATGAAATGTCGGACTCAGCGGGGAATTAAAGAAAAATGGGAAACGAAAGCGGCTTGATATATGTGAGTATCCAAGGGTTAGAGTTAGTTAGTCGAAACCAACGGTCCCGTATCTAATAATAATGCTGTTCTCGTGAGCCTAGGTACGAGGAATCTCGATTTATCCAAACGAGCTTAGTAACTGAATATTAGTAATCATGTCTATCCAACTTACCGAGGGAAAAGCTGAGCCAAAAAAAATTGGATTGACTGGAGAGAATGGTTAATGTTAATATAAAATGCTCAGAACGCCCAAAATAAATCAATGTACTCCGTACAGATCCAGCTGATAATTAGGTTTGACAAACGCTAAAAGAAACATCGACATAAACAATCAAAGTTAATGAGAACTCTGCGGCCGAGAGTGGAAAAAAAGAAAAGGAGTGTAGTGGCTGTGAATTTTCAAGACACTCGAATCACGAGAGGGCAAGGGAGATGTCACCTTTTTGTCCAGGAGAGAAGAGGTAGCTAGGAGTTGAGAGGAGAGTACATCGTTGTAGATACCGACCAGCTGATATCATGTTACTCCTGCCAGAACCAGCCGCCACTGCGCTTCTTATCACGTCCATTTGGTGTGCCGTCTTTAGTCTCATCCTGAGTAGCCACTGTCTGGTTATCGTCGTCAACAGCTAGGCGGTTATTTCTTGTAATTTCTTCGGTTTCAGTGTTTTCTACTCGTCCATCGGCAAAGCGTTTGCTAACAATGATTTTGGTCTTAATGGAGCCATCAGGCTGCATCTGACGCTGTGTCGTGGTGACACTAGTAACTATTGGTGGAGATAGATTTGCATTAGTCTGGGATGTCTGGGACTGTGATGCTGTGTCCCTAAAGCGAGCAGAATCGGCGATGGCTTGATGATCTTCCGCACGCTCCATCTCTTTCTCGCGGAACATCTCTCGCCATTGTAGCTGCAGCTCCTCGAGCTCCTGGCGCTGCTGTTTTCGCTCGTCAAGTATTGCTCTTAACAATGGACTTGTCTGTGAGACAGTACCATGGCTAACTTTATGGAGGAAGTTATCGTATAGGTCAAGTTCCGAGAACTGCTTGCCTTCCTCACTTGTCACTTTTTCCTGTGACATCCCCTCGTGGTTTGGAGAGGTATCATTGGAGGTCATGCATTGAAATTTGAAGTATTCCCCTTCACCGTCAGGCTGGCTGACGTGAGACCAGCCGTCACCTAGGCTGCCACGGTGGATTAAGCCTGCGAGCCAGGACTTCCCAGATTCGTTCGTACGTTCCCCCTGTGGATGCCTATCAAGCATAGCTTTACCGTTTTCAATCCGGAGTAAATCTTCGAATGCTTCCCGCCACTGAGGTTCCCTGAGATCCCTGTGCTCATGAGATGGAGCCAAGGAGCCAAACCAAGAGGAAGAAGAATGCTCCTGATAGCGTGGGCATAATTGCCGTTGCCTTTCTAACTGGAGGGGTGAGTAAGGGGAAAACATGAGGTACGAGATTGGCCATCCTGCAGAAGTTGAGGGGGACATAAAGTCAAAAATAAATGGTCTATGAAAGTGAGCCAGATCCCGGAATAGAAGAGAAGGGTCGGTGGGCCAGGCACTGTCGAACAACGCGTCAAATGCTGATGCAGGGATAGATTGACTCGCGTATCTTCGATGCTGTTCCGTTATCGAAGGGTTGGTCCCAAAAAACTGTTCATCATATCCGCCACGAGACGAGGAGTAGCCATCACTTAAATTGCAATCGCGGCATTTGTGGTGTTGACAATAGTAGTTTTTTGTGCTGTCTCGGCGAGCTTTTAGCTCCTGGCTCAATGCTTCGTCACTTAGGCCGAGCCAGTCCTTTGCGGGGGGGAGAACGGCGGAGGGAAGCCCAACAACTGATCGAAGAAGGGTTGAAAGCTGTTTATCAGCGTAACGGCGAAAAGCTATAAACGGGTTCTCTTCCTCGTCTCCGGCGCCACTGCGGCGGCCGCTGTGAGGGCAGGTCTGGCTGCGATCACGTCCCGAATCCGATGTCATCGTTAGCGGCAAACTTTGCGGACACTCTTTGTCCGGGCTGAGATTCAGTTTAGGGTGCCGATCTTGCTGCAAGCTGCTTGTTAGTTGGCGCTCTCGTGCTGCTGCTCGAGAAGTTGTCTGATAGACTATCAAAGCAAGTCGTGAGCTCTTCAATGTCTGGCAAGTCGTGACGTTGATATTCCACGTGACGTCATGTGCACCTGATACATGCCCAAGCTTAAGTAATCAAGAAATCGAGGATCAGATCATGTCAGGTGACTTAAGCCGCAGACGCATTAGGCGCCGCTTAGTTAGTCAGCATTAGCGCGCTTCCGAAACAGGCAAAATCCAACGACGGGCGAACGATCAACGTTGCAAGCCAGAAGACGCGAGAGAAGACGAGAGAGAGGAGAGAGAAGAAGCGCGGAAAGAGGAAGAAGAAGTAGTAGAAGAACAAGAGCAATACATGCAGAATTTCCTCCAAGGTCGAACTTGATTTTAAATTGGCCGGCAAGACCTGTTTTCGGATTCTCCGGCATGCCGGGCGCTGTCTTTTCTCATCAGCATAATTCACTCGCCGATCCCCTGGGTGCGGAGTTCAACGTTGAGGCATCGCGATGCCGTGCTAGGATCAGCCCCTGAAAGCCTCAGATCATTGCACAACCCATAGGCTCGCAGCTCAGCAGGATGGGTCTGCCCTGCGTTAGCGTCCCATGCACTGGTAACGCCTAGGCCTATCTTGTACACAAAATGGTGCGGAGTCGGCATATCTCGGGCCATTGCACTGTTTCGGTTAAGGCGCTCCAAACGGCGAAGGGGTGTCCCCAGTTGCTTCGATGTTAACAAAACCAGACTGCGTTAGATGCTCCGTTTCCACCATGTCTATTTTGGAAAAAAATCAACGACTAGGTGCCTGTAGGAATTGCTTAGCTGCAAGAACGACATCAATTGGTTCACAATCTTCGCTTTGACAGCAGAAATATCTCAATACTATTCCCGAATTGCCACCCTGCATACACACTCGGTTTCATATATACCATCGAAGCGAGGCAAGCCTAGACTTTTACTTTGAGGGGTGAGCTTTCCGCATAACCGGTAGCTCGAGGCAAAACAGGATATCCAGTGTTAGGCTGAGCTTACTGATATTTAGATGGCTCTCCCTTCGTCCGCAGCTTCGTTCTTGTCTTCTTCGAAAGAACACAGAAGCTCTTTCAATCTGGCGGTCTTGTTGTCCCGTCTACGCTGCCAACGATGGGCCAAAACGCCATGAAGTACGACAGTTTACCGATTAATCTTTTGCAGTCAGACGACCAGTCTCTCCTTCTCGAACGCCTTGATGAATTACGTCGAATAGGACTGCATCACCAAGTTTTCTCCCACACACTCGTTATTTGCGGCGACCAAAACTGCGGCAAGTCAGCGGTATTCGAAGCCATTACCGGTGTCCCTTTGCCTGTCAACAATGGCGTCTCAACCCGGTTTGTCGTCGAAGTGGCTCTTCGAAGATCAACAAGCGTCGGCACGCAAGTTAAAATTCGTCCGGGGCCAAATGCTTCGCCAGATCACAAACAAAAACTTGGGGTTTTTTCTCGCTCGCACGACTGGCTATCGGATATACCCAGGCTCTTCTCGGAGGCTCGCCTAATCATGGGTCTTACTCGCGAAGGAAGCTACTCAGAGGACGTCCTACATCTAGAGATATCCGGCCCGACACTACCCAATCTTACGGTAGTTGACCTGCCGGGTTTGATGTACCTACCCCGTGATAATCAAACTACTGCAGATATCGCAGTCGCCAAGAGCCTCACCCTAACATACCTACAGAACCCACGAAGCATCATCCTTGCTGTTATCTCTGCAGAACGTCAACTCTCAGAGCAAATGGTACTCCCTATGACAAAGAGTTTCGCGGCCCGGACAATGGGGATTGTTACCAAACTCGACCGTCTAGACCCTGACGCCTCTACCATCGCCAAGGTGTATGACCGGGTCAAGCAACAACATCAATCATTACAGCTAGGATGGCATTTATTACGAAATACCGATAGCGAAGGAACCGAACGCCCCGTAAGAGTTAGTCGTGATGATATTGAGGAACTTTTCTTTGCTACTGCGACACCGTGGAGGACTCTACCTCTTCACTTCCTTGGCGTGGGTGCTCTTCGGAGTAGGATCCGTAAAACCTTGTTGTCAGAGGTCAAGCGTCACCTTGCTGTTCTCAAATCAGACATCAATATCGATCTTGATACCCATCGTTCGCTATACGAGAAACTTGGTTCTTCAAGTACCACTACGGTGGAACGCCGCGTGTATCTGGCCCGGATAGGGGAAAGATTCCAGTCCCTTACGAAAGACGCCATTCATGGGGAATATCATGATCCATATTTCAGATATCGTCCAACTCATTCTATACGGCGACTGCGTGCTACAATCAGCAACTGGACAGAAGAGTTCTCCCAAGATATGAGAAGACGTGGCCACAGTTACGACATTTATGATGATACTGAACAAAAGGAATTACCTCCACGGACAAAGGATGGACCACAACCTGTGACGAAGAGAGAATTTATGAGTGGCCTTGAGGAGTTCGTGAAGCAGAGCAAAGGTCGCGAAATATCAGGCCTAATGAATGCCCAGGTTGTTGGCGAATTATTCATTCGATATTCCCTACGGTGGAAGGAAATTGCTAAGGCCCATGTTTTCCAGATGTGGGCGAAAATCAAGCAATATCTTAATGACGTCCTTCATCATATTGCGGATGCCAGCTTTGGCGAAGCCTTGATCCATAAGATATTCAATATCGAAATGGAAAAAAAATTGCAGAAACTGCAAGAAAAAATTGACGAACTCGTGGCTCCATTCAAAAGGGTTATCCCGACAATCGTTGATCCGGACCTAAATATAAAAATCTCTCAAATACGGAGGGCAGCCAATAGTGGTATCAAAGCTCTCAGTGTTAGCTCACTGTACTCCGAGATATTGGACTGTATGCTGGCGTATTATTCAGTATCTCTCAACAACTTCATCAACAATATTGTAAGCCTGGCTGTCGAAGGATGCCTTATAGATGGTTTGGAGGATATGATCACTCCGTCCAAATTTGTTCAGATGTCTGATGATGAGATCGAAGATATTGCAGCCGAGTCTCAAGATGTGAAGCTCGCTCGATCAAGGCTCGAGAAACAGGTTCGCATGCTTGAACTCGCTGCGTCTGCCTGCACTCGCTGCGAGCTTGTCGCTCTTGAAGCCACATCGAGTGTTAACCGAATTTCCACCGAGTCGAAAGAAAGCGAGAAGACCATTGGCTCTGGAGCATCGTCTCCATCATCGACCACATCTGGATCTGATACCGAAAAATTACTCGCACGACAGGACCTATCTTCAGGGCCGTCCAGCAGGCAAAACGCCAATGGACAAGGCAGCATGTTGAGGGCATTTCCCTCACAGTCCACGCTTTCAGATAAACAGCTGCTCACTAGTGCAGTTTATCGACCATCTACAGGTACATCCTCAGTCAATAATGATAAAACACTTCCATCTTCCCAGCCCCGTGAACTACGGCGGAGCGATTCAAGATCCAAACTTGGAAAAATTATTACGAAAAAGCAAGTGTCAAAATTCGTATCTTCAATTTCCGAGGAGTAACTGCATCGCATCGCATTCTAGGCGCTTCATTCTTTACCTATGAATTGATACCTTTCTTTATTGTTGAATTGATACCCTTCCGGAACGGCCAATTTCAGTCTAATTCAGGTCTTCCTGAGCTTCTTATGAGCCCCCTCCTGCTTTGTTAACTAAAGGAGGATTGATGTTTGATTCTTAATGTTGCCATAGTTCTTGAATTAGTAGCCGACTCCCGATATATTAACGGGGATTATCGTGGCCAGTTGGCATTTAACACTTTAGTGCGACCTAATAATTAGATACCCGTTTAATATGCCTTTGCTTAGTTCTTCTTTTCTGCTACATACTAATATTGTAACTTGTTGCCTGTGTTTGCATTTTGGAGATTTTTGTTGTACATCTTTTTATCTTTGACCCTACCCTCCTTCATCAATGTGCGATTTATTTTGTTTATTTGTTTATTATTTATTTTACTTAAGAATAAATGTTTGATATGGTTTGATCGTACTTAGGCAGTTTGTATTATTAAATTTTTATTGGTTATATTTATAACAAGTTGTACATGAAAAGGAATTTTCGGTTACAGTCAAACATCCATCACCCTATCAAGTTGTAATCCAAGGAAGAAATGGGAATTATTCCTTTTTGTACCTCAGAGTGTACATTATCGTTCTAATGCTCTAGCATCTTCTTCCGCTTCGCCCGATCTCGATCAATCTTCTTGAAGAAAGAGCTCCGTTCTTTCAACTGCTTATTTCGGCTCTTGTTATGTTCGATATAAGCCATATCTTCTCCTCCAGCAAGTCCACTGAGAGTTGCAGCGTTCCTACGCACAGCCTTCTTATTACCACGAGATTTCCCTCCAGCCGACCGATCATTAAACAGATCATCAGCATTTTCCTCAACAGCAGCTGAAGTTTCATTCTGAAGTGTTACGTCAGCTAATAGTGCCAGGCGCTCTTCGGCTGTAGCATATGCAAGACCCTCGAGATTCTCAATCCCCTGCAGATGGGTGATCACCTTGAACGCGTAGCCTTGATCGACCAAGAAGGCTTGACGTTTGGAAGAGTAAAACATCTCATCGGTATCCTTTGAGACAAGGGAATAAAAGAAAGCGTTGAAACCTTCATCGTTACGACGCTTAGCTCGAAGGATACGCCCCAGCCGCTGAGCTTCCTGTCGACGAGACCCGTAGTGAGATGATATTTGAATCAAACAGGTCGCCTCTGGTAGGTCGAGAGATGTGTCGCCAATCTTAGAGAGAAATATTGTGTTCACTTGTTCGTTATGCTGAAAGTTTTCAAGAATCCGCAGACGTTCATTTTGCGGTGTTCCACCATAAATGTAAGCCTTCTTCAGCTTCAAAGCATAACGTTCGAGTGCAAAGACATTGTCTGAAAAGACAATGATCTTATCGCCTCGTTTTTCGTGGTAGTCAATTAAGAATTGACAGGCCTGGAATTTCCTGGGGTTCATGATATACAAAAGAGCGGCTTTCCTGGACTTTTCACGCATATACTCGGTATAAAACTCGGTAGTCATGGGACACCACACTTCTGCACATTGAACTTTGGCAATATGACCTTGCTCTGCAAGCTCCATCCAGTTCGCTTCGTAGAGCTTGGGCCCAATAAGAAAGTTTAAATCTTTGATTTTATCATCCTCTCGGAGAAGCGTGGCTGTCAATCCGAGCTTGGTTTGTGTAGCTATAGCGGATGTGACTGTTCGGAACATAAAGGCGGGCACGACATGTACTTCGTCCAACAACATCAACCCCCACTCCCGAGACTGCAGCCACTCCATCATCTTTTCGGCGTCATGAGATCTAGCTCGGGTTTGTGAAACCATCGAGTACGTAGATACAATAACTCCTGTACTCCGTCGGAACTTCTCCTTGTTGTCCGATGTGAAGATGGCAATATCACTCGGGTCAATATTTGACCATCGAATAAATTCATTCCGCCACTGGACAACGGACATGGAACTAGTGCAGAGGACGATAGTTCCCTTTTTGATAGTGCATGCTGCAGTAATACCGACCAGCGTTTTACCAGCACCACACGGAAGGACGATAATCCCACTCTTTGCTCGCCCGTTACCAAACATCTTACTCAGACTCTTTTCTTGGTAGCTTCGAATCTGAGCAATGGGTTTGAGGTCAATGTCCAAAGTTGGGTTGATCTCATCATTGCGGAAATCGTATTCCTCAAGTGCTGGACAGCCCATGGATTGGCATCTAGCCTTCACTGACTCCACTGCTGTATTTGGAATTTCAAAGCTGTGAACCTGTGCTTGTTCTTCGTCGTCATCTTCCTCTCGTAAGTTCACTAGAATGTCATCTTCGTTTGATTGGGCAGGCCTCTCTGACACCTGAGCCGCGCGTTGGTCTGGCGCTTGCTTCATCATAGCCGCATCCTTGGTTCCTGGAATTACTAACCCGCCCATTTTCGGGGCTGCCTGTTGTGTAATTTCGGATGACTCTATTCTCTGCGGCCCAATAACTTCATCTTTCAGAAGCATCTGCAGAGTAGCTGTATCTGAGCTTTCCACAAAGAACCGGTTATGTTTCAGCACCAGCTTTATTTTTCCATATGATTTCGTGAAATTGATAATAAACGATTTTAGAGTTTCAGGAAGAGGAGTTTTCGATAACCTATCAAGAAAATTGATGATATCTGTAGGAAGAAGTCCGACGGACACGGCAGCATAAAGACTGTTGCCTGTGAGCCGATATTCATGGAGATGCGTGGGCCGTGACAAGGGTTCAGCGATAGTTGTCAGAAAATCTTGCGCTTGTGATGCTAACGGAGAAAAGCTCTCCAGTGTAATGGTCCCCTTTAGGGGCTCTATCCAAAGTGGGCGGTTTGCATGATCGGGTTTCAATGCAAGGGAAGAGAAATCTTTGTATCCAAAATGCGGATCCTGTTTTACGGCCTGTGATTTTTGGCTGTAGGATTGCAGCGTAAATTTCTCCACGACGTCTGGTTCAAGATACTACCGTTAGTACTCCTTCCGGTAAAACGCAAAGTAGTATACAAACAGAGCATGCCTTTCAAGTTATCGTCTTCACCATCGCTGCCCTCAGGCCCGACATACTCATCGCTACTTACACTCTGAGGTGTTGAAGTAGGATTCGGAGTTGCACGCTTTGAGGCTCGCCCCTTTGCACCTACGTACCCAAATAAACCCATTGTTAGTTTATATATTTCATGCGGGCTGGGTGCCCTATTCACTGAGATTATATACCTTCGACCGCCTTCCTCTTCGGAGGCATGTTTCTGTTTGACTGCTGCGGCCTGAGAGATCAAGAATCCCCCAGAAGTCCTGTGTCCCTGATCCGGAGCTCCTAGAACATTATCTCGATCTGTTATGGTATCTTACCTCAGACTTTCCATTAGCACCAGGCCAGTGGTGCCGACTTGCAAGCGATAAGAAGCACTGAGAAAGGGAGAAGAAGTCAGAGACAAGTCGTTGTCGATGACGATCTCGGCTTCTTATATTGCAGCATCCAAAAAGAGCCTTCCTTATCAAGATAGTGTCACATGATCAATGACTAAGCCAAAATCTAGCCATCGCCGACTTCGAGCAGGAAATTTGGAGCCGAGTTTCGCCAGCCGGGATAGAGATCAAAGACGCCGAGAGACTGACAGATTCGGTTCCATTGTTTCTCTTTTGGACTCAAAAATGAATACTGTAAGTAAGCATTGGCCATGGTTTTGACTCTTTACTGGAACTGGTGTCACTAACTGCGTGGCGGTGTTTAGATTAAATCAACCTGGTACCGACAACCCATAGCTTTGATCGATCACAATTGGGAGGATTAAGAGAGAACTAAACATAATCAATCTGCCTAGGATCGGATGGGGAGCGCTTTGTGTCGGTACGACTATTATGCAATACCCTGGTTGTTTTTTTATACTCCTCAAAGGAGCAGGATATCTAATGCCGTTTTGTGACCAGCTGGTGGCGGCGCATACTATTTCGCCAAACGCTCTATCAACGCCGACCGATTAACCAGATTTGACGCTACTCAGAAACGCAAAGATGAAATGGCCAAAGCTGAAGCTTCGGCAAGGGTACGGACACAGATTCTTCCCCTCCACGGCGAGATAAGATTGACTCTAGGGTTTCACTAACCGGCATTTGGTACTGGCTGAAGGCGGCAGCTGAACAGTCAAAGGCGGCAGTTGCCCGGGCAGGGAAATTGAATAGTGGGTCACAGAAGGATGACGCATATAGCCCGAGTGAAGAATTAGGACACGATCCAGCTCCTACAAGACACGAACCGGACACCGATGCGCAGCGTCTGGCCGAGAAGGGGAAATACGAAGCTGCCGAAGTATTTAGATCGAGGAAGGGTGATCGTTTCAGCTGATTGATGCTGGATATTATACATACATTCGGTTAGGTATGTTACCACAGTGGCTAGGCAATATATTTGCTTAGTCTGCTCTTGCATATATTATGCTATAAAAGGAGAGACGAGGAGATATCTGTATATTATTTTGACCATCATTTCTGCTACTCTTCTCTGAAATTATACTATACGGAATACCAGGGCTTGTATCGTCTTGTGATGCCAAGGACCCTTCCAGACGAATCCTTGGGGGTGTCTATTGAAGATTATAGAGGAAGTTGCAACAATAAAGATGAGCAGGGAGAAAGAAACACTGATTTGGAACTATTTTTAGTCATTAGAAGACTCTAAAATATCTCATAGAATAGAAACAGCCATAATAATAATCATCGTTATAACTCCATGTCCGAATTCCTAATGAAATGGATTTTCGTACTCCATTATGATGCCGAACGCCGTTTCATGACAATCATAACCAACCCGTGGGTAGACGTAAAAGAGATAAGGAAAGTCGACGAAGTGAAGGCAGTAAACATATGCTTAGCGAGAATGGAAACATAGAGGAGGATAGCTGTATATATATATGTCAGGACAAACTCATCTTCTTCGGGGCAAGGGAATGATAATAACTAGTTAGTGGGAGGGGAGGCTCACTTATTTGCCGGTGGCTGCTCCAGCTTTCTCCCCCTCGAGCTCTCCAGCGCCGGCGGGATAAACGGCAGCAGGACGCCGGAGACGATGCACGATGCTGCCAGATATCGCTGGGCCCTGCTCTCTGGCTTCGGGGCTTGGGCAGAGAACCGCCGAAGCGAGTGTCGAAGCATGACGGTTGGCTGGTTCATGGTAGGCGGCGGGCGACGAGGGGGTCGGCTGGTGAACTAACTCGTCACCCAGTTAACTAGGTATTCTCGTAACTAGGAATCGCCTGTTTCTCGTTCGAATAGGTGTCCCGGCTGCCAGACAGAGTGACGGTGGTTTGTTTTGGCGGGAAGAACACCGTCCCAAGAGGATCAGACGCAGCTTTAAATAACACCAAGTTAACCAGCCAGGGCCCAACCCCCTCCCTCCAGCTACATCCGTAACCTCGTGGTGTCTCGAGCTTCGTCTCCTTCGGCGGTTCAGGCACGCCAGTCGGGAGTTTGGGCGGCGGGCGCTAGCTCCACGGCTCTTCCGCATCGCCGAACCTCCAGGGATGATGCATGACGCAAAGATGGCCAGATGACAATCGCGTGACGGGGGATGGAATCCGTGGGCTTCCTGGTGGGCTCACTCGGACGCCTGTCCGTGGCCAGCGCCTGCTAGTCCTTAGTTACGACTCTATAACTACCTACTCCGTAATCGAGTTGCTTTCCCGAAGTTTTCCCCGGAAGTCTCGCGCTGGCTCTGCTCCAATGATAATACATCTCCCGGCGACGGGTTCAACAAGGTAGAGCTTCAAAACAGCCTTGTTGGAAGCGCCGGATATTTGCTCAGATTCCACACTGGCGTACACATGGAATACAGAGACAGTCATGTTATCCGGAAACAAGATTTACTCTACGAGGCAGCGGCCTGCTTTCTAGGAATCGCCCGGAATGCTCAGATGGCCTTGGTTCTTCTTGTATAATGTCCTTGAAGGAGGGTTCTATAATGATGGCTATATTCTCACTCGGTACTCCAAAGTGACACCACCACGCCGCACCTTTTCCCGAGATACGCAGTCCATGTCATGATGCAGCTTGCGTCCCGTTGAATTGCAATTAACTAGTGCCTTCTTACTCTGTATAGTTTGTAGCATCTTTATTCGAGGACGTCGCTGTCTAGCATTAGCATACCTAACCAAGTGGAGACAAATATTAGGTACGCACTGTACGGAGTACTGCTTTGCTCGAACGAGACAACTGCCAGGGCATAAATTTACAATGGATATTCTTAGCCAATAAAAATGCCAAATTAATAGTTAATTGGTAACCCGCGGCTCCTAGGCTATATCAGAGTTGGCGCCGCTACTTCACCCAATAATATTGGGACCAGCGGCCATATGGCGGCTTTTAGCATCATGAGCCTGATAAGCCACCCAATCAGAATACATTCAACTTTCAATGACGACCTCCGTCCCTGCGGTTTAATACCAACTGAGTGCACGCCACCAGTCAATGCCGTCATAATGAAGAAGGCAAGAAGGCCTTCGCCGCCTGGGTGACTCACATAAATACTCACTAGAGCGCTCCCTTTCCATTGTTCTTGTTCTAAAACTCATCATCACATTTATATACACACCAAGATTTCGGTTATTGAATAGGACGTAAACCTATGGATAGCCAACGAATTTTTCAGCGGATAGGTGCTGGATTCTGTGGCACGGTATGGGCTTTAATGCCCAGTAATAATATGCTGGAAGACGACGCTTTCAAGCGAGAAGATGGAGGTCCTGGAAGGTCTCTCCAGAAGGAATTTAAAATGCACGGGATCATACAGAATGCTATAGAGCAATACGGGAAAGCCACTCCCATCTCTATACCCAGATGTCATCAGTTTATTGATCCCGACGACGCTTGGTGGGGGGCTGGCAATTTGGAGAAATTCCCTGACGGATATTCCCCTTGCAATATCATTCGGTCCGACCGCATTCCACCTGTTGGACAACCCACTCGGGAGTTACTGATCGAGAAATTCTGCCCTCCACCTTTGATATCAGAATTAAAGGCTAGTGAGGTCAACAAAGACTGCCTCATCCGCCCATACCTCGGGAGATGCCGATTTAGCTCACGACCGAAATCGAACTTCGTGGCCTTTTCTCTTCGGAACTTTCCGCTGCACCTCGACCAGATGTATGAACTTGAGGTACCTCCAACCGACCTCCTCAACTATGCTGTACTGATGGCAGAAACCCTGGCAATACTTCATTGGCTAGGTAAGACAGACGCGAACGATATCGAATTCGTCTTAGCTCCACCACGCAATGACCAGAAGTCAGCAATAATATCAAATTGTCTTGGAGAACACACGATATGGATCCTGGACTTTGACTGCTGTAATGTTATCTCTCTCGATAGGGAAGGGGTCGATCAAGCGGTTAGGGCTTTTATAAAGAATGACCCATTCTATCCACGCCCAACCTCCAGCCCTGACCTGTGGGTGGCATTTCGACGCAAGTACATTGAAACTAGCAACGAAGTGCTAAAGGGAGCAGGTGATATGGCTCTCCGTCAGCTTCCAATCCATTTTATCAATGGTGTTGAAGCTGCTTTACAAGTTTCTTCGGCCTAAGCTTAGACGATGTTTTTTAGTTGTATAATAGGCGTGTGAAGCAACACACAAGGATCACACGAAGCAACACACGAAGCAACATGGAAATATGTGTCATTGCCCTTGACATATAAAATAGATCCGCATGACTACAAGCTTCGCTCTCAGGTTTCCCTCAAGTTTGACCCTTCAATCATTACAGCATGTCGGATAATATTGGTGACGAGATTTCTTCACGATCAATCCGCCAATATGACACCTCGGAAGACTCAAATGCCCCAAGGCTGGATAGGATGTTCAGCAAATTGCAATTTGAAAGAACCAGTACCTCGAGCACAACAGGCCCGGATACCAAGAACACTCTAAAAAGGCTTCTATCAAACCAGTCTGGGATATCCACTGCATCCTCCTATGCCGAATTCCAGAGTGCTTCAGCAGGCCAGGCGAGACCCTTCAGAGAGATTGGAAGGGGGTCAATTGGAAAAAATTTACGAGCAACCAGGAACAACATGGGCATTTAAACTTCTGCTCATCGATCGAAGTGATAAATTGTGGAACAACTATGTCATGCATCTTCGGGTTCAAAACAGCTTTGACCAGCTCGGCAGCATCTGTGGACGTGTGGAGCTACCGCGTGTTGCATGGTTTGCAAATAAGACATCAGAATTTTGGAACGACAATCTTCATTTGTTCCCAGACGAGCCGACTTTCAGGCGTGAACCTCGCGATGTTCTCTGCATGGAACGAATTCTCCCATTACCGGAACCAGTTCGAAATGCCATGATTGGAGCTTACTGCCTACCCCATAATATTGAGAACGCGAAAAGAGACCCAAAGAACAAAGACTGCCTTATTATGGTTTTCCTGGGAAGAAATAGGTTTGGAATATCTCGGCCCAGTGGTACTGCCTTTTTTTCGCTTCGCAATTATAAGCTATATCTAGATTAAATAAGAGACCTTGGTTTAGATGTCGAAGAGCTGTGTGAGAGCATGGCAGATACTATGGCCGTTCTATACTGGTATGTAAATGTGGACGGAAACGATATTGAGTTTGTTTTTGGTAGCTCCCCGGAAGATAAAAAAGCGATCCGTCGAGAAGTGAAACTTGTAGACGTCGAGTGAATGGCTCCAGGATCAAGTATATATGAACGGATTACTAATATTTATCCAAACTTCAAGAAGCGACTTCTTAGTCTATGGATTCTCGACTTTGACGCATGCAAACCTATATTAATGGATGAAAATGGAGTGCGACTGGCGGTGAAAGCCTTTTTGGAGACCGATCCTTACTGCCCCCGGCCGTCAACTGAATGTCATTTCGCTAAGGAGCTCTGGAAATTATTCTGCACCCGATACATGCATACTGCTGCGAGACTCGTGAGAGGCACAAATTACCATCACCTGCCAGTGAAGTTTATTCAAGGAATTTCGAATGAATATAGGCTACGTGAGGAAAATCGAAGGGAGACTCAGGTTGCACCTCCCACAGTTGTTAGAGGAAGAGGAACTGCGGGAATAAGGAGAGCTAGAAGCAGCGGCAACATGATGGGACGTGGTAGAGGCACTTGGTCGAACCAGCCGGGGCCACAACCAGGAGAACCAGAGCAATCAGAGCGACAGAGGCAATTGGAGCAAAGGCAAAGAAGGGGCTTTCGAGGGAGAAATATTGGTCACAGGCATTGATAGAATGTGTACGAAGGCCACGTGATAAACATTGGTCCAGGGATATGTAATTAAGCAGTTAATATAATTTTGCTAGGAAAAAAAAAATTGAGATCTTTTAACACCTCACTAATTGCTGAAATGTCACCATGTCCACCCTGCCTAACGGTACAGATTAAAGTATTCTTCTTAGGGCAAAATTCTCTATTCTATCAATGTAGTCCTAAGCTATACCCCACCTTATCTTCTTTACTTACCTTTTATACCTGTCTTCTAACCCTTTACTTTCTTACTTTCTTATATAGAGTTCTTATACCTCTAACCCCCTAGTCTTTCCTAACCCTACCCTAAGTGCAACTAGATAATATTCGGGAGTGATACTACATAGTAGAAGCAGAAGAGTATTGTTTAGGATACACGGTTAAAGCAGAGAATTTTACCCTAGGAATAGTGCTTTATTCTGTACCGTTAGGCCGGTGGATATGGTGGTTCCATTACATTCGGCACTGTTTGATAATACCCATACAGTACTCCGTATCTGGAGAATTAAACGTCCAGACAGCTTTATCCTATGAAATTTATTATTGGTTTCTTTCAGTTACCTACCTACCTTACGTAATGAGTCGGAGATGGATTAATGTTTTGCAGATCACATGTCAGCCCGACAAAGATGGACCATTCGATCGGCTTAGAGATTTTAGTCACGTGATACTAATTGCACATGACTGGGGCGTTTTAATTCGTCAAGCCTCCATGAACACCATGAAAACCGCCGAATGTCAACCACAGACAAGCAGCGCCGGGGCAATATTTTTTACCCCCGAAGTGAGCATCTGGGAGGCTGTACAGCGGTTTCACAATGAGCTCTCATCAGATCGCTGTAGCGAAGGCTTCGTTCTCCGCTAGCCTTCTACGGCCTGACCCTCAGCCAGTCTCTGGAGATGAGATATCACGCTTTCACAATGAGCTCGACACGATGATGTCGCATTGCTCCCCAGCACATATCCAGGTTTGGACTATTTGAAGCTCCTTGCATCGTTGCAGCGGCAATATCCAAGTTTACTAAACTGTTACGCCTTGGGGTTTTTTCACACCAGATATGCAAATCATGGCTTCTAAAAAATGTTGCCCCTTCGTCCGTCCGGGTAGGGGGATTAGGCAAATACTTCATATCGCTGGCAGAGTACTTGCAGCAGAAACCAACGGATAAGCAAGGAGCTCAAAACGGAGGTGATAGAAAGCACGGCGCATCCCCGAGGAGAAAGACGTTACATATTCTCTACTTATTAAATGATTTACTTCACCATACGAAATACCATGGCCCGACGTCCACTTCTGCGTTTTCAACGGTGGCCGAGTCATTACGCCCATACTTGACTACTCTTTTTGGCCGTGCCGGGAGCTATTGCCGTGACAATAGCGCGAAGTATCGCAAGCGGGTTGAAGATCTTATCAAGCTATGGGAAAACAGTGCATATTACAGTGCAGAATATATGAGAAAATTGAGGGATGCGGTTGAAAATTTCGAAGCTACTGGGGAAAAGGCTGCTCTAGATGGAGAAGCACACGCTGAACAGAAAAAGGCTGAAACGCGAAATATTCCGTATGTGATGCCGGCGACTCATGGTGATCTCAATGCGCCATATTACGAATTACCTGCAGGAAACATGCTACCGCACATAATCCCAGATTCCTCTGCTGCAATCCGAACCCAGTCATTAAAACCTCTTCAATTTTCCGCTGGCCCCGCTGATGAGACCCTTATCAAGGCTGTGAAGTCCCTCCTTGCAGAGGTGGATAGGATTTATGATACCAATGAAAACGAGTCTCCGGAACTTACGATAGTAGATGTTGATGAGCTGGGACAAACTACGACACGCAACGATTTGACGGGAGAATCACTGGACAGTGGCACATACTACGGCTGGTCGCGAGAATTTTGCCAAAACATGAAGCAACGCAGGAGTGGAAAAGCTCGCAGTAGAAGTCGAAGCGCAAGTCAAAGCATTAGCTCACGGCGGTCAGCCAGTAAAAGGCGACGGTACAGTGATAGCATGAGCGAAGACGGGAGAGGTCGTTCACTCTCCTCGAGTTCATCCATATCTCGTGGGCGTGGACGGCGAGCCTCAGAGTCCCGCTCCCGATCCCCTCGCCGTCGACCTAGGGCCGGCCGTTCAGCTTCCAGATCAGCGTCATATTCGCCTAAACCGTATACGCCTCGCGGAGTCTCATCACCACCTCCTCCACCTCCTTCTTCACAGCCCGCAAATCAAAACCAAGCATCTTACGTCAACCCTCAATTCCCTTTCATCGGCGCGCAGCAGTTGAGCATGCTAGCCATGAACCCTGCGCAGTCAGTAATGTTTCCTCCTCCAGTTCGACCACCAAACTATCATGGGTCGTGGCCACCCCCGCCTCCTCCTCCTCCACCAGGCATATCTGCACCGGAAGGGGGTCTGTTCCCCCCAGCCATGAATATAAACATGGCCATGAACATGGGTATGAATATGAACCTGCCAGCCTTTCCGCAGAACTTCCCACCGTCGACCATGGGTGGGTCTATGGGCGGACAACAGTTCGTACCTCCACCGCACCAGCCGGGGGCAAACTTCGCTTTCAGTCCACCACATCCCCACCATCAACAGCAGGGCCAGCAAGGCGAGCAGAGCCAGCAAAACCAACAGGGTCAGCACGGACAGATATACGCAAGAAACCCAAGCTCGGGCCCCAATGGGATGGGCAGATGGAACCAAGGCGGATGGTCGTGATGAGTTACGTTACGTCACAGTGCGTGATGAACTTTACGTTTTACCTTAATACTCTAAAATACTCCTAATAACCGTGCGATCTAAAGGATTCTAAGAGTCATGAATCATGCAAAGTATGCAGCAAGCGGACAATTTTCGTAATTTTTTGGCCTTAATTAAAAAAAAATAAATAAAATAAAATTAATAAATCGTGTATCTCGTCATGCGAAGACCCTTTTCTATATCACAGACCCGCGTGAAATGGAAAATGAGACGAAAGTCATATTTTTTAGACAGCGAGAGGCATTCCCAGCATACCAGTATGTGGAGATATGGTCCTATCCAGGCAAAGGTCAAGAATAAAACGCCTTGAGTAAAGCAGGGCTGAAGCGCTAGGCGTCATATAATGAAGAATGAGGGTTTGAGGTGTAGTAAGAAACCAAAAACTGAAAGGGGAGAGGAGAGCTATCTCGGAAGTCGAGAAGTAATTTGACCAGAAAATAACTAGTCAAAAAAGAAAAAGGCTTTTCTTTTTTGCGAGAAGAAAAAGTTGTCGTAATGGCGTAGTCGGTTCATACGAGAGCACCTTGTTGAGGATTCCGATATCCCTGAACAAAGTACGTTCGAGGTATCATGTCTAGGCGTCTCGACATGAAGAGGACAGCAGATAGCACCACCATCTCTTCATCTTCAGGAGAAAGCGACATAAGTCTCATTAGCCTCTTATGTCTTTTCTTTATGCGCATTCACCAGCGGTGATATACCCCTCTGCACCGTAGCATACCATTGACGAGTGTGTCATAAGTCAACCACCGGACCGTCTGCCCGGGTGGCTGGTCTTTGCACTATCCAGAGCGTAGTCGTGCTTCTTTATGGATGGCGGTAGACCGTTCTCCTGGGGATTATGACGTTTCATGCGATCGTGATGTTCTGCTTTTTTTGGTTCACCAGCCGCTGGTGGTGACTCCGAAGCCCGAAGCTCTTCCATCTGTCTCTGTGTGTGCTCGTACATAACTTGAGTATACGAGGACAATGTATGTTGGCGGTCCCCCGAAGGGCTGGAGATCTTGATCGGAGCAAGTGTATCGTCCATTTCGCTTAAACGGTATAAATACGATCTTGGCCTAACGGAGGAGTGAATGATGTGAGACATGTGTTCATATAACTTATGAGTGGCCAGTCTAAGTGTCGAGAGAATCAAAGGGATTGTAGTATGCTCTTTCAAGGCGTTAAACTCGACTCTTACTGTATTATCTTCGATAGAATGAAGAATCAGACAGGTATATCAGAAATGGAGGGAAGAGGAAGAATGGAGGTGCGTGTCCACATATACCAATTGGCAGCAGACCTCCAGCCACAAGTTGTATATGGCTTATTATACGTCTATCGGCGGAAAGCGATAAGGGTGGTGACACGGAAAGGAAAAGGGTATTTCGAAGAAAGAGAATGGAGTAGGAGATGTATGCGTGTTCAATATATGGTATAGGGTCAAGTTTTTATAGACAGCCCCTCATACTTATTATGGGAACTCATGAAAATTTCATATCACCTTGAGGTGCATCGTCAAATCTGACACAGGTTTGGGGCGCCATATTGCGTCATACGGGGACAGTTATCAGTTCAGTCCGTTGAGGTTTATGTGGCTGGAGGAGCCCAGAGTCATGGAGAGCAAGGAACAATAAGAGCGCTGCCGCCGTTTTGGTCTGTGGCTCCAGACTGCTTCAGGCTCGATAAAGGGGTCGGAGTGGCGGTTGAAGACTGAATCCCTAATTAATGGAGATCGAGAGTGGAAAATCATGCGGGACAAGCTCTCGTTATGCACCGTAGGACAGGAATCTGATGGTCCCTAGGAGGCGTATGGATATAGAGTCTTGGGATAACTATGTCGTCACATCGCATGGAGCATCGGGTCGTCTGAGCCAAGTTTTCGAAAGGCTCCCTTTAGGCGCCAGCGCTGGCGAGCTAGCGTCCGCTGGACAAACTCTAAAGGTACTTTTGGCAGAGGATTTTCAGGTGAGGAAAGAACAGACAGGCCCCCCAGCTCGATCGAGATCGTGTTGAAGATCGTAATCCTCGACCAAGTGGCAACCTCCGTCCGCAACGACAATATTATTATTCGCATTATTGTCTCCATAGCATAGCGAGGTAGAGTTTCAGCCCTGTTCCCCGCCTGGGTTCGAGTTGGAGCTCTTGAGCGAGCAGGTCCAAGATAACATGGAGGATGGCTCGTTCAAGGTGGAGAGGAGTGACTATGACATGTTGTCTCGAGAAACGAACTGGGTACCCGGGCGGGTCTCGGGCTTATGTCGGTACAACGTCGGACCACTTGTGGATTTTTGTGACCAACTTTTGCACCCTGCATGATCTGCCTCCCATAAAAAGACTAATAATAATGGATGTATGTGGCTGGCAACAAAAAACCTCGTCAGTGATGAGCACCAAGTATCAAATAATTCAAGATTGACAGACGGTTGGCAAAGCACTCTGGAGAAAAATGACGTGCCTGGCTTTGGCTGCACGTGGAAAAACGGAACAAAACTAATTGACATCAAGTAAACAGTAAAACTGGTGTATACTCAGCTACGGAATTTCAGCTCCTCAGCTAAACGAGGGAGTACGGAGCCGTGTTGTCTATTGTAACCGAGAAAGGTGTGTCATCTGGTCTCCCTTGACTTGCTCCTATTCAGCAGCTGCACGGTGTCGTCACCGAATTTCGAGATACGATACCCCATCCACAAGGGTAGTGCGGGCTAAATTTCAAGTGTTAGATGTCAGGGTCTCTCTCATGGATTCTGCCAATTCCAATCCGTTGACATAAGAAAGATCTCTGTGTTGATGGTTGAACAAATGGTTGTAAACTAATAATTTCTGTTTAAGGTTGGATGCCGTTATGGTCATCAGAGTATCTAAGAATCGAGAAAAAAGTCATAGTGAACAAGGATCATATATTTTAAAGAAAACATAATTCAGCCATAATGAGAATTGCCGTCGTTATTCGATTATACATAGCCTAATAATCATAGTTAGCATGCTGGCAGCTCGATAAGGCGGCGCAAGGGGAAGAGGGGAGTGAAGACGGCAGGTGGAAGGGGGAGGAGGGCTGCATGGGCGATCAGTGTGCCCAAGGCCGGACCCATCCGTTCATCTATACCTTTCCTGGCACCCTGGAAAAAGAACCTGACAATAAACACCTGGAGGCCGGCCATTGAAATCATCATCAAGCTTTCGATAATGCTAAAATTGAATATTCTCTTCTCAGTGCTCCGCACGGTGCTGAAGTTACGGTTCTCTCGTGTTCGAAAATACTTCTGATTTCGGCTGATAGTTGATAGGTGACCTCCTAGTCGGAGGATTGTCTCTTCAACCCCTGACGTCTGTTCAGGGGAAGTTCCAGGCTTTGATGGCAGCTGAGTTCGTTCCTCATTCTCGACCTGCAAAAAGTTCTTTAGCATTCTGTTGAACACGAGGACTTACGCAAACCCAATTGGTGTCCATGATATTAAGCAACTGGGGCAAAATTGTTCAAAATCAAGAAACACAATCGGGAGAAGAGATAATGAAGACTAACCGCAATCTCAAAGTCAACCGTCTTCTCCGCAAAAGTGGACATCTCGTTATTGAAGCAGAAGCGGTATTCCCCCACAGACTGAGCGGTAAAAACAAAGTCACCTTGTCTCTCCTTAGTTCCGTCCATAACTAGCTTCTCACCAGGGCCATAAACGGAGAAATCGATGTCGAATGAACCGCCAGATTGTACCTACACACGCTCACATGGCCACAAGTCAGTAAACAGATCCAACAGGATGTTGACGCAAACAGGTCATAGGGAAGGCAAGCTGAGGACATACAGCGAAGTAAAAGGCGACTTTCGCTGGGGGTTTATCAATCCAGGAGTAGAAGCAGGCCTTCTCAGCGGCATCGAGCTTGTAGGTCAAGGCGGTACCGTAAACCGAAGAAACTGCAAAGGCAAAGAGCCATACGGCAATAGCTTGGAACAGCATGATGCCTTACAACCAGAAAAAACGAGAGTATACTGTAGAATCCCCGAGGGCGAGCTGTTGTCGAGGTCTAGTTGTAGTCGACTGACGTTCCAACAGGAAAATGCGATGCGTAAGATGTTGACACTTTTTTTGGCATGTTGTTTGCATTGTTTGCACTAAGGAGCCGAACTCCCAATAGAAACGCTCAACCAGTAACAACGACATATAAAAAGGGGTAACTTGAATTCAAATACAATATTTCATTAGAAAGGGATTCATCTAAAAAAAGGATATGGGCGTTCCCAATAGCTTACGACAGGCCCCTTTAGTCACTAAGGTTAGGTATTATATGGGAAGATGTAAGCAATACACCCGGAGTTAAAAAGCATCATTTGCCGCCATCAGAACACCGCCCGTTTAGAAAGATGATCGATGGATAACAGATATAGAACTGGACGAGAAAAAAAAAATATGAAAAAAGAGAAATCAAGCCATGAAATCAGAACGAGGGAAAGACAAGCGATTGTAACAGATCAAAACGGAGGGGAAATTTTGTAGGATAATATATTCAAAGCCTGAATAAGAACTTGAAACCCCGTTTCCCCGTTTCCCATTCATCTTTCCCCTGCATAATAAAAATGATTTGTGTTGTCTAGTTGAAGCTGATGATACCATGGTTTTAATGTCAAGATAACTGTGGTGATACAGCCATTGAAGGGATCATTGAATTCGCATAGAGTCAAGTGCTGCGCTGGCTGGCAAGGACTCGAAAATATCCATTGGGTATCTATCGAATGAAGATATTGTCGCTCTTGGAGAGGAAATTGCGATTCTTATTTACATGGTTAAGGCCAAGTTGGCTGTCAGAGTCGCCGACAAGTTCGGAAAGGATGTCATCTAGATAGTGTTAGCTGTTTTCTTAAGAGAGATGCGTTGCAGTAGGGGGAATGGCGTACCATCTTCAAGGTACGTTGGATTTGAGTACATGGCTCGAGACACAACTGCAAATTTTATCTTCTCAAATTGTTTACCTCTGATACCTGTTCTTTTGGACAAGCGCTCTTTGGTATCGATGAATTTCTCTCCCTATAGATATGTCAGCACCGTGAAAGCAGGTAGTTAAGCAATGGTAGACATACTGGTTTAACAACAAATTTGAAAGGTATGCCATGCTCTCTATTTGGCTCCTTATCAAAATTGAAAGCATTTATCCTGAAATCACCTTCCTTCATGTTTTGTTCATCTTCGGGAATAGGCTCCGCATAAAGAGAAATTGTGTCCATTATTCCAGCCACGCCAAACTTGTCTGTTAGTTCTTTCTGCATTTTGCTGTAATGCGCTTCAAAAACGCGGACATTTTGCATAACCTCATTATCCAGATTAGCTTTTTGTTGAAGGCCTTGTAGAATATCAGTGACGTTTCCTTGTTTAGGCACAAGTAACTCGAACGGTTGCTGTATTTGAAATAAATATATTAGCGCACTCCCCAAGACAAAAATAAAAAGGAAATATAGAGGAAACCAGGGCAGAAATATACCTCTTTGATGATTCCCTCAGGTAGCCAGGTGATTTTTATTAGCTTCTTAGTTTCATATTCACTTAAGCTAGTCTCCAGAACCTCGTAATATAGGGCATCGTTTCTCTGCCCTGAGTTGCCATAAGCAGAATACTGCGTAGTCAGGATCTGGGAAAGGTTGTGGGCAACGTTCCGCCGAATAAATGGCTTGGGATTGCCAGTAGTAGTTGCAACAGGAGCAAACCGAAGGTGTGTCGGGTCAACTTTTAAATACTCGCCAACTTTAGCTGAAAATTGATCATAGCTCATCTTGCGGCTAAGAGCAAGTGTAAAAGTTGAGTCATCGGATTCTGGCTTCACTGGTGCAAATTTTATCATGACGCGGTTGAGAAGATAATCGTAGTATTGTCTTGCATCCTTGTAGAGAACGTTGGGTCCAAGTCTAGGTGTAATGGGGTCAGTAACTGTTTGAACGTGTTCGGCGGAAAATAACGTACTCCGATTCACTATGGCTCCGCTGAAAACATATTATATCTCCATCTTGAATCTCCGAAGCTTGGAATGTCTGCTTAGGCTTCAGCTGGTCAATCATTGAAGGTTTGATTTCCTAGCATAAAAGGTTAGAGAAATAGCCTACCAAAATTTAAGAGTATTCACTGAATACATACCTCGTATAGCGAAAAGGATGTGCCGGCTGGCCAGTTCATGATCTGGAGAATGGGCCCAGCAAGTTCTAAAACCTTAGATTGCTTCTTAACGAAGACATGGCCAACACCAGAAAGAGTTTGTGTCACAGGATCGAAATGCTTCAAAATGACGAGAACAGACGCATTTGGTCCTTGCGTTTCAGGCCAAACAACCTTTCCATCATCTCCAGGTTCTCTCACTTCAGCATATACCTTGAAAGGCGCGGCTCTTGACGAAAGCTTGAAAGCAGCTGTTTCGACAGTGTCTTCTGGGTCCCGTAGGGGCTGGTCAGGCCGGACGGTTTTGTTTTGACGATTGACCATGGCCCATAGCCGGACTCGTTCCACATCAAGGCCCTTATCTTCTGCCACAAGTTGCGTAAACTCGCTCACCTTCATGGTACGGCGGACTCGGTAGGTGGTTGGGAGGGCTGGATCGCCGGGATCCAAATCGGTACTCATCAAGTCAAAGCCATGATGTTCTCTAAACGTGTCATCGGATACAACTGCAATATTCATGTAGAGATGTTGCTCTTCCCGCTCCTTTTTCCTACGGATCGCCTCAGAGCGTTCTTCATCGACTTGTTTCACTGTTCCCAGTTAGTAAGTCCCCCAAGAAGTATGAATCGGAATAAAAGTGAGCCAGGAACTTACCAAGATGGGCGGGCACATCCTCATTTCCAACGCTGATAAGGACGTCGTCGATTCTGGACTTTCGGATGTAAACCAGCATGTATGCGTTCATCGAACGTTTTGTCGAGTAGTTCCGGGTATAAGGTTGGCGCATCCCGGCTCCATTTGCATACTCTCCTCCAAAGTTCTCTTCTAACGTTTCCTTATTTGTTGCTCTGATCACCTTGTCATCATCGAATTTGTAGAAGTGGCCATCTTTAGTTGGGCGCAAAAAGGCATAGTAGTGTCCAGCATTGAGGTCGCCACTATGAACAAGTACGCCGAAGAGCTTATATTCCCAGGGTTCAGACCGGTCTGCATCTGCGGATAGGTAGGGCGACGCATCGAACTCCTCTGGGAATTCATGCCGGTCATTGATTTTCATCATCGCATCGCGGTTGAAATCGTATTCGTATCTTTGTAGGTGAAGATGCAAGACAGGTGGGAAGCTTTCGAAAATAACACCTTTTCGGGCGTCCTGCAAACCATGAGAAGCTCCAGCGTCATACTTGTTCTCTCCATCCATGATCTCAACGTTGATGTAAGATTTGAAACTGTCATCCAGAGTCTTGTTTCCTTTGACGCTGAGCTGTATATCCCAGAAGTCCTCTATCCGCGACGATTCATAATCAACGTTGATACACGAAATGTAAGTTTTTGCCTTGCCCACAAAGAGATTCGGGAGTGCTAATTCAGCTGGCGTGCCTTTCATTTGCGCCTCGAGCTTCTCCATGAGTATACGGGAGAGTTCCTGGACATCCTGCTGTTCGAAGATTATTCTTGACTTCCATCCAAAGGACTCAGTGAGTTCTGAGGTTGAAACGGGAGTTTCACATGTCTGGAGTGAGTAGAATAAACGTTGAAGGGTCCAGGCAGAGTTCTTTTTATTTGCTTCATCTTCGGTGGGAATTTGGTATACAGCCTATTTATCATTTAGTACAACAACACAATATATTTGGAGGTAGGTTTTGGCATACCTTTCGGAATGCATTGGTGAAAAACAAAGATTGGAGAAGTGAGTTAAGGTAGCAGGTTGCGCCCTGGTTTCTTAGACCAACCATGCCAGTCTCTTTCTTGGAGTTATAGCTGCAGTATGTTAACTATATAGACAATTACCAAGATAGGGGGGCCAAATATACTTTTGGAAGTTATGCCATAGAACACCAGTAGGATCTTTCACCACTCGCACATATGCAGTGAGACAGGCTTCTTGATTGTCTACGAGTGGCACCCCTCTGTCATCATGGACATGTTGAAATAGCTTTCGTAGTTCACAGAACCGCGTGAAACCCCAATCTGATTCTTCCGCATTAAATCTATGTGTCGCTCCTACATCCAAATTAGCCCATGTCTCGAGTTGAAAAAAGGGCCCGGGAGAGGCTTTACTGTTTGAGATATATATGTCTGGGTGGTTCGGATTCCATAGGACCAGAGCAAACTGCACGCAAGCGTACCAGTTCTCCGGCACGTTCTCCTCCCACCCATGCTCCAAGTAGAAGGAAGCATGCTCTACCTGGTTACCATAGGGGAAAAACAATATTCTCCTAAGACACCAGTTAGACAGATTATTTCCGCTTGTTGTCTAGCCTGCTCTCGTCTTGTGAGGGGATGTACCATGGTGCGCCGGCACATTCAAACTTGGGCCCATGCTCTCTCCGCGGCAGCTTTGTCCAATTCTTTATGTGCCATGTGTGATATGTTTCTCCTTCGGTTTCCAGATCTGGGTCTACCGGTAGGACTCTCGACATCATCGTCTCATCTATCAAGCAAACAGAAGAATTAGCCTGGGTAAGCTACCGGCAAAAAAAACGACCATGCTCTTGGCAGCCGGAGCACTGCTGGTTAGACACTCGACGGGATGAGGGGGAGGGGCCAGTCGTGCGGCAGAGCTTAGAGGAACAGACAGAGAGGCGCGAGCGGTCCCTGGCAGGCGAAAATCACAGCAGCTGGGAGAGGACATACAGTCATTGGCGAGTGGCTTCTCCATGTCTACGTCGTTCGAGGTTGAGCCGGCAGGCGACACGACGACCACGTCTGTCCGGTCATTGTTCTCAAACTGGTCGTAGTCGGGCACCATGGTATCAGCATCATTAACCTGCAGTATCAAGGCACGCTCGTCAGCCTGGGTCTTCTTTTCCAGCGTGTAGGATCACGGCCGGGAGAGAGGTGAGGGTGAGGAGTGAGGGTGGTGAGGGCGGCGGCCTACATGGTCCATGAGCTCGGTATATCCAACCAAGGCAGCAAAAGAGCTCTTATCGTGGCTGACCAGCGCTCCGAGGCGAGGCAGAGACAGTAAAGCAGTCTTCAGCTAGACAGCCAGATGCTATCGATGTAGTAACTGCTACTAAACAGTGCTGCGTGAGGCTGTTATCTGCGGGTAAAGTTGGCAGCTCCGCGTAGGATGGTCGTTATTTTTTGGTGAGGTTTTCTTTTTTGCTTTTCTTGTCGATGATAAGTTAAACTAGTTAGTTAGAAGAAGCGGAGGAGAAGAAAAGAAAAAAAAAAAAAAAAAAAAAAAAGCTGCTTTTTAAAAAGATGGCAGTTGCCGGGCCTTTCTGGTCAAGAACATTCAATCACCCCTATGTATGATTTTTTCTTTGACTGTGCCCAGTCTTAGAGTGGGCAGTGAAAGCTGCTCTTCCATGCATGTAGCTTATTGTTCACCCAGCAGGGCATGCAGGAGGCCATCCAGTGCCCACCAAGATGCTGGGGAAAAGCAGACAACAGTGACTCCAGCCAGCTCGCCAGTTACCGCGCAAAGATATACACCTACACAGTAGATCCATGCATAAGGAGATCCCGTAGCCGTCGATGCCGCCGCCGTCGACATCGATTTGTTTGTTTCCCGCTTCGTATCGCGCCAGCCGAGGATCAGTTTCAGCCTCCGACACCGGCAGCCAGAAAGAGTCAACACAAGCAAAAAAGTCAACTTCTAACTACTACACCATCGTCTTCTTTCCCTCCCCATATCCCACCAGCTATCCAGCCCTCGATGAACCCGTGCTGCTCTTCTATGCTGCTGAGAAGCCATGTCTCGTCTGTGAGCCATGACTTGTAAAGTCCGTTGCGGCATCCTGCGTCCTCCAGCCTGGCCCAGTCACCTCCCGCAAGGCCTGAGCTGCACCATCTCGTGAATGAATGGCACCGCCGGCATGCTGCTAAGCCAGTCGAGTCGGTGCCGGCAGAGCGTTCGCTGGAGATGCTGTCGGCAGGTCCGCTGTCTCTCCGCAGACAGCCAGCGGCCTCCTCCGTGGCGGCCTGGCTCCGTTCTCGATGAGTATGGACCGCACCTTGCGCATGACGGATGAGTTGTTTACATCTTGACTGACGACGAGTATACGATGGCAGTTGGGTAGAGAGAGACGTCCGGCCGATCAGCCTGCGCCAGTTGACCTTTTTTGGTCGTACGCTCACTGAGAGCAGACTCATCAGTTCTGCGAACTACGTCCGGACGGAGCTCCCCACTAGGTACACATGCCTCCATTTAGCCAATTTACTTAAAACAGTTTTGTTGATGAAAATAATAATATATACAGGATCGCCCACCGTCTACGTGATATGCAGAAGCTGCCGTATGTCGTTGTGACGAATCCTCATCTCTCCTATGTCTACGAACTATACTACAAGGCCTTTGAGCGCTTCCGGACAGTGCCCGAGATCAAAACAATAGAAGATAATGATAGATACTGTGATATTTTACGCCATGCTCTCAAGGAGCATCTTACCGTTATTCCTAACCTTGCAATGGGTGTGTTGGAGTGCCAGGACTTAGTCAAGCCTGATGTTATGGACCGGTTTATGAATACTCTCCTGCGAGCGGTATGATAGCACCCATATCCTTATAGCGGCTTACTGAGGCGAAACTAACATGCAGTAATAGAGAATATCACGACGGGTGATAGCAGAGCAACACCTGGCTCTTACAGAGACATTCAACTCACCATGGCATTTCCCAGATTCGTCCGACCGCGATATGGGTGCAGATTTCGTCGGTGAAGTCTTCCTCAAATGTAACGCAAAGGACGTTGTAGAGCGCTGCGGAAAGCTAGCTCGTCACCTACTGCGACAAACCCTCGGTCCAGACGCAAGAATTCCCAAAATATCCATTCAGGGTCATCTTGGTGCTACATTCCCTTACATTCTAAGCCATCTGGAGTATATAGTTGGAGAGCTGCTTCGCAATTCCATGCAGGCAGTTATCGAGAAATACAAAGACAGCAATAGCCCACCACCGCCGATAGAGGTGCTCATCTGCGAGGCTCCACAACATGTCATTATCCGTGTCTCAGACCAGGGCGGCGGCATCCCTCGCGATATCCTCCCCTATCTCTGGTCATTCTGCAAGGGCCCTCGTTCGAAAACTCGATTAGAGAACCTTGGCCAGATTCACGCCATGGCCGCAACTATGCAAGAACTGAATGTTTCGCATCAGGACTCGTCAAAAGTACCCAGAGGAATAAAGGAAAACTCCCTAGACTCTCTCAGTTCCCGTCCGCCTAATCTAAGGCTCGGAATGGGCCTCCCGATGAGTCGTGTCTATGCAGAGTACTGGGCTGGTACACTCGAGCTCCATAGCCTTGAGGGTTATGGTGTCGATGCCTTCCTACAGATTTCTAGACTAGGGAACCAGAACGAGCAAGTATCGAAGCGAGCGGCCATCGATGCTGTATAACCTGTCTTCCATCGCACACCGAATGAAACGGTCCAAATATCACACCCTTACCCTATACAAGTCTCCCCCATATAAACTACATTGCCACAGGTGGACGCAATTATTCCAATACCCAAACACCACTTCTTCCTCTTTCTTACCTCTCTCCTCTGTTACCTCTCTCCTCTGTTCTTACTTGACGGACTAGCATGATCGACTGGTTATTGCTCTCACTTTTTCATTTAATTGATAGGCAAATACAAATACCTGTGCATCGACCTTTGTACGCCATGCTCTATAGAATTGTACAAAGGAACGATCTCATGCTACCAACCAAAAATTTTCACCACGTGATCTAGTTTTCTCCTATGACATCATATGGATGTAAATAGACGCAGGATGCGCTTGCCAAATTTACTTTAAAAGTCAACAAGCGCGAGATAGTAAACAGTTCTCTCCTGAAGAAACAACGGAGCAATTTCGCTCTCATCCCTCAATGAATAAGTCCATGGTTATATTCTATAGGCAATATCGTGCTTAACAACCCAAAGCTAAAGTTGATTATTGTGACTTAGCCCGTTATCTTACGTCTCGGCAGCCAGAACCTACATCAAGCTGTTATTCCCTGAATTCGCATCAGCGCTAAGATGTCTGAGACTTGTGCAGGTGTTATCATTGTTCTAGTGACCCTCCTTTGTAGGCCTCACCCTGTGATACCCAATTTCCCATCCGTATACATATACAGAAGTGCTAACGTGGTTTATTTCAGTCCCGCCGGCTGGGGTCTTCTTCATCGGCGGCTGCTCCCCGGACCTCTTTATCAACGTCCTCCTAACTATACTTGGGTAAATTAACACTTACTAGAAACACCGCAAGATATTGGCTCATTATTTTGTCCTCGAATAGATATTTCCCCGGCCACATTCATGCTTTCTACACGCTATGGGTATATTATGAGGCCAAAAGCAGAGGCCATGAAGGTAGAAAGCGAGCCAAGAAGCCACCGGGTATCTTTTCAAGAAGGATTTTGAATGGCGGCGAAAGATACCATTTCTCTGAGCAACAATCTCCCACGCCGCAAGGATATGGTACAAGTACCACTCAAGCTCCTGCTACTAACGGCGGCCAACAACCGGCATAATAAATATGGAAGGTGACTTGGACCTAATTTATACACTTCTGGAGTGTGTGTGTGTGGATGACGTCTGGACGAGAGACAGATAGGAGTTGGTGTAGTAGAAGCCATTGTTATTTTTTCCCCCCGTTTGGCTTGGGCAGCGTGTACCACTATTAATATCTTTATAAGCAGCCTTTGTTGTTAATCCGTTTCTCTATTGGCAATTCAATGGTATAAGTCTTCTATTTCTATTCATGTTAAAACCCTGACCAAATATGTCAGATAGAGATTGATCCATTGCCTGATGTGGTCAGAATATACCCGTCTGGAGATTCAGCCCTTAACAGCTAGGATGACGGTAGAAAGAAGGGTATAATGGAGAATATACTGCAACTTCTGTATTAAATATACTCTCTAGAGGTTTACCCACGCAAGATACCCGGGAAATCAAGAAGTAGCTGGCTTCTTCAAAGCCGGGAAATTAAATGGTTTGCTCCTCCCGCTAAGTGCTCCCTTAGAGCCAGCGTTCTGAAGAAACAATTTTCCAAAAAGCCCGCCAACATTCTTCTCCATGTTTGTATTCGAGCTCCACCGTAACGAGCCTATCCAGGGCTGCACATTCCATCCAACGATCAGTGTCACCCCTTCCTTCTCCGCTATTGATCCCGAGATATCAGTTATCTGATATTTTGGTTTCTGGTTTCGGAGCTTTAGTTTCCCAGGTACGACATTTTCCTGGGTGTTAGCTTTGGCCTTGCTTTTGGAGATATTTCGTTTCGACTTCAATGCCTTTGCGTCTGGGAAAAATCGGGACTTCAGGGATTCGAGCGAGTAAGGCGATACAGGAGCTGGAATGATTTTATCCCATATTACTGCTTCGGTCGTTTGCGACTGGTTTGAGGCAGAAGGGTATGAAGCTAGAACGTAGACGAAAACTTGCTTTGTGTTGAAGTGGAAGAGAGAGGTCAAGTCTGAAGAGAATGACTCAGTTATCAGGCTCAGAACAATCCGGTTTGAATCATATTAATAAACGTACCAGCGTCTAAATCAAACTTGACTTGCGCATATTCTTCTCGTCTCGAGGCATAGTAGTGCGGCCTTCCCTTGACCCTAAATGCAAACATTAGCACAGCAATCGGTATATTAGCTATTAGAATATGACCAATGGAATTCCTCCTGCAGGATAGACCATTGGCTTGACATACACTTGTACGTTCGACACCTTTATGCTGGTGGTAGGCTCAGCTGGGTGGAGGAAATCCGAAGCGGCAATAATTGCGCCCAACACAAGAGCAACCGTTGTCAGAAATCCAAACACGCTCTGAAAGCGGGTGGAAACTGAATGCATTGCGGCAGCTTGGAACGACCGTTTTACATCCACTGGGCCGTGGATAGCTTCGTGGCTATGGCTGTTCTTCAAAGCTCCAGATGAGGCCAGATAAGATTGACAAACTGGGGTTATTAGTTAGCAAGGCGCTCGGCCGTCTATATTCTGTCACGTGACTGAATTTCAGCCCTGAAGCTGGAGAGTTTCTATGCTAAACGCAAAACCTGATATGGATATATAGACTGAAAAACGATGGTAGACAGTAAGATATCGACTGAAAATAACAATGGTAAGCAGGAGCTAGAACTCGTTACATCGCTAATACAATAATCTTCGCCTCCCATTGCTCCTGCGGGAAGTGAAAAAGGTCTCAACCCAGGATGAACGCCTCGAATGCAGTCCCTGAGTATGCCATGGAAAGCATCATTCGAAAGGGAAGAACAGAGATATTCTGGACAATATAACAAACAACAATACCAAAGGAGAGGACAGAAGGAAGAGAGACCTGTATGCCATGCAAGGGGAACGTAATAACAGAGAAATCAAGAATAAAAAAAAAAATTTAAAAGATATCGACGGAGTGAGGAGATGAAATTTGGTTAGTTATAGTGAAGACAAAGGCCTATCACGGAAAGGTCGATCTGGAAACCGCAGCACTTGGCTTCCTTGGAGGCGGTGTCATAGGGACTTGAATGGTTTCCCCGCTAGGTTTTTCGGTTTCATCAAGCTTGTCCTGCTTCGAGGTAGTATCAGACAAACTTAGGAGCATAAGATCACTGGATGAAGGAACGGTGCTAGCTACTGGTGTCTTCGGGGTTTCTTTCTCGCTTCTAAGGCGGCGAGGTGATGAGCGAGTAGGTGTCACCGGAAGGTCTAAACCGGCATGTTTGGCTGCTGGCTTTGGGGAGGCTTTGGGTACATCAGACTCCTTTCGATCCTCGTCAGTAGCAGGGCTACCTTCCACCGGGGTATTGACCAGGAGAATGTTCAAGGACTTTGCATCAGCCATAAGCGGTTGGTTCTCTCCCAGCTTTCCATCCCTCAGTGCCTGTTGCTCCTCATAAAGTTGACAGAGAAACTTGCGTAAGCGAGAGCGAAATAAACCTGGTTTCATGGCTGGCCAATCCTTATTTTTGTTCATTTCCTTGCGAAGTACAGATCTCACGAAATGGTCTGGATCCCGCACGAATTTCTCAAGATATGCGAGTAGATACAACCCACAGTCAGAGAAGTTCGGCTGATGCGGTATCTGCTTTGCATTCAATCCGACTATTCTTTTGGAGTCAATGGTCAATGACCGTTTTGTTTTGGCTTCCTCCTCAAGATAATCCTGAAGAATCCCAATAGTAGGGCGCCGTGGGCAGTCTAACGAATCAAAAACAATGATAGCGGGCTGGCTTTCGTTGTATCGAATGCCTGGGTTCCGACCTTTTTTACCACGCTTCTTTGCGGCCTTGGACGTTTTGGAAGCAACTTCCGCTTCAGGCACCCTCGAAGGTTTGAAAGAATCTGTTACAGGCTCAATAGCTTTCTCCAATGATAATGCTGCTTCCTTCTTGTAAGGGAGGTGGGATACTGGGTTCTCATCTTCGTCCGGCCATTCTTCGATTTCTGGATGCTCAACTTCCTTATCATCGCCAGAAAAATGAGGCTCTGCTGAATCATCTTTCAGGGTCATAGAAGTGAACGATTCTCGGACCTGGTTTTCCTTAGTAGCATCAGAAGGTGAGTGGTCAACATCCGGCTTTGATCCTCCAACTTCAGGTGGTACGTCGAGAACGTTTGTTTCCGTAGCACCCTGTGTTTTTTGCATCTCGTCTTTTTCGATACTTTCTGAAGTAGAGAGATTATCCACCTTTGGTAAAAGCAAGGTTGGCAAATTGCAGATAATTGCCACGTACCAATGGGCATTCTCGTTTATTGGTACAACCAGATAATCAAAAGCGAATATGTCAAAGGATCTTGTCCATTTTTCAACACCCCGATAATTAATCCCTTTCTGGCCTTTAGAGGTATTCGTTAAGGTTGCAAAAAAATAAGAATTGAAGAAATATATCCGTCTCGATAAATCAGGGTGCTGACGTTCCAGATGATGCTCGAGAAAACGAATATATAACCCAATGAGATTGTCGTTTAAGAATTCATGCGGTTTGAGTCGGTCTAAGTCGTGTTCTCCCACCTCAGCCTTCTTCTTGCCAATTGCTGGGTATACAAGAGGACTAATTTATGGTAAGTTCGGATTCCACATACTGTATATCGGGGGATTACCTACTTCTGCCACCTTTTACCCGGCATGTCAAGGATGGAAGCACCCGTATTTGTTTCGTCTTCATTGTCACTGAAAATATAGGTAACACTCAGCAACTACTCCTTTTAGTGATAGGATAGAAGATATATAACATACCTTTCGATTTCAACATTTTGTTTCCGGGAAAATGATCGTGTTTTTCGAACAGGAGTTGGAATTTGGTATGTCTTAATAGGAATAGATGTAGAGGATTCAGCACGGCTCGGGGATGGGTGAGCGTGGCTTAACTTTTCAATGGAGCGGTTAGAAGGAGGCTGGACACCATTTCTAAGGCAATCACTCAGTTTCAATCGTTTCGGCCAAGCACTTGGTGCATTCATCTCGCTTTCAGTATCCGTCGCCCTGTATTTCTGGAGATTTTGTTTATCCATCGTTATTACATTCTTCTGGGGCTGTTCGGACTCCAGAAATAGGCCCTCCATATACTCTCTAATAACGCTTGATTAGCCACATAATTCCTACAAGGAGCTCGCTCATAAGGTTAATAGATACCTTTTCCTTGAGTGCCGCTTAAGAGAAGGTGACCTTCTTTGAAGAAATCTCCAGAATCTCTCCCTCTCTTGATCACTGGGAAACTCAATATTAGCAAATTCAAGGCCTGGTTTCTGCGACCTTGGAAAAGAGAGTCGAATTTTGCCGCAATTGACTTCGCTATAATCCATTTTGATTGCCTTCAATATGTCAAATGACCGGGCCTTCGAAGAGCCTACATCATCACCAGCAGGAACCACAAGAAACTTTTGAGTCTCTGCATTGTAAGCTAATCGGGACACCGGCTTTGCCGAGAAGTCGCCATAACGAAACACGCTGATGTCAAAGGTTACTAGTGATGGCTTCCCTTTCGATTTCTTCTCTGTTGGCTGGTGAGTGGCTTTCTGGTCTGCGGTGCTGGTAAACCTGGTGTGACGAATGTTGCTTGGTGAAACTTCTCTTTTGAGACTATTGTGCTCTTTCCAAGTATCCGGAACGGTCTTGTTTCCTTGAAGTTCATCCGGGCTCTCCCTTAGATCATCAATGTGCCGATCATCGCTTCGGGAGGAACGGCAATTCACTCTCTTCTCTGTTTCCTTCGGGTAATACTGTATCATTGCCGGATCTGGAACTCCCACCACTACCGCAGGGACAGTTCGATCATGGGGTCTATTGTGAGCGGTAGACTTATCTTTGAAGTCAATACCGGCGGCATGTGTTTGCTTTTGTTTTGATCGTTTTTTAGGTTTCTCGTCTTCTGAATCAGAGAATGCATCTGCTCTGCGACCAGTCCATGGCTTACTCTTCGGAGTCACAGGGGCTGGGGATTCTCGGCGCGGACTTGCAGTGCGCCCGTATTTCGAGATGATTTGTGGTATGTTTTTCTGTGCTTGGACTGGGCTTCGCGAAGGAGACCTTTCAACCATAATTTTGGTATAAGAAGTTTCTGGAACGGCCAACGACTGTTCATTCTCCTCGAGGTCAATTATTTCGGGGACTTCTCGTTTCAATCGCTTTCTTGGTGGAGGAAACTCTTCATCTGAATCTGGTATCACCGTAGAACTATCCAGTTCCCAAGGTTTGGGTCTGGAGAAAGGAAGACTCGGCACCGACGAAGACTGATTTACCCGTGTCCCTGGTCTGACTCCGATGGTATTTGTGGGTTTAAACGTCTCGTGTTTCTTCGCGATCGAGCCTGGTTGGATAGGAATTGCACGACGGTCCCTTGTCAGTCTGGAATGAGGAGTTAGCAAATCATTATAATCACATTCTCTGAATAAACAAAATGGAAGCATAAAACGTACTGGCTACCTTGTAGCAGGCGCTGCTCATCCCTATAGCTTTTTCTTTCATCCTTGCTCAGCTTGCGACCGGAAACCCCCATCTATCAGCTTCCACTTCCAACCACTCAAAAGGTTGGTAACCAGCTTTGTTTACCCAACAGCTTTCTTCTTGTGTCCAAATATGGAAGTAAGATTCGACAGGACTTCTGGCATCCTGATAGCAGGTAGTAAATGGTTAGTTCATGTATTAGAAAAGAAAAGAGTCTCGAGTAGCAAATGAGCGGGCTATGCGAAGGGGACCGGAGGAATAAAACTAACCCTTCCTATAGTACGGTGTCACACGGGTTCAACACGGTTCTTGACCCTCTCTTATGACGATGATTGCCCTCTCTCGAGGCATAAGTGTGCGCTTTTTATCATGAGCTGAGGTGCAGTGACTGTGTAGCGAAGCTCCAGGAACCATCACCCAGCCTTTCACGATTAGTTATTATTCAAGGCCGATAAGTTTCGACTACCATTATTCCTGTGAATGAACAGTGGAAACCACTCAAAGTATAGGCAGATGGAATATCTGGACAATGAATGTGGTAGTAGAAGGGAGTGAATATAAAAAGAGGTTGTTTGTGAGGTGCTGGAACTGAGTTATCGATAACTGACCAGAGGCGCAACAGTTTTTAGGGTTTGATAGACCAAACATCCGCCACCAATAAGCGCATGGTTTGCTGGCCTCTTCTGCCTGAACAAAGATGAAGATATGAATGAAAGCTGGAGATAAAGGCCTGCAGAAGGGCTGCCAGTGTGTATGTTGCTACAGGTGCATATAATTATAGTGACTACGAGGAAAGGCTGGAGGTAAGCCGTAAAACCAGTTGGCTTTGACCATTTCTGCAAAAAAACAGTACACCCATGATGCTGAAATGATTGAACCCAGGAACCCAGAAGAAAGCATTTGCCATATCTCGATGTGGTTTTCGAAATAGGCATTAAATCAATCATGATAAAACAAGAGAAGAAACATAGGCGGAAGAAAAGTAAGAACAGGTCAAAGAACAAGTCAAAGAACGAGGAGAAGGTAAGAGGAAGGATAATAATAGGCTAGACATATAGGGGGTATGCCGGTGAATAGAATTTAGCACTTAAACAAAAGTAGTGTACATCGGGCCTGCTGGAGCAACTAAAAAGAGTTCCTGCTTAAGAGTTCGTGGTATTCTTACCCCTTTCGGTAGTGGAATCTTCCTGGTTGGTGATGCGGCGGCGGTCAGCTCCTTGGTTGTGATGGTGGTGATGGTGGTGGTGACCGGAATTGCCGCTGGATTTATCCAGGCGCGCTTGGTCTATAGCTGATCTCTGTGCAATGCTGTCATCATGGCTCTTCCAGATGATGTTTGTATCTGGGGGGAAGGCAAGAAGCCGCTTAATGGTTTCCCTGTGCATCGATGTGAGCCATCATCTTCTACGGCCAAAACAAGGGGCGGAATTAAATGTAGCATACCTGATCTTGATGTTGCGGCCACCATCGATCTTTGTCCATATACTCAAAACATCCTCCCCACTCCTGACACTGAGGACCGCACCGCAGACCTCATCGCTTGCCTCGGCGAACTGGTCCCCGATCATTGCCAGGAGTAGATCTTCCCAATATCGATCCGCAACTCCCTTCTTCAACCTGATGATCCACTTGCCGCCCCTTTTATTGGCCTCATCCTCCCATACAGGACGAATGTTTTTCTTGAATATATGGTAGTCCGACACAGTCGGTAGCAAGGAAGGTCGTTTGAGGTGTGAATAAACGGTCCAAAAGCTCTCGACGGAAGATATAGAGGCGAGAGGGATAGTGGACTTCTCATAATCAGAGTACTTGGGTGTCGGAGGACGGTACCAGACAATCCACGTAGACTTAAGCGGAAGCTCCCTTACTCCGTTATCCTTATTGGCCGAAGACGCGGACTTGTCAAGAGAAGACGAAGATGCCTTTGACTTGACTGGTTTCCAAGCCCCGCCTTCCTGGTCGGCTTGTAAATCTCGCTTATCGCCTTGTTGTTTACCAGCGATAGCGTCAGGGGAGTTGGCGGTCTTAGACGACTTCGCCGTCGATCCGAATGAAGCGAAGGCGCCTGAGCCCAGCCCAAAGGCAGATGATGCGGCCACGGAGGGGGAGGAGACTGTAGAAGAGAGAGGCGATATGGCGTTGAATGGGTTTGAGCGAGGGTGCGAGCCGTCGAAGCGGCCTGCGGAGCGACCACGAGATGAATCCAACTTTCCGGCACCGTCTTTACTATCAGAGCTGGAGGTCGATAGGGAGAGTTTTGCAGAGCTACAGATGGTAAAAAGGAGAAAAAGCAAAGAAAGATTAATACTTGTTCTCCCCACATTGGAATATATGACGATACAGAAATCCAACAGACGTGACTGGGGGTGGCCCAATTTGTGCGAGGAGGGGAGTGGAATAGGACACTTACTTAGATCTTCGAGTCCATAAATTAGCGTTCTCCATTGGCTTACTTAGTCAAGGATATGATAGTTTGAGTATGCAGGGCGAGCAGGAGTGGCCGCGCAGAAGTCGATGGAAGGGTAAAAAAATTTCCTAGGCTCGTTGTTGCGCGAGAATTGTGAAGCGAGGAGTGTGTCAAGAGGATGTGCGGGCGGCGACCAGGATAAGAAGCGTAAAGATTAGCAGAGGGTAGAGTAGGTGATAGGGCGAGCAGCTGGGGCGGGCGTGAATCGTAGAAATGAATAATGTGCTTGAGCTAGGAGTTTGCCTGATACAAGAGAGAGAAAAAGATGGCGGAGAAAGTTGAACGAATCAAGCTTTTGCCGCATTTCAATTTTACACGCGCGTTTACTTTCAAATCTAGTCCTAATGTAGTTAGAATATCACGTGCCTAGCGCTTATTTTATTCCATTTTCCACGCGGCGTTCCTTGTGGCCGCGAAGAGAGATGATTGTTTGCATCATTTGATGATGGCGTGACGCAGCCTCAAACGGCCATTCCACTGAAAGGGTCTCAAGTTCATTGACGGTCAAGGACGGTTGATAATGATAGGAGGATATGCCCGGTGCGGGATCTTGTCTGGTGTTTTGTCTAGACGGACTTAGGGCCTTGCATAGGGAAGACATATCGTCTTTACCTGGGAAGTGTTGTTGGTTGCCGGTAGAGATAGAAGTGTCAAGGACGTATACAAACGGCAGCGCACGTCATACTTGATCTATATAATGATAGTAAGTTGGCTTTTTCCAACCCCCCCCAGGCGAGTTGGAATACTCCAGAGTTTCTCCAGTTAGGTTGTTCACAGGGCCAAGCAAGCAAAATGGCTGTTCTGTCATTGGCTGGCGAGATTTCACGTACATGTCAACCATCCCATCGGGCAGAATGGACAGCTCGTAAAGCTAGCTCCCTCCCTTCTGCATCCCCGAAAGTTCCAGAGACTAGTAGAATTTGATGGGATCTCCAGACACGACAAAGTGATAGCGGGACCTACTCTGTTCCCCCTTCCCCAACATCCGGGAACCAATGGTCGGCTGACAACCAGACACCAAGAAGGAGAAGGACATTAAGCATTGTACGAATTTGGACAAAGGTTGGCGCCTCTACATAAGCCTCGTGTACTTCACCGTCTCTCCTGTCAAGCGACTATGCCTGGTGATTAACGGTGAATTGGCTCAAACACCATCCTGCATAAATCCAGATGCCGAAATGACGAAGCCCGTTAACGTCCGCCCTCTTCAAAAGTCCGAACCAACAAGGCCACAGCTATTCCGTAGCTATAGCGGCATATATTGCCGTGTGTTTCTCGGCACACCTCATACAAGCCGCGTCAAACACCAAACACTCGGATTTGCAATTTGAGGTATAGCCGGTTAGTTAGAGATGCAGAGTACAGATACTGAGTATCCTTTGCATTCTCCCAATATGGAGATCCTACGGAAAATCTGCGGAACGGAGCCATCTTCGGGGGGCGGAATGGGACCTCGAAAGCCGCCGCGTGGCATCAAGACCAGATCGAGATAACTAACGAATGTCAACACGTTTTTTTTTTTTTTCCTCTGCTGCTTTCCCATCCGATTCGAGGATGACTAACTACGTGAGGGGATGGAAGGGCGGGGAAAAATGAGAGGGGCGCAATGCACAGTCTGGTCTCATACGCCGCCTTTGGATGTGTGTGTACATGGATGCTCTGCAGTCAGGCATGCCTATGTTGTACTCTGTCCTCTGCACCCTGGCCTTCCGCGTCGAGCGGCAGCAACCCACCTGGTCGAACAGCCTCATCGGTTTCATGTATGCGCTATATGCAGCGAAGCATGACGAGCTGGAGGGAAGAAAAGGCGAGCAGATGCTGCTTTCTTACTGGCGCAGAGCGAGATCTGACTACTCAATGCGGAAGTTCGCAAGGGGTTTTGTGATATTCGCATCTTGCTTTTTCTGCCCCCGCTGGGCGGTGAGAGCGCGGCAGGGACCCACAACTCAAAAGGGAAAGCGGATGGCTTGCCGCCCTCTGGCGCGTTTTTTTTTGTTGTTTGCGCCGGGTGACGCCCAGACGGATACAAGATACAGAGATACAGGGACACTGGGATACTGAGATATCTACTGAGATACTGAGACACAACCGAAATAGAGAACCGGCGACAGTGAAGACAAGATCCGGAGAAGTCCCCATCGGGAGGGGGCCGCTGACTCTCCCACAATTGCGAATAAGCGAAATCGACGGTTAAAATGGTGTTGGCACGATTATTTGACTTGACTAGTTCATGCCGGCTACCTGGCTCTTGGACTTGATGAGCGGCCATCAAACCATGGGGTGGGAACAACTCGGATGAGCCGTAGCTACTTCCGCCCACTCTAGATTGGTCCGAACAGCCATCTGTTTCTGGAAGACACGATTGGTAGAGCTCGCGATCAACATGTCTAGCACCAGCTTACTCCGTACGGAGTATACAAACGTGGACTCATTTGGCTACTTCACCAAGGCCGGATAGATATGATAGTTACTTATATATTGGCGTGGCAACCTGCCAACTATCATGCAACCACTGCCACTTGCCTAGCTATATATATGACGATATCAGGAAACGGTTTCATGCAAGTACGCAAATCAAGGCCAACAGCAGGTCAGTCTTGCCCACTAGACTGCCGTGCACAAAGGAGTGACCACCAGGCCTCTTCCTGGTGGCGGAGATAACGGCGGGCTGGCTGTTTCCCCAAAAAAGTAGGTGGTTGGATAGACACCTTTGTCTTAGCGCCCTTTTCCGGCTAGTTTGATGACCAAGAGCTCCTGTCGCATGGTAGTCGAAAAAGCAATAACCCTCACGGCCTTGCATCTTGCACCTTACAAACCAGCGCCTGTTCCTCTGTTCGGCGATGTGTCCGTCCCTCTCCGTTCTCTTGCTGTGCCTTTTTTTTTTTTTTTTTTTTTACTTGCATCTACTCTCAGCGTATAAGCTCTCGTCAAACGAAACCCGGAGTGCGGACTGCGGCTCCATACCATAACAATGCGTTGCCCACATATATATAACACACCAAGGAGGCCGAGTACCGCAAAGGGCTATCCGCTAAGCAGGCAACTCCGGGTCGAATGAGACGCATTCGCTGTCGAGCTTAGAAACGGCGCCATACATACTGGTTCTTCCCAACCTTCTACTCACTTAAAGTCCGACATAATAATAATTCAAGGCACCAAAGCGGTCATTGCAATTGTATAACTCAACTTGTTTGCCATTTCCAGTCCTTCTTTTTTTTTTTCTTCCCCCTCGCTCATACCCAATCCTCGATTTGAGCCGTGTCATCGCGGCTAAGTATAGTGCCTGAGCGGTCCTCATACCAAGTTGCGGAGCATATCGATTTATTTAAGAGCGGGCAAGAAGGAACCTCGAGAATGATGTTTGAGAATAATTCGAAACCGCTGTCTTCACCTTCACCAACATCAACATTATCTTCAGCAACCTGCGCTAGAGTTAAAATTTCCTCGAAAATGCCGTTTATACCCTCTTCAACAGACGTTTGCAATGGTTATATGAGACCCAGCATCATCGACCTGTCTAGAACGGAGAATTTTCTTTTACGGGATGAGCTTGCGGACATTGTCAAGACTGCCAAAACACATGATTCTCAGGTATATCTTTTGTGCATACACTGGATGGATGCATCAATGCTTTAAGCTTCGTTGTTGCTAACATTGAGATAGCATCATTTTTCCCCACATGATGACACTGGAGATTCAAGGTTGTTGTTGGAGTGTTTGGCAAGGCTCTTCAACAATTACTTCAACCCTTGTATTCCAGTCAGTCGATCACATATTGCTACTGCTCCGGGCGCAGCTGGCTGCCTCGATGCACTTCTGTATAATATTTGTAATGCCGGCGATGGTGTTCTTATACCCGGACCCCAATGGGGTAAGTTGACTGGGCAGAATTGATACGTGCGAAACATAGAATGAGCCAATGCTAACCAGGATATTCATCGCTTAGGCGACTCGGACATCGAGATGAATTATTCTTACCCCGATGTTAAGATGGTAACGGTGAACACCAACACCTGCGGAACAGCCCACCATTTTCTCAGAGTTTTGAACGACGCCATCGACAGCGCACCTTGCAAAGTGAAGGCATTGGTTTTAAGGAATATGAGCAGCTCATTTGGTGAATGTTACCCGCAAGAATTTCTTGAAGTTGCCCTTAAGTTTTGCCAACAGAGACGCATCCACTTCATCTCCGACGAAGTCTATGCCCTCACATCTTTCTCTTGTGCAGAAATATCGGACCCTGTTCCATTTGTCTCAGCTTTAGCTTTAAATGCGCGGGCATTGGGGTGTGATCTATCGAGGATTCACACTATATGGAGTATTAGTAAGGATTTTGGAACAACCGGTGTTCAAGTGGTATGTCAACCCCTCAAAGAAAGCAAAATTTTACTCCAAACAAAAGAGAATCAAAGGCTAATAGCAGCCGAACCACAGGGCTGTACGGTATCACAAGGCAACAAAGAACTTATCCGTGGGCTTATCAATACACCAAAGTCCCGAATAACACCAGCATCATTGGCGTTTGCAACCTCTCTCCTCTCCAGCCCCAGGCTACCCATCTTGATTGCTCTCAACTCTGCCGGCCTAGCCGAATGCTATATGCTCATCACCTCTTTCTTTGTGCGACATGGTATCAAATATATCCCCGTTAATGCAGGCCTAAGCATATTCGCCCGTCTTGCACCCAACGCAAGGTCACGGGACGAGGAAATGGAGATCGTGCAGCACCTGAAGAACGCAGGTGTCATGGTCAACAACGCTGGAGGAAGCTTTCATAAGACCTTTAAGGAGAAAGGATGGGTACGGATGTCCTTCTCTGTTGAACCAAATCAGTTGCATGAAGCTCTGGACCGCATCGAACTTGCTTTGGGATTGGGACTGAGATAGAGTCACCTTTTATTATTTTTGATGAATTGCATGTTTGATGATGTGACGTATTGATGGTCCTCTTATTCATTTCATCCCTCGACGGGGCAGGGATATTTTTATTTAGATGTGTACCTAGATATCTTTTTAAACGGCTAATAGTTAATGGACGTCGAAATGAGATAACGAGATGCTTCTTCCCGCGCCAAGGCGGTAAATTTACGCTGGATCAGTGACATGCTTATGTAATATGGACAAGTTTGCCAGGGTCACGCAAAACGGTTAGTTTGCACTGTTTCACTCGCTTATGTAATTTGTTAGCGGGATTTGATATCTTCAACTTTTTCTCCCTCGCCTTATTTCTCTTCTTTTCTTCTTCATATTCAACGACCACCAACTCAAATCATCGCTAGTTGCAGCAACACATTTTGTTTATCTTAACTGCTTTGGCGATTCCGATGTGTGCGTCCAGATCGATGCAAAGCCCGCTTATAAAACCATCAGCACGAGGGCTCTCTCGAGCTTCCATGACCCGTTGATGACCTTCTAGTAGGGACAACCAGATGAACGCGTCTGGGACTCATGTTTATGATATATATCCATGATAGCACGGTATGGATAATTCATTTTCATCCGGTAGCTTTCTACTCTACCTATCCTAAGGAAGCTCGATTGGCACTATCATTTTTGTAAGCAACCTAAGCCCCTTTTCTTTCACCCACTTGGTGTCTCGGATGCAAGGGCCGCATGAGATGATGATACGTATTAGACAGCTCTGGTAATCTGATGTGCTCAGCCGCATCTACACTCGTGGATCAATGCTCTACGTTGCTGGAGGGGCTTGGAGATCAAATGGCAAAGTCTGACATGCGTGTTCACCCTGGCGCCAGCGGTGATATGTCTGCTATGTTAAAGATAGCTAACAGACGTCCATTGCGAATTTAGATTCTTGCTGAATAGACTGTGATATAAGTAATACGTATTATGTCCTCGTCAAGATAAATATACGCGTCGAGCATTTTGCAATCAGAGAGAAATGGGAGACAATCTCAGGCACCCTGTAATCGCAAGATTAATGGAAAAGGGTAAGCGGACGTCGCCATTTAAACGGAGCCGAGTAATATTGCCTGACATCAGAGCTTTCGCTACCCTGGCAACTGTTACATGGGCCCTTTAGATTATATATCTCATCAGTGAACTGGCGACTTCGAGAGAAATCACTGTGACCAGCAGTGCCGCACTTGTCAACTAACAGGCGAGCGGAAAGGCTTCAACAGTCCATCAAGGGTTATCCTTTCGCCAACATATGGGTGGATGGTACCATTTACTAGTACAACACCCCATATTCATCCATTTTGAAAAGCTGTCTCAATTTAATACAACGTCTTTTACTCGCAATACCAATTTATAAATATCCAATATTGGTATTACTTTACCCACTTGTAATTTCTGCAAAAAGTCCAAATTCGGTGCCTCGACGAACAAAAATACTTTTATTCAACCTACAGCCATTTCAAAGGTTGCGGTGGGTACCTAGGAATCAAGAAACTGACGACTGCCAATAATCATCCAGGATCTGTACGTTAGCTAGGATGCGCATACAAAGTCCCGTTCCGGAGTTCGTGGATGGTCTCATTGTCTGAAGGTGATCCAACGTCTGCGTACCGCTTTCCGTCTCGTAACTCATGGTATGTGATTCGTGATTCCCGTCGGCGTTTTCTGATAGCATTCCTTAGATGGCTACCAGCCTCGCTAGCCGACCTGCTACTGACACTAACACTAATGCTTTCGCGATAGCTATTGCGAGAGGTATTCCTTACTACTAACTCAGCGCCCTCTTGTTTGTACCATTCGCTGAGATTTGCAGCAAAGTCTTGTTCTTCAGTGCCGAATTCAACTGGCGTACCATCGACTTGGGCATCTACCTCGCCGTCCTGGGGAAAAAATGCCCATGCACTTGTTTCCATATTGTTCAGTATCATCATATGGTTTAAACTCTGAACCCGGAAATTCCGTAAAAGAATCGCGTCTCCTTCTGCAGGAACTGGGAGTGCGTCTTTTTCCCGGTGGAATATTTGTGCAGTGGTCGTGGATCCTCCAGATGATTTGTCGGTTAGTTTAAGGCTGATGTGATAGTCTCTAGCGCCTTTGCCTGCATGACTAACGGAGGTGATATCAACAACTATAGCAATGCAATCGACTAATTGGTTAAAGTTCTCGACTAGGCGGGAAAGTGGGCAAAAGTATGAAAGCCGGGTGCGTAGTCCGGAAATTTCTAGGTTCGTAGTCGGTTCACTTGCGGGCTCAATAGAAATGTGGTCGTCAGAAGGGATCTGATGCGTAGTTTCAGGGCCTTCGTCAGACCGATTATCGCTTACTTCTGTCACCTGAACTTGAACCTGGGTGCCCTTTGCCTCCTCAGCTTGCACTGGATCGGGCAGGGGTGCTCTTGGGTGCTCTGGAAGAACGTAACAGTGGGGGTCATTCGAAATACTAGCGTGACAATCAAGAACGGAAATAGAAGGCTGTATGTGTTCCGTGGACTGTGAATGTTCTGGCGCAGGTAAATTAGGGTCCATCCGGACTGGGAAATGTGGGATGCGTAGACTAGGATCTAAATGGGCCCAAGAGACATGGGTATTTTCAGGAGTGCGGAAGTCAGTGGGCTGTGGCGATAGGAAATGTGACATTAGTTCTTCTCCATGTAGATTTCCCGGATGGTCTGCAGAAATCGCAAGTTCGGTAGGTATATGAGAAGCTCCGGGGTGGCACGTTGCACCAGATAGGTAATGGCGAAGGTCGTGGTGCGAGAAATCAGATTCAGTTGTAGGGGGAATATCAGCCGCAATTGGCGGAAATGACATAGACATTTCTTGATCTCCCATATACGGATGTAACGCATGGTTCACTGCACTGTTGTCATGTTCCCAGGTTGGAAAAGAGGAGTGCTGCTCAGATTTTGTATCGGCTGTGGAGCTAGGAATTTGGGATTCCAACACATCTTTGTGGGTAGTATCTTCCACGCGTTCATTCAATGTGGGTTTCTCAATAGAGGGTGTTGGAGAACGCGAGGAAGATTCTCTGCCACTGGAAGCAGAGGAACTGACGCTTTTGCTAGCCTGTACTTCAGCTGTACTTTCACCTTCTGAGTCAAGGACTTCTGATTCATCATCAGATATAACGAAGATCTCTTGTTTATTTGATTCCGTTGCTGGATGGGCCGGCGAAACGTTATTGTTTCCGATATCACTTGAAACATTGCTATCTGAAAAGGCAGAGTGTTGAATGTAAGATTCTGGCGAAGGAGAATTCTCCGAATGCTCGACGTCTGGAGTAGATCTATTGTCGGGGCTCCCGCTACTCTTATATACCCCAAGTCCATCTTGAGAGGGTCTCGTCGTGTCTCTTTCCCTATCTACCGAAACCATGGACGAAGCATCACTGTAGGTGGAGAGTAGCTCCAAATTTTTATGTTGAGGTATCGCATCTTCTGTTACATTCTCTGGGGAACTGCGAGTATCAGTAGAAGCGGAATTATCCAAATGTCCAGTGCATGAATGGGAATCGGCTAGTAGATCTGTAGCATGATCAGAAGTCACCTGTTGTTCTCTCTTGGACGCATCATGGGGCAACTCTGCCTCTGTATTGCGATCAAAAGCCTCATTGTGGTGGTCCTCCGGAGATAAGTGTGTCTCCGCAGTTTCCTGTAGACACGCACCAGCATTGTCGGATGGAAATTCTTGGTCTACGGAGTCGACAAGTACCATGGAATTGTGTCCTGAGGTCCCAGCTACCGCCCCAGATTTGCGAAGAGCTGGAGTATCTGAAGAGGTAGTCGGATGGAGTAGAGGAGTCTGTATATTGAGAGTATCAAGAGGTAAAGGTTGCTTATCCAGGACAGTACCTGGGTTTTTTGCGGCCGGCTGCAAGGATGTGCCATGCTCTATAGCTTGAGTTATGCCTAGATGATTCGAAACCTCTGGAGTCGGGAATTCAGCATTAACAGCAGGTTGGAACTTTTGAATTTCCATTGAATTTTGGGTATCAGTTTCATGGACTTCTATGCTCTCCCTGGTAGGTAGGAAGTTTTCAGAGGGCAGAGATGGCGAAGGCTGCCGGTTTTCGATAGCTTCCCCTGGTGACTGATCTGTGCTATTGATTTCTGCCTCTAATTTCTCATCGTCCCATATATCACCGTCTTTCGTAGGGCTGGGTGCAGAATCCACGAACACCCACTCGCTGCTCGGCCGGCTGAACCTTGTTCTCTTTCTCCCCTTTCCCGGTATATATCCATCTTCCTCCACTTGGCCATCGAGTAATGGCGAGCTGAATAGTGTGTTTGATCCTCTGGAAAAAGCAGGCGACGCCCAGCTTCGATTTATCGTAGATATAGGGCTCGAAAAGCCAGTGGATAGCCTTTTTGGTGTGACCGGTAGCTCCGTAATCCCTTCATTTGCTCCTTCATATTGGCCGACTTTGATATTGACTATACTCAACGGTATAGAGTTACGTTGTGCCTATTTAAATATTAGTAACTGAAAATTCTTTCTACAGACGAACTAGGCCTACCTCCAGAAGGACTCTATCGCCGAATAGTAAGTCCCATTGTGAATATTCCAATTGTCCCGAGTCGGCATGGCTACTGCTCTTCCATTTAGCTCCTTGTAAGCTTAGATAGATCGTATCTCCGATTCCAATACTGGACTTCGCAACAGCTTCGGCGGCACTATCACGAAATATCGCCTTTATCTGGCCTTTTCCACCGCGTAAACGGGGATCCGGTTCTGAAAGGAGTAAGCGAAATTGCTTGGTAGCAGATGAGAAGGGCCAAAGAAGAATCACCACCGCGTGGAGGTAGCGCTCTCCGGGGGAACCGATGTCGGGAAGAAGGGAGGCAATAGGTGTCACCGCAAGACCGGAGAATTCGCTTGCGGTGGGTTTGTTATCCATGCTGGCCGATACGCCATGAATATTCGGTGAAGCCTCTGGTCTTATAAAAACATCAAGAATAACAAGAATATTATGGAGATATTTTGCCAGGTTTACTCGAAATATTCACGTAGCTCCATCCAGATGGATTATTGGAATTTCACAGCCGCGTCAGGGTCCGTGCTTCCCTTGGAGCGCCATTCGTGAAGTAATAACTACTTACTAAGCCCTTACTTGTGTAAATGTAAGTGGTGATTATAATAAAATCATGTGATATAATCACATGAGATTAAGTTAAAGCTTTAACTATCTTTAGAATAAAGCCGATAAAATAAATAAATTACAATAACATCTTTACTTTTGGACCAATGATCCGGCTTCTCTGTATTTCCTCGTTAAACTTTATGAGTCATCCGCAAGAATGACATGCCGATGTTACCGTTGATTGGCTGGTTTTGTAGAGAGGCGCAGCATTTCCGAAAGCTACGGCGTTTTGGGTGCAACCATGATTTATTCACACACCCGATTCGAAGGGGTTATGCATTTTGTTATGGTATAAATGATTCTGTTAATAGATGCAATTGGCTTATAACTAAGTATACAAGTTACCTTTCTTATATACTGCTATCCCTCTTCGTTTTCATAGCATAGCAATCTTCAAGATGACAAGAGCAACCCCACCAGTGCGGAAAGTTGCTATTATTGGAGCGGGAGCTTGTGGTTTGGTTGCCGCGAAGTACGTTATTACCATGAGGAATCTAGTATGTCGCTAATGTAGGCCTAGATATCTTCTCGCCGAACAATGCTTTGAGCAGATAGATATATTTGAACAGAGAAACCGTGTTGGTGGCGTGTGGAACTTGACCCCACCAGAAGGTAAAGGCCAGGCCGTTAATATTATCCCATCAGAAGACCCGAATACCCCTTTGGAAATACCATTCTGGCATAGAGGCTCTAAGTCTTCTAAAAAGGAGGCGATGTTTCTTTCGCCACTGTATGATGGACTTGAGACTAATATACCACATGGGCTTATGCAATTCTCCGATTTATCATTTCCTGACCGAACTCAGTTGTTTCCACCATTTGAAGCTGTTCTTGAGTATCTGAGAGAATACAGTCAGGATGTTGAACATCTTATTCAATTTCAGGTGCAGGTCGTGGACATCAAACCTAAAGATAAGAGTCTTGGGACTTGGGCAGTTACCCGGAAAGATCTGGTTAGTGGAGTATTCCAAACCGACACATATGACGCAGTTGTCATTGCAAATGGACATTACAATGTGCCATATGTACCGTCGATCCCTGGAATATCCGCATGGAAGGAAGCGTACCCCCAAGGAATAATCCATTCGAAGCTATATTTCGACTCTACGCCGTATAAGGACAAGAAGGTTGTTATTGTTGGGAATTCTGCTTCTGGTCTAGACATTGGGGCGCAGATTAACAAAGTCTGCCAACAGCCTCTCATTTCATCAGTCAAATCGGAGTCTTATCTCTTATCGGGCGTAGCGTCAGATCGAAAAGAATACCCGCCAATTGCCGAGTTTATGCCGCCGGAGACTCATACTCGTGCAATCCGGTTTTCCAATGGTGAGATTATAGAGAACGTTGATGTTGTCCTTTTCTGCACGGGATATCTTTACTCCTTTCCCTTTCTCTCTGGGCTGGACATGCCCGTGGTTTCCGATGGTGGCAGGACGTTGCATGTGTATCAACACTTATTCTACATTGAACAGCCCACACTTGTGTTTCCAGGACTACATCAAAAGGTGATCCCGTTCGTACAAGCGGAGAATCAATGCGCTGCATTTGCTCGAGTATGGTCCGGGAGACTTAACTTACCTTCGAAGAAGGAGATGTATGAATGGGAGAACTCCAATGTTGAAGCACGAGGCTCCGGGAAAGCCTTTCATGCCTTAGCTTATCCACTTGACGCTGATTATCTTAACGAAATGCACGATTGGGTGGCAAGCGCTAAGCCAAGGCCCGGACTGGCAAATGGCGGACATGGAAAATGGGGAATAAGATGGGGTGAAAAGGAGAGATGGATAAGATCTAAGTTCACCCTGATAAAGCGAGAATATGCTGCGCTTGGGGAAAATAGAAGAGCGTGTCTAACACTTGAAGACCTTGGTTTCGATTTTGAGGCATCGAAAGCAGCAGAGGAGAAGAATTAAACAATGTGACCTATATTACGAACTTAGCAAGATAAACTACCCTAGAGTAATAAAACATAGACTTTGCCACAACCTCCTATCAACGATCACGGAAGTACTTGAAAACCAAGCGTGAAACAAGGGTATTTCCCTGCAGCCCCGAACTAACGAATCCGCTCACTAGTTAGTAAATTAACTAGTGTTAGTCAAATTGCTTCCTGGGTGTGATAAATAAAAAGTAGGCAACTAATTAGTCCATGACATAACTAACCAACACCACGTGACTCTCGGTTTAAGAACCTCCATGGATGCTTAACACTAAAACATCTTCTCTCCTCTCTCAGTCGCATAACTGGCCGGGCTCCTCTGTGCAATTCCATACCGTCAGAGCCACTGGTAACTGTCTTATTTCTATAGACCTCGTGTTTCTATTTTCCTGCTTACATGAACATGGCTTCCTTTTACTGTTCGGCAGTCTAAGATGGGTCCCGGAGCCAAAGGTACTACTACTCCATCCAGCTCCAGTTCACAAGCATTGGACAGTCGCACTGCGGCCAGCCAGCACTCAGAAAATTATTCACCCTCTCAATTGCCCGGGGAAGAGTCAGTCTACAGTAGCCAGGAATACCCAATCAAGTTTATACTTGACGAGTCTGGTGGCAAATATTTAATCGCGTGGGAGGGTCCATTTGAACCGACTTGGGTGAGTGAGCTTGCCATTTGAAAAGCTGCCCCTACGACGAGGCGAAGATATATATATTGACGTATTATCTATGATGCTTCTTTATTTATTTCGTGCCCTCAGTAATTTTGAAACCTCTTTCTCTTATACTGAACATACGCTTTTGGTTAATAGGAGCCAAAGAGCTGCGCTAGTTACGCGGCTGTGCGTGCCTGGGAAGTTGAAAAGCAGAAAAGATATATCTCTGCAAAACAGTACAAGGAACAAAGGCCGAGGAGAACTTGTCAGACTCCTCGTCGCAAATCACTAGACTTCGTCTCTTCTTCATCCCCAGGAATCTCTACTCAACAGAGTATTGAGGCCTCACAGCCATCATCCACCAACCTCAACTCATCCATCCCTTCTTTGTCCCAAGCAACTGCTTCCAGTGGTAGTATATTTTGCCCTGAAACCCAGTCTCAAAGCATCCAGGCATCCCGTGAATCATCTGCCCGTGTAGGCGGAAGCTCAAGTATCGCTTCGACTGAGAACCAACCATCATATCATACCCAAACACCCAGGCGCATCAATCAATATAGTCAGGAATCCAGTATACCTGATTCTACTGCTGCTACTTGGGTACTGGAATCTACTGCCAGTTCATATACCTTACGTGGGCGAACACTAACTTCTACACGAGGACCGCCTCCGCAGCAGCTTCGCCAGGACACGGATCAGAATCTTGAATTTCTAGCACGTACTTATCAGCCATCGCAGGGTACTATTAGTACGAGTAGTGCTACCCACTCATCTTCCAAAGAGCACAGCCAACGCAAATTGCGCGATCAGCTTTTCGGTCCCGAAGTGCTGGAAACCCCGCCCTCTCAATTGCCCATTCTAGATAGGTTGGAGGGACTATCCCATCAAATAGGTGAACCAAGCCTTGAAAACGACAGTCGGATAAGCCGTAAGGTCACTGATCAAAGCTTTCCTGGTAAGCGCAGCTGCCTCTTCTTGATTGAGTATCTGATTAACTGATTTTACGTTTGATTAGAATTTCAGACACCGCTCCGCAATTCTAATACGGTGACTGAATCTTGCCAGTCAATTCCGAAGTCGGAATACCAAGGTGAAGTCAATCAGCACAGGTATTATAAGGCTTCGCTGTCTCGTTCTTTTATTGAGGAATCCCCATTAGCTGCCGCAAGTTCTTGCTCAAAAAACGACAACAGAACTCTTCGGAGGACGGTTAGCGAAGTGATTCCAAAAAGCAATAACCTAGAATACCAACCTCACCTTAATCGCCTGCCGGCATCGGTAACCATGAATAGCTCACCGCCTGATAGCAATGCTTCTAGGGCCTCGGCAAATGCCGAAGTAGAACGTCATACACGGGCAACTAGTGTGTCTGAGAAAATGAAGCAACTGTGGGACAGCGATCGTGCTCTTAGGAGGCCCCTTAACAGCCTTCCCCAAAGTACGACGTCGTCTTCTGCCGGAGATATCTTGCCATCTGCGCCACCGAATGCGTCAGACATCATCTCACCTCTCAACTCACAGTTGGACAAAGATACTGCGAATGCCATTGGAAACGAAGCACCAAGCTCTGTGCCCATTCCATTCGTCACTCCTCAAGCCTTGCATTACAATGTTGAGCAGGTTACCTCCGTTCCTGAGGCTCTAGAGTCAACCGTGCAAACGGAGACTACCGAGTTTGATGCATCTAGCCCGCAAGAGCAAAACCAAGATGCATTGGAACTGGAAGTCAATGTCCTGACTCTTAGCGAGATGGAATTTGCCATACCGCTGTCTATGGACTGTCGGGTGAAGGATGAATACGATAATACCCTGGAAGGTGAGAACAAGTATGTGGAAAAATTTTTGGAATCATCGCCACAGTCGAGTGAAATGGGATCTCTTGAAGGAGATGTAAGTTTACGTTCCCAGCTTACTTTGCTCGAATCCTCTAACTATTGGCCCTTCCACAGAGCCAAGGACTGATCACTAGAATGGCCACTCTAGTTGAGAAACTTGACAATATTACGACACACCCTGATATCAACATAGCTAGCCAGGCTGCTGGAACTTCTCCTGATACAGCCAAAGAAGCTTTATGGGCTGAATACTCGAGCTCAAAGTTCCAATATCTTGGTTACCTTATTGACGCCTCTAATGAACTTGACCTACACATTATCATAATGGCGAAACCAGGGAGGACCGTTGATGTAGTCAAGCGCTACTTGATGGGTAAGAATTTTAATCAAGGGCCTTTCCCAGGAGGCGAACACGGAGACTCTCCTGCTGTTTTCAGCAAAGAGAAAGTCAGCTTCGAAGTACGGTCGACCACCGACGAGCGGGGCATGCTAGCATCGAGACCACCGTTTCTTATCATAGCCCTGGATAGCTCCTTTGACGTCAACCTTGAATCTGTAAAGAAGCTTAGGGTTGCTCAGGGTCACAGTACCCTTGTCCCCGTTGTCCGTTTAATTATCGCCAATACCGTCGAGCATGTCAAGGCATGCCTTCCCAAATGCACTGAATTAACTAGACTTCGCTTGACGGTACAGCACACACTGGCTTGCAATGATTCAGCTGGAGAGCTACAAGACGATGCTCTTGGTGTCCAGGAGAATGCTGAAGAAACTCTGATGTACGTCATGGATAACCCTGCTACCAGGACGTGGAAGCTTCCGTTTATGGAAGCATTGGAGATAGAAGGGCAAGGTGAAACCCCTGGCTCAGAGCTTGACCCAATGTCTTCTACCAATGCTTCGCGGCAAAAGAGATGGCTGGTAAGCCTCATTTCTCTCTTATTAATAATATGAAAATTACAATAAATTGACTGGTGTGTTTATTAGGAGAGTGAACTTAGTGATAGCACCAATCCATCAAAACGACAGAGAATAACGCCGACTCAGGATATTACACATGTTAGTGATTCAGTGAGAGACCTAACGCAAACGGATCAAAATAGCAACCCTTCCGCTACACAAAGTCACACGAATCAGTCTGCCGTCGATATTGAAGCCCTCCGTAACGCACTAACGAATAGCAAAGCTAAAGTGAAGACGCTCGAAGCAAGTATTGGTGCTCTACAATACCGCTATGAAGCGAAACATAATCTATTACATCAAACTCGACATGAGCTTGAGATAGAAAAAGAGAAGTCTCAAAAGTCACTGGCAAGGTTTGAGCGCCAGAAAGAAGAAATAACAAGACTAAAGGACCGAAATGCTGAGCTAGTTACCGAGTTGGAAGCGGCAAGGAGTACCATCAAATTCGGTGGTGGCTTGGAATCTGACCTGGAAAAGTCTCGTGAAGAAATCAGGAAGCTTGAAAAGACCATGGCAAGTCTCGAGCGGACAGTCCAACAGGAACGTTCGCAAACAGAATATACCCGTCAACAATACCAAAATGCCTCCACTTCAGCTGCACAGTCGGCAATGGAGGCCCGTCGGCTTGAGGAAAGAGTCCAGGAGCTGGAGAAGAAAGCAAATGGCGAAGCAGTCAGGCTTAAAGAATTGAAAATGAAAAAAGATGGGGAAATGCAACTAGCTCGTATTAAGGAGTTAGAATCCTTATTGGCCACGAGAGAGACTCTCTTGACGAGAAAGGAAGAGGAAATTCGCGAAATGAAAAAGAACCGCCCGTCGACTCGCGCAACAAGTATGCAACCCCGGAGTCCCAAGTACGGCACTAGCCGGCCATCTAGCCCGGGGCCAAACAATATCGGCTCGGCTGTTCGGGGGAGTGCCCTTAAGTTCCGGGCTGAAATATAATGGGATATTATACCATATCAGATGGGCATCTTACAGTAGTCCACCAATTGCCGGAAAGGATAACGAAAATACCAAAAAAAATAAAAAATAAAAAATAAAAATAAAAAACAACAAAAAAGAATAAAAAATAAAAAAAGAATGACAACACTAAAAAAAGAAAAGGAAAACTAAGAGGAGTTAGGTCCTTTGGTTTTTTTTTTTTTTTTTTTTTTTTTAATAACCGCTTATTATTTGGTTTACAGCTGTTCGTTACTTGGATTTCTTTTCTTTGCATCTCCCTCTTTCATTCATATATTTTCTTTTCCTCGGCTTTTTCCTGTCCTCCAGTTACTCATGTCAATATTGCCTGGCCGTTCCTATTTCACTTTGATTATTACTTTTCTTTTTTGTAAATTTTCTGGACTTGTAGCCTACCTACCGTGAGAACAGCCGTTTGGGCCTACATGAAGGAGTGTGACACAGATCATAAATGGTTACCAAATAACATATTGTTAAGGACTTTTTCGAAATGTCTGAGAGCTGTAGGATGTAATAGACTTGGTCGAGTTGAAGATTGACACGAGATGAATAACGGTATTAATAATTAAAATACTCAAAGCCAGCAGAATACTCTTGAAAAAACAGTACGGCCTAGACAAATCACCAGTATAAGAGATCAAAGGAAAACAAAGAGAAGGAGTTTCGCGCCCGGTTAATGGGGCAAGCCCCCAAGTATAGTAAATTCACTCTGAACGTTCTGGATTTCCCATGAGTTCGGATCCGATACCATCAAAATCTTGACCAGGGTTGACGTTCTGATAGCGTAGGAAATTGAGAGCTTGATAAAAGCCAGTTGCTAGCAAAGATCCCAGCAAGGGACCAACCCAGTAAATCCAATGATATCCGGGAAATCCTCCTACAATAACATCTGGACCGAAGGAACGGGCAGGATTGAGAGATCCACCAGTGAAGTAAACACCTAGATAACAACATTCTATATTAGTAGAAGTTCAGGTAAAGAAATGCCATATATGCAGTTCTGGACTAACCGCTGAGTTGCGCTATGAAAAGAGCCAATCCAATACCCAGCGGAGCAAGGAAGGTTGCACGGTGCTTGACAATAGCCAGCATTAGGATGGTGATTATAAGTTCAGCGGTCAGGAACATCTCAATGAACAGTCCCTGGGTGGTCGTAGTCCCACCTCCAAGCTTAGTTTGGACAACCAGGGGCCCAGGGAAGAGGGCAGAGACGACTCCAGCGGCAGCAATCCCGGCAACAACCTGGGCAATAGATACCATTACTGCTCGGATAGGGCTGATAGCTCCGACTAAAGCGAGAGCTAGGGATACCTATCTCAAGGGATTAACATTCGAAGTTACCAGATAAATGAACCGATCAAAGCATACCGCGGGGTTAAACATCCCTCCTGTGACCCTATAGAATACCCAAACATTGATGGCAAGGGCGGTAGCAAAGGAAAGCGATATGTATAACAGAACAGTAGGGTTAGGTTCAGGCGAAGAATCCTTGGGGTCCACGGACATATTGGCAATTTGGCATCCTGTATAGGAGAGGAAGAGGAACATGAAGGTCCCAACGAATTCTCCAAAGGTAGCAACAGAGGATTTCTTCCATGAATCATTCGACTCGGAAGAGAAAAGAGACGGCAAGGGACCCATGGTGATTCGTAGGGTGGATTGTATATTATATTGTAGGGTTTGTTAGGAGAATTAGCAGACAGAATTCGAGGGGGGTAGAATCCAGTATATATAAGGGATATGTAGTATACAACAAAGGAGCATCCGACTGCTGCTATGGGTGGGGGAACAAGGGCTATAAAGCTGTAGACATGCACGACCGCAATGAAAGACGGGCCGGATTAGTTGGCCCAGGAAATTCATGCTAGTGCCGCTCAGTACCTCACTTGGCGCATGTCAATTCAGTTTCTTGGATACCCCCACGTACAAGAGCTGTGATATCCGCCTTCATTCCGTTGGAGGCAAAAGAAACCATGCCCAAAAGGATAGACATGTATGTGTGACCGGCTGATAGCCATTATTGAATTGATATGACGGCTGGCGTTCGAGTATAATCCACGCCAAAGGGGATGAGGGAAGAGATGTGGGAGATGTGTTATATATCTTGCGGGCTATATTTAGATATCATATAGAGCTTCAGGGGGTATGAAATTGCATCTTCACATAGGCTACTATCACATGTTGTGCGATTATACCTAGCTCTGCTGGCTGCAGATGGTACTTTCAGACGCAAGGGTCCCTAGGCCAATTGGTAGAGGTATTCGGGATTGCTTTACAGCAGAGATGGATGGGCTCTAATTTTCCATTCAGCCAGCCCGTTGCATTTCTTTTCTTTTTTATATACCACTGACTTGCAGTAAAATGACACCAATTAGACTTTTTGTTTGGAGAAGGAGGTCAACAGCTAGCCCATGACCTTTTGAGCATTGTTGACGGCAATTGCAACTTTTGAAACGAGAAGCCAAGTGGTTTCCTTTGAAATTGGCTAACAGGATAAAAAGGAAAGAAATTGGTTATTAATCTTGCATAACTTGGCGACGTTGACATATGTCCGCCCTGTAGTGATGGCACCATGCATGGTTGTATGGTAGCAAATTTTTCGCATCAGGTACATTTCATGGGCTATATTAGGGCTGATTGGAGTCTATTTTTACCCGCCCCATTGAAAAAGCCGTTTACCTTGCATCGTACCATGGGTATAATGGGTATAGAAAGACGGGAAGGAAAGGGAAAACAAAAGTGCTCCCCCGCGGTCTGTCTTGGCCTTGCAATTCTGCATGCAAACAAGGGTGGTTGGTTGGCTGGCAGGGGCGAAACGAGAACAAGTATGTTTTCTTTGTCCAACATGATCGATCAGAGCGAGAAATGATCGAATTTCGGCAGTAGCTCTTATGAAGGATGTGATTGTGCTACCTCAGGAGAGCAGGCGCTGCATGTCCATCATGTGGTGAGTGGAGGGACCCTAGCTAGAACGAAGGAAAACTTTTTCTCCCATCTTCGCTGTCGTCGATGTCGTTGACAGATAACTAGTCGACCTGTGCCGACAATATTGTTGCACCCTTGTGGAATTCAGTATTCGCCTCCATCTGGGGCATTAAAGAACCAGCTGCGACTCCTTTCACCGTCCGGAGTCTTGTGTTGCGCGTACGTACCACATGGCCTGAACAGACGGATGCTGTTGATGTATCAGGCTGGAACAGCGATCTTTGACTAATTGTTAGTTAGGGCTTTAAATGACTCACAGTCAATGCCAGAGAAGTTTCACGGAGCGAATTCGGCGCATAATTCCCCCCATTCATCATGGTTGTTGCGATGCTCCTGCGCGAGCAGCGACACATGTCCCTCGTCAAGCTCTGTCTGGTGGCCGGGGGATCTGACTTTTATCATCCCTGTGCCGGCTAGCCATAGCTGAAGCTCTTATCTCGCCCCTCTATCGATATCGGTAGCTATCGATATCAGTACTGATCAAGATAGCTAACTAGTTAGCTATCAGATCGTCTCGGCTCTTCGCCCCCCCTTTTTTCCCCTTGTTTCTTCTATTTTTGATAACAAGCGGGAAAAAAAAAAAAAAAAAGCCGAGCTTTATCGATAAGAGCGCGCTAGTCCAGAAGAGGAAAATCGTAAATATGGCTGGCAGCCGCGTTGCCCCCGTGACCTAGCCGCGCTCAACAAAGCAAGAAAAGTCGCAAATAAGAAACATCGCCAGAGACGAAAGGACGACGACGGTCGAGGGACAACATTGCGATCGAAGGACTGCGCCGTCACTATTCACGTCCTTTCACTGTTTCTGCAGTGTCTTTCTCTCTTTACGGCGCCGCATAGTGCCCGTCTCTGCCATCTACGCTCGTTAGATTTCTTCCATCTCACCGCTCTTTGCATGTTTACAGCGCTACTGGATACAGCAAACACTGTCACTACCACCGCCCATTCTCCCTTCGGCCGTATTATTCTTATGGCTTAGGACATTCGTTTCTCTTGGGGTCCCCGACTATCTTTAAAGACGCTCTATCGGGTTATAGCTCGAGTTGCTCTTTTGTTTTCCTTTTTCCCTTGCTGTTGAGCCGAGTTCATTACTAGGTGGAATGGCGCCTCAGGCACCAGAGCTGCCGACCAAATTCCCATGCTGGTGTCGAGCAGTATACTCATGGGGAGGTGAATCAAAGCAAGACTTGGGGTTTATCGAAGGTGATCTGATAGAGTGTCTTAATGCTGGAGACGGATCATGGTGGACAGGCCGTTTACGACGCGACAGGCGCATGGTCGGTGTGTTTCCATCGAACTTTGTCAAGGTCCTGGAAGATGACTTTGTGCCGGCTACACGGTCTGTTAGCCCTCTGCCGCCGGTAACGGATAGCCCATCAAATGCCCCGTTGTATGCGCCAAAAAAGGAGAAGACTATCTTCAGGAAGCCTTTCCAAGGCTACAAGCAGGTCCTGGGGCCTTCGGCAGAGCTGGCAAAGAAGAATGCAGAGAAAGAGACAGAAGCACCAACTGTGCCGGAACCACCTCCACGTGGACGCAAATCTGTCATAAATAGGACTCCGCGGCGGAAGTCTACGTCTCGTGCTCATCCACGGGCAGTTTCTCCCGCCCAACCGCCACGGCAACCAACGCCACTACCCACTCGACATGCTAACTCGCAACAACCTGAGAGACAACCAACTCCTCAACCTGAAAGGCAGCCAACTCCACAGCCAGAACGACAGCCTACACCACAATCGGAACGGCAGCCAACTCCACAGCTTGCATTAGCTCCAATGCAACCACCACCGATGATGATACCAGCCGAGCCTCGTAAATTTGAACCTGAATCTTCACCTCCTCCGCCGCCCCCTCCGCCACATAGAATTGCAGTTCGAAGACAGCCTTCATATGTACAGCCTGAATCTTCCATGCATGACCACCACTACCAGCAAGCAAACCATGAATTCCGGCCAGCTTCTAGGACGCCGTCGCCATACCCACCTTCCCCAGGAACTCACCACCGTCATACACCTTCTCCACTGCGGGATGCCATGGAAGACGTAATGTCTTCTTTACAAGGCATGAGTATGCCTCATGATCCTCATTCAGAACCACAGCGGACCCCATCTCCATTCAATCCATGGTCGCCCGCAGCATTCGATAATCTACGTGGTCCACCAAATCAGCAGTTTGCTGGCCGACCATCTACTTCACTCGGACTAGGTAACAGCCAATACAGTCGCCGAGGTAGCCACTTCGCCCACAAGTCATCAGAGAGTTTCCATGACCGCTTCCAGGATGGTCCGCCGCAGCTTGGTAACTACGTTCAGAGAATGGAGTTTCGTCTAAGGCAGTTGCACAACCAGGAAGAAGGCTCTGACAGAGGGAACCCTATGCTTATAGAAGATGATGACAACCCCCCTCCGCCACCTCCTAGGAGAGGAGAATATAATTATTCACCTTCGCAGCAAATGATTACAAGGACACGGGGCTTAACGTATGACACAGGGCGAGATACTCTTGGACGGACATTTACCACTAGATCCATTGCTACTAATTCATCTTCTGGCGTTCAAAGCAATACAACACAGAGCACTGCGAGCACAAGTGCCACCAACCCAAGCCTCATGAGTGGTACGTCTGCAGGCGGATTTAGTGCTACTAGTGCTGGTAGTTTCGCAAAGCGCCATCAACAGGCATCTCAACTGAGACACGGGATGTTTAGATCTTTCGATGGCACAAGGTCAGGTGGCTTTACTGGATTTGGTGATAATGCCGCAGGGGAACAAAGACCGTACACCCCGATGACGTCTCAATCCGGAAGTTATCCTCATCTACCCCAAGACGACCCCAGACAAGGGGCTACTTCCGCTGTTGGCTGGACTGAATATAATAAGCATGAAGAGTCACCTGGTATCTTTGGAGGACTAACAACTCCTAAATCAAAGAAGACTGGTTTTCTAAAAAAGATGATCGAATCCGCAAAAACAGGAGCTGCAACCGCGCGAAGCAGTATTGCGACTGCGCAGCATATTCGTTCGTTGTCTCCAACCAAGGGGCTTCTTTCAGGTGGTGTTGGAAGCTTTTCTCCGACAAAGGACCGAGATACTACTGCCGACACAGGCCTAGGAGGAAATGACTGGGTTCAGGTCCGCAGAGATGTTAATCGTGCAACTTCTCCCAGCCGCAATGAGCTGGTGGAGAGAGCAGAGCGGTGCCAGATGATGGACTACCCTGTCATATATGCAGTTGAAGAGCTGTATGAGTGTGCCGAAGGCGATGAAGGGCTGGATGGATTACCGGTAACGGAACCCACCAATTGGGCTGCAGTAAATCTACAACTTGTGGATAAAAGCTCCCGGTTCATTAACAGTTTACCTCCAATGACAAGCCCAGCGAGCTTAGCTCAAGTCTTTGTTTGCAGACCTCATCGGAGTGACGGTCAACGTTTACGAGCGATTTTTACTTGGGTTGCAGAGAAGATCGCATGGGATGAAGAAATTGAGGGGGAAGTTGATGTACGGAGGGTCATTCAAATGAAACGAGGCAGCCCCCGAGAAGTGGCTGTTTTGGTGATGGAAATGTGCGATGCTGTCGGTCTCCATGCTGAAGTCGTTCAGGGGTACCTGAAAACGCCCGGTGAACAATTGGAATTTGACGGTTATACACATGTCAACCACTGGTGGAACAATGTGCTCATCGATGGTGAATGGAGAGTTATGGACTGTTCACTTGCCAGTCCAACCCACCCACGAAGAGCACTCTATTCAAGCTTTAATCCCCAGACTGCGGAGACATGGTACTTCCTGGCGCGGCCAATGGAGATATGTTACACCCATATACCCCTTGCGCCCGAGCACCAGCATATATGTCCCCCGATTAGTCCGGATGTCCTTCTTGCACTACCATGTGCCTGTCCCGCGTATTTTAAGAATGGTCTCCATATGCCAACTTATGACACTAGCCTTGTCCGCCTCACGGATTTGGAAATGTTACAAGTTAGGGTTCTTGTTCCACCTGACATTGAGTGTATTGCAGAAGTCGAGGCCATTGCCTTTGCTCGTGACGCTGATGGGGACGTTTTTGAAAGCGGTGACATTATTACCAAGCGTGCGCTGGCTCAACCTGATTGGATACAAGGACAGAAACGATTTACTATCAAAGCTGCGCTTCCCGGTGACGAGGGACAAGGAGTTTTAAAAGTATATGCTGGAAAGAAAGGGCTCATGCATTCTATCAAGGATATACCCCATGCTCTGGCCTTCGCTCTACCAATTACTCACACTGGAGACAACCCCCCATACGAGTTTGTTATCCGTCATCCAACTCCTCACGCTCAAAGACATGATCTATATGTCATACAACCTCAGTGTGCAAGGCTTACCATTAATAATACTTTCGTCTTTGCTGTTCGCCAACACCCATCGTCTCTACCATCGTCTCCCAAAGCCGAGGAGCCCAGTGGACGTGTATCGCCTAACCCTTTTGCTAGGCCGTCCAGTGCATTAAGCATGGTGTCTTCCGTTGCCACCATATCCAATGCGTCAACTACGTCCTCAACTGTCTCGAGCAACTATAAACACCAAAATTCTCGAGAAAAACCGGCAAAATTGGCTATACAAACACCATCTGGGAAAATTTTAAGGCTTAGTCGAAAAGCAGACCATATGATCACTACAAGCTCTGGTGCCGATTCTGGATTTGACGGTCCTCCAGACGGTAGTGTCTGGGAGACAGTCATCAAGGTCAGCGAGCGTGGTGTTTGGAGAGGGCTAGTCCTCGCTGACCGTACCGCAAGGTGGTGTGTTTGGGGCGAGTGGGAGTGCTTCTGATACCACCATTACTTCCTCCCTTTCCGCTATGCACTCCTCTGACAGTCTTTGCCCACTTATTTTGATTTCTAGGTCCTTGCCCATATAATGTTGGCAGTTATTCGGCGATTGGTGCATACGAACTATACCCGGTTTATGTTTAGAGTTAATAAGGGGCTTAATGTACTACAGTATTTGAGCGTTTCTTATTTTCTGGCATTTTTATTTTTATTTTTTATTTTTCGAAGTCACATACTTTACTGTCACTGGCGCGACTCGTATATGAGTGTCTTGAGACTGATGAAATTCGACTATCATCTTCTATGTCACCTTTTCTTTTCTTGAAAACAGCCGCGGTTGGGCTGCTTTACTCTACTTCTTGTCTCTACATTCTGGGCTATCTGTTATGAACGACTTCATGTTGACATGTTTTCGTCTTATGTGATGATAGAATTCTATACGGGCAATCTAAAACGAAACGGTTCTTCAAGTCCAAATTTCAGTCCCTTGATTCAGGTTTTCCCTGTAAACACCCGGCGCAGCAAAGGAGCTACCTGTTTTCTACTTTTTGTAACGTCTAACTGTCGCCATACACGCGTGTTTCGACCTATTTGACCCAGGTCTTTATCCCTTTCATTGAACGGCCTCTTCTCAAGACTAAGGTAGTCGGCACCAGCGTCCTCGAATTCTCCAAGATTAGAAATATACTTATCATTTAGCACTGTGACAATCAATTCACGCTGGAACTCGTTTTCAGAGGAAGATGAAAACGCAGTCATAATGGCAACGGCGTCAAGGTCTCGGGTACTAGAAAAAGAACGCAGAACATCAAAGAAAGCTTCCTCGTCATATTCCTCTTCAGAATACTCTGATCCACATTTTTTAAGAATCCAGGACACCGGCTTGACAACAGAGCATATCCCAATCTTTATATTATGGCCGGGCTCAATAGTGTCAGTCCATTCTTTATAGTCTCTTCCCAATGTTTCGTGGGCCGTCAGGTAATTCATGCTGGAAGATTTGGCGTCCATAATGAGGTCGTAGAAGCTGTCACGGTCCCAACTGATAGATTTGCATTGGTTTATTTTGTTTTCTAGAAATCTCACGGCTTCCCGATCCATATCAGATACTTTGCTCTCATTTGTCATATTCGCAGTGTCTGCTAATATAGCCGCCAGAGCAAGTTGTGCGGCCTGTGATTCGAACTCCGCATCACTGTCACTCAGACTCTGTCCTTCGGAAATCCTATCATCATCAACAACAACGTCTCTCCACCATCCGAGTTTTCGAAGCTCACAGACAACTAAGGATGTACAACTCCCCACCCCAGTTTGAATATGTGACACCCGGGTCCCTGGTCCTCGAACTAGGTGCTTTGAGATAAAGCCCTCATCATCGTGATGATCTATACAGCCCACCACGGACGTAACGATACCATTGACCTTGTCTGAAAGCCCAGGAATTCCGTACTCATGAGCTGGGATCTGGGGTAACGCATTCCAATCCACCATGATAATATTTAAGGACATCGCCTTCTTGTCATCTGACATTTTCCAGTTCAGTAATTCATCCCTTAGCCCTGCAGCTGTCAGGATACTTTCACTGAGAATTTTGTCAGTGTCTTCGTCCTCAGGTAGAGTTTTCAAGCCCTTAGAGGCCCCGTTATGCGCAGTTTTCAATGGCCGTTGGGTAGCAAGATTCAATGCTGTTACGAATTCTGGTCGTAACCTTCTCAATTCTCGCCCTGCCGGGATTTCCGGTAGATTTATCACAGGTATATATTGGAGCCCCCTTTCAGACCTCGCTGAAGATGCAAAGTAAGAATATATAATTGCAGAGATAATTGAATCTAGATCTGCTGAGGTGTTGCCGAGAACGTAAGTGCGCGGTACTATACTTGCCGAAGGAGATGCCCGCGAGTGCTGGACAGTCTTCTTCAAAAACGAGAGCAAGCCGAAGCATCGCTGACCATTCTTATCCAGAGTCATTTTATGTATTGGTAGATATTCGTTGGAATTTTTTGAAGCATAAGTGTTCCAAGAAGATTAGTTTCACCAACATCAGTCGAGGGTCAAAACTTGGTCAATGGAGGGTTAATTGAAGAATGCTTGGCATCGCGGCTAATTACTTTCCTAGTTACCAATAATGAATGACCTGTCCGCCTAATAATCGTTGATAAGAGCCCTAATTAGTTATAAGCCATTCATATTATTGAACTCCACATGGGAGATGAACTCTTCTGGATACTCGTACTTGCCTGATGGATTTCGGATTCCTTCAAATATAGTTACAGGCTATAGGAAGAATCTTGTAATAGCGCGAATTGAAAACCTCACGCATACTTGGAATGTGTGTTCAAAGGAGAGTTTGCTACAGGCCGGGTTGGGTATTAGTATTAAGAATAATCCATATATTGTTACATTAGCTGGCGCAGTTACATAAGATACATCAGAAGATCAGAGAGAAGGAGCAGTGAACGATGATGGCGACTGACGGGAATAATACATGATATTATGAAATGGACATCAGTTGCCAGTAAGGATAGGAAACAAGACAATTAACGTAAACACAACAAGATGGTGGAAGATATCGACTCAAATTCTGCTCAGGATGCAAAAGCATTAAAGCATTAATGCTTCTCCACCCACCCGGCGAGACTTGAAGGATGGAAAAGAAAAAACAAACGCGGGATGATGATGGAAAGGCGCATGTAGATGGAAAAATATGGGATAAACAGAATAATAATATCAGGTACGCCGACCTATCCCTCCCATTTCGACTCCTTGACGACTGTTGATTTCCTCCGGTGTATATGAAAGCCTTTTCCGAAAAAGAAGGAAAAAAAAAAAAAAAAGGCAGGCAATGTTTCGAACTCATCAGAGAAAGAACCATCTAAGAATAGACAACGAAAAACAAGAGCAGAGCATTAATCTAGGATGAGGAGGTAAAAAGGGGATAAACGTTAGTCATAAGGATAGAAACGGGAATAGCCTGGAGGTCGGATGAGAATTCAACTTAGATATTCCTCACCTAGGCCACCGCCGTTCTGATGTTCGTTGTCATTGTGGTGGCTGGCATTTTGATGAAGATCAGAGTCTCCGTTGGTCCCATTGTTTCCTGGCTCGGAAACCGATCCAGTGCGGGAACCACAGGCTTGAGCACTCTTGAGAGCTTCGAGGGCTTCATTGGCATGACTTATCTCTTCGACGTGCTCGGGCTCGTTATCATGATTCGTCAAGTCCGCGAACAATTCGTCCATGTTTGCACGAGGGCTGCTGCCGAATGGATTGTGAGCATCGACGTCATCTACAACAACGCCAGTATTGCCCTTCATATTCTCAGACTCCGAGCCTTGAGGCAACTGATGGTTTCGTTCGAAGCTTGGAGGACTAAAGAACGAAGGATCTAGTCCAGAGTGCCTAGCGGCAGGAGAACCGGGCGAGAATGAGGGCGATTGGTCGCCATTTTCTTGGGTTAGGAAGGGGCCGGAACTAGCTCCGAATGTGGCATTCTGTTCGCTGGACGAAAGTTGGAATGGATGGTTGAATGGATAAGAAGCAGGTGTCTGAGGAGCTTGAGTAGCGGCCATGGATGATGGAACCTGATCGGTACCAACGGAAACAGAGCGTGGGTTATCTACGGGAGTACTAGATCTGTTTGATGCTGCTGGTTGGAGTGGTGGAGGCCGTCCATTTTGAGGTTCAATGGACTTGCGTTTCGAGGGGAAGATGTGGTGTTTTGTCCGTAGGTGAAGGGGGATGTCCTCTGGTTTTTCGATACCAAGCTGGGCCATGATTTTTTGTTGTTTGGTCGGTCGTGGTTTGCGAGTGGAAAGCGATTGCTCAAGAATCGGTGGCGGTTCAGGGGCCACTGGATTCCATTTATGAACTTCCTGGCGGAAGTAATTCGTTTCATAGGCAAGGAGAACTTCTGCACCTTCAATCTTTCGTAGGTAAAAAATCTGCGTCGGAACCTCTTCGGCAGTCATACACGCAGGGTTCGTGAATGGGCGCAAGAAGTCACGAAATGAGGTTGCTTGGTCAATAATGGAGGTCAAGATCTCCTCCTCTTCAGGCTGGAATGGAAGATCAGAGAGTTCGGATTGCCATTCAAGCAAGTCCTCCAGCTTCGGGCGAGCAGCATCGCGAGGTATCTTAACGCGCCAGTCACAGATAGGACAGGTGTAGCTGTCGTACTCCTTCACCTTACCACGGGCAATCTTGAGACACTTTCCGTGATACCTGTTTCGACGGTTAGCACAAAAAAAGAAAAGAGAGAGAGAGAGAGAGAGTGAAGTGTATGAGGGGATGCAAATTATTAAACTGACCATTCATGGCAGACCTCACATTCAATCATTAGCCCAGATTCCTGCTGTCTACAGATGCAGAAGACGTCTTTTTTCTTTGACCGACTGCCAGCCCAGGGTTGTGACTCTCCAGAACCATCGGGAGTAGCCTCTCGAGAAGCAGGTTCAACTGGTGGGCGGAACCGGTCGTCAAGGTCGAAGCAGTACGAATTTCTCTTTTGAACGTACTGCATATGCATCTTAAGAATGTGCAAGGGAGCATTGGCTTTACCAAACAGCTTCTTCCCCTTTCTCATCCAGTCTTCGTGACGCTTCTGTTCACGTTCGAGGTCGATAGTGCCATTAGGCTTGCTGTTCAACTGTACCAAGGATTCCATCAGATCGCGTACGTCACGATAATGTGGGCGTTCCCGAAAATCGCTTGATTTACTTTTCTCGTACATGGTAGATATCTGCCTCTGAGCTTCACGTTGCTTTGTGAGGATCGCGTCGACTGCAGCGAGCGTGTCGGGTGAGACTGGAAATCGAGCAGCCTGTGCGGAAAGGGCCTCAAGCTGCTGGTAGTGAACTGCCTCTACAGACATGAGTTCCTTTGCTTTCGCTTCCCATGCTACTCCGCTGCAGTACATTTCACGGAAGTATAGAAGGTGGTTGTTAGCCTCGGATATGTTTAATTCTTCGGCTTGCTTGATGAAATCCGCGCAATCTTCGAGTGTTTGGTACTGTTCACGCCGGCGTCGCGCATCCTCGTTCCATTTCATCTGTTGCAAGACGCGTTCCAGCTTGTCTACCTCTGGGATATCAAGGCAGAAGTTCCGGCCTAGTTCGACTAGCTCCTCCACAGCCTGAGCAGACGCGGTATGTGCACTGATGAAAACGGCTTGGGCGTCTCTCTGGAAGCGCTCAATCTCCTGAACCTTTTCATGCAGGGCCGTTATCTGAGGACAATCAAATGAAAGACGGTCTGCTTCTGTAAGCAAGCTATGAATTTTCTCGATACTGCGTAGCTCACGGTCTCTTTCTTCCATCTGTGCAGCCTTAGCAGGGTTTCCCTTCCGCCAGATCTTTTCGTTTTTGCGTCGGTTTTGTTGCTTGCGGGTTAAGTAGTTGTTCGCTTCCTCAACCCACTTGTCACATCTCTGTACGAAGGCAGAGAGATCTTGCAGCCCAGGAAGATGGTATGGTATCTTTTCTCCCTCTGAGAGTAGAGCATGAAGAGCTTTGAGAGATGGTTTCGGCTCATCTTCCAGGATTCTGTCTAGTCTCTCAGCCCAGGCTTCGGGAATCTTGGCGCGATCTTCTACTTTTTGAACGATTTTTTGCAAATCTTCATCAGATAGTCGATATCGAACTGAATGATCAGGTCCGCGCAAGTAATGGGCTGGTTCACTGCCGCAGCATTCCGTTATTCCGGCATGCACTAGACACAGCTGCTTTCCAGATTTGTGGCATCGGAAAAGAGAGAGGTAGCTGTAGGCCTTGCAATAGCTGCACTGATACTCATCTTCAAGGAGATCAGCCTCCTCCACAGAAACGGGCAACGCTGGTAAATCAGCAGGTTTGGCATTCTGGTCTCCATTCTGAATACCATTTCGATTATCAACTTCTCGGGACCGCGCTAGGAGGTTCGCTCTTTGCTCCATTTCACGATCACACATTCGCCGCAACGCTTTACCAAGCCACTTTGCAGTGCTGATAGACGTATCCTTGCTGGCAGCAGTTAGTAGCATTTCGTCATGCGAGAAGCAAGGCTGTCGTCTAAACTCCTGCAGCCGGTCAACTCCAGATTGGCCAAATGGCTCCCACTCGCTTGGTGCAAAGTTCACGGCCTCGTTGCAGTTGAATCCGTGGTTGAACCCAGCATGATAGGCTTGTGGGTATGTAATCACAAACTGACCAGCTCTTTGATCCAAGGCATAGACGTTGACACCAGCTTTCTTGAGCTGATTTGGTGGAAGTAAAGTCACCAGTTGGAATAAAAGGTCAGGTTGAGTTTCAAACAGCTCCGGAACAGCTTGTCGCATAGCCTCCTCGAAGGCTTCAGCATCAGCTCCTGGGATTCCATACCACGTCTTAGTGGAGCCGAAATGCTGATAATTAGCTGAAAACGCGTAGTGGTCTTCGTTATGCCAGCAGAAGGTTGAGAAACACATGCCAACGTAAACCCATGGAACGGTCATGCCAGAAACATCGGACTTGATGTGTCTGAACAGTGATTCTGGGTGTAAAGGAAGTACATTTAGATTCCATGGATCAGTCGCGTGGGGATCAAGGGGGTTTCGTTCAACCGTAGGAAAGCCACTGCCGTGTGTTGTCGAATGGATATCGGCCCCGTACTCAACCTCCACTGTCTCAGTTAAGCTCTCGACAAGTCGCCAGAATTCACGTTCAACGCTGTCTTCGGCTTCGTAAAGTTGTGGAGTTGGTGCAGAAGTTGCCTGGAAGGGTATCTTCGAACCAAAATAATTCTTCTTAAACTGGTTGGCCTTCTCCTGGAATTGCTTCAACGAGTATATACCGCCTTCCTCGAAGCCATACTCCCCAGTTCCTACTAGACATTTGGGACAATGCCAGTCATAGTCTGGTATGGTTGTAAGAGGGGGGTCAAGGCAATGCATATGATAACCGATGTCACAGCCGTCGCATGCAAGGATGGTAGATTCTTTATCAGTCTTGCCGCAGCTTTCACATTTCTAAAATGGCATTAGATTCATGGAATGTTGATATTCCGGGAGGTTCAATGTAGATTGACTCACATCTCCAGTTTTACAGGTTCCGTTTTTAGACTTTGTCTGAGAAGGAGATGGTCGTAATAAATTCAAGTTGGATCCCGCAACGCTGGGCATGCCATCTATACCAGTCGCTATTAGCATCATGTTGAGTTACAAAACGTAGTATTCGACATACCTTTCTTTAGACGCTTGCTTCGTCTACCGTTGCCCCCTTCTTCAGAATCGTCGTTTTCAGTTTGAGAGTTACCACCACTGCTATGAACGCGTTTTAGGGAATGCTCATCGTGACCATTCTGTCCATTGGTAAGGGATGCTGAATTAGACTTCGTCCGTTTCTGCTCAGGTGACGGTTTTCCAGAGCCAGGAATGGAATCTGCATGAGATGAGTTGCCTGTTGCGTCGTCTGATTCCCTTTTAACCTCGGGAGCTGCTCTGTTGACTGCTGTAAACGAGGATGGCATGTTGATCGCCGCAAACCCGCTTGGTCTGGAGTTTACGGCTGTGAATCCAGATGAGATGGGCTGCTGCACAGGCGCTGGTGTAGCTTCCCGAGGAGTTTCCACTGCACTGCCGCTGCCCTCCTCACCGTCCACAGTTGAGGTGTTAGGGGCCGTGGATACTCTCTGCGTTGAGGAATTATCTTCCACGCGAGAGTCCGAAGACATCCGGTGGCCATTTTGCATTGGATGTTTTCTCTTCTCGGCTGGGGACTGATTTGGGGATGGAGCAAAAGGACCACCATTCTCAACTTCAAGCTGATGCTGGACTCCGGGTTTTGCGACAAGAAGGTACTCTTCATAAGGCTGTAGCCATCGTTGGTATGAGTTCTTGAGCGAAGTAGATAGAGACGACATGATTTTGCCGCTGTAACCTAAGTCACGTCCGATCTCAGCCCATTTCTTGAGCTTGCAGACCTGTTCAAATCCGCCTCTTATTTCAACCGCTTTCTTTAGCTTGTATAGATCAAGGGGTCGTTTATCCACGCTGGGAAATCGGGTAAGGCTGGTGCCATGTTGCTTGTGGAATTTGGTTAATTGGTCGAGGTAGTTGAGGTTTGCTCTAGTGCCTGGAAAGAAGGGTTAAACAGTCATGTCTTTTTGTAAGTCACGATAATCGGCTAAAAGCGTGTGTTGCATACCTCCTTCAACGGAGTTAAGCTCCTGTCGACGTGTCCGGAAGTGAAATCGCTAATAAGAAGAAACGAGAACGTGTCAGCATGATGTAACTACATGTATATCATCTACTCCTTTCCTCAAGAAAAAGGCTTGGATTAAAAAGGTTTATTCGCCCATACCTCCGTGTCGATGGCAAAAGCTGGATTCCATGACTGTGGAGGAACAACTTTGCAGATACCGTATTTCCGTCCTTCAGGAGAGATCTTTCGAATATAGGCCATCGGGTCCTTGAACTCTTCCTCTGTTGGATAGAAGGTCGGTGCTTCTTGTAAATCATGAGGCCTGTTGCGTTTGGGAGGATCTCGAGTAGCTGGGACTTGCTCACGGCGTTCGACGGTCGATAGGTCCAACGGTGCGGACCGTCGAGCACTCAGCGGCACATTCACACCGTATGAGCTTGTAGCACTAGCTGCCTGCATCGACGACCGGCTGTTCGAGTGTGAGCTCTGATGGTGCGACTGGTGCTGTTGCTGTGCATGTGTCTGGGGCTGCTGGCCAGCATTATGGCCCTCAGACGAAGTGACAACCGCCATTATCAAGTTGTGGGAAATGAGGGAGGCTTGTAGAGGGAGGCTGCAGAGTGGAGGGGAGGAGGAGGGTAGATCGGGGATTTCGTCACGGCTGTAATAATATATAAAAGGCGTATCGCGAATGCATTGGCTATAGAGAAGAGAATCGAGGGCGAGACACGGCGAAGGATATGCTGGCCGTAGGTATATTATATCGAGTGTCCTATATAGATGACGCCCTGGGATCGATTCCTGGGTACCCGAACGGGAAGAAGGGAAAAGGGCTAGAGAAGGGCTGGTTGCTGTGTACTCCTCAGCTGTGAGGATCGAATGGCGCACTGGAGGACGTTCCGGCGGTCCCAGGTCGGTCAACGGTCGCGGAGGGACAGGCTGGACCGGGTCTGGGGTCTCATAGCATCGAGAGTCGCGGGCGTGGAGAGTCGACGATGCTTCATCGACGGGTTTTTGGTCAGAAAGTCGAGAAAGTCGAAAGGTCAGCGATGGTTTTTCTGCAGTCGTCTTTGATTAGTCATGTCACGCTGTTACCGCTTAGTCATATAATTCGTAATTTTGGGTTGACTTTAACATTTTTTTTTTTTTTTAGGTTTGAACACTAAATAAAAAAAAGGCGAAGTCGACGACGAAGAAGATGACGATGATGACGATGATGACGATGATACGATAATGCTGCTAGTGAAAATTGATCCGATGGCGATAGCAACGAGTGACAACGTTCGAGGGTGTTTGCAGCGCAAAGGCAAGTCTCATTTTCCTCCCTCTGGCGCCCTGCTTAGCCTCGGCTGGCCCTGTGGAGCAAGCAGGCATAGTTATCGAGAGATCCTCAAGAGCTCGACAGCTCCTTAAAACGAACTACGGAGTCGCTCGTTGTTAGCCTACTAACGACTGCTGGGATTGCTGCCAGAATTAGTTTCTACAACGCTTTCATATGAAGCTATCCGAGTGCAGGGTACTCCGTAGGGACAGCATGTCTGAGAAATAGTCGGGGGAAGGGCTGGCGAACCAGTGGCACAGGTTTATGCAGTATAATCTCATGCCAATTAGAACCGCCTTCCCTCCTTCTAACTTGCTCCGACTTTCTCCTAACTGTCACCTTGCGTCTTCCGCTCTGGGGCCGGACTTGGGACTGGGACGTTTAGTTAATTGGCTACCAAGTCCGCCAGGGTCCCAGCGGGAGAAAGCGAGCAAAGTCTCACGGGTGAAGCGCCGAGAAGCTTGCCTTGCTTGTCGAAGCTAAGAACCGCGCTCGGAAACGACCCTTGATCACTTGTTTTTACATCTTTCTGCAGGATTTTGATGCCATCGAAGCTCGAGTCATGCTGTCGCCCCGGTTGTGTCACATGACCATTTGTTTGCGCGCCCGGCCTCTGATATAAATAGCAACACAACATAAACAACAGCAAGACAAAAACAACACAATCAGTTAATGATGAGATGATATTAATATAATCATGTAACTGCATTTTTTTTTTTTTTTTTTTTTTTTTTTTTTTTTTTTTTTTTTTTTTTTTTCTGGTTTATTCACGGATGTTCCCTGAATTGCTAGCTATAAATCATTAATTTTAACCGCCTAAATACCCTCCTTTCTCATGCCACGGACATCTCGATCAAGTCCGGCTCCAGGCAACGTCAAGGAGTCCGCAAAAGGCATCCCACCCTTCTACTGCGTGTATCTGCTTCGCTCTACTGTGCGCCATGCCAGTCTCTACATCGGGTCGACTCCCAACCCTGCTCGTCGGCTTGCACAGCATAACGGCCGCATCAAGGGAGGAGCACACAGAACCCACCGAGAAAAGCTACGGCCGTGGGAGATGGTCATGATAGTCAGTGGCTTTACCAGTCGTACGGCGGCCCTACAGTTCGAGTATGTCAGTTATTGGTAGTTCGCTTAGCCGTGTTTTGGGTAACGGAACTGACCGTATATATGCTAGATGGGCGTGGCAGAACACACAAGCCTCTCGTCATGCTGCCGGCGATGAGGTAGAGACTAATGTTCGAATATGTTCGAAAACAGGAAGACGCCTGGCTAAAAAGTCAAGTAACCCCCGAGAGACAATGACTAGCACTATGGCGCGTTTACATGTTCTTTTGCGTTCACCATACTTTTCAAGTTGGCCCTTGCAAGTGCGATTTTTCAATGCAGATATTCATCGTGTCTGGCGAGGCTGGGCCGAGAGTGCCAGTACATTTGTTCCGGAACATATCAGCTTCAAGACTGATTTTGATGATGGAGCCTTATCTGTTGAGGGTCTGCCACTTCAAAATACCCTTCGAAAACTTGATGTTTCGGGGAAGAACTTGAGGTCGTACCGAGAGAAGACTCGGTTTCTGCTGGATGCTGGAGATAGACTTGAGTGTGGTGTCTGCCGAAGCCGTCTGCGGCTGAAAGATGATCTCGTCGTAGTGTGCTCCTCTGAAATGTGTCGGTGCACCTCACATCTTTTGTGCCTCTCTTCTAGATTTACACAATCTGAGGATTCTAGCAATGACCTTGTTCCAATGAGTGGAAGGTGTCCAGGCTGTGATTCAACCATTGAATGGCATATCCTGATGAGAGAAATGACACCCCGGGTTCGCAGCCACAGGACAGGGTCATTCGACAATGATGATTCACTGGAAGAAGAGGATGAAGCAGGGGTCGAACTATGCGAAGATGCCGGGATTCAAACTCTTATCGATCTTCTGAGTAGTGAAGATGACGACTTTGGACCTTCGACGTCAAAATATGACTTAAATGTCGATTACCGGCGGAAACACCAACCAATATCAAACACACCGGGGAAAGGGGAAATTGACGACTGGGATGATGTAGATATAGTAGAATGATAATGCTCCTCCTTGTGACGTCTATGAAGAACTTTTGTCTTTCATCTCCGTAAACACCAAAGCGTCAAGCTTCCTCAGAGGCCCTATAGAATCCAGTTTGGCCATCGTCTGTAGCACTTCTTCCCGGATCTCATGAGATATCTCATCTACCTCTCTACCCGCATCAACAATCCTCATATCTTCATTGCCCTTCAGCCCAGTCAAGGAGAGGAATAGCTTCCCGACCTTCTTCTGCAGATTGACAGTTTCATATCTCTCAGTTCCGTACCCTCCTCTTGCGGCCGCAACTTCGGTTGAGACGTTCAAAAAGAACCAGATATCAGGTCGAGGTAGCCCTACCTCAGGTCTCCATGCCCAGTCAAGCTGTAGTTCCTTGTTCTCCTTTGCGGCCGAGTATACGGCCCCCGAATACGAGTATCGGTCAACAATGACGGTAATCCCGGACTCAATATCTCGTTGTATCTGCGCAGCAGCCTCCCACCGGTTCGCAGAGAAGACCAGATGAACCGCATGGTCGTCGAGCTGTATCTCTCCACGAAGATACTGGTTTATCATCTTGCCAATGGAGGTAGTTCTATCTGATGTATCATCAGTATGGCTTCCGGACACTTTACCGGCCTTGACGCACCTGGGAATCGAATGTATTTCGTCTTATGCCCTTGGTCTACGAGGAACTGGTGCAGTCTCGCGCATTGTGTTGATTTCCCGGCGCGATCGAGCCCTTCCACAACAACAAGAGCGCCCCTTCGGGAGGCTGGAATTTCGCTTTCCAGCGTCATTTGATATATACAAGTATGCACAGAAAGGTAACTAATTGAGCAGCCAGAATGTGTCCCTGTTGACTGTAGATTGGTCTGGTTGTTTGTCTTAGTTGGAGCCAGCCTCGACCCAGGCAAAAGTCAACTTCTTGCTAGCCTCAAAAAGAAAAGAAAACAAGGATGAAGATCGCAAAGTCGCAAAGTCCAACGTCCTCACCACGTTAATAGAACCGAACATGGCCTCTGATATACCGTCTGATCATTCTGGGGAAATGCTCAGCTTCAGCCTACTATCACATCCGCCTACTCAGCTTGTTCCACGGCTGGGGAGATTATGTAGAATCGGGCGCAAACCAATACTGACACCAGGGTATCTGCCCATCACATCAAGAGGGGTGCTGCCGCATGTTAGCCATGATAATATAAAAGAACACATGTCGATAGGCAGTCTATATGTTGCTCTTGAAGATTGTACGTGAGCGCCCTGGATTTTAAGTGCTACCTATGAGTGTCTATTTACTAACCTCTCTGCTCGCCGGGGCAGTTCAGTCATAGAACGAAGCTCATTAAAAGAAATACCACCAATATATAATACGCCTGCGGGACAGACAGAGTCAGCTCTCCGGAAGTTTCTCTCCTTCGATGATGGATACCTGCTATTCCTTGGACCCAGGAGGATTCCTCCAGTTGCTACAGCAAGCTCGAATTCCGTCAATTCGGTGACCATTCTGACCTCAGTCGGGTACCAGCAATTGCAGGTGGAACAGTACCAAGATGCTATCAAGTCTTTAAAGCCAGATATTGCAATTGGTCTAGCTGATGTGCTAGATAGACAGCCAGGGGTGAAAAGACGGGAGAAAATGGTTGATCGGACACACGCATGGACGCAGTCGGCCGTAGACATCTTGTTTAAGCCTGCAGATATAAGCAACCGGCTTGGAGAAACCTCATTTTTTGCACCTATACTCCCACTTGAAAAGGAGCAGCAGACCGTGTACTTGCGGGATCTGGAGGAAGAAATGGCAGATGTGGTTTCTGGGTTTGCAGTATGGGACCCAACCACAATTGATTTGATCCCCCAGGCCCTTTGGCATTTACCACGGTTATCTATTGGTGAATCTAACACCCCTCAAGACGTTCTCAGGGGAGTGTCACTTGGGCTTGACCTTTCTGCGATCCAATTCATCGGAACGGCGTCAGATGCAGGCCTCGCTCTTGATTTTTCCTTCCCAAAAGGCACCCCTCAAGACAATGATAACAAATCGTCACCCTACCCGCTAGCAGTTGATATGCTCCTACCCGCTCACTCCACCGACACTTCACCACTTGTCTCTGGTTGCCAGTGCTACACATGCAAGACATACCATAAAGCCTACCTCCGCCACCTGCTTAATGCGAAAGAAATGCTTGCTTGGACACTGCTCCAGATACACAACCATGCCATTATGGATAGATTCTTTACTGATATAAGAGCAAGTATTGAGCGTGGGACATTCGAAGGGGATGTAAAAACTTTTGAGAGTACTTATATGTCGGAGTTTCCCGAGCCCAGTGGGCAAGGCCCAAGGTAGGCTTTTGAGTTTACTCTCTTGTTCGCGGTATAATAACATTGCTAACCCTGCAATAGGATGCGAGGTTACCAGTTCAAAACTGGACCGGGGGAGAAACGAAACCCAAAGGTCTTTGGACGCCTGGATGGCGTTGCGGAAAGGCTTCTAGAGTCTCAGTCGTCTGTAGTTACTCCTGATGCTGAGGCTGAGGAACTCGAAGCTCGCGGATTTGCTGAAAAGATGCAGTGATTAATCCATCCGCCGTTCGATAGACACGACACCGAGGTCTGCTTCCCCTGCCATTCATACCGCTCCAGCCCAATCACCAACGGCCACACTGTTGTCATACCCTCCTTGTATACCCTGACCATTTTGATGGGCAACTAAAGAATGTATTAACGTATCCAACTGCTGGTTTTGCTTGGGAATATTTTCTCAACCTAGTGTTATTGTACCAAGATGACCGATGCCGTCTATGTTTGAATCCAGAACTCCATTCTATACCCGGAAGCCCCGGCGTGTGTCATGTTTGCGTCAAGCTGCCCAAGGTCTCATATTTCCAGTCTGCTGAAGGCAAGATTGACACTCTGAACATGCTCGTAAAATTGCCTTGGTCTGTTTCTACAGTTCTGACTGTTCTAAACCCGAACTTCAAGAAGAGCCGAAGAGCAGCTGGCAACGCCATCACAAATGCGTCTCAGAGGTTTGTCTTTCATCACTTTTACTGCAGAATGATTCCATATGCGCAGATCCAACACCCTCCCGCTGATGCTTCGGATTGACTGCCATGAAGGTGATTCCCGGGAAGCGACATGAGCAAATTCCATAGCTATCTTTTATACAAAGTAGTTAATTGATAGCTTACGGCATAGTTCGTTTTCCCGATAACTCCGACGTACTCTTCACCTCTCTTCTCTGAGGCTTTCCGATATATCCAGCCATGTACTTATATCCAGAGAAAGGGGCATTGTATGAGCCTTGTTTTACCTTTCTTCAGGCTTAACTGCAGGGCAGTCTACTGCTGATGCGCCTCCTCTGGTTGTCTGGCAAATCTACATCCCCAACCTGGACGGGTGATATTGAGAAAGCCATTTGTAACTATATGTTGATGAGCAAGTGTAGAGGTCAGCCTGGTTACCGATGTTTATCCCAGTTCCGGTGTGGGAAAGCAGTGTTAAATGAAATCGCTGCAATAACTAACGAACTGGTGTTAATAACACTTGTGTGTCAGGTTTTGAGACGCTTCTTGCACATCCATGAGGAATAACGACTGCGACGAGGATACTTGAACTTATCTTTTACTCGTATGGTGTACATGGTCCATAACCCTGCAACGCATAAGTATATTACCCAGGAATAACTCGGCCAGTACCCCAGTCAAAGAGAGTTCCGCGGCTCGATCTTCAGGTCTGCCGGCAGATACAAGCATGTCGATCATGAACAGCCATCGCCCCTTGGCAAGGGGTGAGAGCCGAGCCTGTCAGCGAATTACACGAGAGACCAGCAGATCTTGAGTACAATGGCGATCAAGGCTGGAATCAAGCCATCCTGGTAGTCATCAATAATAAGCGGTCAATCCGGCTGTTTTGTTGCGTTGTACATATACCATGGTTTTCCCTGCCCACATCCCGTTTGCAGGACTGGTTATGCTGCTCCGCTCCTCGCGTGCGAGCTGGTGAACTGTAGACATGGCGTTGCCCCAGGGAGAAAATAAGCCTGCTGGAGCAACAGGCGTTATTGAAGATGTAGAGCTTTCAGGTGCTCAAGGGAGCGTTAGCGACGAGAAATGGCCTTGCTCCTCCCAAGAGCATAGGCCAGAGGTTGAAAAGTGAGCCACTCGCAATATAATAATGTCTGCAGTTTAGTTACCTGTTACTAACTCGCCGGTAGAAAACTTGTACGGCGTCAAGACTGGATAATAATGCCCCAGTTTGCAGTACTGTATTTGCTGGTTGGTGCTGATAATCAATCTCCCTATACCCCTTGCCAGTCGCTGACACAGGGCAGGCATACCTCGACAGGATAAACTTAGGAAATGCAAAGCTCCAAGGAGTAGTAGAAGAGGCGTTGAATGGAAACGACTCCAACTTCTCCTGGGCAGCTAGCATATTCTATTTTGGATAGTCAGTTTATGCCCTAACTATTCCTCGGATTCAAGGATATAATGACTTACTCCAAGTAGCATTATATTCGCAATACCTCTCACCCTTTGGGGGAAACGGTTCTATCCTTCGAGATTTATCTTCGTCTCGGTCATTGGATGGGGCATAGCTGCTACCGCGGGAGCTGGGGCATTCAATTTTGCTGGCCTTGCTACATCTCGATTCTTCATTGGCCTTTTCGAGGTGAGTATAGAAGGCTAGTCATGCAATGCAACTACTCACACTGAACTAACAGTCACAAATCAGGCTGCCTTTGCTCCCACGGCAGTGTTTCATCTGACCCTGTGGTACACTCGCAGCGAACTTGCATTCAGAACTTGCCTGTTCGTTGGCATGTCAGCTTTCTCCGGCGCATTTGGTGGGCTGGTAGCATATGGAATATCCCTCATCCATACCACTATTGGCCACTGGCGGGTTCTCTTCCTTGTCGAGGGCTTGCCAACGATCGCTTTCGCATTCGTAGTCCTGTTCTTTTTGCCTGACAGGCCAGAGACTTCGAAATTTTTTAGAAATGAGGAAGAGAGGCAGATTGCCATTCGCCGAATGAACCAAGGGCAACAGAGTGAAGGCCACAATTCCCTGGTCATGAAGCATGTTATCGCCAGCCTTAAGGACTGGAAGGTATATGGTGTTTGCATTGTCAAAATGGGACACGATGCATCTTTGGCAACGATCTCCATCTTTCTACCAACTATCCTTCACTCCCTCGGGTATTCAAAGACTGCAGCACAGTACATGACTATCGGCCCGTATATGGCTGGCTGGGTGGTAATGGTCAGTTTCAGTCTCTTATCAGACAGGCTGCGAACAAGAGGTCCATTTATTATCGGAGGGACCGCTTTGGCCATCATTGGAGTGTCCCTGATGTATACGTTCCCAGCGAAAGAAAACCCCAAAGCTGCTCTAGGCGGTGTATTCCTACTTGTCATTGGCATCTTTCCGTGTATACCGCTGGAAGTGCAATGGGTGTCGGATAACGCTGGTGCAGAGTCGAAGAAAGCAATGGCACTCTGCATGATTGTGATTGCGGGCCATTGCTTAAGCATTCTTGCTAGCAAAAGCTTTCCTGAGCACGAAGGCCCAAGGTATATCCGAGGGTATGCTATTGTCCTCTCATTTCTGTGTCTGAGCTTCGTGACGTCCGTTATTTTGTACACTCGACACCGGATCATTAATGCGCAAAGGAACAAGAAGTATGGCAAGCCAAATCCTCTGGATAAAGTGGACACTTCTATACTGGCAGACAAGGCTCCTATGTTTAGGTATATCCCATAGCTCACATTATACCTACCATTAGATTGGTATGCTGCATTCAAAGTATTTGTTAATTGTGGACGAGCAAATTTAGTAGCCTTCAGTGGGCTGAATGCGTAATCATAGAATCGGCGGTGGTAGTTGGAACAACCTTCCTAGTGGTCAATGGTATAATTCCATCTACTCCTAGCAGGGCTTTTAGTGAGCGTTTTGCTTCTGGGATTTAATTGGCAAGGCTTAGTAGCTTCGCTTCGAAAATCGTTGCATATTAAACAAATCTGATAACAACCTTTCAGCCCTGTCTTATATTTAATGCTAACAGGTAAATAAATCCAAGAGACTTTCCATAATTGCAGGTATTCATGGTTAAGTCTGTATGAGTTAAGCCTTGGAAAAAGTTGATTATAAGCCCATCCGTCATAGCAGTGCCGTAACCAGTTACTTCGTTTATTCCCCAGCCAATACCTTCCAAAGCAACTTCCCATCTTCCTCGTTAGACTCCTTTCCTACATCTCCACCAGCCCCAAAGCGCTGGCCGACAACGCAAACTAACCATGCATCATCCTTGATTTCCCTTATGAGTTTCTCGCTTGGGCTTCCACGAGGGAATACACGTCTCCATTCTTCCCAAATGCCGAATGCTTCTTCTCCCCAAGCCCGGAAACTTACTGCCTCAATGATAGTCGGAGTAACAATTTCTTTACCCCTGAAAACACCCCAGGTCACGGCATTAACACTACCGTTGTCCATCTCGGTCAAAGGGTCGGCATCAAAAGGGACTTCTGAGGGATCTGTAGGTGGCTGCGTTGATGTTTCTGGCGATGTAGATGACTGGAAATCACCTTTTGCGTTCGTAGCAAACCAGGCGAACTCATCATGTCCGTAGCTCTGAAGCAAAGGCTTCAGCTTTGAGTGGAAGTCATCCCCTGAGCAGAAAAATTCGACAAAAGCCTTCTGAAATACAAAACCTTCACCTCGAGGTCCCCAGCCAAATACCGGGTGATCGTTACGTACGCCATTGACTGCTGGCTGAGATGCAAGCGTCCACCATCCTCGACCCTCGACCAACTTGAGAAGCTCGGCCTTAATCGTTGCAGTCTCCGGGTTAAGACCGCCTTCTTCTCCTGCCCCACCTTCAGACCAGGGAACAACATGTAGTTCACCGGAAAGTAGGCGTTTGAAGATGTTGCTGATATCGTCTCTGGAAGTTGGTGTTCCCCATAGTTTCCTAGCGACCTGTGCAGTTACATGGAGAGACGGTCCATATCCATCGATTTCACCGAAGGCTGGAGAACGAGCATCACCCCATCGACCATTGGGGAAGTCATCCCACGTTGCCTCTCGCCCCAAAGAACCAAGACCCTCAGATATTTGCAGGGCAGTGTTACGGTTTGGGGGGTTAAGCGCAGGATACCCTGCAGTCTGAGCAGAAGTTTCATGCACGGTGGAACTTCGCTCAGATCTGTCAGAGGCACGAGTCAGTCTATCGACAATAACACGGTTGTGTGGCTGGGAATTCATCGAGGAAGCTCGCAATCGGTTCACGTTTGTTGATCTGCCGTCGGGAGTTGCAACACCATTCGATGCTCCTGAAGCAGCATACACAGCAGACTCAAAATCAAGCTCGCTATCGCTAGGGGCTTCGGATGATGGAGGAATCAAGTTGCATCGTTCCAAGATGAAGGATACCGATTTCTCCAAGTTGAGAGTATAGAAATGGAAGCCGCGATGTCCTGGTGTGGCAACCTTTTTGATATTCTCTACAAGGTCGCTGACAACATCGACACCAACTCGCTTTACAGCCTCATCATCAGCTTTACAGGCTTCAACCTTTGCCAGTATCTGTGGAGGTATTTTGGCGTGGCTCAGCTTGGTGACCCTGGTCAGAGTGTGGTAGTTTTGAATGGGCATTAAGCCGGGTATGATAGGGATAGTCTTGAAAGTTCCAGACTCATGGTTTCTAAGCAAGGCCTCATACTTCTTATATGCTTCAATGTCGTACGTTAACTGAGTCATGATGAAGTCTGCGCCAGCTTGAGTTTTCTCTATCAAGTATGGCAGATCTTTCAATAGATCTTGCACCTCTGGGTGAGATTCATCCGCATGGCCTTCGGGATAGCCCGCAACGCCAATGCAAAAATAATCGCCGTATTTCTTTCGGATATATCTCACAAGGTCCACCGCATAATTGAAGTCCTTATTACTGTCATCCTCACCATCTATATTATACTCCTCGCTTCGTGGAGGGTCACCACGCAAAGCAAGGATATTGCGGATACCCAATGCTTTTGTCTCTTCCAATGCCTCATCTATCAACGTTCGGTTCATGTTCGTGCATGTCAAATGGAGACATGTCGTTAATCCAAGTTGTCTCTGGCAAATCTCTGCCAATTCAAGTGACCTGGCAGCCGTGCTTCCACCAGCACCCCATGTGACTGTCACAAACAGAGGTCGTAGGGCCTGAGACATACGCTCTAGACGGGCTTGGAGATTTGATGATCCCTATAGAAGGTACTCAGTCAGTCTGATAGCTATGGCGGGGTTAGAAGCGAGTCTCACCATCTGGGTTTTTGGAGGGAAAAACTCCAAGGAGAAGTAGTGCGCATCCTTAGGAAGGGCATTTATTTTGTCTGATATCTTCTCCATGGCTGCAGGTTCAATCCGTAGAATTCTTGGTTGCCTCTGTGGCTACTTCTGCTGGCTGCCGAGGGTGTGTAGTTAACAGGTAACTATCTGAATACAAGATCAACAGGGAATTCCCCCAACAGCGCTGTATTACCGGCTACTAGAGGGATGCTAGAAGGTAATGGATTCTTCCGGACGGATATCAGAGGCCCTCTTAATGTAAGAGTGCAGCGGTGCTTTCTTCTAACTCGGGAGTCCTCAAGTTCTTCTTCTATGCAAAGCCCAAAGTTGAATCCCTGCAAAGCTGGCTGCTTAGTCAACCGGCTCTTAAACGAAGATCCAACAGCAGCTTTTTACAGCGTCCATTCTCACGTTGTCAAAGCAGACAAAGACCTTTTCCTTCGAGCTCTAGGCCTCTATTGGGCTTCCAACAAGTTCATATTCTGGCAACCCAGCGGTGAAAAAGTGCCGTTGTATCTTTCTGCACTTAACTATCAATATCGACCGTGCTCCTTATAACCGAGGTCTTCCGCGTTTCACGCTTTGCTTGCAGATACAGAACTTGAGCTTCTAAGCCTATTCAGAAGACCTGGTAGTTTCGACAATATTATGAGGCCGTTTAAAATGCAATGAAAACATTTTCTGGCTAGATCATTCGTTTTGTGGTGGTTTGCTTGACGTCTGCCCTGAATGGCTCTCTCGTGTGTTGCATGGAGGGCAACTCCAACGACATCACCTTATATCCATAACGGTCGCCAGCTGCTACGCCCTATCCTACGCCGTCGAGTCCATTCCGAACCCTCGTCTTCCTCTCGAATGCGTTTGAGACTTCAATCCTTTAATAACTGCCTCCCCAAGTTCCTTCGGTCCTACACCACACCCCTTTTCAATGCGCCAGTAACCCATATAACCTCGTTCTTAATCCTACACGAACTAACAGCTGTTATACCCCTTTTTGGTCTTGTTGGAGTGTTCCATTATGGTGGATGGCTGCCCTCACTGGGTAATTCTAATGGAACCTCACCCGTAGACGAAGGAGTCAGGAAGTTTGGAAAATGGCTCCGGAAGCGAGGATGGGTTCAAGATGTGGAAGATATGTCTGCCATGAACAAGGGAGCAATACGGGTTGAAGACAATGCTAGTGAGCTTACAGCAAAAGATAGACAAGGTCTACGGTTAATACTGGAGTTTGCTACAGCGTACGCAATTACCAAAGCGTTACTTCCAGTGAGAATTGCTTGGAGCGTATGGGCAACTCCATGGTTTGCGCGAACAGTTGTAGGGCCTGTTGGACGAGCTGTGGGAAGGCTAGCGTCTACAAATAAGGGAAGATAGATACGACGCATTATACATTCCCAATCCCAATATACCTCCGCATTCGACGGCATGACGATTAAAGAAGAATTGATCAATATTGTCTTTGAAAAGAGTTTATTATTTGTTATTTGATGATTTTGGGTCATGTCAAGCCGTTTGACCCTCCCATTATGGTCGTTACGAACGGGCGAGAATTGCTACACCTGGCAGCTATCTATGCCTTCTCATAGATCCAGTCGAACTGACTCTGCTTGTAGCTGAGGACCTCTCCCTCTTTGAACCAGAGAGCAATTTCCTTCTTGGCGTTCTCGACGCTGTCGGAGCCGTGGCAGACGTTGCGGCCGACGTCCTAGGGGTTGACATTAGGTCCCATTCACAAGCGGAATCCAAAGTTTGAGGACTAGAGTTCAACTCACAATGGCGTAGTCACCACGGATGGTGCCGGGGGCAGAGTCAGCAGGATTGGTGGCACCGAGGAGAACTGCAGGTTATAACTATTAGCGGTGCTGAAATATTTGCGGTTGAGAGAATTGCGGGAGTTATATACCACGGCCGGTCTTTACGGCGTCGCGGCCCTCCCAGACCATAGCGCAGATGGGTCCGCTGAGCATGTCTAGATAGATGTCAGCACAGGCAGACTATGAAGCTTCAAAGAGGTAAGTCGACTCACAGCTGACGAGTCCGTTGAAGAATGGCTTGCTGGAGAGATCAGCGTAGTGGGTCTCGAGGTGCTCCTTGGAGGGGGTGACGAGCTTCATGGCAACGAGTTTGAATCTAGCCCTCAAATCAGCACATTGGCTCTTAAAACACCGTACCGCGGGGAGGGGTAGACATGAGGGCAGCTCACCCGCGATTCTCGAAGCGGCTGATGATTGGGCCAATGAGACCACGCTGGAGACATCCAGAGTCAGCTATATATCACTGACAAGCGGCCATCGAAGCTGCTCGGCGTTGTGCTTGTGGTACCAATGCGGGCCATACCTGGACGCCATCGGGCTTGATAGCGATGAAACTAGCAGCAGAAGTAAGAGCTTGTCCAACGTCTAGATTTAGTTTGCTCAGGGGTAATAACACTTACGTCTGTTCGTTAGACATGCTGAAAGAGTGAGATTGAGTCTGTATGTGTAGAACGTGCCAATTGTCCTGGGTGAGATGTTGTAGACAGGAGGGAAAGGGAGGAGAGGAGGAGCAGCAGCAGCAGAATTTATGTGCGGGACGCTTTCTAGGGAGGGGCAGAAAAAAAAAAAAGGGCGGTGTTGGTCTCCCCGTGCCAAGCCTGCCCATGCTTTCTCGTTCGTGGCATCTTCCAACGTCAAACATCGCATTTACGCAGCAGACGACAGTCTCCAGCCGCAAGAAAGGACCTGTACACAGCAGTGAGACAGCTTTAAGACAGCGTGAAGCTGTAGGCGGAGCGTTTATTTTGCCCAATGGTTTGGCGATAAGCTGTTTCTTCTGTTTTCGTTTCGTTTAGTTACTCTCCTTGCAACTCATGGCGCCGTCACGGGCGAGCCATCCACGATGGTCGTTTATCCTGGTGATAGTCACCGTCATCTCATTTTTGGCTGTTCCAGCAGGTAAGTTGGGCTCTATCTGCATGAATTGAAGGTGTTTCGTCTAATGGTGCAAGCTGCGTAGTCATGGTTAAACATGAGAATTTCAAGACGTGCTCTCAGTCCGGCTTCTGCCAGCGCAATAGGCAGTATGCAGATAACGCAGCCGCCCAGGCCTCCTCATGGACCTCTCCTTTTCATATTGAAGCCGGTTCCTTAACGTTTTTGGATGGTCAATTGCTTGGAACCGTCATCAAAACTGTAGGCAACGATGAGAAAGTGCGGTTCCCGTTGGTAGTGTCGTTCCTAGAATCCGGGGTAGCTCGCATCACTATCGACGAAGAACGACGAATGAAAGGAGACATCAAGTTACGGCGTGATAGCACTGTCAGGAAAGAACGGTATAATGAAGCTGCAAAATGGGCAATTACTGGAGAGATGAAACGTTCCTCTTCGGCTGAATTTACTACCGATGAGACCTCACGTATCACCAAAGTCCAGTATGGCCCTGATATGAAGTTTGAGGCTGTTATCAAGCACTCTCCATTTGAAGTTTACTTCCAGAGAGATGGTCAGACTCAAGTACAGCTAAACTCGAAGGGTCTTCTGAACATTGAGGAATGGCGACCGAGAAACGACATCATCGAGCCCGGATCCGAATCCACTCCTGATGCCGTGGACGATAGTACCTGGTGGGATGAGTCGTTTGGAGGAAACACGGATTCCAAGCCGAGAGGACCCGAGAGTGTTGCTTTGGATATCAACTTCCCCGGCTACGAGCATGTTTTTGGAATTCCTGAGCATGCTGACTCCATGTCCCTAAAACAAACAAGGTAGTTCCAGCGCCTTTAACAAGTCCTTATTCTTTCAACGTCACTGACCGAACAAACAGGGGCGGAGAAGGCCAGCATACCGAGCCATACCGAATGTACAATTCGGATGTGTTTGAATATGAGCTGAACAGCCCAATGACTCTATATGGATCAATCCCTTTCATGCAAGCTCACAGGAAAGATTCTACGGTTGGCGTTTTCTGGCTGAATGCTGCGGAGACCTGGGTTGACATCGTTAAGTCGACGCTTCTTCCCAACCCAATGTCTATAGGAGTAGACGCAAAGACCACGACTGAAACTCATTGGTTTTCGGAAAGCGGTCAGTTGGATGTCTTTGTGTTCCTTGGTCCAACCCCTGATACTATCTCAAAGACCTACGGCGAACTTACCGGTTTTACTCAACTTCCACAACAGTTTGCCATTGCTTACCACCAATGCCGCTGGAACTACGTTACCGATGAGGACGTCAAGGATGTCGACCGCAAGTTCGATATGTACCAAATACCATATGACGTTATCTGGCTTGACATCGAATACACTGATGGAAAGAAGTATTTCACCTGGGATCCTCACACCTTCCCTGACCCGCTTAGTATGCAGAAACAACTTGACGCCTCTGAACGTAAGTTGGTCTATATCATCGATCCTCATATTAAAGTTGAGGAAAACTACCCTATCGTCGATGAACTGAAGAAGAAGGAACTCGCTGTTCTAAACAAGGATGGGGATATTTACGAGGGATGGTGTTGGCCCGGATCATCTCACTGGGTAGACTGCTTCAAACCTGCTGCAATGGAATGGTGGGCCAATCTTTTCAAATATGAAAACTTTAAGGGAACAGCATCCAACTCGTGGCTATGGAACGATATGAACGAGCCTTCTGTCTTCAATGGACCCGAAACAACCATGCCAAAAGACAATATACACCATGATAGATGGGAGCACCGCGATGTCCATAATGTCAACGGATTAACGTTCGTCAACGCTACATACAATGCACTCATTGAACGTAAAGAGGGAGAATTAAGGCGCCCTTTCATCCTCACTCGATCATTTTATGCTGGATCTCAGCGTATGGGTGCAATGTGGACCGGTGATAACCAGGCAGAGTGGAGTCACTTAGCTGCTTCGATTCCTATGGTTCTTAATAACGGAATTGCTGGCTTCCCCTTTGCCGGAGCAGACGTCGGAGGATTCTTCGGTAACCCAAGCAAAGAGCTTCTGACCAGATGGTACCAGGCAGGTGCTTTCTATCCCTTCTTCCGTGCTCACGCACACATCGACACCCGTAGGCGAGAGCCGTACATGGTTGGTGAACCATACCGAGATATCATTACACAGGCGCTCAAGGTCCGATATCAACTTCTGCCAGCATGGTACACGGAGTTCCAGCGTGCTTCTATCAACGGTTCCCCGATCCTTCGACCACAGTATTACGTTCACCCATCAGATGAACAAGGATTTGCTCTCGACGACCAGTTCTACCTCGGCCACACTGGCCTTCTGGTCAAACCAGTTGTTACTCAAGGTTCCACCAGTGTTGATGTTTACATCGCCGACGAGGAGAAGTACTATGACTACTTTGATTTTACCATTTACCAGGGCGCCAACAAGAAGCATATTATCAACGCTCCATTGGAGAAAATTCCTATTCTCATGCAGGGCGGCCACATAGTTCCGAGAAAGGACAGGCCACGACGAAGCAGCGGGTTGATGAAGTACGACCCGTACACTCTGATCGTGGTCCTTGATAGTAAGGGTCAAGCCGAGGGAGAACTATATGTGGATGATGGTGAAACATTTGACTATAAGCAAGGAGCATATATCCACCGTCAATTCTCCTTCTCAGGCACCAGTCTATCATCCACAGATCAGTCCATCAGCGGTTCCAAAACGAACCAGTATCTTAAGGCTATGGCAGAAGTGCATGTTGAAAAGATTGTTATTGTTGGCGCCCCCAGCAGCTGGAAGGGTAAGGACAGCGTTTTGGTACTTGAAGACGGCGCAAAGTCTGGTATCAGGGCCAGCATGGACTGGCATAATGCCGAGAGTGGAAAGGCGGCATTCGCGATTGTGAAGAAGCCTGGGGTTTCTATCACCAAGTCATGGAAGATCGACTTTGCTTAGCTGCCTGCCACCATTAATACACATGGCAGTTTACGTGGTTATTATATTCTTATAGAAGTTTCATGGTTGGTTCTTTGAATTTTTGAACAATGCTACATGTAGCGTTTTTATTAGTTTCCGGTTGTGAAATTCATTTGTACCCTTTAATTTGGCAACTTTCAACCAATGAATCGGGATGTTTTGGGACACTTTGTCTCTCATTTCAAGATCATCAGGTTCTGCTCATCTCCCCAAGGCAGTAGTTATGCGAGACATTGGCTTCATCAGCTTCGTTGACTTCATCAGCTTCGTTGACTTCATCAGCTTCTCCATATTTGCGATTTTCATATGCAAAGCTGACGACGGTATGACGTTGCCAAGTTCGTCCGAGGAACATTAGATAATCCATTTCAAACTTTTAGTTAGGTGACTACCTAACTACCCCCAGGGTCAACAACTAGTCGGAGAGCTTTCAAAGGTCCGCAAATCTCGTCAAGGCCTGAGCCAAATGCGATCCAGCTGCCCCAGCAGAGAACAAAACTTGCTTTTTACCCCGGACGACCGTCTCATGGCTTATCCAACATCTCTGCCATCATAAACAAACCTGTCCACTCCATTGACGCTCCTACCGCTACGCCCGAGACATCGACAGGGATCGATCGATTAGTTAGATTTCCCAGCATCGCGATCGAGCTATATCTATAATATCACCCTTTGCGTACACAAGGAAATGAGCTGGAGGGTGTGAGCGTCAGTCACTGGTGCGGCTGAGCGAATATCGATAAGCGAACCGGCTATAGCGCCAGGAAGGTATCAAAAAATATCGCCTGAGGGCTAGGGATATACTTGCCGTGCCCGATCAATATGTCCTTTTTTACCTTTATAATCGACTATGGGGCGCCGCCATTGTATGTGTTCTCCCATGTTGGTCGCGTGCTCTTGTGGTACTGTCTGTTCTACACCTACTAACAATATCAACCAGGCTCGTCCTTTCCCCTGTCCTTTCATACGCCGACCAGATCATGAGCATACACCGGACAAAGACCTCGGCCGGTTTCTCATTGGATATACCATTGATTATGCTCGTTGCTTCCATATTTAAGTGCGTCAGACTCCATTTTATCCGACGGCCCGGAAACATGATAGGGTGAACAAGAACTTCCCGCTGACAAGTCATATCATACAGGATATTTTACTGGTTTGGATCCTACTATTCCGCTCCTTTGCTTATACAGGCGATATCAATGGTCGGTGTGCAAGTTATACTTCTCAAAGTTGCTTTGGATAATCGGCCTTCCCCCGGTATCGAGCACACCCCATTTATTGGACAAGGATCCGAATCCGGTTTTGTCAGACCGTACGGATTCTGGCAATGGAAATCAGCCCGTCCGTATGTTATCACCATCCCTGCCTGCGGCCTTTCGCTGGCAGCAAACACTATGTTTCCAAGTGCTAATAGTATGCTAATGTAGGTACTGGATATTTCTTACTTATTTTACTCTGACCCTTCTCGTCATCCATACTCTCTTTACTCCACTTTCGCGGTCTTCTGCATACATAGAGTTACTGGGTTTCAGTGGACTCGGCGTCGAAGCTTTTCTACCAATTCCACAAATTATTTCAAACCAGCGTTCACGGTCATGTAAAGGCTTCCGACCTTCAGTTCTCATCTCCTGGCTCCTTGGAGATGCCATGAAGATGAGTTTCTTTTTTTTCAGCGGCGGTACAATTCCTCTAGCATTCAGGATATGCGGGGTGTTTCAGTGCTTATGCGACGTATATCTGGGCTTTCAGTTTTACACATTCGCAGACTGGCGTTCATGGACAACGAATGATCTCCCATCCCTTGATAGATGGGGTATGAAAACATCAGACATGCAGATGTCATAAAGAGAAAGACATTGCGCATTTTAGAGGGTCATGCTATTCACATTATATCTATATCTATATATATCTATACAGATATGATTCTAATTTTACGAGCTTCGGTGGTTAGGGGCATCAAGCTGATTATTCAGACTTATAGAGAAATAGGCCAGCTTTTTTATTATCAATAATCCGAAGTGCTACCGTTGGCAAATCAGCAGTCAATCAATGATATACCTCCCCATCTACAGGCATAGTAACATCCTTGCTCGAGAACGCACAATGACCAACTGAGCCTTCATCCGAAAGCACAACCCCCCATTTTAGTGCCAAACATGCCATGTCTGGGGTTGACCCAGCCTGTTTCTCGGGATCATATGTTCCAGGATCAGGGAAACACGCAGCAGCAATGGCTAGGCTGCAGCTCCCCGCAACCGGCATACCAGACTTAAATGGCTTGAATCCTAAACCAACCAAACAAGAAATCATTGCTGTTCCAAGGGAGATGCTACAGACAATAGCAATCGGTGAATAGCCGCAAACACTGATGTCTGATGCAGGGTCATGCTGAAGGTTCTGGTCATATGCTTCAATCCCCACTAGGAAAAAGCTTTGAGATATGAGCCAATGTAATATGCCTGATGTGGTCATAAGTGGGATAGCATAACGGTAAGGCAATGAGAGGAAGTATTTGCTTCGTTGTGCTGCATTCGGTGCAGCAGAGACTCGTAATCCTTTTCGCTGTGTTGCATATTGACTCCACTCTGCAGACATAGTCATGGCTGTGAGTATGCCATTATAAGCAAAATATATGAGCGAATAAACAAGTTGTGGTAAATTTGCTATCAGTGTGTTGGCTATCAATGATGTAGGCCAGAAATCTGTGCTTATTAGTGTGCGGAAATCGAGTGCTTGCAGATCAGCGGTCCAAATTCCTGTTTTATTTGACATGGAACGCATCCCGATATATAGGAGAAAAGCGCAGAAGGCTAGAGAAAGACAATACCTGCCATAAAAGACGCAATTGTTTAACATAAATGCATGGTATAGGAGTAAAGGGTAACATACAACATTATACCAAAGCACCATCGCCCAGGTGAAACGGCTGAACGCCATTGTTGTGGCTTGTGAAAAAATACCCAGCGATTCCGGCGTACCCAAAACGGGTTGTATGTACTTGAAAGTCCAGTGAGATCATTCATCGATAGTAAGCATTTCCCTCGTACAGTGGTATCAGGCTGTTCAAGAAAGGAGGCAATAGCGTCCCCGACTGTCAAGATTGGGGTATCAATTGTAACAGCAACATAGCATATAGTAATCACTTTCACAAGGATAAATACCATGACAACAACCGTCAACGGTAAGCTGTACTGAAGCTTGCAGTGAGGCTGTGCAACCTCCGCGAGGCAGTACTTTATTGGTTGAGCCAGTATTTCCCAGTTACCAGCTACTATTTCAGGTTTGGTATTCAGTAGTTTGGATTGGCATTTGGTAGCCTCCTCATAATCATTAGGACATATCCATGTGAACGGGGATCCAGTGACAGGCCTATATACTTCTTGATAGCCGACATATCTGTACTCACTTTTATTCTGCGGCGTATCAGTTACCAACAAGACATTGACGTAGGAATTCTGGTACGTTTTCGTGTACGCATCTATACAAGCAGCATTGTCCAGTTTCTCCAGAGCTCCATTCTGCGACATATCATAAAGCCGGGTAAACGTTGCAATGATAGACTTGTTCCGGAGTTCATAGTTACCAAGTGGTTGAAATTGTGGATCTGATGGAGCCAAAGTCAGGTCCTCAAGTGCCGTCTGTCCGAAAGATCTGTCACCGAGGAATGCATAATAGGAATTTGATGATGTAGTAGCAAAAATCGTGGAATTATACCTACGATGTTGTGAGGGCTTGTTACTAAGAGATTGAAAGCATTGCATAGAATTACTTACATTAGATGTAGAGGAAGCGAGGATAGCACTAGAATTACCCACAAGGCAGATCTACATCGGGAAATCTGACGAAGATTTCTAACGCTTAATATGCCTATATCGAGCCAGCATAGCTCCTTATGGGCATTGTCAAGATCGGCCCTTGTTGGTGCACTTAAACATTGCTGTCAAGCCATCAGCACATGTAACAGAATTAAAAAAAAATTCACAGCTAGAATTCATACTATAGTGTAGTTGCTGGCACTCAATAAGAGAGTACTGAAAATGTTTATAACCAAGTGCAGCCCAATGCTCAAGTCGTGAACTTTATCGCAGTTGCCGTCATAAAGAGTTCCACGTTCATTATTGAAATTATGCCGAGGTAATACCCAAAGCAGAAATCCAAGGTTAAAGCAGAGGACAAGTAATCCAGTGACTGAAGCTGAATATAAGGTGAGCCTCCAGCTTTTCCGCCATCTTTTAGGCCTTTCTCCATTACCATCCGTCATATCACGTCCAGGAATTAGTGTGCTTAGGCTGGTACCTTTCTGCCGGGAATTGGGAGGATTCATGTCTCGAGATGAATATGTTTTCAAGAAGAAAGCATTTTCTTGATGGTATTCATGGGCGGATCCCCCCCTTATAACTGTGAAATTCCAATGCAGAGTCAGGTTCCAATGATTCGGGACAGCTACAAGGCTAAGGATCTGCAGACGTCGAGGCGCGAGAGGCCCCTTGAATGCAGATATGAGACACAGCTAGCCATTTTGAGTAACTCTTCTCAAATTATTGAGTAGCAGATTAGCTTTTCTCGTTCCATAAGCGGCTCTTGTAAGTGTAGCCCTGTGTACTGTGTGTTGCGCAAGGCTGAGTCCCGCCTATCAATTATACGACATACACTTCCGAGTGGTATCAACTCTTGAGTATTAAATCCAGCTTTGGGAGACACTGCAGGTATATGGCCGGATATAATCACATAAGACACATTATTCGAGCAAGCACTGCACATTAGAAAGGGCAGGTGATCTAAAAATGGCACCACTAGGATGCGCTTGCCGAAGGTTGACGTGCATTTAAGGTGTTTTTTGCCAAGACCACCTGAGACATGACACGTGAGATGGCACCTGCGCAGATGCCCGCGACTATTTCGTTATACCCTTATCAATATCTGTTACGCTTCAGTATGACAGTCGATGATTGTTCCTTTCTTAATAGAGCCTTCATAAAAGCACGTATAATGTATAGTGTAGTTTTAACCGGCATATACTATTATAACCCCTTTTTTCCCTTTTGAGGATAGAAAGCATGTATGTAGTGAATCTATTATCCCTATAGAAAACTCCGTTGAGGCCGTCAGAGTCAATGTAGCATGGAAAACGCTCCAGACTTATCGGAACCACATCCTCATCCCCCGAGGTCGCAGGCTGTGTTTAGAATGACGGATGTGGAGTTGGCCCTGGCCGAAGCTTAGCTAAGAAGCTTTCCTCAGGTTAGCCTGGCGTTTTTGCTTCCCCCCGCTTGTTGATCCTCCATCAGATATTTCCTTCAGGGTATACTATCCAACTGAAACAGATCATTTTATCTTTGGCTACGTATTTGAGCTATATTTACCTACAAACATGGCCTCGGAGCCTAGTACCATTAGAATTGGCTATGTCCCAGGTATTATATTCTCACCACGTCTAAATCAGTACTGAAGAAATATCCTATTTACTAACAGACATCAATTTGCCACTAGAGCATTACCTAGCTCCTCTACATCTCGCTGTCCACAGCTCAGAGGCCTCTTCTCTTCCATTCAAAATCTCTTTGATTTCCTTCCCGTCCGGAACTGGGCATATGATAACGTCCCTAAGGCAGAATGAAATCGACGTTGCGATTGGTTTGACTGAAGGTTGGGTTGCAGGTCTAGTCGGCAAACCACAGCTAGAAAAGGGAGAGAAGGATGGTGGCTACAAACTTGTTGGCCAATGGGTTGAAACTCCATTGAGATGGGCCATTGTTACAGGCTATGACAGGAAGGATATACAGAGTGTTAGCGACCTCAAAGGAGGACGAGTCGGAGTGTCTCGTTTGGGCAGGTTAGTTCCATGCGTCAAATCCTGTTGAACATACATATTCACTTATAGTGCTTACAGTGGCTCCCACATTATGTCCTTCGTTCTGGCTCAACAGCAAAGCTGGTCATCCTCGTCACCCCTTACCCCGACCATCCTAGGGCCGTTCCCTTCCCTGCGAGACGGAGTAACTGGCCATAACCCTGAGCAGCCAGATGCCCAAGCAAACTCCCTGGCAGATTTCTTCATGTGGGAGCAGTTTACCACAAAACCATACTTTGAGCCTACTACCGCTTTCCCGAAGCCACCATTGAAAAAGATTGGGGAGATCTACACCCCCTGGCCCTCCTGGCAAATTGTAGCTTCGACTCGTACATTCCCATCTCCGGAGTCGGACAGTCGACTCACGCAGCTGTTTAGCCTCCTAGACTCCGGCATTTCCACTTTCCAGGCAGATTCAGCAAAAGTGGTTCAGCAACTTGGAACTGGTGAATTCGGCTGTACATATTCCGAGTCAGATGCTAAGGAATGGCTTAAGGACGTACGATTTGTCAAAGGTAGTACCAGGGGTGCTGACAAACATATGATCGAAGGTGTCGTGAACGTATTGAAGACTGCGGGAGTGGTCCCGGAAGACATCAGCAATGACGAAGCAGTCAATAGGATAATTGGTATCCATGCTAGTCAGTAGGAGTCGCAAACTGTTGTCTAATGCTGCATACATCTTGCTACGTCCTTATGCTATGATTATATTTGTTAAAATCTCTATAGCTTTTCAACAGGTGCCTATACTAGGTTAGATGGGTTGAGTCAGGCGTCAAAAAAATTAGCTATAGAGTAATTGTGCTTTATGCCCCGCTATGTCTAATTGTGATTGGGCAATGTAGGAGCTTTACCCGGCTTCTTCATGCACTTTTCAAAGTATGCTTCCAAACGTGGAATATCATCCAATCTAGATATGACTCCGACACAGCCATCTGGCCGGATAACTGCAAGGACTCCATCATCCGGATTAACTCCATATATTTTATAGGCGTCCTCAACTTCATATCCACTGTGAATCCTCATTTCTGCCATTTGCTTGAGCTCCTTCGGAAGACAATTCCAGTCAAGCTCACGTGGAAGACGAGGGTATATCACCACAACTTCAATAAGAGAAGGAGGAAAGAGTGGAAGAAGAGTTGAAATTGAGAGCAAAACTCGTGCAGATGTCCCCTTAGGATCTAATAGATCTGTCGAAGTCATACAGAGAATGCGAAAGCGTCCATTAGAAACCAAATCTGTTCAATACATTAACTTAGTTCAAATTTAATCATAGAATTAGTCTTCAACGTACCATCATGTATGTCTCTGTGAAATCCATCAGCAAATCTCCTGACAGTGACATTCAGTAGCCTCCTTCCTGGTCTTAGGATTCCGTGGAAATAATCAGTTCCACAGATGGGGTTTTGATATCCATCCGGGAATGTTCTATCAATTAGAGAGGTCTCTGGATATTCGATTCCACAGCCGCTGGCAAAAGAAATTGACTGTTCGTAGACTTCTAGATTCTGTTTTAAGGCGGCCTGAACCTCATTTTCCTCTCCTGTAGTTCTTTTGGAGAATCCTGTTGAATACTTCTTATCAAAATCAATCAATTGCTGGGCAACACTATACCGTTCCACTTCGTATGACTTGAGGAGGGCTCCAGGATCGTCAACATCAGGATGAAGCCCATTGATAGTGTATGCAAGTTTCCATGACAAGTTATGGGCATCCATCATTGAAATGTTCATGCCTTGACCTGCCTATAAATATTTTAATTAGCAACGATGAGCCTAATTAAGCTTGAGTAGTTAGTTCTTTAGTTGATTATTTTGGGTGGAACCAACCTTTGGGCTGTGAGTATGACAAGCTAGTTACCAAACCTCAAAGTTAGCAACCTCTAAGTTAACGTACCATAGAATCTTCAAACTGAATGAAAGCAACATACAATCTCCAGCGAGAATAACTCTACCCAAACCTCTGGAATCCTTGATGGCAAACCTTTCAGCTATTCGCTGACCAATTTGATATACAGTCCACCAGTTGATATCCACACCTGCCTTGGGCCGGATATAATATGGCTCAAATATCTCAGAGACTTGCTGGAAGATCTTTTCCAGTGTAATTTGGCTCTTGCGGGACCTCCTCGGCTCTGTACCTTTGCCTTCAGAGCGAAGGCTTCCATCTTTCAACTCCTCCTGCGGTGGCATTTGAACGTACAGGCGTGTTAAATAATCTCCATCCACAGTCTGTTCCCTAGGAATAACCATGATGGTGCCTTTGCGTGAATGAACTCGACCAAATCTCCGAATGTCCGGGAAATCAGTATCGGCAACGAAATCGATCACTCCCCAGAAATCGTCGATAGACTCTCCGTTGAGTTGGATTCTAGAGCATTTCCGAACAGTCGAATGCGCGCCATCCGTTCCCACAAGGAATTTGGTTCGTACTGTTCGTGGCACTCCATCTGTCTCAACAGTTGCAACGACTGGGAAGTCCGGGTCACCGTCTTCGTCAAGAGATACATTAACCAACCTGCTATTACGTTGAACTCCTCTTTCAGAGTGATGGGCCAAATCGTCATCAAATATCTGCTCAATAATTCCTTGGCTGATGGTGATGGCCCGCTGGTATCTTGCAGGATGAATCTTGTTATCAATGATTGAGAACCTCTCGATAGTCCCGTCCTTGGATGGCTTCCAGATCATCATTTCCCACAAGTAACATCCATCCTGCAGTATAGGATCAGCCAATCCCATGGTCTTGAGCACCTCGAGGGTTCGAGGCTGCAGCCCGTCGGCCTGGCCACACATCACTCTGGTTGGTTTCAGGTCGATGCATAGTAACGATTGATCCGACAAGCCATGGCGAGCGAGCAGGATGTTGAGGATATACCCAGCTGGCCCTGCCTATTCGTCACATTGAGCATCATAATACGAACATATCGCTGATTGGTAATTCAAAGCAGGAGGGATAACCTACACCCACGATTACCACCTCGTACTTTTCATCTCGATCACTGCCACCATATTGCTGGCCAATACGGGGCAGGGGGGCGGCATACGGCAGTGCTACACGCGAACCCCGGACGGCTGGACTACCATCAACCATTGGAACAGGCTGTCAATTCAGGCAATTTTGAGGTCAAGGTCAGCTCGATGAAAGTTTGTGAAACGTTGCTTGGTGAGATCGAACGGCATTCATGGTGATGCCACGATATATATATATATATATATATATATATATATATTTGTCTCGATTTAATAATAAGAAACACCCCTGCTGCATGCATGAAATAGTAACACAGATCCGGACGAAACCGGACGCCGCAGATCGTTTACAGCTCGTGGCTCTGACTAGTGATCTCGATGGCGCATAGTTCGTGTGATCTATCAAGCGTCTTCATCGTAGTTAATGAGCCAGATGACAAGGGTTGTGGGAACTCTAAGATTTATGGTGTATCTGAAGGATAAAATAAGCGTATAGAATGTATCCATGGACTTATGCAAGTGACAGCTCCTCAATTAAAAGAAACACTATCAAGCTATTTCCCAATAAATGATTCTAATTTTCGGGACAGGTATTGATATATCCAGCTCGCGATGATGGAGATTGAATATAGAATAAAAGCAAAGCATACTATTTGCTGCCCAGAGAGGCAAATAAGTCAAGCAGGTAAGTTTCACCTACTTCAAATCAGTTATATATTTCCTCAACACCACATGTTATACCCATAACCATGATACCTAGGTTGAATGAGAAACATGCGTTCCTCGTTAATCTGATCGGCAGCCGCCTAATATATCCTACCATTCGTAAGCAAAGACTGTTCACCATCGCTGGCCAGGCAGCACGTACCGGGTAAGCAAGACTCAGGGATTCATTGCAATGAATTGGCGACCAATTCGAGGACGCCTGTTCGTACGTATGTCATACCTTCTAGCCAATAAATCCATTTCAAAAACAGCACCCGGTAGAGACCATTTTCCCTTCTCTTCAGTTAACTAAAGCCTGAAGAACATGGCGGATATCTCCATGTGATAAGGCAAGCTAGGGAACATTCTTCCCTAATTCTGTGACTTAGGTGCCAGGAGAGACATGTATAGGTATAGCAGTTCAAAAAAGCAAGCCATTCAAATGCTTTTCCATTGCTAGTAGCCGCTCCCTACCCATTAATAATAATTGCCAGATAGCTAATTGGACCCCGAGAAAATGGAAATTTTGCGATAGGTATCATATGGATATAGGGCCTAGAGAGAATCGTGTCAGTCGACCAAAAATCAAAATCAAAGTCATGCATCTTAGTCTCCTATAGCTATGTTTGTATCCAATTCAAAATCAAGACGTATAGCTACTTGATGATTATGTTGTCTAAATAGAGATTAGCCAGATTGTTGATCATTTGTTCACAATAAAGAGTCAATCAAAGGCATATATTAAAATTATATTAATCTCACTTAAATTATACATGAATGATATATGGTGGGCCAGCGGCTGGTGACCAGTACTCAGCGTAGCGAGTGCCGGCAATGATGCGCTCGCCTATGCTGCCATTGGTTATGCAGCTTTTGGCCTAGTTGTGCCTCCGTTGGCTCCTGGTAGACGTTCAGGTATTTGATAGCCCAGTATGCTTCCTCGAATGCATGCGGGTAATTCTCGACAAACGTCTTGCACTCCGTAGTGACGGCGGAGCAAGGGGTTTCCTCCCAGATTTTTGGACTTCCTGCCCAGTCACCGCAAAAGGTAATGTCAAATATTATTTGCATATCTCTGAAGCTTTCTGTAAAGCTACAGTTTCCGGTAAAAAGCGCGGCTGGTGTTCCCCAGTTTGAAGGGTCTGGATTGCCATTCCTGATATCGCTTGGGATGCCGGCTATTCTAGGAAAAAAACAGATCTTGAGGTCTTCGGTTGTCCATTCAGTCGCATACACACCTCCCCCAGCAATGTTCAAACCGCTGCTGTAGCTTGTTGGATCGTCTGTCTTGATTGTGCAGCCATTGCCACCTAATGGTGGAGGAGCGTTCTGGTCACAGTAAGGTGTCGTTAACCTGCCTGTGAACTGGACATCCTTTGATATAGTGCAATTGTGGCCAGTATGGAGGGTCATAGTGTTGGAGAGATCAAGATTGATACCTTCATAGATGTCCACTTCTCCATTCGTTGGCCAGTTGGGTCCCAGGAGCCAGTAAGCTGGCCATATTCCACATGCAGGCCCAGGGACATGTTCGAAATCGATGATCCAGAGGCCCTGATTATAACTCTTCTTGCTTGATATCCTCACGCTCGGTCGGCCATCTGGGGTGATATTCGTGTGGTCGGCACCCATACGCACCACCGTGCTACCATCATATCGAGACTCGAAATCGATTAAACCTGCAGACCAAGCTTCCTCCTCCCCTACGTACTTGACAAATCCATGGGTTGGGTCTTCCCCGGTGAAGAAGTCGAAGTTTGAGAAAAATGTTGATCCCTCGAAGTTATCGACTAGCGAATATGAAGCCAGCGACCCCCCAACAAGGGAACAAGCTAGGAATAAATGAGCAGCCACACCCATCTCTACACGGTTATATGAAGGTGTACGCGCCAAATATCTTTCGTTCCTGCCACGACATAAAGTAGAGAGGTAAACCGGTAAATCATAAGTGGAAACAATCCCTTGGAGAAAGCTATAGGTTATATACCCCTGATTACCGGACGGTTATTTGTTCTGAAGCCGCAATAATCGAGCCCGAGTCACTCGAAAAGGGGTTAAGCTGAGTCTTAACCCTGTACCTTGCAGCAAAAATAATGGGAGTGAATATTACTGGCTGGGGTTGCAGATCAATCTCTCAGCTCAATCGTTCTCTTGATATTTCATGCTTTCTTTTTCCTTTTCCATATTTTGGGGAACCAAGGTTGGGGGATCGACGACCATACAGCGCTGTGCCTCAAGACGCGAGCGTACCGCGTACAAAGTACAGATACGCTGGAGGTATTATCATATCTGATGCATAGCTCCATTGCAACAGGGATGAGTATGTATCCAGGCAGTTCATACTTACTGTAACACCCCCCGGATAGACATTCACTGCTCTTGGGCATCCTGTTGATAGAATTCTTCTTTCCCTGCAAGCGACTTTTTCAGCACCTACATTGAAGGCTGGTTTGCTAAGCGCATAGATAGGGGATTCGTAAGGTCCAGCTCATTTGACCGTTACTGGATAATTATGGTGAGTAACAGTGTCAGCCGATAAATTAACGAAGGGGTCCGAAGGCAGTGTTGACGACATTTCGATTCGATAAGAGTGTAGCCACCGGATTCATTGGTTATCACTTCGTATTTTTGTTTATGGCTTCGTCCTCGTCGTCGTTGGAAATCTGTAAGGTTTAGGTCCTCCTGATTACATAATTTCGCTAAACAACGAAAGTTTTAGTGGAGACACGTTTGCTTATATAATCTAGTACGGAGTTTTAATTTATCCGCGAAGAAATTCGAGGTCCGCCCAGACGGCAATCAGATAGGTGGTGAGCGCAGCTTCGAATTTGACGCTTGATCGAAGAGGTTGAGACCAAGTTCAAGAGTTCTGATGGCTTCAACCCCGAGATACTTGACTCCCTTTTCGAGGGGGGTACTGTCTTCTTCTCTACGACCTCAGGTTATAGCTCCATCCTTTATATGCCCTCTCCAACAACAGCAACGATATGCCTCAAAGTCGTCCAAGTCAAAAGACTCCAAACCCAAGAAGAAGAAGCCAATGTATACCCAATATGACATCCGACATGCAATCCAGTTCTCACTATGCGATGCCATGAGGTGTGTATACCGCGCTATTGCGTTAATTGTCCATCTTTGCGGACATTCTGCTTTTCCCTCTCAAGTGTCGATTCGTGCTTACCTTAAAAACTTTTTTTCACGACAAGATATCTTCGCGCATTTGAAGCGGGCCGTAATACTTCCTCCGTCAAGTATGAAGTCCATGTCAAGCTACGCACAAAACGAGACGGCCCCATGATTCGGAATCAGATACGTCTTCCGCATGCAGTTCGGTCCGATCTGCGAGTCTGTGTTATATGTCCGCCAGGATCTCGTGCCGCAAAAGAAGCCAAAACTGCTGGTGCCGACATTGTTGGTGAAGAGGAAGTGTTCAACTCTATCAAGGCAGGAAATATTGACTTTGACGTCTGTATCTGTCACACCAACAGTTTGCCTAATCTGAATAAGGCTGGTTTGGGCCGAGTACTGGGTCCTAAGGGCTTGATGCCTAGCGCAAAGCTGGGCACCGTTGTCGACAATGTTGCTACCACTGTGAGAAATATGCGTGGGGGCAGTATTTACAGAGAAAGGTCTGGTGTCGTCAAGCTGGCAATTGGTCAATTGGGCTTCTCTCCTGAAGAACTCAAGAACAACTTGGGTGCCTTTATTGCTGCGATCAAGAAAGATGCGGCTGGAATGTCAGACCAAATATCCAAGGATATTGCCGAAGTTGTAGGTTTTCTCATTCGTCCCTTCCTTCCCCTTTGCTCTGTTTACTGCTTGACTAACAATCACCCAAGGTACTGAGCACCACCAATGGTCCAGGCTTCAGCCTAAACGGCGAATACAAGAGCGAAACTTCTCCTCCTCTGCACATGTTGACCGGATGTTAAGAGTTAGTGGAATGAAGACATGTAAATTAGTCTGTACATCTATGTTTTGGCGTCATTTGATAGAAATATCATTCCATTGAAAAGAGTCGTCCCCCAAACTCCAGACCAGCTTTCTCTAGCATGTATAAAAACAGCAGACTTCAGTTAATCAGCTATTGTTCCAAGCCTTTTCAGACATTGCTGTCCTTCGTCATGGTGTCCCAGCGAGTCATATAACCGTAGTATTGTAGAAAGTTTTTCGTCTCGCTTTGATCCAAGCTTACTTGTCTCCTTTAGTGCGGTGCTCAGGTCAAGAAGTAGAGCCGACTTGATGGCATCAATCCTACCGGCATGGCCGTAGATGAAAGGGTGTTTCTCTCCAATCCGATCCGCCATTACCTTCACACTCAGATATTGTTGTATATGGGCCTCCAACCTGCGAAGAGATATTCTCGCCTTGTTTCCGCTCTCGTTCTCACTTCCTTCTCCATCTTCGTCGCTATCGTCTGTTTCGCTTCCCAGTATGACATCCGACAGACCATCACTCTCATCATCTCCCGCTTGAGCTCCATTCTCCTTTGCCGTTGCATCCTTTCCAGGCCGGATCATGAGATTCGTCTCCAACAATTCGATCCGTTCTGCAACATCGAGTAGATCGTATCCAACCGAAATCTTTGACCGAAGCCGTTTCTTTTCATCAAGACATTCCTGTATCTCTTTTTTCTTTGCCTCGAACTGATCTTTTATCCCTTGCACGTTTCGCTGGAACCCAAGCAAGCCAGCTTTAACCTCCTCGACCTTGTCCTGGCCACCCTTCAGAGCAGCTCCAAGGGACAAAAATTCCTGGTAATTCTCATTCACAAGGTCAAGAAGCTCCTTGTTCAGAGCCTCATTCAACTCTCGAAGCTCGGTCTGTAGATCAGCCAACGACTGGTGGCGGTTTGATAGCGAGGTTAGGAAGGTTGTGGCATCAAAATCCGGCCTTAGAAAAGATGCTCTCGATATCGGCTTAGGGAACGGAAGATTATCATCGTTCAAGTCGTTGTCTGAACCATCCGAATCTCCGAACTATATGCAGATATCCATGTTAGCACGATACTACATACATCTGCAGCTGTCAAGTTAGGGGAGAAACAAACATAGAACCTGCTCATGGTTGATGCAATGATTCCCCCGTCAGCTTCGATGCAATAGCCCCCTCAAGGCTCCTGCATGTCTTTCTCTTGTTCTGTCTACCCGTCGACCGGCCGCTGACCGAATTTTTCATCCGCATTCCATGTATATGTGTCCAGCCTCCACCTGCTCAGCACCGGCTGGCGGGACGGGACCTCAGCCCTCAAATGCGGAACATCAATCTTCCGCCAGGTGTGGACTCCGGCAGGTCCCCGCAACCCCTAGCCAGCCGCCAGCATGATATAACAAGCGACGGATAACGGTGCCAACACATCTTCTGCAGGCCGCCCGCGTCATGGAGGGCTTGTCACCGATTAAAGCCTGAGACATTTCTCCTCAACGGTTTCCGGGGGGGGGGGGGGCGCTGAAGGCTGGGGAACGTGTGGCATCTCCAGCTTCATCCCGACCTTGCTTGTTCTTCCGCTGACCATCCAATCCCTGGCGGACATGCGTATATGCAGTCCAGTCGCAGAGTCAAGGCCGTCTCGTCATACATATCCTGACACGCAGCATCGATTTACTTATGCCAGTACAGTCGTGGGTAGACCAACCTGACCATATCCCAGCTTGACGAGCCAAGAGGGACTCCAGTTGCTGCAGATAGATCTACTCCACGTATGCCTTGCGCCTGACACATACACACACACACTCTCTCTCTCGGGATGGATTCCAGCTCTGATCGGCCGTCACCCCTAGCCAGTATAGAGCATCTCTCTTCTTCTCTTCCTACACCTCAGCCATGGGCAAACCAGTCTCTCTCTACATTGGGGACTCGCGGCCGGCTATTCAATCCCGCCCTGGACGATCCGACGCTTGCTCGACGGACCACTGCTTTGCGCCAACTTCATGGGATTACTAGGCCTCCTCAGCGGAAACATCGTCAGTCTGCTTCTATTGCAAGCCGGGCCTCTCTGTCTTCTCAACCGGTTATTGTTCGGACCTATTCTGGAGGATCGGAGAGGGAATCTACAATGTCAAGGAGGCGGAGCTCAGACAGAGAACAAAAGACGACTAATGCTCCTCCAGCACGTCTTCCGTCAGTTGATGAGTTCGGTATCGAAGGCATACTACAGTCCATCGAGCCCAACATACAGGTGACTTTGGATGCTATAGCCGAGATATGCGGCCGAAGCAAGCTAAGTCTTGCAAATGAATACGGGAGCCATAGACCACCTCTGGGTGAGATCAGAGCACCTGCACGAACGAGTGATCACGGCCTTTTAACAGTGGAAGAGGCAAGCCCTAGCACGGAGAGGCTTGCAGACGACAATGTCTTAGTCGTTGGTGACGATATCAGCACTGTGGATGGGCATGGTCGGTATTCGTCTACTTACGACTACCTCAATCCAATACCCCGGCCAACGGGTCTCTTTGATTTCCGCAATTCACTTCCTCAGGCATGGGCAGAGACAAACACGACACAGCAGCAGGCTGAATCTCACACGCACACCATAAGAAGAGAATTGGCCCCTACTCATGAAGAGACTGTTCCCCCAGCCCGCCACCATCACCTGGTAGATAAAGGGAGGCTGCCGTATCTGCCTTGGGCTCTTGACACTCGTCTTGAAAGCGGTGATTACAATGCTACTAGACAGTCAATGATGACACGTCCTGTTATATCTGCTGTCCATCTAGACGCCCAGGCCGATAGGTCTTATCACTTGACTGAGCCAGACAGGCCATGGCCTTCGACTGGCGCGATAGTGGACGTTCCAGACTACGGTGAACTTCCACATATCAATGGACACAAGCAAAAATCCCACTCTAGGAAATCCTCCGTTCTGGATGAATTGCAAGGGTTCCTCAGTTGGGTTGGAAAAATGAGTCGCGCTCATGGTAAACCCAGCCAAGAGGTCACATCCCTTGTATCTGCACAGGAAAAGCTACGAGATGTTTTAGAGAAACAAAATGCTCGGCTTAGCCACCTCCCTAATAATTGAAGTCTTACCATACAATCTTGCTTTTCCTTTATGGTCAACATGTCACGATTCACGAAGCGGAATAACGACAATTTCACGACTATCATGAGTCTATTTACCTATCTATACTCTGTACTCTGGCATATGTGGTATACAAACCGACTTCTGTATGTCGGAATGTGTATTTCAACCAATGGAATTAGTTCTTTTTTGTTTAGCGCGTCACAAGTGGCAGGTAGTTTAACAACTGAGCTGTCACAGCCGGTAACTGCTGGTAACTAACAGGTCGAGAGCGGCTTCACAGCCCAAGCAAGATCCTGTGTCTACTATAGTAAAAATAAGGAGATCCTTCGGCATCCTCCAACAAAATATAGAGACAATTCTTCGAAGCTGGGCTTTACTAACCATTTAAATAGTTAGATTGCCATTACATTACGACAATCCCTATGAGTGTGGCGATAGTAACAGCTAACCAGCCTCCCCTCAGGTCAGCCGCGGAATTCTCACTGTATGGGTAGTGTCTGTGGCTAACCATCTTCAAGCACGTCATTTGAGACGTAGTATTGTGGACAAGACTATTATTGTTTCCACCAAGGAGCACAGTCACGACCGGGGTGATCTTGTAGGCCTCACCAATGAAATCCTCGGCTCTTGAGGAGGACCCCTGCGGTTAATAAAGTTAATTAGCGCCATGCGGCTTAACTATTTTTATGAAACCGGTCTTATCATCTCAGCTTACATTTGAAATCACCTCGGCGATCTGCATTAGCCCATCCGACTTCTGCTGCACTGGCCAGCAATCCGAAGAGTTTCTGGCAGCATGGAGGTTCCCAATTGACTTGATAGTGAAGTTTCCGAGGGAGGTACCGTGGCCCCCGAATAAGGAGCATCCGCTTCCTTCTTCAATTCTTACTCGAGCGCGTTACAGGCATTGGCATTACCCCTGGCCCGGTTGGCTGCATTCCTAGCTCGCTGCGTGATTGTATCAATGCACTTTTGCTGAATAACATCGGCGCAGGTCCCAGTGGCAGCAAAGGTATCGGCCCCACTAGGGGGCGTGAACTTGTTGGCCGGTGGATCGTTGAAGATAACTGCACAGCCGGAGAGGCTGTTCGTCTCTGTGTGCTCCGGGGTGCCTAGGTAGTAAAACGACCTGATGGGACGTACTCGCGAGCTGTTAAACTGGACCGGTGTGGCTGAGACGTTGACAGCCTTGACAAGGGAGAAGCCTTTTAGTTGTGTCCGAAACACAGGACTCTTGTCGGAAGTAAATATCTGGCGGCAGTAGGTGGAACCATTTAACTTCCGACAGAGTCTATATTAGTTAGTCAGCAATATAAAATTCTTTTATTGGTTGTCGTTGGCGCGGTCCCACTAAATCACTGAGTCAGCTGTCGCTCCCCTGACTAAACTACTTTCGGCACATCAGCCAGAGTTCTTGTTGCGTGCAGAGAAAGCATGAAAAACACTTTTTGACTCCGTTAGATTAAGTTGCTTCACTATACGTAGTAACTCGGACGTTATCCAGTTGGATATATGCCAGGCGTGGAGCTTAGTACTGGGTACTGAAGCGTCTGCCCTCAGACGATTACCTTCTATAACGCTTCGTTGCTAACCTTCACCTACAAGCCGCCTATAAGAGCTACCTTTCAGCGCTTTATTCTAGGGTACGCATGAGCTTGCAGCAAGGTAATGGCAATCCTGGTACTAGAGACGCGAATGCCCATACCCTGCGGACACCGGTAACTAGCCACCGTATCTGAATTTATTTTCTCGGGTCTCGGTTCTCCGCTGAAGTCTACCGAGGGTGTAACGGAAGCGTGCTGCAAACTAGATGGAAAGTTGTCAACTGGCAGTGTAGCTCTCACGAATGGAGTAGCAGCACGACTTTACATAGGTGCTCTTGCTCATAAACGGCAGATATCCACCACGACCGACCTCTTGGAATCTTCGTTTCTCTTCTATATATCCGGAAACCTGTCCGGACGTATGATGGAAACTAAATAGGAAAGGACCAATGCTCACTAAACCCCATCATCCGAAAAGATAAAATGCGCTGCCTCAAAGAAGCCATATTCTCAAATTAGAGTCGGGTGTGGATCCAGATATAACCTTGACTCTATGGGGCATTTTACCCCTTTATGGTTTGACAATATCACTTGTGGTTGTCATTTGGGTATTTAATAAGTCATTTTCACAATAATTTCATGATAATTAGTCATTTCATTTCCTCTGTTGTATACATAGCTTCGAATGACCCCAACGGAGATATAAATTGACACTTTGCCCTCATCCCAAACTCCAGCTTGCCCAAACTCCAAAGCTCTTCTATTAAACTGAAGGCCATATCATGCTGTGGATTGTTCAAGTTGTTTCCACTAGCTGAATGACCTCTTTCGCAAGGCTTTCAAAAGTCGGCTGGGACCAACATTTTTGATATCTTTCAACCAACGGGCTCTCCTGAGGCTGACTACTATTCGTCTCTAATTTCTCTGCCTTCTGCTCCTCCTTATTCTCATCTGAATCTGAACGAGAGCCCTCAACCATCTCTCCGAAACTCACATCAATCGGGATAGCTCCCAGAAAACGTATGCCCATATCATCAGCCATCACCTTCCCTCCACCCTTGGAGAAAACGTTGCTCACCTCCCCGCAACAAGGGCACGTATATCCAGACATATTCTCAACCACACCAAGGATCGGAATGTTCGTCTTTGCACAGAAATTGACTCCCTTTCGCACGTCGGATATAGCTACAGCTTGAGGAGTAGTGACTAATACGGCACCAGCGAGGCGCGGCTGTGTTGATCCTGAGGTGGGGGACGTCGTAGCTTGACTTAGTAGTTGTTCGGCGATTGCGATATGTTCATCACTTGTTCCCGGAGGAGTATCTATCAGTAGATAATCCGTATCTCCCCATATGACGTCTGATAAAAACTGGCGGATCATGGCCGTTTTTTTTGGCCCTCGCCATATCACAGCATCGCCCCTATCTCGCAGTAGAAATCCCAAGGACATACACCGTAGGGACCCATAGGGGCGAGCTATGCCGTTGTCGTTCCCTTCTGGGTTATCTGTCGAAGGTATAGGTGCAGATGTGGTAGTGTCCGAGTCGGAAGCAGGATATACGCTCACAGGAACCCAGCCGCCTGAAGCTTGTACTATTTTTGCATTTTCCTTGCCTACCAGCCGCGGCATCGAAGGTCCTGTAAGATCAATGTCCAATATGCAAACCGACCGTCCTCGGAGTGTGAGAGAGAGCGCAAGCTGGAGTGTGACGGAGGACTTTCCCACTCCACCTTTCCCGGAGAGAACCTACAAGACGAGCCGCACGTTAGAGAATATTTGGAATAGTAATATCATAGGCTCAAAGAGATTTGGCTCTCCTGAGCTTTGTTGCCGTGATTCATGACTTGAGGCGGGCTCATATTTGCTATCGATAAGCTGCAATTTCGCGGGGTAAACGTACCAGGAGTACATTTTTGACACCATCTAGCGGCATGATGAATTATCGCCTTAAGTAGACATATATCTAGAAATAAACAGTATTTCCAGCATATAACAACATGAAGAATCTTTCAAGATTTTGGGGTTTCTTTGAATCTTTTTGATAGAAGTTTGGCTTATCAAGCTTCCACTGGATTATTAAGCGGGCAGGTGCTATTTTTGTCTACTGATAAAGAACATGCATGTATCCATAAATTGGTTGATGGCCATTATTTCATCCCTTCTAAGGCCAGAGAGATCACTGGATGAAGACTATTCCTCTCTATCTAGACAGATATCAACAACAACACTTTGCCTAATAGGTATCTAAGCCCATTTTTGAACCACGACGCCGCCGCGCTTGTACTCCTTGAGGTCTCCGAGGATGGCAGAGCGGTCATTGAGCTCTGTACTCGGGAAAGTTGTCATGAGAACCCATTCTCGCTGTTGGCTGACCGGACTAGCTGCCGCCACGAACTGATACACGTCACCAATAGTATGCGTGGTGTTAAACCGGCTGGTTAACCGTGTGCCATCACCCAGTCTGATTTGGAGGGTAACCGTAGGTTGGGACTCGTCGATCTTTGGCTGCTCAGGACCTGTACTAGCCTCAGCCGGAGCAGGCGCTGCTGGCGGTACAGCTGCTGATGCTGCAGACACCACACCGGGAGTTGGGCTACCGAGTCGTTGGCCGGATCCGGAAAAGGCCTTAAACTTCCCCTTAGGTCTCACGTAGTCTGAATCATGTTGTTTTACTTGGACATCTACATCCTGCCCAACCTGAACATTCATGATGGAGAGTGGAGCGCGTCCCTGTCGGATGCCCTCTAGTATTTGTGCATTCTTAGGATCGGAGGATCGGTATAAGTCACCATCATCAACTGAAAACCCATCGTTCCAAAAGTGAAGAGTTCTGTGTACGCGCTCGAGCGGCTGCGGCTGATTCGCATTGGGATCTTCAATGATCCGGCTGGGAGTGTCATCTCCCCCGAGGGTGCGAGCAGTTCCGGTAAAATGCGATTTTGCAGGGGTTGGGTTACGTTCAACAGGCGGCATCGCCCTACTGCATCGTTAGCAACAAATGTCAGGCTGCTCAGAAAAAGGGAGTTCATACTTCTTAGCCTTTTCGATAATTTTTCGCTTGATATCGTCTGGATTCTGGACCGCAAGCCCAGATTTCTCACCTCCAGCAAAGAGATCTTGAGGTTCATCGTCGTCATAATCATGAGAAGGAGGGCCTCCACCGTCCCCCGAGCCAAGGTCTCCCAGCGTTGCAAATTTTTTGGCACCGGCTCTAGATTTTGATCCAGCTCCTTGTGCATGAGAAGCTGCTACTCCCTGAGCACCCGCTGTTGCCTCAGCATGTCGACTATCGCCCATGTCATCATAATCTGATTCTGGCCCCTCTTCTTCTGGGTAAACTTCTGCAATCGCCATATCTAGATCCCAGTTATTGGCTACCAGGTGTTCCCTAGCCTTGGATGCATGTCAGTCTTTGGACAACCACCGACGAAAACAGATGCCACAGAGGTAACAGAGGCCAGAACCATACATACCACAGCTGGAGTGGCTCCTGTGATAGCACAGAAGTGCGAGATCATCTCGTCTTCGGCAGAGGCCATGGTCGGCGGCTGCGGGGCTCGCAGGAATCGGCAATACCCTAGAGTAACGGAAAAAGTTTTTGCTTCTAAGAAACAAGACGACCATAAAACACTCTGAAAACAGATATTTGCTACACAAGTCAGGCGATGGGGAAGGAAGAGAAAGCTGTTTTGCTGGTCTCTGGTGTTTGTCTTTCGTCTTCTGCTTTTACGTCACTTTGGGTGCCTGGATATCAGATTAGGTAATCAGACACGGGATATCGATCTTCCCGCCCGGCCTCACCATGGATGGCCCCGATTACCTAAGGCAGAGAGAACTCCACCGCCCGGAGTTCCTTCGATTGGAGACAAGAGCGAAGAAGCTGGATAGACGGAGTATAGAGAACAGACAGGCACGGCGGCAGAGTCATCCCGTTAAGCAGAGCTGTTGTCAGAGCCGGCCTCGAGCGAACACGCTGCTTGCCTTTTCCCTTCTTTTTTTTCCCTCATATAGTATCGCTTGACGAAGTCCCCTCTCCTCGACTTTCGGTCAACCGCACCAGCTGCCTGCCTCCCACACAATACTCAACCATGGCGTCGAACGAGAGCACACCGAGGGTAGAGCTCTCCGATTCAGCAGTCACTCTTCCTTCGGACTCGGAGAACTACTCAGCCACTATCGAGCTGTCTCCCCCATCCGGGCCTGCTCCCGCTGCTCCTGTGACTCTTTACACGCCCCCATCCTACTGGCGGATAATACAGGGTGCCGCTATCAACCTCATCCTCCCTTTCGTCAACGGGCTCATGCTTGGATTTGGAGAGCTATTTGCACATGAGGCAGCCTTTAGACTAGGCTGGTCGAATACAAAAGTAGGCCAACAATCTAGCGTTCTCGTTCCCAATGTATCAACTAATGTCGTGATCTAGGTATTCCCTACCCATCGACGGACGCAGCAGCCCATCGGCGGCGGAATTGATCTCCGCGATATACCACAGCGCAGGCGGTAAAAGGGGCATAACTGAGGTACACAATCAAATAATGTCATGTTGAAGTAATAGACCATTTCTTTTTGCGCGCTTGATTGGCTGATGGAGGTGCTACCCAGGGCAAACACCACAGCCATCGATATACCACTTTTCCCTGTGTTTAACTAGTTCTATGTATGCGGTAATGACGTCCGTATTTCCATCTACCTAATGGAAGACTACCGTCAACCGAATGGCGTTAGGATAATGAACTGCTACCCTTCGATATTACGTCTTCATTCCATATTTTCAGCAGGAGGGAACTGCAATTGCTATAATTATCTTTCGCATCCATATTCAACCCCATCCAGCCGTATAAACGAGTCAGCAAGTAGTAGACAATGGTATTGAATTCCGCCTGCTGTAATTAAACTTTTAGCCGCAAATTAAACGCGGTCGGCAAACCTTCCTGAAATACACGCCAAACTTTTTTCCCTTCGAACTTCAACTTGAAAAATTTACCGAATCGCAAGCATATATCAATCAATATCACCGCCAAAACCGCATTTCCCGATATCCCGCTCTCAAGATGCTCTCTAGAGCTGGAATTAGGCACTTCCGTGCAATTACACAGTCTCCAATCTTCAGATCCTCACAATGGCAACGACAGGTAAAAAAAAAGCTCGGTGGAACGAAATTTTTTCTTACGCCATCTCCGAGTTCAACTGACCGTGTTCTAATAAAATAGTTTTCTTCCCTAAACCCAGCAAGGAATACCCAGCTTCGATCGAGCTCACTTTGTGGAAATGGCACTGCGCTAAGTGCCCTACGACTTTCCCGGAGGTCAGGGCCGATCAAAATCTCCCCCCGATTTGCATCCACCACAGCGACATCTTCCGTTATTACTTCTACCCCAAGTGAATCGGCAACCGCACCAGTAACTGGAGGCATCACACCTGGTTCTGATGCCCTTTCCGGTGGTAGCTTGGCCGATATAGACTTCTCACACATTCCAGAGAAGATTGGCTATCTTAAAGAACTTGGCTTAGACTACGGATGGGGTCCCTCCTCGATGGTCCAGTTTCTTCTGGAGACACTACATATAACAGGTGGTTTGCCATGGTGGACTGCAACTGTAGCTACAGCTGTGCTAATTCGAGTTGTACTATTCAACTCAATTGTATCCTCCGCCGAAGTTTCTACCAAACTTAAGGCTCTAAAACCGCGTACTACACCAATTCGAGAACGTATGATGCACTGTGTACGCGAAAACGACAATGTTGGAGCACTGAAGGCGAAGAACGAGCTTGCTTTATTGAATCAGGAACATGGAATAAAGCCCTGGAAGGCCTTTCTACCTCTTCTCCAGATACCACTTGGTTTTGGGTGCTTCAGAGTTCTTCGAGGAATGTCTACTCTCCCCGTTCCAGGATTGGATAACGAAAGTGTCCTATGGCTACAGAACGTGACTATGCCTGACCCTTACTTTGCCATTCCCATCGCAACTGGTGCTCTGATGTACGTAGCTTTCAGGGTAAGTGGCTTTCACCCCTTTTATCAAGCGTATAATCATGTGCTAATATTGTACTCGTTTCTAGCGTGGCGGCGATACCGGGTTGAGCAATCTAATGAACTCTAAATTAGGAAAGGTTGTGGTATATTCTTTTCCTTTTGTTACAGCGTTCACCATGGCATTCTGGCCTGGTATTCTACAACTCTACTTCCTCACGACCGGTGCCCTGTCTGTATGCCAGACCTATATAATGACCACCCCTCGGTTACGCAAATTGGTCGGCCTTGGACCTCTTCCTAAGAACCCCACCTCACAAGACTCATCCACGCCTGCTCCAAGCCGAATCCAAACCATTTCCAAACCAGTTACTTCACAGCCGACACCTGAGACACATATACCACCCCAAGATATCAGTGTCATTGACCGAGCCATGGATGGATTGAAATCTGCTTACAAAGATACCGTCAAAGATGTAAAGAATAAACTAGGAGAAATGACCGGTGAAAAGGAGGAAGCAGACCCGACTGGTCGTATGCCACGGCTTAATAAGAAGGAACTCGAAAATGCGAAGGCCTATGAAGAGCGGCGCAAGGCGGAGATCAGAGCTGAACGGGAGTTGAAGAATCAACAGCTTAGAGCCAGACATATGCGGAAACAGGGGCAAAAGGAGTAAATTACGGGACTTCGGTACGTAGGAGAAGTGATATGGGCGGAAATGTGATATTTGTTCCCCTTCTCCACCAATGTTTTTTATTTGCTGCTCTTTCATTTTTGCGTATGGGAGTTATCTGAGGTCTGGTTGACATTTCGAAAAGATCTACCTGATTTTTTCAGTGTATATTACGAGCTATATTTGTTATACTACTATCAAACTCTTTAAGAACTTAATAGAGATGTCCAGCCACTAGTGAAATGCTATTTAGCTAATTTGGACTCAGAAGCTTTCCAGAGCCAAATAGCGCTAGGATAGATAATGCAGAAAAAGCACACAGGTATCACATTCATTCCGTGTTCAAATGCTCCAGTGACCTAGAAAGAGAAGATAGTGCACCAGTTACAAAATCCGCCCAATAACTCCAATCCACTGAAGATTCCGATGAGGAGAACAACAATCCCAACCTTAGCATTAGAAAATAATACCGTTGCTAAGCTTCGTATAAAGCTCAGTGAAACTCAAAGTTGCCTTAACCAAAGAGTCTCCTCCCACCAGTTCCCCTGACACTCCATGAAAATGGCCCCTTTACACCAAATCCTTTCAAACTCAGGCCGGAAAACCCAACATTATCACCGTGTGCACTGAGTTTATATCGTCGCAATGCCTCACGAATATGTGACGGTAGAAGTGGCCCACGATGAGGGTTCGGTGGGAGCTTGATTGACTTCCTAGGGGCAAGCGTTGAGCTATCGAGAGAAGCCCCCTCCGTGGCAGCAGTACTCTGGGTTGTAACATGAGTATGAGAAGGCGTTGAAGCTGGTAGCGGCGCAGACTGGATGCCTTCCATCGCACTACTAGCAGGCCCGTTTTCAGATGACTCAGGTTTCACAGCCAACGTACCGGAACTATCCCCGTGGACTGGTTGTAATGAAGTCTGCGTGCTGTTATTTTCCTTCTCTTTATCTGCTTGTTCTTGCCGTTTGCGCTGGTGTGCTGCCTCTTCCGCTTCGGCGTCGGCAATGGCGCCTGCATCAAATGCCTCGGCCCACTCAGCTTGAATTGTCCTCGCCTTTTCGACAATTTCCCCAATAAATACTTTGGTATAACCTCCAATGGTGGTGACGACATTTGGGGGAACAGATTGAGATAATGTCTGATTCACAATCTTTCGAAGGGTAGATTTGTTCAGTTTAGTACGCTTGAAACAATCGTATCGAGACGACTGCTCGGGATTAAATGCATCCATCAAAATCCTAAGCCATTTTTTGTGTCAGTATGAATCTTCGAAATCGTCCTTAGGGGGTAAAATTCATTGAACATACGCAAGATTTTTCTTTTCGGCAGCCGCGTCAACGGCCGCGCCACCATCGATCTCGGGCTCCTCGATGTAATCATCATCATCATTATCTGCGTCCTCATCGCCTTGGTTTGTTCCATTTTTCACAGATGTACCTGTGTCCCCACGCCCACCGACAGAACCGTCAGCTCCGCCTTTTATACTCGCCGCACCGTCCTTGTCCTTTTTACTCTTTTTCTTCCTCCCCCTTCCACCAACCGTACTGCCACCAAGACTCCCAGCAAATGACCCTGTGAAGCTACCCGTTACGCTCACTTCGGCTTCCGATCTTGAGCTGGCCCCTGTGTAAACGCGCGGGTCACTATCGGCAGATATGGGGAATGACGTTTGCCGTAAAGGGTGCGTTCGCTGGCGCTTCAAGTTTGCAGGAGGGTTAGATGAGGCCGATGCAATAGACAATCGTTTTTTGGGATTTGCAGGTGCATGAGGCAAGCTTAGAGAGACCGAAGGCGGCGGTGAGAGCGACATATTGGGCACCTTCAACTTGACAGGGAGGATTGAGAAGTTGTTGTCGAAACTCGCGGGGGGAGAAAATGAGAGGTGAGCTGGAGGAAGGATGAAAATTAGGCGTGATGGAGGTCTAAGATGCTCCCTTATCTGGCCTTTCAAGCACAAACTGTGTGCTATCTTGATGATGCGCCAAAGGTGCTTGAAGCAACACAAGAAGACGGAAGAACAAACTCGGACGAGCTTGCGATATGACGAAGTGACAGAGAAGAAGGTTTGCCGATATGCTTAGTAATTATTTTAGTAATTAAGTTCTGACTAACATTTACGGGTAAATTATATTCCGGAGCAGGTACTTCCTGCCGTTTTTGGAGGTTCCATTGGAAAGTTTCTCTTTCCTGTTTCGAAATAAATAAATGGATAAATAAATAGAAGAAAGGGGAAAAAAAAGCGGGAAAAGAGTGAAGGATTTTGAAAATTCTCCATTATGTGAAGCAACGGGGCATAACTTCTGCGGCAAGCTGGGGATAGGTGGAGCATAAGAGTGTTTATTATTACTGTTTTGAGATGTTGTAAATCAATATCGCAATGCGTAATTAATACTATCTAGGCCGTATAATTATTTTTTATGCCTTATATGTGGCTAAAGCTTTGTCCAAAAATAAAAAAATAAAATGGTATTGATTGTTGAAAATGAACTAATTAAGTATTGTGGAGCGCGGAAAGAACCTTGATGGGGCGAACTTTCATAGTGCCAAGGTCCTTTAACACTCTAAACCTTGGAGTTGCCTATCTGCCATAATGTTAGTGGGATATAAGTATAGCGACGAACATATATACCTTCAGAATATAGACATACGGTGCATGACTCTATGGTGACGCCATTTGATTCGACGCTTTGCTGCCCTCGTGCGAGCCGTAAGTTTCTGGTATAGATTCCCCGCTCCTGGATGCTATTTGTGCCTAGTACAGTAGGATGTGGAAGGTCGATATCCGTATCCGTATATTTGCTGAACAAAACTGAGCAATCTCGAGTACTTCTAGCTTTATGGCCAGTTATGTAACTTATGAAAACGCAACCTTCCCTCGTTGTTCACCTTCGGCTAGGCCCGCGTAACTCATAGTAGACCATATTGGCATCCACCCGGGGGGCAGGCAGTAACCAAATTGGAAGTAGGCAGTCATGTTTAGCTGCAGCTATAAATGATAGGCTGGGGGAAGATAGCAGTGGAAGTGGGTATTCAAATTGATACTGGTTGATAAATACGCTGTCAGACCCAGCTGACTAGCATACTTAAGGCAAGAAGGTTCCCCGTTATTACATATATTGTTAATTACGGGTTAGCAGGGTATTGAGGTATCTATTTAACGCACGCAACTCACCAAATGGCGGAAGAGGTTGGTTTCAATTTATTTAACGCCAAATATTGTCATCCGTGCCTCTGAGGTAAACTAGTAAAGTTTTGATGCTTAACTATGAGGCTTATTATTGGTTGACTATGTCGCCTTTTGTGGGTCAGTATCCTAAAAATAGAAGTGAGGCTCAAGACAGTTCCACTAGCTACCTTGATTCTTATTATCGATACCAATTCCCCAAGTCCTTTTGAAGAAGTAGAGTCAATATAACTGACATCGTAAGCGATGAAAAATTCCATTAAACTGTTAGAGGAGACAACTAAAATAATACCTCTGCCGCAAATAGGATTGGCTACCCTTGATAAATCTCATACTTGGAATCGTACCGGAGAAGATACATGTAGCTCTCCCGATCAGGATGTTACGTCTCGTCAGGAATTAGTAAGTCAATCGTAGAAAACAGATTGAATAATTTTCGATGGACGAGGTTATTGTTACGTTGTGGGGAAAGATCCATTTTACTGGAAGTTTCAAGCATGTTGAAAAATAGTAAGCGTTGCAGTAGTTGCAGAGTTTCATTAGTACTAGGTCAAAAATGCAACCTACTTAGCCAACAAAAGTGTTAAAGACAGTAGAGAAAGTAAGCAGCGGTCCAGGGACCCAGGGAACAAACAACTCAATCAAAAATCGATGTGAGTGGAGTTGCAAGCACGAAAAGCAGATATACAAACGCAAAACAAAGAAAATAGGAAAAAGCCCGAAATAGTTAACAATAAAAGTAGCAAGTTAAGGGTAGTTCTCTCCGATACGCGGAGCGCCTCCTCGCCAGTCAAGACGCTCGTAGTAGCGGAAAACAAGGTCGTATCCGTCGAGCTCGTGGACGATACGGTCAACGCGGCGGTATCCAGGGATGCTCTCCATCTTGCCATGTCGACGAGAGGCAAGACGAGTGCTACGGCGCGCCTCAAACGACTGGCCAAGCTCCTCTGCGTTAGCCTTGGAGGATTTCGCCTCGAACAAGGTGACGGTGAAACGGCCTGGTTTGAATATGCCCACAGCCTGACTGACGATTTCAGCGGTGTCACGGCCAGTCTGCTCCTGAGGCACGGTGGTTTCAAACGATGCATAGGAGCAGTGGGGTTCAGGCGTGACATGGACGGTGAAATAGTTGGTGCCGGATTTACCGTCGTTGGAAGGGATGACACCGTTGGCTGAGAAGCCGCAAGGGGAGAACAGGTAGGCATCGATTCGGGAGCCCGGGTGCTTGTCGGCAGGATATACGTTTGATAGTCCGCAGGCCTCGCTGACAACGGTACCAAGAGCGTGACCTTCGCTCGAGAGCTCCGAGGGCATGGGAGAGCCCACGTCGCTGTTGTTGGAGGAAGTGTTGCTGAAAACGTCGACGAGGTCGTCGTTTTCTTCTTCTTGTTCAGATCGATAATGACTTTCTGCGACCGCACTCGCATGGTCGAGATAGAATTGCTTGGAATTCTTCTCGTCCAAGTCAGTCATCAAGATCTCCAATGTTTCATCACTCTCGCATTGCTTAGTTCCCCCGACACCCTTCTCGAGAGAACCGGGGAAGTTGATCTGTCTGGTTTCGGTCTCGTGGGCGGGTGACGCGGGCGGCGTCAAGCAAGTGTACGGCTCGGTGATGTACAAATACCAATGTTCACCGTTCATCTTGCCAATCATATAGGCACTCCCGCCCAGGAAGAGCTTGTCCATGGCTTTGACTTCATCTCTCCAGCTACGGTGAGGCCCGCGCTGGCGTTCGGGAAAGAGGAAGTTCTTACGGCTGTAAAAGACACGGTACGGAGCAGTTGCCGTGGTAATACCGCCGACCAATGGAGGGCTGGACTTGGGAAAACCAGCATAAAGAGCAGCAATTTCGAGAATGCGAGGAAGCCCATGCAGAAGGGTAGTGGTGCCACAGGTCTTGAGGATCAGCTTGTGAGGGAAGACGAACATGCTGGATTCGGACAAGAGGTATGCATCGACATCGTCAGACTCGACAATGGAAAGAACTTGGCAGTTGACGAGGTCGAGCATGCCTTTCCAGGTGTCCGCCGACACAGCCTTGAGTCCATTTGGAACCGGCGAGTTGGCGAGGTCATCAGGAGACGCAGTGAACCACACCTCAAGAAGCTTTTCAGGTCCTGTTGTTCCAGGCAGTTAGCAACGATAATTGTCGAATTCGGAGTTGGAAAAAAAAAAAAAAAAGAGTAGGCAAACTGACCTTCAAATGCATTGGTTGAGTCTAAATCCACAGTGGCTTCATGATTGATAGTCAAAGATGGTGCCACATACGAGGATGGAGATCCCGTATAGTGATTTGGAATTCCGGCGTAGACCATATCCGAGACTGGAATTCTTCCTTGATTATTTTTTTTTTTTAGTTCGATGAGACTGTTGACGGTGGTTCCGACTTTGACTACAATTATGCAGACGACTGTGGTGTGTTTGAGCTTGAGCTTGAGCTTGACCTAGCAAGACTTAGAAGCACAATCTGCCACCCAGACGAACAATGCGGTGTTCGCCTGAGAAGGAGAAGGCCCGAAATCCTGGGGGAGGTCTGGCCGCACACTGGCAGAGACTGTTCGCTCGATCAGAGATACAAAACACCGCTGGTTAACGGTGTTAGGGCGGGCGGGCGGAGAGGGGGAAGTAGAACGCTTTGAGTGCCGGAATGGTGATCAGATGTCGGTGACCCTCGAACTGACAGATGCCGATACCGGTGAAAGTATCGGGTCTAGCAGAGGAGGATGTCTGCTGTATGGATAGTTAAGTCTATTCCGGCGCAAAAAACGAGGTAAGACGGGGTGTCCGGTCGGTTGTTATTCTTCGTGGGTGATTGATTTCTTTTTCTTCTTCCAGTGGGGTTTTCTTGCTGTCGTTCTCGTTGGGGATGTTATCGAGGTCTGGCAGCGAAGGTCAGCACGATCTCTCGACGAGCACCACGGCGACATCGACAGACGGAAGATACTCACTTTGCTGGCTTGGATAGGAAGCGTAGCAGGTCCTTACGACTCATGGAGGGTTAAAAAATTGTCCTCTTCAGAGCTGCGTAGTGATGGGAGGCCCGTCAGTCAAAACATTGACACGGCGAGAACCGGGCGGCCAGTGAGCACTTGCAACCAACGGACAATGAGGCAGAGAGCGGTGAGCAGGAGACGACAGTGACGACAGTGACGAGCAGACGAGGATGAGACGCTGATGATAAAGAGCAGCAGAGACGGCGATGAAGACAGAGAGAAAGAAAGTTGTTTGCCCCTCGAGGAAGAATTTGTTCATGCGACAGCGGAAAGTTCCATTTTCGTGTGTTTCTGGGAAAAGCAAAAATACCAGCCCGGCGGATAACGTAATGACGCAGAAGCGCGAAGGAAGAAGCAAATATAAGGGGAACGCCGCAAGTTAGTGCGAGGGACGGCGACGAGGAAGAAGAAAAGAAAAGAATATAAGGCGATCGTGGAGCTTCGGATGAAGATTATTTTATTCTTGCGTGTTGGATACGGTTGAAAATATAGCTGCGTGATACTTGGTCAAATATCCTGCCTGGTGTCCCTTTTGCCCGGCCTGAGCCAAACTCCGCTGCGAAAAATAAAAAAAAGGGCTGGAAGAGACGAATAGAAGAGAAAGGGAAAACGGCCAGGTCCCCCGGTCCGTTGAAAAATACAAGAGATATTAAGAAGAGGGAAAAAAAAAAAAAAAAAAAGGAAGGGAAATAGCCGGAATATCGCTCACTGCTGCTTCTCGAGAATCGCCCTGGCGAGAGGCAGCTGGCCAGACTCGATGATGCGGGAGGCAATCAGCTCGCCGACCTTTGCAGCAAGCTCCTTGCCTAGCGCCTCTGCCGCAGCGTCCGAGAAGCCGTTTGTGTGGGCGAGAGACTCGTCCTGGATCGTCGAGAGCACGGCAATGATCACCCCCGTCACTTTCTCTGCCTCTGCTTTCCGAAGGCCCTCGTCCGTCACCGCGTCCTTCAGCACGACTTCGTACACGGGCAGGTTAGGGATAATCAGCTCGCGAATGACGTTTGGGCCGCCAATGGATTGGAGCCCAATTATGGCACCGTAGTGGGCACCGAAAGTCTGACCAGGGTCCAGGAAGGTCTTCAGGAACGTTCGTGCCAGACGGGGCTTGAGAGTGTGTGAAGACTGCGAGTACTTTTTCGCTATCATCCCCACCAGAGACGACGAGAGGTCTCGTAGTGCAAAGTGTTCTACTGCGTCGTTACTGCTACCGAGCTGGCGGCCTATAAGACATGTCAACACCGGTGGAATCAACGGTGCAACCTACAAACGCCACTTTGTCAGCCTGTCAATTTTTTTTTTTTTTTTTTTTTACCTCGCTTGCCCTGTTTTCCTTGAACTAGGCGCAAAACTCACGTAAGGATCAATGTATAATGTCGGATTCCGTATCAGGGCTTCGATCATATGCATCACCTGTGTTAGGACAAAGATGTCCTTGATATTATGCGTAACTTTCTCCGATATAAACTGCACAAAGTACGGAACCAGTTGGTGCAAGCCTGGGTCCTCCTTCAAGCTTGAAAACGCAGAGTTGCGGAACTCCTCGTTTGACTCGTCCAGGAATGCATTGCACACCCGCTCAAAGTAAAGCTGTAGCTCGTTCGACAGTATATGTTTAACTAACGGCTTGACGTTAACGTTCTCGTTGCCGCTCATAGCAGCCAGGTTGGCGTTCGCATTCGGGCCCTTGGATACTAGCTCGAGGTGCCGTGTGTCCGCTGCCGTAGGGTTCTGCGGTATCGTAGGCTGTACGCCTTCAACAGCTAGCCAGTGCGCTACTCCATCGTTAGTACATACGTAGCAATCCATGTTAGAGCCAGCCCAGCAGCATGCATACCGGTAAAAGATATCTCCCTGGGCACTTTTGGAAGGGGCGCATTAATCAACTTCTCAAAATCAACCTCGTCGTCTTCAACGTAAAACAGCGGCTGGCCGGGACCTATCGTTGCCTCGCCAAACCGCAGCGGGCGCGCGGACTCATAGCCATATAGTGGCTCGACGTCCAGTACTCGCAGCGCATTCGATACGTCCTGTGTCGTGAGCAGAGTTCGCTTGCCGTGCCTCATAAACTTAAGAGCTTCCTCCAGCACTTGTGAAATGCGATATTCGACGTCGCGGGATAGGTTCTCGACTACATCATCGTTCAGCGAGTTTATACCGACGGATTCGGCGACATCGCGGATGTTATCTGGGTTCCAGAGCGACATTGTGGGAGCTTGGAGTTGCGCAAGGCGGCGGCTGAGCTTGATGGTGTTGGTTAGCGTTTGGTGTATGTGTTGCTTGCTGGGTTGTGTTAAGATGGGAGTGAAGTCGCAGGTGAGAAATGCTGCATCTTCCGCCGTGAGGTCAAGGCAGCGGTAGAAGTGTCCGATCAATTCAGCACAAGTTCATCGTCGTCTTATTCTTGCGCCGACTGTCTCGTCCTGTTCATTATCGATATTCCAATATCTTTTCGATGCGCAAAAGTTGGAGCTGGAAGAAGAAGCGCGGCAAGTAGCGCTTATGGCGGCTGGCGCTTGTCGCTTATAGACTTTGTTTTTCTATCTACTTGCCTTGCAACAATTAGAATATAAATACACAAGGCGATGACGCCTAGAGATCAAATATAAAGAAGAGACAGTTTATTTTATTACTACCTAGTGTAAAAACAAGGAGTTGAACCCGTAGAGATTTTAACACGACTGAAGGACATCCTATGGTATCTAATAAGCCAGGCGCTCTGAAACGGAAAAGAAATCAACAAATAGCAAACTACCAACCAACACCAAGCCCCCGGCATGTCGTCGTTCCGTCCGCACCTACTTCGTGGCTGTCGTACGACAAGGTGTGTGAAAGTCCAGTTCGCATTGCTGAAAAGTTGTATTAGGAGTCTTGTCTTTTTTTTTTTTTTAGGCTTTGATTTTTAGTTTTAATAAGGGAAAAGGGAAGAAAGTGAGTGTCATGTTCCGCATGATAGCGAGTCTGACGGGTATTAGAATAGGATAGGAAATTACCACCCAAGGGGTATCGGGTGTTGTTTGTTGTTTAGTTGGCCGGGGCAGCGGCTGGGGCGGGGCCTGGGGCAGTCTCTTCTGCGACCTTGGGAGTTCCATTGGCCTCACCAGCTGGCTTATCGGTAGCTTCAGAAATGGTTTTCTCAGGCACAGGAGCAGTAGAAGTCTCGGTCTTGGCCTCCTCTTGTTTGGTCTCAGGAGCTTCCTTTGCCTTTGGCTCTTCAGCTTTGGTTTCGGCCTTGGTCTCAGCCCCAGTTTCGGTCTTTGGCTCGGTCTTATTCTCATTCTCGACCTTAGCCTCCTGCTCCTGGGAAATGTCGTCGATGAGAGCAACAGTCATGCTGCTTTCAGTCAACTCAGCGCTCTTCCCACCATATGACTTGGGGAACTCGGCACCAGCTTCACCAAACTCACGCGCCAGGGCAGAGCCATTGGTGATAGGGTGGAATTTGCGAATGGTGTTCTTACTCAGGAAGACCTTGAGAGCAGTGAAGACCCATCCCATGACGGTAGGGACGTTGACGAAGAACTTCTCGCGCAGGAGCTCTGGGTAGGCCATGCTGAAGACGGTGATAGTCTCGCGGGAGGCATTGCGGATGGTTGGGCTCATGCGGAGGAAGCTGACGTTCTGGTAGTCATGGACTTGGAACATCTGGTAGGGGTCTTCGCCAATGATTGGGATGACGGTCTTTGCCTTATCCAGGTTCAATTCGTGGATGGCGAGCTCCATGAGGGCAACGCGCCATTTAATAAACCTATACTTGTTAGCCATATATATACCTTCAACAAAAGATACACGGTTATACGGAGGTATATCTTACCCTTTAAGATCGCCAAAGGTCTCGTCAATGTTCTTGACGGCACCGTAGATGTTCCATGTGAAGACGGACTTGGCCTCGCCAACGCCATACGTGGTGATGAAGCCCAAGTTCTTGAACTTCTTAGCCGAGAACTTCATGTCCTTGACAATCTCGAGGGGCTTCATCTCCTTGCGCCACTCCAAGGCCTTGGTAAGCTGCTCTTCTGCCGCCTTCACATTGCCCTCGTTGGCACGAAGGAACTTGATCATGATATTGACGGTTGGAATGTCCTCTACGTCCTTCAAGGTCACTCCCCACATCTCATTGTGCCCCGTTGCCTTGAGGATGGCCGGCAATCGGTCGAAGAACTGGGCGAGCCCGGCATGTTTCGTCAGGTACTCTGGACGGTTATCCGCCGGCGCAGGCTCCTCGGCCTTGCCCTGCGCTGTAGCAGTTCCAGAAGCTTCAGTCTTGACCTGCTCGGCAGGCTCAGCGTCCTTTTTGTCTTCGGCGGGCTTCGAGGGAGTTTGTTCGGCGTCCTTCTTCTCCCTGACCAGCTTCTCGTCGGCTTTCTCGACTGCTTTCTCGACCTTCTCGGCCTCAACGGCTGCGGCAGCTTCAGTCTGAGCGACAGGCTGCTCGACCTTCTCCTGAGTTTTGTCCATTGTATCGGTGACAGAGTCTCGCGCTCACTTCCCTGGGTCAACCTGTCATCTCATTGTCAGCTTCTTGCTCTCTCTTTCTTTCTTTCTCTCTCTCTCTCTATCTCTCTATCTCTCTCTGTTGTTCCTCCTGCTGCTTGATAGTTCCTAACCTACCTAGGGAGACAAAAAAATAAAGTCACGTTTTTCCAGCTATCAACAACTTGATCAGCCCACCAGCTTGTCTAGCCAGAATACAAAAAAGGATACTGAAGATGGAGGAGAGAAGAAGCAAGAAGGAAATGTTTTTCTTCTAGTCTTTTCTATATATTTATGCAAGTGGAAAAAAAAACTGTCGCTTCGTCAGCGAGCAGAAGCAGCCATGCGGCAGTCAGTGCAATAATAATAGCAAGATCTTTGTTGTTATTAGCATAGCAGAGAGCACAAGCAGTTGGGCTATATATTATTATTATTACTGCTGGCGCTGCTGCTGCTGCTGCTGCTGCTGGCGCTTCTGCATGTCCTGTAAGTATCCTCCAGCAGGCTAGCCCTGAGACACCCAGGCCATTCCTGCACACTGAGAGAGAGGGAGAGAGATAATCTTAGCAGCAGCGACACTAGGGAGACCAGGGGGCAGCCTTGTTTTGTATCACAAGAGATTGCATACCTGGCTGGAAGTCCAGGTTTTTTATTACCAGCCGGAAAGAGGTTTCCGCTTGGTGAGCAGGCTAGGAGGGGCATGGCAGAGATGTACTTAGAGATAGGTAGCTAGCTAATTAAATTATCCGCTAGCTGCAGCTGCTGCTGGTTGATGGTGCTGTTTATAGTTAACTTGGTAGCAAATGTTACCTGGTGGCTGCAACGGTGATAATGAAGCGAACAAGGGCTAGGCCTTGGTAAGATTAAATATGGAGCAGAAACCCGTTCAAATCTTACCTGGAAGACCTTCGGCCTGTGCATGTGCCTGTGCATGTGCTTCGACTAACTAATGACCGGTATGGAGAGTATTGTTCCTGGTAATCCGGATGGTGTGCTGCAACGGAATTAGCATCAGCATGGGGCGGGAATTGCGATTTGGTATACAAGGACTATGCAAGCTAGGTACATCAAAACTCGGGGATTAAAAAAAAAAAAAAAAAAAGGAGGAAAGATGTGTGAAGACATGCTAAGTAACCGTATGAAATGCAAGCGGGTTCATCAAAGGGGTTAAGAGGCTGTACATCGGTGAGAAGGGTGCATGCAAGATGCCGTCCTGTTAGTGCGACTGCTTTGCGTACTGTTCGGGAATCTTAGGGACAGCCGGAGGCTGTCTTGGAGCACTCGCAGATGCCTCGTCCTCGTCCTCGTCCTCGTCTTCATCAACATCTATCTTCTCAGGATGTCTTCTCGGAAGTCAGCATCTTTCTTCAAAAAACAGTTGGCGGCATTTACATCGACGTAAACTCACCCAAGTAGATTTTTGATATTGCCCATCTCATAATGTTTCTTCCGCTTCTCTTCAAAATCATGATGCTTCTGCGCCTCCTCCTGCGTGGGATCATGCTCATCCTTGTCGTCCCCTCCAACGACGACTCGTTTCTTGCTCCCCGTGCTTCCAAAGCTCAGACTTCGTTCTCGCACGATCCGACCCGCCTCGCTCGCCCTGACGTCCTTCCACGTATCTTCCTCCGGGTCTCCAAGCTCGAGATCGGGTATGTCGTCCGCCCTTGACTTGCTCTTGCTCTTGCTCTTGCTCTTGGCCTTGGTCATATCTAGTTCATCCACCACCACTCCTTCAACATGAAACCCGACGTCGTCTTCTCCGAGGTCCATGTCGTCATCCTCTTCGTTGTAGTCGTAGTGCGGCACATACGGTGTCTTGGGCTCATCGATCTTCATGGTCGAAGTCCGCTCTTGTTCGGTGAGGTAGAGGTTCGCCTCGTCCCATTTCAGCCGGGGTGAGTTCTCCGTCGCCTCGTCGCCGTTCGAGGCTTTGGAACTGGTGGATTTGCGATGGGAAGAGGCACGAGCTCGCTGCTTGATGCCGACCCCGGCATTTTGCATTGTGTTTTGCATTGTCAGTTCCTTATTCTCGAGCGGCGATAGTGACATTAGCGATGGGTCTGCGCTCGGTGTGACGGTAGATATGGACACCGGAGACTTGAGGATACCTGGGGCAGGTTCGCTTGTTAAACAGGTCGTCTACAAGATGATGATAGCCATAACATCCAGATAGTTGTTGCATACCCTTTGGCCGTGGTGCCGTCTCATTCTCGTGATGGGCGGCCGCCGACGTCTGCTCCTGCATTGTAGACATTTTTTTTATATAGTAGTTATATATTCGGGCGTCTGCCAAACAGGTCAGTTCATGTCATGCCAGCCATCTCTTCTATCTCAACATATCATTCTCACCTTCAACGACGAGTTCTCTGTGTCGAGGCGAATTGAGGTTCGACTGGTTGGAGGGGTCTGTCTCGTTGACTCTAGTTAGATATTCTTCCTGCGGGGAACAAGCATTTGGGCGCAAAGTGGCTGTCTCGTAACTAGTTAAGTCACGGCGACCAAGCGGCCGGATGTACGCTCTTTATAACGACCGACAAAGTCCGAGAGGAAATGAGGCCGTCAACTATCAGCTTGACTGCTAGCTCTCGTTCTCTTCACGTTCGGACTTTTTCGAGCATCGCAAACCGACTCCAGTGTTTATTCTGTCCGCCTCACGTGAAATATGACGTAACTAGATTTGTTCCTGATGCGGTCACGCAAAAGGGGCTTCTTAGCTGCAGCACATGAAGCTGATCATGCCCGTACAGTCAGTTATAAATAGCCAGCTATAGCGCTGTTCTCCTATAGGAGATAATACAGGGGACCCGCGAAAGAGAGAAGCGTGGATGTATCCGTAGTAGTTGTCTGCAGGCCTGCCGTCACCGGGCATGGTCAAGTAACAAGGTGGACATAGATATATAGATAGCCCCGTACCATATCATCTGCTGCTAGTAACATACAAAGCTGAGGAGGAGGATATAGAGAGCAAACAGAGAAGGGACAAGAATAACTGCCGTACGCTGAAATGCAACAGACAGACACCTTTTTTTTTTTAAAAAAAAAAAGCATGGGCACCAAGCAAACTGGATAGCAGGCGGGGGGATATAGGCTATAAAAAAACGAGCCAAGGAATGCAGACACGAATATATAGCAAGATCTGAGCCTCCCAGGACTAAAGAAAATCAAAAAGGTACTTGAAACAGTTGAAGTGAAAAAAAAAGAAAAGAAAAGAAAAGAAAAAAAATTAAAAAAGAACGAAGGTCGAGGGAACGATTGGCACAATAACTCGAGGGCTGGTATATGTTTGGTCTTTTCTCAAACTGGCAGGCCATATAGCAAGAGAGGTAGGCTCTTTGAAGATGGCTAGTAACGAACATTGTGGAAAGGGAGCAAGGAAAAGAAGAGAAAGGAAGAGCAGCTGAGGTTTTCAAAACGGCCATGCACTGCATGTAAAGTTAAAGGGTAATTAGAAAGACACATATGGTGAATCTTTAATAAGAACAAAAGAAGCATAGAAACAAAGTCAAGGAATGCAAATAAAGAACAGCAGCTGAAAAAAAGCTGGTATAGAACAGATGGGAGGGATATTTTTTTTTCTTTTCTTTCTCGAAAGCACAATAACACAAGCCCTTTTCCCAAGATTGCTGGATAAATAGGTCGTAAATCATTCATATCAAGAGATAGATTCAAACTCCTGCCGTTCCTTGAGCCAGTTCTTGGCCAGTTCATCGCCTCCAGCGGCCGATAGCTGCATCCAGTGCAGAGCTAGGCACATATTCTGGGGGTCAGACTTGGAATCTTGGTCTCGTCGGTACATCACCTCGGCTTTGAAAGTGTCCCCGGGCTTAGTGAGAGGGAGTGTAACGGGGCGGAGGAGGTGTGGGTGAGTAAGGTACAGGATTGCCAGCTCTCGCTGAGCAACAGGGTTGCCTTCCCGGGCAGTGACAATCCACATGTTCGCTGCGTCTTTGATCCCGTTACCAACTTTGGGGGAGAAGTCGTACGAGATCGGATGTGAGTGCCGGTGCCGTTGAGCAAGTTCATCACACACAATCTTGTCTGCGATTTCAATCATGCTGTTGCAGACGTCGTCCTTGAGCTTGAGGGCGGCAAGACTGAACTGCAGGAAAGCGGTACCGCTTTCGGTTTTGTTGAGGATGTCGGATGGAACGAAGGAAGAGATGAACTGCAAGTCTCGGAAGAGGGTTCGAGGCTGATACTTCTGGATCAGATCTCGCAGTGTGTTTGTAATTTGTGTCTCATTCATCGCTGCATCTATCGAGAGGCCTGAAGGAGCTTCAGCAGGGCTAAGGCCAGGCGATGAGGGTGTGGGAGTCTGGTCATCGCTGGACTTGCGTCGCTGCTGACAGGTCTGTAAGCTGTTACGTCTGTAGATTCCATCCATCGAGTGGCGTAATCGCGCTTCACTCAGCAAAGGGGTGTCTCTGCTACTGTTTAAAGATGTCGCTACTAGAGTCCACATCTCATGCAGTGCTTCCAGCTTCACGTACGGATTGGCTGGACGGGAGAACTTGTCCATTAGCTGCTCAAATGCCTCCTCGTATCCGAAGCTGTAGTCGCCATCCACTTCTCCCCTGATGATACTTTTCTCCTTGGATTCCTGGGTTGAATGCCCCTTGCATCCCAGAGACGGTGTAGAACGACTTCGACGAAGTCTTCCACCAGTAACGTCACGGTCGCAAATTTGTTCCATCAGTGAAGTTGAGCATTGCGATAGGAACCTGTCAAGCCGTGTACGTTTCTCCATCTGGCTCTGTACTCGAGGTTGATTCAAGTATGCAGAGAACCAGGCGTCGGTTTCCGATCCGCAGCTCCAAACGGGACAGCCGAGATCGCTTAGCAGTAGGCTGGTTAAATTTCGCTTGAGGCCATCAAGGAAAGTATGCTTGCCATGAGAGCTATGTTCGGTACGCCTGTAAGGCATATTATCGCTGAACATAGACGGAGGTCGAGACCGAGGGCGGCAAGTCGACCCATCTCATTTGTGCCCCTGTATTTGACGTCCACCCGACATGATAATCTGCTGATTGATGACAGCCATATTACACGCTCGGTCCTAAGCAGCATCGTGACCACTACTTTAAGGCGGTGGAGAGAACCGAACATAATGCACGCCATAGTTAAACTACGGAGTAGAGCGTCTTTGGCTTCTCTCTGTCCGGGTTGGGTTGGTCCCTGGAATTCTGGTTCTCCAATGTCCACGGCGTTCTGCCCGATGAAAATGGCAGAAGCACACACCAGTTGGTCAAGACAAAAAAAGACCAATTGGATGTATGGAAGTATCAAGTACTTTCGTGCTTCTCGGAACGTGGTCGGTGCCCTTGTGCTTCGATCGGTTGAAGATCTGATGATCCGATCTTTTGTCCTCCTTGTTCTCTTTCTTTTCTTTTTCCATCCTTTTTCCTTTTTTGGTCTTTCTCTTGGTTTACAATCCAGATGCAAGTCGGATCCTTGGTCCAGAAGTCTAACCCCCCCATTGCTTCGAGCACTCCCCGTCTCTTACGGGGTACATTCATCATTTGACGTTTAGTCCGAGCTATTTAGCCTTTGTAGTGAGTGGCATGCAGAGGTACTTTTTGGTACGACAGAGGATTCCTTGGAAGAAATTGCTGTTTTGTTTGAACTTTGCTGTACTCGTATGTACTGTTGGCGTGACGCACGGTGAAGCAGGGTCTTATAGTGCGGTATTGAGATGCAGGAACGGAAGTGGATTTAGTACTGTTTTTTTGGGTGGATGGAAGAAAGCCATGCTGATTCGCATAGAGAGAAAGAGAGCAGAGAAGGCTGATGACAATAATGCTGTTGTCCGTTCGCCTAGAGCTGCTGGCTGGCCTATCATCTGCGAGGCATGGAGATGAAGCAATAGGGACTGAACGGCATCCTGTCCTCCTTCTCCAGCCCTCCAACCCATCCCCGTACCACCCACGACGTCTAGAGAAACCAAGAAGTAAAAAACAAGAGAGGAAGGGGGGGTAGTTTGAAGCCACAGCTCCAGGTTCTCGGTAACTAATTTGCCACACCAGATGAGGCCCTTTGGGTTAGTTAGTATATGTGTCAATGTAGAATCGGCTCTGCGAGCAAGGGAGGTTGATTGATCACCGGGACTGGAGATTGGAAGCAGTCACCGCAAACGTCCTGCAGCGCTGTTGAGCAGCAACTGGCGGTCGGCTCCAGAGACCAAGAGTGTACAGCCCAATGCAGCCCCCAAATTCGAGTCGTCTCGGCCAGCGGGCTTCCAGGTTGTATGCACAGGAGATCCCCTCGCCAGCGTCGCTGGACGTTGGCCGTCTTCTCGTACTCCGTTGGCGGCGTTTTGTCCCTTTGGGCTGCAGGCCTATCAGCGCCGCCGGTGGCTGTGGCTGTGCACACCCACACACCAGCCACATATCAAAACTCTCTGTCCGCGAGCGAGGGCAAGGTCGCTTCCTCCTCCCCTTCTCCCCCGCCGAAACCAACCAACCAAGGGGCTGCCGTTGTCGCCCTTGCGTCTTGTCTGTCTGAAAACAGGGCGCGCGCGCAAGAGGGAGGCAGAAAAGGCCGAGAAGAGGCCGAAAGTGAGGCGGGTTGTCCAAACTAGCATCTTTGCGGCTCGTTAGTTACGCTGCAGGGTTTTGTGGCTTGTTAGATTCTTCTCGCTCTCTCTTACTCTGCAGCTGCAGCTGGCTGTGGCTTGCCTCGTCCGTGTGGCTTGCTCGTCATCTGGCGAAATATACAATATCAGAAAATCCAAGATATCAGAAAAACAACCTGCGCAACGCAAGCAACCCGAGGACCACCGTCTCCGCCATTTCCACCTTTCGCAAGCTTCTCTCTCCCCCCCCCTTACTCCAATCGATTCGGTCCTTGTTTTATTTTTCCTCCGCCCCCCATTTAGAGTATTTCTTTGTGATATGTCCGATCAACTCTCGTCTTCTGATATCGCCACTCTATCCGGTCAGTCTGCCCTGTTGAAGGAGGTCAAGCCGCAGGAACAGCATAACGTGTAGCAGGACAGACCCTGTCGACGTTAGGAGTGGTTAGTTGCTTCAAGTTAACTCCCTTGCTCCGATTACCTTGATCCTGTGTACGTCTCACCGCTCCAATAAAGCCGAGAATGGGGGAATATGAATATGAGTATGACTGCACAGACACTTGCGAGTGACATGTCTTCGTGTTCGTGGTGCCTTGTTGACGTTGGTCTGTTGACCTGTTGATCCCTCGCCGGGAGAGTTGGCGAGACTGGTTACGTTTGGTCCAGATCCCGGAAGCGTTTGATGACGGCCTTAATTGTCCTTAGACCAGTTATTTCAGCCGCCAGTGGCAAAGAATAGGAACTCGGATACTGCGTCCGTACCGCAGAGAACCCTCCGGTGGAATGCTTTCAAGCCGTCTGTTTCCATTGTGTTCTCGAGGGAGTCTGTATGCGCGTCCTGTTGCCACTTTCTGGTATTGACCTGCTACGTTATTATTCTCTGCTCCATGGCCGTTCATCCTGGACTCAATTAACGTGGCACTCATCCGCCGGATTCTGCGCTTCCAATATGATCGATCCCTCCTTCCCTTTACCCACCGGAGTGGTGCTAGGCACATGTTTCCAATAAGGCCATAACATCCTCGGCACGTTTTGAAGACGTGGCAATCTCTTTTCACTTCTATTGAGTGGCATGAGCTATGTGTTGGTCATCACCTAGAGTAAAACGAGCAAATACGCTGTTTGGTCAATACCCTGGTCATCACTGTAGCTTCTGCTATTGAAAGGTTTGACGCAGTGACAGCTCAACAATACCAGATTAAAGCTAGAAGTTGCGGTGTATATCTGGCCAAAACACTCGCAGCTCTGGTCAGTTTATTTCAAGATGGATGAACTCTAGTTATAGACCGCCTTTGATGTTTGCCTTCACACTGCATCTCCTGCAGAGTGTGTCGTCGACATTTGCATTAACCTTGAGTATCACCATACTCACCATTATCTCTTGAAATATGGAATCATTTTGGAGTATATATCTTACCATTGAAAGCATTGAAGGTAAAAAAATATACATCCGCTTATGCTGACGTGTGTATTTCAGGATTGACAGTTGAGATATTGATGTCCATGGCCAGATTATTGGATATAGCTTCTTTTTCATGCAGACATCCCGACTGCTAGCTGCATGTTTCGGTCGAGGAGAGACAATGGCCAATCATCTACCATTACACCACGAGGCATTTCCTTCGCCCTTTATTGACCAACTTGTAGAATGTAGCCCTTGGGGGGAGCAAAAATGCGCTTTAACTTGCCGATTTCTACTCAACAAAGACTTGCGATATCACATTCTTTTCTCTTCAATAGACACGAACCCTACTAATATATAGGTAAGGAGATCTATTGGATCCTGCCCAAGTCCATGCACAGTATTCAAAGAAAGGCACTTTTTCAGCCGGTGTATACAAGCATACATGACCGTGCTAGACGGCCCCAGTAATGCATTAATGAATTGGGCGATAAGGGGGTATCTCAGCCGTAACATTCAAGCTCCCGTCCTTTTACTAGGCTGGATAGTTAGTTATCAGCCCGGCCGAACTCTAGCGCCAAAAGCTGCAGTCGTTATTACAGCCTTATTGTCCATCACAGCTATTTGATATGAGTGAATGAGTCGATATTGCCTATCTGCCATGGTTACATGTGGGTTCTTGCTTCTAGGAACAGAGCTCTAATGCTAGATGATTATTCCCTATCATAGAACCTGGGGAATTGTCTGGTTAGCCAATCAATATTAACTCATTAAACGTCGCTTCTCGGAGCACAAAGGGCGCCGCTAAGTTACCAACGCAACTAGCGGGAGGCGTCTACCGAATAGCCATCTGCCTGTTGGTCAACTTGTAAACAATGGAGGCGCCGGTGAACCGGCGGCAGGTATATGCGCATATATATCCATATTATGTGAGGCATATACAGTAGCAGGCACGGAGAGCGCTGAGGGTTCGTGAGCTATCTATTGATGGACGATCCCATCCAGCCAGCCGAAAGATAAGCAAGCCGGCCGGCTAGCTAGCCGACTAACTATACTCCATATTAACATTAACTTAGGTAGCCAGAGTGACACCTAGATAAGAGAAGAAAGAGGACCGTATTCGCTATCTCCGTTATCGGATAGGTATCTGTCGTCGGCTGTCCCTTATCTCTTCTTCTCCCTAAATGGCGGTCGACTTTCATATGCTGGCTGCTCGGCTCGGCAGACTCCATAGGGCCGCTCCTTTATCTCCTTTTGGCACTATCTCGCATGAACAGCGCAGACGGCTTGGGTGACCGAATCTCTGAGCGAATAGAAGGTTTGGGGGCAAGCGTTAATCTCCGACCTTGGCTTGCGTGGGATTCGCGGTGCAAGATATTCCGTTGATAGCGTGCAAGCGTAGAGAGTGAATAATTGAGATAGATAATGGAGAAGCGGAGAGTGAATAATTGGCTATCGGCAGAGGTGTTGCGGCACCGTTTTTGCGAATTGGCGTTTCTGGGGATGGGAGATCCCGACTGTTATCTCTAGTTATCTCTACAATGTTGGCTGAACCGGGAAATTGTCTTGAGCCTCCATCCAAGCTCATGAGTCGGGCTGGGTTTATTAAGCTATTAACCTTTCCCTCGTCCTTCATCGTCATCCTCATATTTTCTTCCTACCTGCTCCTATCTTGTTCTTTGCTCCGTCTCAAATTCTCCGGCTGCTGGCCTCTTGAATCCTTGTTATCTTTATCAAGCTCATAGCTACCGACACATCGACAACCACACCCACTTAGGGATCACAGGGTTTCCTGTTCAGCGTTAACATAAACAGAGGTAGAGAGGTTATCTTGATAAGGAATAAACATGTCCAACTTGCCCATGGAGCCGGAGTTCGAGCAGGCCTATAAAGGTTAGTACTGATACGATGACGTACCTTGAGTCGATCTCGGTGAGAAATAGTTGAAGCCAGGACCCTAACAAGGTGACATATATAGAGCTCGCTTGGACACTTGAGAACTCGAGCATCTTCCAGAAACACCCGGAATACCGGAAGGCACTGCTCGTTGCCTCCATCCCGGAGCGAATAATCCAGTTCCGTGTCACATGGGAGGATGACAAGGGCGAAGTAGGCTGATTCCAATTCATATGCGTAAGGTAGATGAAGGTGCTGACAAGCTGGTGCTATAGCTGCAGGTCAACCGGGGCTACCGGGTGCAGTTCAACTCAGCCCTGGGTCCGTACAAGGGTGGTCTGCGATTCCATCCAACAGGTGAGACGCCATCCCACCTTGTTCTTACCTGGGAAGAATAATAAGCTAACATTGGCTGGTGCAGTTAACTTGTCCATCTTGAAGTTCCTGGGCTTTGAGCAGATCTTCAAGAATGCTCTCACAGGCCGTACGTATCCTCTTCAATGATATTGTTTCTAACAGCTATCGAGAGTGGCCGGGCTAATCTAATAGCTGTATGGTAGTGAACATGGGTGGTGGTAAAGGAGGCGCCGATTTCGATCCAAAGGGGAAATCTGACAACGAGATTCGGAAGTTCTGCAGCGCATTCATGATGGAGCTAAGCAAGCATATTGGCGCGGATGTCGATGTGCCGGCTGGTGACATCGGAGTTGGTAGTCGAGAGATCGGGTTCCTCTTTGGCGCTTACAAAAGGCAGAGGCATATCTGGGAAGGAGTGCTGACCGGAAAGGGAAACAGCTGGGGTGGAAGTTTGATCCGACCCGAGGCAACGGGCTACGGCCTTGTCTATGTGAGTCTCCTGACCTAGATGATTTTGTGCGATGACGCATGGTTGCTAACAAGGCAATGCTGCTGTATAGTATGTCCAACACATGATCAAGCACGCCACGAATGGCTTGGAGAGCTTCGCAGGCAAGCGGGTAGCTATATCTGGATCAGGGAACGTGGCTCAATATGCCGCTCTCAAGGTGATCGAGTTTGGCGGCATTGTCGTATCTCTCAGTGACAGCAAGGGCAGCTTCATTGTCCGGGGCGGCAAGGACTCCTCCATAACCCCCGAGGAGATCCGCTTGATCATGGCACTCAAGGATGAGAGGAAGCCGCTATCCGGCATTGCGAGCCATAAAGCCTTCGCCAGCAGGTGTGAATATATCGAGGGTGCAAGACCATGGGTTCACGTTGGCAAAGTGGATGTTGTGCTTCCATGTGCAACTCAGAACGAAGTCTCAGGTGAAGAGGCCAAAGTACTTGTGGCTAACGGCGCACGCTTTGTCGCCGAAGGTTCCAACATGGGCTGCACGTTGGACGCCATTGAACTCTTCGAGGCGCACAGAAATGAACATAAGCGTGACCAGGGCGCAGTGTGGTACGCGCCTGGAAAAGCAGCAAATGCGGGAGGAGTTGCAGTCAGTGGGTTGGAGATGGCTCAAAACTCCCAGAGACTGACGTGGAGTGCAGAGGAAGTGGACGGGAAGTTGCAGGCTATCATGAAGGAATGCTTTGAGACTGGACTGAGGACGGCGAATGAGTACACGGAGGTAGAGGATGACAAACTGCCGTCTCTTGTGGCAGGAAGCAACATTGCAGGTTTCATCAAGGTATCTGAAGCCATGCGAGACCATGGTGATTGGTTCTGAACAAAAGAAAGAGGCCTTCCTTCCTGCTACTCTTCTTTTTCTGAAAACTTTCGGCGGTTTTTGTTGGCGTTCTGGTGCCATTATCCTGATCATTTTCCGTTCTTACACTGTGGTTCCTTCGTCTCGGGCTGGGTATTTGACATGGCAGATACCTTGATTTTTCTTGTATGCACCGAATGGACATATCATGGCGTGGGACTCAAAATGTCATATTTTCCTTGCCCGAGCGCAACACACCCAAGATTGCACATGTACGACATTCCATTTTTTCCATCGAGGCACCAAATCTTATTTCCATTGCTTTTTTTTTTTAATGTTTATTTTCTTTCCTGTTTCTTTAGCGTATGATGTTCAAGTGACAATTGGTGACATGTTCTATTTTTGAGCCCAAGTTTTCTTCTTTTCTCTCTCGTTTGGCGGAGACTTGCAGGGCATTTTTCTTAATAGGGCGCGTGTTGGAATCCCACAACTGGTGCTCTCCGTAACCATGCATGAGATAAACGAGCGTGCATGGGAAGACTTGATGGGCTGTAATAAAAGTAAGTATCATCATGACCGTATATATACCGGCAGTCGCAGTCTGCGCTCGCTCCGAGATACGAAAGCGTAAAAATTACGCGCTGGATGGCGAGGGCCAGCACCTTGGAAGAGACCAGCCGGCTCAGCCTTGGACATGGGTTTGCGTGGATTTCTCTGGGAGTGGAGCAAGGGCGGGATGGACTCCATGATTGACGGCTGTCAGACCCATGAGCGCTGGGTCTTGACAGCCATGGCGATGCTGACGCTGACGCTGACGCCGACGCCGATGCTGCTGTCGTTGCGGTTGTGATGATTGTTGTACTTAGTAGCTGAAGATGAAGATGAAGTTGAAGTTGAAGAGATGTAGTTAAAGATGCCGAAAGGGGCAGGGCGGTGAGGGGCGGCAGCCGGGGGCTCAACTTCGACTTCGACTTCAACTTTTCTTCTTCTCTCAGCTTCACAACGTCGGCGAGACGCAGCAGCAGGATGACGACAAGAGACGGACAGGCGAGAGAGAAGAGCCAGCTGGCGCATTCGGGATGCACCTCTGAGCTTCTGGAACGTGGCAGCGAGGGAAGATCGCAAACCAAATGGAAGCGGTCACGCCGAGGCTGCCAGCCAGCGCATATAGAGGGCTGTCGAGACGCCCGGATGCCTAGATGTTGTTGGGCTTCGAGATACCCTGAGATTCCTGGTTGAAGCCCCTGTCCTCTTCCTGGTTCATGATCTTCTCGGACTCTCAGCCCTCTGATTCTGAACTCCTATCGCCACGAACCAGCGCCAACAGAAGCCAGAGGGACAGCCAGCGGGAGCCAGAACGGTCTCTTATCCTCCACGAAAAAGCACGAAAATAGCCTCCAAAACAGGGACTCCACGATAAGAAAATGCAAACCCACAGCGAAGTCGAGGGACCTCGCAGTGGAGGCGGGCTTTCGTGATATCATTGGTGGTCCTCGCGAGATGAGTGGCTGACAGCGCGGATGCTGAGTGGATGACGGCGCAGGAACGTAAAGTGATACGCGGTCGATCCGGGTTTCAGACGTCCAAAAAAAAAATCCCTTTGCAGGATCTTTTCTCCCTCCGCTGACTCTGTCTCTTGCTCAGCAGTCGCACCAACCTACACACACCGCCAGCCGGCCCTCTGTAAGCACTGTAAACGGAATGCGGGAAATTTCCTCTGTGCAGGACAATTGCAGGACAATTACGGAGTAGACCAACAGGAGAGACAGGAGGACGGCTTGAGGCAGCGCCCCGTATCATTAATTCTTATTCAGCATCAGGCAGAGGGCGCCATGTCAGCCGCGTCTCTTGGATGGTGGCGGCTAGTCAGGAAGCGGGCTAGGCTCAGGGGTCAAAAAGCGAAAAAAAAAAAAAGGCTCTTCTCGTACGGAGGACATCAGGCACACTTCCAGGGGCTGTGGCCAGTAAGCGTCGCCGTATGGCTCCTTTGCTCTGCCTCGATGCTTTGTTGGCGCCGTGGGAAGCGTCGTTGCTCAAGGGCTGCATATTAGCCTTCCAAACCCTTTATCTACCCTGCCCTCTCCCACTCCTCGTCCGTCTCTCTTCTTTCTTCCTTCTCTCTCTCCTTCGCTCCCTCTCTTGTTCATTACCAACATTCTCTCGTACCAAGCCATTCTCTCTCTCTTTTCCAGAGCAGCTTGATTCTTGCGACACAGCATTCCTTTTGGTGTCCTTGACTCTCGTCCGTCTCTACTCACTCTCTCGCCCTCTCAACTCTTTGCCTGGTGCATTGTGTTCATTTATTTGGAATCGCTTGGTCCGATTCTCAACCGTCTTTCTGAACATACAAACCATCCGTTGCAGCTCACTCTTTGGCTGTCTGTCCCTCGTCGAACGAGAAATATCACATACATATCAGATCTATAAAAAGAACCGCCGTCGAAATGGCTCCCCAGTTCCTCAAGGCCCTCACTGTCGCCACGGCTCTCGGCGCTACTCTTGCAAGCGCTCTTCCGGTCCAGCCGAAACCCACCGTCTGGCACACTACCACCGAGGTCGTTGTCAAGACCATCACCAAGACCGCGACTGTCCACGGCACTCCAGGACCTGATTACACTGTCCCGCCAGCCTACACCACGCCAGCTGCCCCGACTGTCCCAACCGACGCTCCACAGCAGCCCTCGTACACGCCAGTTCCTTCGCCTCCAGCATCCTCTCCCAGCAGCTCTTACAGTGCCCCTGCTGAGCCTTCGTCCTCCTCCGTCCCCGCTCCTCCACCACCGCCACCAACCACCACGTCTGCTCCTGCTCCGGAGCCAACGACCTCCACCACTCCACCACCACCTCCTCCTCCAGCTACCAAGCCACCAGTCGTCAACATCCCACCAATTGGCGGCGGAGGCAGCACCTACACCGGCCCATGTGCTGCCGGCTCTCCCTGCACCGGTGAAATCACCTTCTACGACGGTGGTCTCGGTTCTTGCGGTACCAACATTGACACCAACGGCGAGGATGCCATTGCTCTCCCCATAGATCTCATGGGTCCTCTCAGCAACAACAACCCCTACTGTGGAAAGCAGGTCCAGATCTCCTACAAGGGCAAGACCGCTACTGCTACTGTCAAGGACAAGTGTGCTGGCTGTACCGGAAACAACATCGATATGACCCGCTTCCTCTTCTACAAGTTGTAAGTTATTCCCACTTTTTCGAGTTCGTTCTTACGTGACATTCGACTAACTCTTCAAACAGCGGTGTCGAGGCTGATGGCCGTATCCACGGCGTCGAATGGCACTTCATCTAGGCTATATCCTATCCGTCGTAGGGGCTGATATAGTGTATGTGCTTGCCTTTTGCAGTTTCTTGTACATCTAGCAGTTTGTTTGCTCTCTCCCCATGAAACCAGACGTCTTCAAATTCTTTTGTCTTCGCCTTTTTTCATGGGAGAAAGTTATGGGGATAGCATAGCATTCTTTTTCTTTTTGCGCTGTTTCTCATGGGACGGGATGGGGTTATCGGGGAATTCTGGCTTGGAGATACTTCATCATTCGCTTCTTTTCGTTCCTGGTTTGTCTCTTATCTCAAGGACATTCGCAGGCCCTCTTTTTTTCACTTCTATACCATCCTGTCTACGACTTTTTACCTTTCGTCCAGCCGATTGCAGCAATGCTGCATGATTTACATTGACCACTTCGACCTTTTTTCCCCCTCTTTGCACAAAATGTTTTCTGTTCCTGTTTATGGAACCCAGATAGAATGGATTACGACAAACACGAAATCTACTTTATGACTTTTCTTCATTTTTTTTTTTCCCAATTGTCTTCTTCCCTTTGCCGAGTCAAGTCATCCAGCTGATCCATTCCGTCTGTTGCTCCCTGTTACCTTCGTTCGTGTGGAATAGAACTTGCTCCTACTTTCCTGTGTCTTACCGTCATCCTATCATCGCCACTCGTTCATGCTGCCTTTGCTCTGTAATTTGACCGCCAGTTTCACCAACGGGCTATTGAGTAGTTAAGGAGTTTCCCGTGTGTAAACATGATATCAACAACAACAACAACAACTGCCGGCACCAGCTGTAGCATTACACGAGCAGCCCAAGACAGGGATAGATCTATGAATATCGTTGTCAGAGACTCGCTGTCTCGGAGGATTATTACCTATCGCATCCAGAGCACCCCTACTCCCTGACAACGGCGTCCATGGCTTGCATGCAGCAAATAATAATACATACTGACATAGCTCCAGGTTAACTTCTTGCTCGACATCCCATCAGACATCACTTTCCATCAAGCCCCAGGTTAAGGCTTCGGCTTCAGGTACGGATCGAGCACGATATCCTGCACATCACTCTTATATTTTCGGCCGGGTTGGCCTTCTTCTTTCTTTCTTTTTTCCTCCTTGTTTCTCGAGCGAGCTAGTCGGTTAGTTAGCTCTCTCTCTCCTGCTGTTCGCCGAAGCTGTCTGTCGACCGCCTTGTCAGTTCCCAGCCCTAGCACTGCTCTTCTCCCCCCGCGGATCAGCCCGTTTCACTGACTAAAAACAGGTAGATACCGCTCGCCGGGCGAGACAGTCCCCCGATCGTGATCTCCTCTCTCCTCCCAGCAGCAAGACAAGGGACGGGGGGCGGGCGGGTGAGCGGACGAACCGCGCGAATCAAGGAAAGGCAGGCCAGCGAAAAAAGTGGTGGAAAATGGGACGTCTTTTGGGTGGGAACGAGCGCCACGTATCACGAAACGGATCGAGGCTGAAATCAACGAACTGCGCCGGGCCTAAGGAGAGAGGAGAGGAGATGGGATCGACCTGCAGAAACACTCGATGAGATCGCCTCTTCGCCAAATTCGACTGGACGGCCGCGGGCGAACCATGGTTGCTTTTGGGCTTGGGCCCTGTTCTTTTCCCCTTCAGAGGCCTCTCTCTCCACCGGGTGTCTCCATCGCGCCCTCGCACTACCTACAGAACTAACGTGTCTGGGCAACAGACTAGCTGGGGGCCGAGGACTGGAATGGACGCTGGGTGGCTGCCCGGCCGGTGGTGCTGCATCTCATGATGAGGAGACGTGAGGGAATCGATACGGGGTTTGCGCCGCTGGTGCGAGGGAAGGCGATAATATCATGGGGTGATAATCCGTCCATGGCATCTTCTTTCATTCCCTCTTGAACAACGGACGCTTGACGAGCCTCAGATCCTTCGTCTGGTCTGCCGCTTGTGGTCTTCTTGTCCTACGTTGCTGCTTACCGGGTGGAAAGCCGCCGACGCTCTTTGTTTAGGAGGAGGCATTTTGCTTCTTCCAGGGGAGTTTGATAGACGGCGGATGCGCGCCCACGCATGTGAGTTGTGTCTATTATACGGGGCCTCGAGTCAGATTCGCCTGCTTTGACCCTCGATCTCGTCTCCCCATATTGTTATTCTTATTCGACTAGTTCGTTAATATCTCCTTCTTCTCCGCCGGCCTCGTTTTCCCATCTCGCAACCTTCTTTTCTTCCCTTTCGTCCTTCTCTAATCCTTCTCCTCTTCTCTTCTTTTCTTTCTCTCTCTCTCTCTGTCTCTCTCTCTCTCTCAGTCCCTTCAATTCTATTTCCTTCATTCTTCGCTGGTATTGATGCATGGATGGGATCGATAGTGAGGCTGCTACGGTGAGCAGAGAATGTCCCTGGAACTAGATCATGAGTCGGACCACGGCCACGGGGTGGCCACGTTCACCGTGACACTGGTCGTGGTGGTGCTGTCCGCTTGCTCGGTTGCGCTTCGATTGGCTTCTCGACTGTATCTGCGGCAGGCCGTGAAGATTCGTGATTATTTGATTGTGCTGGCATGGGTAAGTCGGGTGGTATCTCGTCCTTGAAATCTGCATTTGCTAACTAACACGCCCAGATATCTGCATTTGGCCTGTCATTTTCCATTCTCTATGGGACCTACAAAGGGTTTGGCATCAAGATAGACTTCATCCCGCCGGAACTGCGGCCGTTGCTGAAGAAGGGGTTATATGCATTCTCGGTTCTCTATGTATGTGCTATCTCTCTGCCTCATTTATATTAATTACCATGTCCCGGCATCCCGGGATTCTCAGCCTCCTCAGCCGCTAACCTGGGTCTTCTGCCTTTTTAAATTATAAAAGAATCCCACTTTGATGTTGATCAAGACGTCGGTTTTGCTGTACTACGTCGAGAGCATACCCAAAACCCGCGCCTTTCGGTGGGCTACCTATGCAGCTCTCTTCGTGGTCAACGCCGCCGGCCTGGCTCTGCTGCTTCTCAACGTCTTCCGATGCAGGCCCATCCGCTCGGCGTACACTTACCCGGCTGCGAATGAATCGGTGTGCACCAACTTCGTTGACCTCAATCTAGCATCTGTTCCCCTTAACGTCGTGACAGACTTTGCTATCCTTGTACTACCTCTGCCCGTCCTTTCGCAGATGGCGGTGCCTTTCAGCCACAGGACCGCTGTAGCGCTCATGTTCACTGCCGGCGCCATATTCACCACCATTACCCTCATACGCACTGCAATGCTCCAGCATGCACACATCGCCCAGGTCCAGGCCAAGGAGGCTGTTGAGTGGGACGGCGTAGACGAGAATGAGTTTCCCTGTAGGTCCTACAACATCTGCATCTCTTCTTCCTTTCCGATGGTCCGAGACAACTAACAATGTATGTCACATTTGATAACTTGCAGGGCATGCATCGGAATCATTCATGTGGTCAGCTGTTGAGACAAATGTTGGTATCATCTGTACCTGTGTCCCCATGTTGAAACAGTTGGCCAGCCGATTGTTTGCCAAATTCTCTGGGAAATCCCGCCAGTTTGCATCGCGCAGAGACATTAAGGAGAAAGCGCCTATGAGGCGGCCATTCGACCGACGGGACTCCGTGACTTCTCCATCTCTCGTCTTCGATGAAAATAGGCGGTCTTGTAGTCCTGATTCAGGATACAGTGATGTGGATGTCCAGGCTAGTTACACAGGATCTAGGGCTAAGAGATGTCATTCCCACCATCTAAGCCAAGACAGCTTCCATGACAGAGGCGCTGTCAAGCCGAAGAGGACAAAAAGCATGCTGGAACTGACCAACAAGGAGGCACTGCCCTTTTTGACGGCGATAATCTTCTTACTCTTTCTCTGGGGGTTCGGGTACGGCCTGCTCAATACTGTCAATTTTCGCTTTTTAATTGAAGCAAAGGCAAGCTATGCTAAAGCCATCGGCCTACATGCTGCATACTTTGCTGGCTACCTCATCGGACCGGCAGTAGCTGGTTATCTACTAAAGAAGACTTCCTTCAAACTCACCTTTATTGTTGGACTGTGTCTATATGCCTGTGGCATTTTAATTTCGTGGACTTCTGCAGTGCTTACATCCTTTGAAACATACGTCTTTTCAAACGTTGTCACCGGTGCTGGCATGGCTATTGTCCAGACAACTTCTCATCCCTTCCTCGCGCTGTGTGGACCGCAGGAATATGCTGAAATGCGCCTTAACTTCGCCCTCGGCTTCCAGTCAATCGGCAGTGTGATATCTTCCATATTGGCCAAGAAGGCATTTTCTCTAAGAACGATCGACGCCCATGACCTTGTACAGATGAAGTGGGCTTACTTTGCCATGGCTCTCCTTCATATCATCTTAGCCATAGCGATGCATTATCTCTCTCTGCCCGAAGCCAATGATAATCAGCTCGCAGACCTCGCACGCCAGCGCCAAATGGCCAACTCTGCCAAGATTTATGATATTCGTGTCGTCTGGGTTACTCTGGGGTTGGCCGTTTTTGCCCAGTTCCTCTTCGTCGGCGGTTCAGAGGGCATCAATGTACACTTCAGGAAGCTTGCGAGACGGACCAGGATCAAGTAAGTCTCCTGGACATAATTTATACTGCTATGGCTACATTCTAACATATTCGCTTTTTTTTCTCTCTCTTTCAGGAATGTCACACCGTTTGAGTCACAGGCACTTGGCTTTGCGCTCTTCGCCATTGGGCGGTTTGCAACTGTTGCTCTACAATTAATTGCGAAACCACGCGTTATTCTTTCGATACTTTATCTCGGCCTCATTGGATGTGCTATAGCGGCTGTCACCGTACACGGACGACTTGCCATGATCGGGGCTTTGGGCACATACTTCTTCGGAAGCGGCATCTATGGTCTCACCTTTGCCATCGCTCTCCGTGGCATGGGTCATCATACCAAAACAGCTTCTGCCTTCTTAACAGCTGCGGTCTCCGGCGGTGCAGTGTTCAGTTGCGTCCAGCGAGCCGTCGCCGACAACCGAGGAGTCCAGTTTTCCTTCATTGTTCCTACCATCTTATTCACCGTTTGCTTGATCTTCCCGATATATCTGAACACCTTCGCCCCGGCAAAGAGACATACCGACCCCACCTTGAAAAACCATCGGGCAAGGGGCACTAGCGTGGCATTCCATCCTACCCAGAACGATCGTGGAGAGGGATTCGCGGTCCCTGAATCAATATTCCCTTCGCAAGAAACGATCGCACGGGTAGTTCAGAAGTCGCAGGATCGTTCCTCAGCGTACATGTCGACTTCGCCTACGCAAGCACCAAAACGTGCAAAGGGCCATTACCGCAGTGGTGGTCTAATGCATAGCTTGTCATTGTGGCATGCATCTTTAAGATCTCCAACTTCGGACAGGGCATCCTGCGAACCGAGCCGGTCGTCGGGCAGATGGGACAGGAACTCCAAATCCGAGAGGAGATGGCCGCCGGGTCCGTCCTCTCCTTCGCTCGAGTTGGACAAGGTAAATGCACGACAAAGCTCGGATTATTACTATTACCGTGCAGGTGAGGTGTATAAGGATATCAGATGATCGCAATCGGCATTTAGCGCGGCGCATTTTTGCATACTTGCCATTTCACGAGTTTCTTTTTCTTACCACAGCAGTCGGATCCCCCTTTTATTTTCTGGCATTGATATATGTATATACCCTGCATCCTTCTTTTTGTATAAGCTGGTCATTGGGGAGTTTATAGTCAGGTGTTTTGCTTCTATCGTCTATGTATATACCATGCGTGTCCATACCTAAGTCTAGGTAGCATGGTGTGCGGTATGACCACCACGTTGCTTTGATAGCCTCTTTTAGTTAATATCATAATAACTGGCAAGCTGGACATTCTAGATACTATGTAAATAAACTTATGACAGTCACAAAGAACAAGAACCGAGATATGCAAGGAATATAATCCAATCGAGATATAAATATGTTAGAGAGAAAGAAAAAGAAAAACATTATATTTGACATTAACTTATCCATCTGACTCGTAGGCAACATGAAAGTGAGAGACCATGCAAAGGGGGGAATGGAAATGGAGAGATTGGTTAAGGAATGGAGAGTATGTATAGCACGTAGCATAACAACCTTGTAGAGGAGTTGTAGCGTTTAGTTGGACGCCTAGCCACTGCACATCACACACTCTTCTTTGTTCTCAATGCTGCCTAGAAAATAGTTAGTTTCAATGCTGAGAAAATCTATCAAATAATGTTGGTGATAACTTACAGGCAAGAACTTTTTGCGAGTAAATGTCTGCCTCTGTCTGGGCATCGCCCTTTCCTTCCTTTGACTCCGTCTCGTCCGCCTTCCCTGCTGACTTGTCTTCAGTAGCAGTCTTAGAGCTTGGCATCGGGGTAGGTCTAGATTCTTCATCTGGTGTAGTCTTTTTGGATACAGGAGTTGAAACTGCCTGCTGTGTTCCATCATACATGGGACGTGGAACAGCGGAATAAGAGGCTCCTGGGCTGGCAGCGCCAACACGTTTCCTCATAGCTGCATTTGTGCGTGCAACGTTGGTGTCAACAACCTTGAGTTGCTCCTGGTCTACTGTGAATTGGATTGGAGCAGACGCAGCCATGGTACGGAGATAGTACATGCCGGTCTTGAGACCGAGCTTCCAGCCAGCGAAGTGCATACTGGTGATCTTTCCCATGGTAGGCTCTTTCAAGTGGATGTTGAGGGATTGAGACTGGTCAATGAAGGCGCCTCGATCAGCGGCCATCTGAACAATAGTACGTTGAGAAATTTCCCACACGGTCTTGTACAGAGCCTTGATGTCTGCTGGGATGTTAGAGATGTTTTGGATGGAACCACCGTCGGCGATGATACGGTTTTTCATATTGTCGGACCACAGGCCGAGGTCGACCAGGTCTTTGAGAAGCCATGGGTTGACAACTTGGAACTCGCCAGCAAGTACACGGCGTGAGTAGATGTTGGAGGTGTAAGGTTCAAAGCACTCGTTGAAGCCAAGAATCTGACTGGTGCTGGCAGTTGGCATGGGCGCAAGTAGTAAACTGTTACGGACACCGTGCTTGGAGATCTCAGCTTTAAGACCATCCCAGTCCCAGAGGTCGGTCGGCGTTACGTTCCACATATCGTATTGAAGGATACCCTGAGAAACAGGAGAACCCTCGTAGGAGGAGTATGGACCATCGACCTTGGCAAGTTCACACGATGCGGTCAACGCAGCATGGTAAAGGGTCTCGAAGATTTGGGTGTTCAAAAGCTTGGCTTCGGGAGAGTCGAAGGGCAGTCGAAGAGCGAGGAAAGCATCGGCAAGGCCCTGGACCCCCACAGCAATGGGGCGATGACGGAAATTGCTTCGTCGTGCCTCTTCAACCGGGTAGTGGTTCCCGTCAATGATTCTGTTCAAGTTTCTGACAACGACCTGAGTGACTTCATGGAGTTTGCCAAAATCGTATTCACCGCGAACAGCATCCACAAAGGTAGGAAGGGCAATAGAAGCCAAGTTACAAACTGCAACCTCATCTGGGGCGGTGTATTCAACGATTTCAGTGCAAAGGTTTGAACTACGGATAGTACCAAGGTTCTTTTGATTGCTCTTTCGGTTGCAGGAATCCTTGTAAAGCATAAAGGGGTTTCCAGTCTCCGTCTGGGCCTCGAGAATGGCGTACCATAGCTTCTGGGCCTTGATGGTTGTCCGGCCTCGACCTTCCTTCTCGTATCTAGAAATGGGGGTTAGTGGAGCTGTATTGAGTAGCTCTGAGATGCAGAGTGAATACTAACTTTTCGTACAATGCCTCGAACTCTTCTCCGTAGACATCAGCCAATCCAGGAGCCTCATTAGGGCAGAATAGGGTCCAATCGCCATTCTTTTCAACTCGCTTCATGAACAAATCAGGAGTCCACAAGGCCAAGAATAGATCACGGGCACGGACTTCTTCCTTTCCATGGTTCTTGCGGAGGTCAAGGAACTCAAAGATATCAGCGTGCCATGGCTCCAGGTAGATAGCAAAGGCACCTGGACGCTTGTTGCCACCCTGGTCGACATATCTGGCAGTGTTGTTGAACACACGAAGCATGGGGACGATTCCGTTGGAGGAGCCGTTGGTTCCAGCAATGTAGGATCCGGTGGCACGGATACGGTGGACGTTAAGACCGATTCCTCCAGCAGTCTTTGAAATCAAAGCACAGGTCTTCAGTGTGTCGTAGATACCTTCGATACTGTCCTCCTTCATGTCAATGAGGAAGCAGGAAGCCATTTGCGGCTGCGGGGTTCCGGCATTGAAGAGAGTGGGAGAGGCATGGGTGAAGTATTTCTGGGACATGAGATTGTATGTTTCAATTACTTTCTCAACGTCCTCACCGTGGATACCGACGGCAACTCGCATTATCATATGCTGTGGCCGTTCAGCAACCTTGCCGTTGGTTCGTAGCAGGTATGACCTTTCAAGCGTCTTGAAGCCGAAATACTGGTAGTTAAAGTCACGGTCGTACACAATAGCCGAGTTGAGTTCTTCAGCATGTTTCATGACGATCTCCCGAGTCTTCTCGGATATCATGGGAGCTGGCCGGCCGTTCTTAGGGTTAACGTAGTGATAGAGGTCATCTATAACGGACGAGAATTGCTTCTTGGTTTGTTTGTGGAGGTTCGACACTGCTATTCTTGCAGCAAGAATGGCATAGTCTGGATGGGTCACGGTCATGTATGCAGCAGTTTCGGCGGCCTGTGAGACTCTCGTCAGTTACTTTGCCACAACTTCGGTGTAGTATATATATGGGACGGGAAGAGAAAGAGACATACCAGGTTGTCGAGCTCGACTGTGGTAACCCCCTGGTAAACACCGGAGATGACTCTCTGTGTGATGGCAGCGGCATCAACATGTTCGGGGTCAAGGCCATAGCACAGTCTCGAGACGCGAGCAGTGATCTTATCGAACTGCACACGCTCCTTGCGGCCGTCTAGTACCATGTTAGCACTCATCGGCAGCCAAATACGACCAAACACGGCCTTGCAAGGGTCTCGGGAGACGTACCTCTCTTGTAGACGAACATCTTGCAGGCAGTGCTCTAGGGTTGATGCCGGCGGCGGGGGAACAGAACGACGATGCTTGCTCCTTCGGTGCAGGGACTGCCTTTTCTGAGCCAGCAGACGATGAGCAGGGACGGACAGGACGGCTGTTGAGGCTGGTGATGCTAGTCTTCTTCTTCTACTTCCTCTTCGCTGGCGTTGCTGGAGTTTGCAGTCGAAGAAGAGTTCGCGATTTCAACTTTCGCGGCGCGAGAAATTTCCAATTTATAGAAAGCGACGCGTCTTTCTTCTTTTGGGACGCGGTGAGGAGAGGCAGAAAAATGGAACCTTAAGGGTAAGAGGGCGTGATCACGTGATGATATCAGACGCGCTTTTTTTTTTTTTTTTTTTTTTTTCAAATTATTATTATTTATATTATTTATATTTATATTATTATTAATTATTAATGATTGACGTTATTTTAGATGGTTTTTGGAGGCCTGTTTTATGACGACATATATAGATTTGAGAGGATAAAAGAAAAGGGGAAAAGAATATACAGCAACGCACATGGCGCACGTCACGATGCTTCTAATTTGCTACTGTACACTATGTATTTGGTGCCGCTGCATAGTGGATAGTGGAAGCAATGCGGAAAGGGCAAGATACAAGATGCGATGCAAGAAGTAATGGCTGGGCAGCAGACTGAACGAGAGCGCTCTACATGGCAAGGGCTCCGACAATGGCAAAAACAAGAGCAATGAACACCGAGTCGGCCTTCTGGAGGGAGCCGACGTTGGACTCGGTGTAAGGGGGCGAGGTGCTGGTGGGAGACGATCCCATGCCGGAGCTGGGCTTGGAGCCAGAGCCAGAGCTGGGGTGGGAGCCGGAGCTGGGGTGGGAGCCAGAGCCGGAGGTAGGAGAAGCCCCGGAGCTGGTCATGGAGCCAGAGCCGGAGGAAGTCTGAGATGGCGAGGAGGAAGAAGTAGTGTTCGCATGAATGAGAGCTGGAGAATTTTTTTTTTCGTGTTAGTTCTCTTCGGACACTGTTGAAGACCGCAAGGGCAGCGTTGTGGTATGATGTCGGGGAATGCACATACTGATCTTGTATCCGGCCTCACCACAAGACTGCTTGTAGGAACTCAGGGCTTCCTTGGTGTCCTTCCCGCATTTGTTGACAATCTCCTTCTGGGTGTTGTCGCTGCGAGAACCGCAGAGGGAGTCGAAGTCGGCGGGATGTCCCTCGGCGCTATTGAACGACCTGTTAGCCCAGCATCTCGACCACCTAACCCATACACACTGGGCAGAGAAACTACATACCTGACTACCTCGAGGAGACATGCAGGAGGCAAGGCCGCGACAACGCCGCAGAGAGCGAGGAAGAAGAAAACAAGGGCGGATTTGGCCAACATGACGGCGGTTGATCGGAGTCAGGAGACGGCGAAAAAAAAAAAAAAGGGAGGGGGACAGCGGGTGCGTCGAGCGTGAGATGGAAGCGACAGACGGTGTGTAATAATGAGCGTGGTAGACAGGGCTTCTGAGAGTAACGAGCGAGCGAGCGAAGTTGGTGACGACGGTGAAAGGAGAGCAAGCAAGGCCGGACAAGGAAGAAGAAAAAGACGGCCCTGCCAAGCCGCCCCAGGGCATCTCAAACACGTTACCCTTGCCGGCCGGCCCTCTCGCCACCGGGGCTGGAGCTGGACCATGGAACATTTACCCGTCGCCGGGCAGGGCGCTGGCGCTGGTTGGCTCCGGCAGCAAAGGGGCATCTCCAAGGGCGTGTGTGAGTGTGTGTCTAGACGTCGTGGAAGAGGGAGAAGTGGGCTAAAGGCACATGCGTTGTACTACCCGACCGACTACGACTAGCTAAGGGGTCTTCCACCGCGCATCCTCCCTGCTGGTTATGATCTCCGCCACGGGTAGACGGTTGTCTACAATCTCTCGCCCGTTGACCAGGTCGTTCTCTCGCGCCCTCTTGTCGGCCTCTTCCTCGTCCTTTGCAATGCCGGCACGAACATGTCGCTTGACCAGCCTCTGCCTGGCCACCTCAAAGTCCACCTCCACGAACCACAGCTCGTCCAGCAGTGCGGCCGCATCGCTCCACGGCTTCTTGTCGAGCGCTAGGTAGTTGCCCTCAAACAGCAGTACCCGCGCCGACGGCGGGATGGGGATGTCGTTCTCGACGGGGTCCTTGACGGCGTGGTCGAAGCTGGGCGCGTAGAGCGTCGGAGAGCTCGTGGTGAGCGGGTTGCGGAGCGAGTTGATCAGCGCTATCAGGTTGGTGGGATCGAAGGTGAACGCTGCCCCGCGGCGGGCAAAGGCGAGCACTGGGTCGGGCATGGCTGACAGCTGGGCTCGTGTGAGGTGGTAGCCGTCCATGGCGATGCAGGCAGCCACGGGAGACGGGCTCATGGCGTTGAGCCGGTGGATGACAGCTGTTGCCAGCGAGGTCTTGCCCGAGCCGGGGATGCCGCTGATGCCCACCATGTAGCGCGCTGTCGGCTCCGTCGACTGGAATGCCCCTACATGAAGAATCCGTGTGTGAGTTAAAAGCACCACCCTGCCGGTCGATTGATATAGGCGATGAGAGCAGGTCGCATACCCCATACTTTCTGGGCCAGACGCTCGACCTGATCGTCCATGCTGGTTACGTAGAGATATACACTCGTTCGGAGCACTCTGTCGGCCAGAATAATAATAGCAGCAGCAGCAGCAGTAGTAGTAGCAGCAGCAGTAGTAGTAGTAGTAGTAGTAGTAGTAGTAGTAGTAGTAGTAATATTCTCCCTGCTGGCTGCGCGATGTGGTTACGTAAGCAGCTGCTTGTCCAGGCTGGAGTCAGTCCACCGTCTATCAAGAACAAATTTCAAGACAAGATCAAGACAGACAAGGTGAGAATAGATCAAGATAGGGATGTCTTTGTGAGGCCGCAGAGGCAGAGAACCGCTCCAGGATGTCCGGGAGTTAACCATGTTCCCTGCCTTGGGTCAACTTGGCTCCTATCTGAGCAGAATCCCCTTGGAAGATCGAGTCTACATAGAGAAACAATTGGTTGCCTCTGCTCTCACCTTTCAAAATAATAACTATTGGATATATCCGTCTTTGTCTTTGGAGACAACGGAGTATTTGTTGAGGCTGGAAGCTATGTTGTACTATGAAAAGTGCAGAGCAGGCGCTTACTCGACTCTGTAGAGGGAACGACCCAAGATGCGTACGATCTGGATAGTGTATAAAGTACGCCGGAGATAATTACATACAAGACAGGGGCCTGATAAGGCCTATCTAATCAATAACCGTCTTAAACTTGGTCGTGGTGTTGCTGTTCGTGCGAGTTTTAATATATATGCGGAAGTGGAGCTTCATAGAAAGCAGGATTTAAGCTTAACCAGCGCCGCGGGACGGACAAAACTCCGTGCCTTCTTCCCGTCCATTCTTTATCCATTAGGCAGTATCCATGGGCAGGTCGTGGGTTCGATGTGACTGATATTAACGTAGAGACGCGGCTGTAAAGAGTAAACTGACAATAATTCTGACCTCGCCTCCCTGAAACCAACGTAAAAATAAGGCGCCATTTTGTTGTAGAAAAAAAAAAAAAAAAAAAAAAAAAAACAATAAGATATGGCTACACAGTAATATATATATGGCCGTCATATCTAAGAAGAGGAAAGAGTCATAATGCGTCAAAGTCACGGTAACAAGTCGAAGAGGCCAGCTCTTCCAACAAGAAGAGAGAATACGCGGTCACTCGGCGTTTTGATCACGACTTAATTCACGGTTCAGTTCGCGATTAATGATGCGTGTCAGGCCGGCGGTCGCCCACCATTCGTCGGGGATGTCATCCCGTCTGCTTAGAAGGTTGAGGGTGTCATGGAGTAGTTGTAGGCCCGCTGCTTCATTCTCGAGTGTGAAGGAAGAAGCAGTGGGTGCAGAACTATCAGTGGGCGTGTTGCTCTCGGACTGGGGTTGTGCAGGGTTCTGTGTCTGCGTTGGCGTCTGCGATTGAGACTGAGATTGACTTCGGGGCTGACTTCGCCGCCTGTAGGCCCGATGCCGTTCTAGGTCGTGGTCTTCTGCCTCTGTGTCCGAGTTCTCGGAGGCAGAGATGTAGTCGCAGTTTGCAGGGAAGGAAGGTAACGGGTCAAACATTATATGCATTCGTGCAGAGACAGAGGAGCCAAAAGACGAACTGGGAGTGAGAGTGGTAGGTGCTGCGGTAGACGACCGCGAACCACCAGAGCCAGAAGCGGAGGCAGACGCAGTGGCGGAGGTGAAAGAGGAGTCTGCGCTAGGGAGATTGTTGTCCAGAGGGATGGTATTGAGCAGTCTAGCCCAAGTGTCTGATACATCGGGCACTTCGTCGTCCGCAGACACGACAGATTCGGCCTGGGAGAAAGGGGGAGCAGGTATGGCTGAAGGTGAGTTCCGTGCGGTGGCTACAGAGCGGTGTCCCACGCGACGCAGAAGAGGCATACTGGCATCCATGGTTCCCTCCGTGGTAGAGGAATCCTCGGCCTCTGCGATGTTAGTAAGACTGGCGTCTTCGGGATGGGCAGGTGCAAAACGGGGAGAATATGACGGGCGGTTTCGAAGAGAGTTGGGGGCCGCCAGAGGGAGTATGTCCTGGCCATGCAGGTCCCTCGGGATCCTCATGCGTCGGCCGGGAGAGGCATAGTTGACGCTATCGCGTAGTAGCCGACGGCCTATCTCACGATGACTGAGGCCTGCCGGCACCTCCGCACTGTCTAGACTGCCCGTGGTATGGTCTACCACCGGGTTTCTGGCGATGCGAGGGAGTGGCAGCTCCCGGTCACTGCTGCGATCTCGGTCGATAGTCCGGGCGACAGGATCGAAGATCAGATGTCGGTTTCTCAGGTCGCGGACTGCGGTAGTGCGGCGACCAGTTTGCAATCTGCTGAGTCTTCTGCTGGACTGCGGGTGCGGGCTGCGTCGAATGGAGGAGCGAGCAGGTGCAGTTGGGTCGGTTGGCGGTTTAGAACCAGCCTCTGCAGAGACGCGGACACCCGACCCGGCACTAGGACGCGCGCGAGATGCAGGAGGAGTGTAGTCAAGCCTGTCGGTCCGATGTTAGTATATCTAGACGCGGTTCTGGGGTGGTGGTGGACTGTTATGTTGGTGCTCGATGGCTGCGGTAAACAAACTTACGGGATACCCATGATTGCACAGCAACAGGGAGTATTACGATTATGGGAGGGGATAACAGAGGCAGAACAGGAGAAAACGAAGGTGAATCTCGAGATGCAGGGCAGCAGACAAGGTGAATTATGACTGAGGCCGGGTCGAGGGTCGAGGCTGGCGGCGAGTGAAGCTGAACTGGCGGTGGTTTTGTCGATCGACCGATTACGAGGATGAAACGCGCGAGACAACGAAGAATCTCAGCCACAGCCAATAATAGCCACGCGAGACTAGTCGAAGGCAAAACACGGAGCCCAGCAGCAGCAGCAGCAGAGGAACACTTGGAGCAGTTCTATATCAAACTCCGTATATGCAGCCGAAGCTGAAGAATAAATGGACGATGCGGCCGCCTGGCCGGGGTGGGCGAGCGAGACCCTGAAACGCTGCGGAGGCGCAGAGACCGTCGAGGGCAAGACAGCTGCAAACTGCAAACAACTGAAAACAACTGCAAGACTGCAAGACGATCGTCTCTATCTTGCGCTTCGTCTTCTGCTTTTCTTCTTCTTCTTCTTCTTCTTCGACGTCGCTTTTTTCTTGAAGTTGAAAGTTGAAGTCGAATAACACTTCACGTGACCAAGAGCCTCATCCAAAAAGGGAAGAAGAAGAAAAACATCAAAAAAAACGACTTCGAAAGCGCCAAAAAAAAAAAAAAAAAAAAAAAAAAGACACGAAGAGACAGAAAAGACGGAAAAGACAGAAGAAACACTCGGGATTAGCTGTTTGACGACCGATCTGGGCGACGAGAGACGACTGGCGACTGACGATACGCACAAGAAGAGCGAGAAACAGGTCCTAGCATGGGCATTGGCTGAATGATTGACCTTGGCCTTGCCCGCATATCCCGCCTGGTGCCGGCCAGCTCGCTCGCCTGGAAGGCCATCCACGTCGCCGGCACCAACGGCAAAGGATCGATAGCTGGCTACCTGTCGGCGCTGCTGACGGCCGGCGGGCTTCGCTGCGGCTCGTTCACCTCGCCGCACCTGGTCGACCGCTGGGACTGCATCACCATCAACGAGCGCGCGGTGCAGGAGTCGGTCTTCCGCCATGTCGAGGAGCAGGTCAAGCGGCGGGACGCCAGCCTGGGAGTCGGCGCCACGGAGTTCGAGCTGCTGACGGCGACGGCCTTTGAGATCTTTCGGCAGGAAGACGTCGACGTGGGCGTTGTCGAGGTCGGGATGGGTGGCCGGTTGGACTCTACGAACATACTGACGAGCGAGAGCGTGCTCGTCTCGGTGATAGCCAACATCGGGCTCGACCACCAGGCCATCCTGGGCAGCACGCTGGCTGAGATTGCCGCTGAGAAGGCCGGGATCATGAAGCCCGGGGTGCCGTGTGTCGTTGACGGGACCAACGAGGAGCAGGTCAAGAGCGTGATCAGGCACCACGCGAGCAGGGCCAACACGACGGCCACCTTTGTCGGGCCGGACAGCATCCTGTCTGCCTACCCGCAGCTCCGGCAGAGATTCCACGACCTGGCGGCCCAGCCACACCAACGGTCGAACATTTCGTGCGCGGTTGCTGCCTTGGAACATGCTCTGCCGCGGCTGCGGGCAAACCTGAAGCCCACCGATCTGCTCCCGTTTCTTCCTCTCAACCCGCGCGCCGGCAGGCTGCAGCTCGTCGATCTGTGGCCCCTCATCCCTCGCCGCGACTCTCCTGTGCTGCTGGACGGTGCGCACAACCCGCAGTCGGCCAAAGTGCTGGCCTCCTACGTGGACCATACCCTGCGCCGCCCGGAGGCAAACATCACCTGGGTGATCGCCGCGTCTCAGGGTAAAGACCTACCAGAGCTGTTTGGCAGCTTGCTCAGGCCGGGGGACAACGTGGCAGCCGTTCAGTTCGGCCCTGTGGACGGCATGCCCTGGGTCAGGAGCGTGCCCACCGCCGAACTGCTCGCAACGGCCAGGTCTATCAGCAGCAGCAGCAGCAGCAGCAGCCGTGGCACAACCACTCAGTTTGGACACGACATCTCCAAGGCGCTGCAGTGGGCACACCTCACCGCCGCCGACAACCCCATCGTCATTGCCGGCAGTCTCTATCTTGTATCTGATGTCTTGCGTCTGCTTCGCCAGACAGCCGCTGCCGAAGAAGAAGAAGCGGCAGCAACAGACACCGCTGTGGCTCGCACTGCCGCCTCTGTATAATACTAATTCATGCACATACATACACTCCTCTGTACTAGACTTTGGGATAATCCTACGGGCAATCCGGTTTCTATAGATCTACAAACAGCGTGAACCCCCTTTTCCCCCAGACTTTTCTCTCCTTAGCATCTTACCCGAGGTCGTACAGCAGCGAGACGACCAGGGGATGCGCCCTCTAGCGTAGTAGACTCCCTCTGCCTCTACTCCTGGCCCGGCACAGTGGCCGTAGACTCCCGATGTAGCGAGCTGTAGCGGTTTTTCTTCCTCTCTCGCTCTCTCTGCCTGATAAGCAACGCCCTGATAGAAACGCCAAAAGAGCCCCCCTCCCCCCCCCCAAGTGCGTCATCGCTTACCCTTAAATTTCTTCTTCCTCCAGAGACGCAACGAAACGAGGGAGAAGAAAAAGCAAAAGAAGAGCACTCGCACGCTGGAGAAAGCATCGCTGCAGGCCGCGAGGACGCTCTCTGTTTGCTGACCTGACTGACTGGCAGGCACAGCGCCCGACTGACTGACCGACGGACTGACAGCTCCCTCCGCCCCTTGCTCGCTTCTGCTGCTCCCTGCATCGCTTTCGTATCGTCCGCCGCCATCGCCAACGCCGTCCCGCAGACGCAGCCGCAGCCACAGACGCAGACACAGACGGAAGCGCAGAGAGACGCAGCGACAGAGACATCGACGTGCTCATCGACTCCACCATCGAATGCTGTAACTCCCGCAGGCTCGCCGTCCGCGTCCCCGACTGACATGACCAGACCACAGCCGTCGCCACTACTACAAACATCCCCTTCTTCTCCCTATACACCGCAAGTCCGCTGCCTCCCCGCGAGCAGACGCAGGCATAGCACGGCTGCTCTCCCGCCAGCAAACAGACGCAGACACGCAGACACGCACTGCACGCACCGGCCGAACGATGGTGGTGTCCCGACCCCGCGAGCGCGAGCAACAGGATAATGGAGACGCCAGCGCCACCCGCACCTCAAATACCCCTACCAGGAAGATGTCGAGAGCTGACTCCAGCCCGCCCAAGAAGGACCGGGAGAGGGAGAGGGAGAGGGACAGAGACAGAGACAGAGATAGAGACAGAGACCGGCAGATCAAGTCCTCGGCCAAAGACGTGGCGGAACTCACTGACTTTGTATGTCTTCTTTTATCTTGCCGTGAGGGAGGGGAAGGGGGTTGTTGCTTGATTGATACAAACAGTGAATGGATGGAACGGCTAATGTGCCTACAATAGCAATTAGGAGACTGCCTGGGCAAAGGAGCCTTCGGATCTGTCTACAGAGCTCTGAATTGGGGCACAGGCGAGACCGTTGCCGTCAAGCAGATACGGCTGGCGGATCTGCCAAAGAGTGAGCTGAGGGTTATCATGGTAAGTGGCCCATTGACAAACAGTGCAGACACATGCAATATCTCTACACATAGCTCTAATACCTTTCTCTCTACAGCAAGAAATAGACCTGTTGAAGAATCTAGATGTAAGTTGCGGGCCGGCTCGAGATCCCCCTTGGATCAGGAACCCGACATCAAATCCACAGTACTAATCTGTTTACCCGTCATAGCATCCAAATATCGTCAAGTACCATGGTTTTGTAAAGTCTGCCGAAACCCTAAACATCATATTAGAGTATGTACCTTTCCTATCTCTACCCTTCTGTCTCGGAATATAGATCTAACACGTCTGCTAGGTACTGCGAAAACGGCTCGCTGCATTCGATCTCCAAGAACTTTGGCCGGTTCCCTGAGAACTTGGTTGGACTATATATGTCTCAGGTCCTCCACGGATTGCTATATCTGCACGAACAAGGTGTCATACACAGGGACATAAAGGGCGCAAACATCCTAACCACAAAGCAAGGCCTAGTGAAGCTTGCGGATTTTGGTGTCGCCAGCCGAACTACGGGTCTTCATGAGTCCAGCGTCGTTGGAACACCGTACTGGATGGCTCCGGAGGTTATTGAACTTTCCGGTGCTACAACAGCTTCGGATATATGGAGTTTAGGCTCAACTGTTATAGAACTGCTTGAAGGGAAACCGCCGTACTATAAATTCCAACCCATGCAGGCCTTATTCCGCATTGTCAATGATGACCACCCCCCGCTACCCCAAGGCGCTTCTCCTGTGAGTTTTCTTTTTCTTTTTCCTTTTTTCACACCCCTTTTTCTTTGGATTTCAACGGTGATGTTCTACTATGATGATAGCTGCTAATAACCGATAACCTCAACTAGGCCGTGAGGGACTTCCTAATGCAGTGCTTCCAAAAGGACCCAAATCTACGGGTGTCTGCCAGGAAATTGCTAAAACACCCATGGATAGTGAATGTTCGTCGATGCGACTCCGTCGTCCCTAAGAAATCAACAGAGTACGAAGAGGCAGTTAGGAGTGTTCAGGAGTGGAACGAAGCACTTAGGTCCCCTAATTCAAATGCTATCCGCAAGCCCTCACAACACCAGCAACCAGGAATAGGGAGCAGCCCTATCTCAACACAAAAGGAACCCAATCCTCTAAATATACCAAACCGAGACACCTTGTCTCTATTAAACATGAATGCTGCAGAAAAGTATCGCTCCCCGGAGAACACTAGCGATGATAACTGGGACGATGACTTTGCCTCCGCCATCTCTCCCGGTGCGCTTCACCTGCCACATCTCAAACCACAAGATAACTTCGACGGAATGCTATCTCCTGAAAAGTTGAAAGCCTTTGCATCTCTTGAAGGGATAACGGAGCTCTGCCAGACAGATAACTCCGGTATAGACAATGACGGCCAGATTAACGATGCCATGAACAATGACGAACCCGACCCCTTGCAGACTATTCGGCCACGTTCTCGAAGGTCTTTTGATGACGAAGTAATGCCGCCGCGCAGCCCGCGCAGAAGGCATAGACAATACCCGGTTTCTGCGTTTAGGAGAGGCCCGATTATATCATCAACTTCAGGAGTAGCGAAACCAATTCGTCAACGACCAGCAAACTTTTACGAAGAGAGCTCTGTCGAAGATTATTCAGATCTCATTGAAGCAAATGATGAAGTGCTAGAGAGTAAATTATCTGCCATGCCGGTAAGAACCAATGGTGGTCGTTTTCTTTTAAAATAAACCATAAACCCTAACTTAACGGTTTATAGGGTATCGGACAGGATGAAAGTTCAGCCCATACACAACCTGTAATGGGCCAAGAGATCTTCACAGGCGATGAAAACATCCCCGTAAAACCAAGCGTACATAGGAGGAAGAGATCAGAATTTGCTCGATCTCGATCAGCTATCGAGATAGAAATGTATGCCGAGGATGAGGCTGACGAGGACTTCTCTGATATTCTCGGTGACAATGAAAATACCCTTGTCAAACTGGAGAGTGAGGAGGGCTCAGATCGCAGCACCTTGATGCTCAACTCGAAACTATCAACAAACTCATGGCTGGGAGACATTGATGACGAGGATGATCCATTTGCTCAGCTAGAGGAAGGCCTGGACGAACTCGACTTGGAAGCTAACATTGCACGAGATAAATATGCACGGCTACGCAACCAGGTGGAGGGACTTGTTAGCTCTTTGAAAACCTCACAGGACGATGAAGTTCTAGTAGATATCTCAGAGCAATTGGTATGTCACTTCTACCTTCTGGCTTTTCATATCCATGCACTTACTAAAACTTCTTTTAGATGACCATATTTTCAGATATGCCGGAAACCAAGTCTGTCATCATGAGTGCTCACGGAATGCTTCCTATCCTAGAAATTTTAGACACCTGCAGGCGCCGGGATGTGATTTCTAACTTATTGAAAATCGTCAACGCCGTACGTCATGCTATGTTCCCCTCACCCCTATCGAGGTGTTACTAATGTGGTTGGCAATAGATCATCTACAATGATTACGAGATTCAGGAAAACCTGTGTTTCGTTGGTGGCATACCGATTATCAACAAGTTTGCTTCGAAGAAATACCCAAGGGAAATCCGTCTTGAGGCTGCCGCATTTGTCCAGCAAATGTATCAGACATCAACTCTGACATTGCAAATGTTCGTCAGTGCTGGTGGACTGAATGTCCTTGTCGAATTCCTCGAGGATGATTATGAGGATGAAAGAGAGCTTGTACTAATCGGTGTAAATGGTATATGGAGTGTGTTTGAATTGCAGGTACGTATTAATATTCAGATTATCCGTTTGCAGTGGCTTATCAGCGACTAATTGAATGTATAGGGATCAACTCCAAAGAATGACTTCTGTCGGATACTGTCTCGAAACTCGGTCTTGGATCCCTTGTCCCTCGTCTTGAGCAGAGTACTTGATGAGGAAGAGGGTGAAATGGCAGAGGTCTGTGAGGCTCGCATTTCTAACATCTTCTTCATATTCTCACAAGCCGAAAGCCACGTTAAAGAGATGGTGGCAGAGAGAACCGTATTGCATCGTAAGTACAACGCATTATCTCAAGTGAAAATATTATATATCCGGCAGGCGCTGACGCTCTCCCAGGTGTATTGAAAGAACTGAAGAGAATGTCACCCAGTCCTCAGATAACGATGCTCAAATTCATTAAAAACCTCTCCATGCTGTCCACAACTCTTGACTCTCTCCAAAACTCAAATGCCATTGATGTTCTAACTGAACTCCTCCGATCAACTATGAAAAAGCCACATTTCCGCGAAGTATCAAATCAGATACTAAATACCATCTATAATATGTGCCGTCTTAGCAAATCGAGGCAAGAGGACGCTGCTTTGAACGGCATAATACCTTTACTACAGAAAATCGTTAAAACAGAACGACCGTTGAAAGAGTTTGCGCTTCCTATCCTCTGCGACATGGCGCATTCCGGCAAGGTTGGGCGCCGTGAGCTTTGGCGCAATAAAGGGTTGACATTCTATATTTCCTTGCTCTCGGATCCATACTGGCAGGTCACAACTCTAGATGCTATTTTTACTTGGTGAGTGCTCCTGGTCCTCTCTCTGGATTGCATAATGGTCCCTTTTTACTAATAAGTATCATCAGGCTCCAAGAAGAAACTGCCAAGGTCGAAGAGTACCTCCTCGATACCCAACATGGAGACTCTTCGTTTACCATAGCTATTATCCGATGCATGACAATATCAAAAGCAAATGCCTTTGAAAACCTCCTTGAGCCTTTGCAAAAGTTGCTTCGACTAAGTCCCGCGATTGCAGCTACCTTTGCCAGGCCCGATATGTTTGAACGCATTGGGCAAAAATTACAGCATACTAAACCATCCGTTAGAGTGAACCTATTGCGAATCCTATCTACGATATGCGATTCCAGTCAAGAACAATGTGGCCTGCTTCGTCGTTACGGTTTACTTGATGCTATACGAGAACTGCAAAAAGACTCTCGTGTCCTTGTGAGAGAGCTCGCGGGTCAACTAGTGAAGAACAGCGAAGATAGCGATAATGCAAGTTTGAATGGATCAAAACGAAGGCAAAGACGAAGAAGTACATCTACAGCTGCCCCCCCTAGTCTAATCTCCAGCCACTCCATGCCAGCTTCGCCTCAAGTGACTAGACCAATTTCCCAAAAGCCATATTACGAAGGCCGAGAGTCTTCTCGCCGTCAGAACGGACTCGATAGTTCTCTAAACCTCCGTCCTGGGAGCCGGGATGGTGGAAGGCCACCAAATATCCATCCTGGTCTGTCGGGCAACAGCAGCACAGGATTACCGGGCAAGACACCGCGGCTGAATCATAGATTATCACAACAACTGCTTCCCGGCTCATCGCAAAAGGAGGAAATCAGGACCCCTACCACTACACGAACACCGTCCCTCCTTCAACCATCATCACGGAGGCGCAGACAAACCAATACCAGCTCAAACTGGTCTTGAAAACGGCATGGAGACCTTGAGGGACTGGCGGCCGTCTGTATTAATTAGAGAGTGGTTTGGAGTCGGCGTACTTGGTTTGTAGGGAGTTTTCAGTTTATCTTCTCTTGGAAGCATCCTTATATAGGCGCAAAAGCGGGACATGCCAACATTCCCTCCTCGTTCTGAGTACAGTACAGCATGTCTTGTTTCATAACATTTGGAGGCTTGGACTTGAAGCCATAATTCAATTTTCTTTATCCTTCCTTTATATACATTTATGCATGCTGTATATATGTACGATTACTTGTTACTGGAAGGTTGTATGGTCTGGGATAAGGATTGGCTTTGAAATACATATACAGTGGAATGAGCGCTAAATTTTTTTTAATGAGTTGCGAGTGCCGCCGGACTACCATTCCCAAGCATTACCATTGCAGTTGCGTAAGAATAAGGCCAAGTAGAAACACACACATGGGCCCTCGCCAATATAGAGCATCAGTGTAGCATAACTCATCGCCGTTGAGTTTCGTGGTGCATTCAACATAAAAGAGAGGCCGTAAGTCAAGGTAAGTCTAGTAGTCGTCACCACGACTAATGACTTCTTTGACATTTGGTCGGAGCAAGATAGTCTAATGATTTGGTTAGTGACAGGAGAATATGGAAATTGTGGCAGCTACTGTGGCTGGAATAAGACTTACATGCTCGAACTGGGCGGTATAAGATCCCTTCACATCACAGAGTGGAGGGTATGCATCGACAAGTCCAGAGGAGACTAAGTTGTTCAACTATACATGAATGTCAGTGGGTGAAGTAGATGTTTTGGAAGGATGCTACCTACCCCAAGAAGGTACTTTTCCTGTCCGAGACGATCGAGGTATCGACGGCAGAAAGGTAGAGTGCCAAAGTTCTTGTTAATAAGACTATACAAGTTCTTTGCAGAAGACAATCGAAGAGGCACGCTTGGAGCATTTGGAACTTTAGCGTAGTGTGAGGTTTCCATCTGTTCATTTGTACGGATTTAGCATACCGAACATATCAAACTGAGAACTGATAATGAAGTAGTGTGAGGAGCAACTTACATCATCTCTAACGTATCCCTTCCCGGTACTGCCAAAGGTTTCAATAGCATAGGTTTCACCCTCTTCCATCTTGGTCTGGTCACCACCTTTGACAATCGGGACGCTCTTGCCATTGACTCCACCGTGAATTTCATATTGGCCGATCGTGTGACCATTCAGGTTACGAATTGCCTTGATAGGGTAGGAGGTTCCATTGAGCTCGAGCTCGTAACTCTCCATAGTTTCCTGGATCGCTGCGCCGATATCACTCATGCGGACATCGATACCAGCTTCCTAAATGGAATTACATCGTTAGTCAAGGATTCAGTCAGCATATATTGGGGGTCAACATAAAACATGCCTTGATTCCAGTGTTGGTTGCCTCCTTGACAGCGGTAAGTAAAGGGTCAAAAACAGGATCAAATGCAACGGTGAAGGCGCTGTCGACGATTCTGCCATTGATGTGGACGCCAAAATCAACCTTCATGACATCACCGTGTTGAAGAACGACCTTGTTCCCGGCATTGGGAGAATAATGAGCGGCACAGTGATTGATGTTCAATCCGGTAGGGAAGCCCATTCCGGCAACCAAACTGTCCCCCTCTTCCAAACCCATGTGGCCGGTCAGGTGGCGGACTCCGTCCTCGATACCCTCCGCGATATCGGTAAGGGTGGCACCAGGCTTGATCAGCTCCTTTTGGGCATACTGACGAACCTGACGGTGGATCTCAGCGGCCTGGCGATATTCAGTGAGGAAATCATTGTTCATACGGTCAAGGTGTCGCTTCTCTTCGTTTGTGGTACGGTAGGAATTTTCGTTTAGATACTCCACAATCTCTCCTTCGGGGAAGTTGTTGTTAGGGAAGAGAGTTGTCAA